TAGATGTACTAGGGGATGTTGCACACGAGGCTAAAGCCCTAATCGAGACGATGCTTCGATCCGATCCCAGGGCCCGACCTTCGGCTAAGGATGTCATGTCCCATCCGTTCTTCTGGTCGGCAAAAGAACGGCTTGCTTTTCTTTGTGATGTATCGGACCATTTTGAGCTTGAGCCTCGAGATCCACCATCCAGAGCCTTAGCGGAGCTCGAAGCGTGCGCCCCTCAAGTGTGCCGCGGCGATTTTCTCAAGACGCTACCTAAGGAATTCGTGGAGAGCCTGGGAAGACAGCGCAAATACACCGGTTCGAGACTTCTGGATCTGCTGCGAGCGCTCAGGAATAAAAGGTTTCATTACGGTGATATGAGCGACTCACTGAAGAAGATGGTAGGACCGTTGCCCGATGGATATTTAAGTTTTTGGACTCGACGATTCCCAAACTTGTTGATTGTGTGCTGCACGGTTATCTACAAGTTAAACCTCGAGGAACTAGATACCTTCAAAGAGTACTTCAAACCGAGAACACCTCTATGACCTTAGCTAGATAATATACTTGATGTCATATACAGAGTCTTCTATTTTACTGCAATTTATATTAATTAAAGTGCTGGCTGAAAACAGCTCAAATGGTACTTGACCAAGCCAAGCTAGGCAACTCAAACGCACCTGTATACATATATCTTGGGCCATGAATTATCGTGTACGATGACAGGCATATTTTTGACAGGTTTCAAGTTTTGCGATAATCTTAAAGGATTAATTCTTCCATATACAATTCATCTTGATATATACTTAGGTACCTAATGCTAATGTATGAAGGTGGATGTCATGACCCAGCCGGATGGATCGTGGTTAATAATAGAAAAACCAAGATATACTTTTAGGTACATATAGGGGTATGTTATGATGATGTACATTAGGTATGCATGCTACACCAAGGTTGGTGCTTAATGTCGTTGGGAACATTGAACATGCAAATGTGAAATAGGTATACATGCATTAGGTACATCTATATGGTCTACCTATTCGCGTCTCGTCTTCAGATACATGCGCTCCTTTTCTTCTTCACAAAACAAAAGCAACCTATGTTACCTACCTACCTAAGTAGCTTAGACAACGTATATCACGATAATATTTACTGTACAACAAGCCTCAACGACTTTTAATAATTACATGATAACTTAATATGACTTGTCATTCTTTAAAAGCCTCTTATAACAACTGAAATCCTTGCTTCAAGCCTTTTTTTTCCTTACACACTGTGTACATGCAAACCCGTCATATTGATGTTTTGCACATTATTCAAAATGTACTATTCTTATACGTTAGGTATATATTTTATTCCGATGTGAACCTAGATAGTTAAGCTATCTTTTAATTTTAATACTTCTCCTTCCGATTCTTGTCACTTTCTTAAGAGTCAAGTAACTACGACTTAATGCGCCCGTGGATTGTGTGGTTTGCGAAGAGCAAGTTGGTAACCCGGATCGAAAGGTTGGCTTGGAGTTTTGTGATTTATTTTCCATCACTTGTTCATCACTTAAGTACATTATGTACGTGCAATACACCCAGTTTTCGCGTAGCTGGTGTGATAGAGGTTGCTTTCTCCCTCGGTATATGTGCTATGTGTGAAAACCAAGGGCCAAATAGCACTGCAGCAACGACATCTCTAAAGTGAAAGCGGATGTGAATCTTGCTTCAGGTATATTCACCTACCTTACTTATACCTTCCTTGCTGATCTCAAATTTACCAATAGCTATCACCTACTTTCCTCTAACATTCTAACATTCCGTCACTCTCACTCTATCACTATCTTGATACTTGCCCTTATTGGCGTAAGTAACTTTAGAGGGCTTCTCTGCTCACCTATGTAAAAGTCAGTGTGCCCGCATACTTGGCTTCAAGATCACCAACATTGGCACCGCATGGTCAATGTTGTCTTGTTTTCTCGGCCTTGGATCACTTTCACATCCCTCTACGTACCTTTTTTTCAACTTCTTGCATAATATCATCCTTTCTTATACCGGCTCATATTTACCTTCATACCTCACCTCAAACCACTACTTCCTCACTACAACACTTCTTCCGACCAACACCACCTTTCGGCACCCCCCATATGATATTACCTCGTCATCATGTCTTCAAATTCTAAGGCAGGTTCACCAAACATCTCTGGATTTAAACAGACTACCCTAGCTTCACCTATTCTGACTCAACCGAGTACTCCTACAATCGAACACAAGGGAAAGCAGCCACATCTACCTAATCCTAAACTCGGACCAGCTGTAAAAGATTTAAGCAGGTCTCGATATAGACTAAACCCAGCTATCAAAAACTCGTCCAGGTCTTCAAAACCTACCGCTTTTCAGGAAACGGGGGGCCGTGGGCTAACAGTAGCTCCGCGACCACTCAGTTCGTCTGGCAATTCCAATGCATCTAAACTGTCTAGCAATAGAACAAAAGTCAAGGCTACGAACTCAGGTGACCTGGAGAGCGATCATAAGCAAACGCCTCGTGATAGCCGACGGGATCCGTACGAAGTGATCTCTGATAGTGAGACCGATGATCGCCAGAGAACTAGTTTTACGCCTGCTGCTCCATATAACCGCATTTCGTCTTCGACGGATGTAAGAACAACCACCACAGCAGCTTCGATAAATCCTAAGCGCGCGCAACTATTGACACCGGAACGCCCTGCTGTTAAACTGTCTGTACTTATGGGCTCTTCCCAAGGTACCCGTATCTCTAGAGGTCCTCAGCACTCTCGCCCACACACTCCAGCCACAGCCCCCCCAAATAAGCAAATTATCCTACTTGACTCGTCAAGTAACGAGGATACGAGTTCCCATATCACACGAAAATGTTATTCTGAATCTAAGCGCAGGTCAGATGTTGGCTCATCGACGCCAGCACACATCCTCGCGAACTCGGCAGAGGTTTCAGTCCGTCGTTCCCAGGGAAGAATAATCTTGCCTCTCGAAAAGCCGTCACAACCTCATCCTGTTACCTGGCAACGCACCCCAGCCAAAATCCCTCCCGGCGCTGAGATTATAACGATAGCCGGTTCATCGTCTGGATCAGATGCAGAACAATTAGGTGGCAAGGTATCAACATCTGAATACTCGCCCTCCAAAACTATCGAACAACGTTCTCTACATCCAGTTAATAGTCACCTAAGCACCATCGACAAGAAAGCTCAAGGTACAATTTCTCTACCGACCGATTCAGCACTACCCAACAAGAAAACAAGACGAGATAGTATTGCGCTTCGAGGAGGTCATACCTCTGTTGATAGACATAAGCAGAAACACCACAATAAATCTCCTACCAGTCCAAATAGCAATTCGCTACCTCCGCTTGATGAAAGTACTCCCACTAATGAGAAGCATACGATTCCCCAGCAACACGCTGAAATAAAACAGCCGCAGAAAATTTATCAGGGGACATCTTCCTGTAAGTTCCAGAACACCAATAATAATTCCAGTAATCCAGTAGAAAGCGACGAATTAGCCAAAGCTATAGCTCAGCAAAGGACCACTCCATCAAGACAACGAACCTCGCGAGGTAAACACAGCATCCAAAGACAGTCTCCCCTTAACAATATCAAAATGAAGTCGATTCTGAGTACTCCCACACAATCTAAGGCCTCTAATGAGCTTCACGGCTCCGAGCAAGACCAAAGCCAAAGTAAATATAAGGGGTCTAAGGAAGTAATCCATCATCGGGAAAACTTAGGGGATTCTGGTGCATCCACGACAGCAATCAAAGACGTAAAGAAGGCTGCGAAAGTCAGGTTCGAGAAGAAAGGTTCGCTATTACCCGTAATAATAATAATAATAATCAGCACAACTTCACTAACTGTATTTGCAGAGAAAGACGACATTATATCCGAGTCGTTGTATGAAGAATCCGACTACTCAGATGACGAGTATCAACCAGCCTCAAATGATGAAGAGCAATCGAGCGAAGACTCAGATGATGCGTTATCTCTCCCTAGACGAGCCCGGGTCAAGAATTCATCGAAAGGTATTAATAATATGTCATCGCCGTTAAGTCCTGGTTGGAAACTGCGTAGTGGATCCTATCCCAAGCCGACAACATCATTTACCCCGATCAACAAGCCAACCCTCAGGACCCAAGAGCAGAAATCAATTACTACGTCGCCTAGGATATCCAAGCTTGGTAAATCTCATTCGAGGCGCGTATGCGTTATCACTGATACAACCGATTCTGATTCAAATGAATCTCGAGAGGGCGAAGGCAATAAAAAGGACAGCGAACCAATTGAGTTCGAGAGAAAGCCATGGTGGGAACCACAGGCGTGGATAGAAAGATATGAAACCGGGTTTATGATTGATTTTAAAGTTACTGACAGACTCTGGCTCGGTGTAGATCCATTCAAGGGGTGGATATCTGATGGTCCTGGAAAGGGCAATTATATGCCTGGCTACGGACCACCAGACGACGCGACAATTGCCGAAGCAGAGAAAACGGCTGTACTCAGATATCATCTACTCACCTACGAGTCAGACTCAGAGGAGGAAAGACAATGCTTAAGGGATTACTGCCCGGATAAAGCAAAGCCATGCGAAAACGAAGGCAGTTCTATACAACTCGCCCCAGGCATGAACCAGGACACGAGGACGGCAGGCACCCCAGAATGCACAGCCACTGATTCACGAGAAGACGAACTCCATTGTATAGTCCCGTTGGTAGATCCAGATCAAGCAGCACTATTAAACCGGAAGTCAATAGAACGAGCAGAACGTGCAGAGAGAACAGAGCAGTATGTGCTTACCGGAAGCCCTAGCGGACGTATTAATTCCCAAGAAACTGATTCCTATGGTCCAATAAGTAGTAGAACCCGAGGAAAACTTCCTGCCTACCGCGTGCCAACACCAAAGTTCGACGGCAGTACATCACCATCTACAGCATCCGAAACAACTTCTACACTAATTACGCGACAGTTAATAGCTGACTGTGCTTCGCTTTCGAGTCCAATGAATCGACGAACCAAAGCTCCATCCTCGGTTCGGCATGTTAACGAGCGACGCAATTCTGACGATGACCGCTCAAGCATTACTAGCAGTAGCGAATTGAGTTCTGGCATTCCGGCTCGACTGTCCTGTGAGACATCATCACTACCGCTGGCGCCAGGAAGGGGTCAGAGCATGTCCGTCGGGTTAGAGCATCTCAGTTCCAAGCCAATCAACACAAAAGCCAACCCTGAATGGTTCATTCCACCCAAAACCTCGACCAAGACTAATATAGAAGTTGTGCTACCATTTATGTCGGCAGAGGAGCGCGCAGAATACGATGTGGTTTCTGAAGTTGATGACGATGAATCTACTCCGCTGCCACCCATTTCGTTCAAGGAAATCAACGAAGCTACCCCAAGCTTGAGCCCGGAATCAGATGGGTCAGGGGAAGAGACGCTCAATTACGTACTGCGCCAGTCGCCTGCATGGCTACACAACATCACGGAGGTGGTTGAGCCCAGAGACGCAACAGCGGATATGACGAAGCCGTCGTCTAAGTCACTGGTCAAATCATCTTTGAAGATACCATCTGTGGACCTAGAAAGCCCACGAAATCCACGAGAACCGCGAAGACATCTCTTTACAGCTACAGTAGCTGGTAATAGTCAAACTGGCCAAGATTCTTCGTCTGGAACCGAGAGAAAGAAAAAGAGAAAGCTTTCCTCCATAAGTTTCTCCTCGGTCGGCGAATTACCCGCTAGCAAGAAGCAGAAGGCAGGCAACGATACAAGTATTAAAAACGCAGATGGAGTTAGCCAAAGGCGTCGCCGCCGAATGCGAAAACAAAAACGGACGCAAATGCGGGATAATGGCAGCCAGGATACAGGTATGCGAACGCCAACGTAGCTAATCGGTCAATAATTACGGCTCGACTATCTCTTCGAGACTTGATTTGATAATGTCGATCAACTTATGTATAATAAAGCATGGAAGACACTTTGCCCCAGTCAATATAGCGAATCATCGTATTCGCTTACTTTACTATTTGATGTTATTAGCCAAAGTCGTTGCTCATTCGGATATGGGATCAGTATTAGTAAATAAGTACATACCTAATATACATGAAGATAGGTAGGTATATACAATATATGCCATATATACCATACCTAGGTTAAAGTAATATGTTTACGTAGTCCCGTCCGGGCGGGAAGCATACAAGCATACACTAATATTGTCTTATCGTAGATCTATAACGCCGGTACGATGGAATGCGGGGAGAATTGATGATTCGTGGACCTTTTAGGGGTTAGGTTGTATTATTACACCCGGTTGGCATAAATACATATCCGGATCACGGATCGTCCGGAAACAATCCCTCATGTCATATTATCTCCTAAATATCTACATCCCCGCTGTTTCGATTTACATTTTGACATCTAACTGCAGAATAGGTTTCAAAGTCACCCTAATTTACTGTTGCTCAAGGTATTGCATTTATCATCATGGCTAGCTTTCTAGTAGTCTATCTATTTCATTTCGCACCCTTCATTTTAAGAACCACCCTTTTCATGTAACCTTTTTTTTTCTGCTTCTTAGTGCAGGAATAGGGAGCTCACTCTTAATCGCGCCTTTGCTAGCTGCGATGAATGCCATAATTTAACATTCAGCTCTCGAAGCCAAGCGCTCTGCCGTTTGATGTATACACTCCTGGCTCGACACTATCCAACCCTCGTTACACTGTTGTCCAAGGGTCGCAGTTGGCAGAACCCTGATGTGGCCGTGTCGGTTTTTAAGATGGTCAAACTGGGTTCCCTTACTCCTCTGTGCCGATCTTCATCTCTTTCTGAGGGGGGCTCATCTTCATCGGTTTTGTGCCCAAGCCATTCGAGTTCCTGAAGAATAGGACACCTTTTCCTTCACCCTTGGCGCCCTCACTAGGCTCAACCCACTGGCACATCCTGGCACTGCGCCACATGGCCTTGATAAAGCCAAGCGAACCACCCCTGGTATCCGACCGGTAGTGGCGACCCATTACCTTCTGGATTGATTCACTAGCCTCGTCGGCATTGTAAAATGGGATAGTGGAGACGTAGTGGTGAAGGACGTGTGTTTCGATGATGCCGTGCATCAATGTGCGACCGATGAATCCGAACTCGCGGTCGATTGTCGCAGCAGCGCCACGGACATAGTTCCATGACTCAGGCTTATAATGAGGCAGAGACGGGTCGGTATGCTGGAGGAAAGTGATGGCAACTATTTCACGGTCAGTAATCTACCCAACAGAAGCAGTCGCACACAAGCAAAGTGGACTTACCTAACCAGTGGTTGACCCAAAAGTACGGTAGGAAATACCACACGAAAAGGTTTCCCCAACCAAATTTATTGCCGAGCAGGACCAGGACTGAAGTGGTGATAGCCAAGCCCACGTCACTTAGGACGATCAGTTTCGCATCCTTGGCCTCGAAAAGGGGGCTGGATGGGTTAAAGTGATTGACACCACCGAAGAAGCCGTTGCTCTTGCCCTTGCCACGTCCCTCTCTCTGGCGCTCGTGGAAGTTGTGCCCCGTGACGTTGCTAAGAAGGTAGTTGGGCCACCCGATAAGCTGTTGACCAGCAAGGGTAAGAAGGGTCACAATAGGCGTCTCCTCGCCGAGCTCAGCGAGTTCGTGAACGAGCTTGCCCAGGCGGCTGGCCTTCTCTTCGCGGGTCTTAGGAACGAAGACCATGTCGCGCTCGATGTGGCCAGTTGCCTTGTGATGCTTGCCATGCGAGATCTTCCAGCTGAAATACGGGACCAATAGAGAAGAGTGTAGTACCCAACCAACAGTGTCATTCAGAACTTTGGAAGGGCTGAAGGACTGGTGGCCGCATTCGTGTGCCAATACCCAGATACCGGTTCCAGAAAGACCCTGGAGAAAGGTATACAAACCCCACAAGGCAAAACGAGCCGGGGCATTCGGTACATTCTCTGGGGTCACATAGGTGTGAAATAGGTAGAAAGTGATGGCCAACTGGGCGATGTCTCGGAAGACATAATAGAAGCCCTTGACAGCAGATCGCTCAAAGCAGTGCTTGGGGATAGCGTCGTGGATATCCTTAATGGTGTAGTCGGGGATCTCGAAATCGTTGCCGTATGTGTCAATGAGCTTCCCATGAAGAGCGCTGTTAGGTTCGAGAGAGGACATGGAGGAGAGGGAGGTAGAAGATGCGGAGGGCCGAGGAGAGTCGATTGGAGACCCGATAGCAGTAGAAGGCGACGAGACATCGGTGTCCGCGGTGGTAGATGTCATGGTTCGCCGAAGGGCGGGGTTCTGGCGCGGAACACCGGTAGCAACTGCAGAAGCCATAGTGAACCGTGATGGATATCTGCTTCCGAGTGTTGAAGTAGAGGGGAAGGGAGAGAGGAAGGGGGACAACTCGACAACGATTGTCACGTCGCTGCTAGCAACCAGGCTACTTTCGAGAGTCTGTGATCAAATCTAAGTTGTCCGTTTGTCTAGGATCAACGATGAGAACCGAGAACCCACGGAAGCACAGCACCGGGACAATCTCTTAAGTGGGAAAATGTCGATTGGAAAGACGAATTGATAAATTAGGAAGACAGAGTGACAGTTTTGGTTTATATTGGAAAGGTCGGAATTCGCCTCCAGTCTCCTAGATGGACTCCCAGATGGAGACCAACCCTGCGTTATGGAGCGAGGGTATTATGTACTTAACTTAACCTATGGGGAAGAAGGGTTTGGCAATAAAGGACGAGAGGAAGATTAAAAAAAAAAAATAATAATAATAAAAGTCGAATCGCTTAAGTCGTTACCTTCAATGCAAACGTTCCTACAATAGGTACATGTACCTAGGAGGTAGGTACTATGTTTATTATGTCCATTATGTACATGTATGTATGTACACGTAACTTCCTAGCTTAAACTTTGTATTATACAAGTATCACAAGTCTTCCGATAAAATCCCTAAAGTATTTTATCCTCTACCAGTTAGTATGAATCTACTTGCACGTATCACTTTCTTCAATTTGTGTATACATCGTGGTACTGTCCTGCTTAATTGATTTGTAGCCCAAGATTCTGTTACCCAGCCCACATGCATCTTTCAGGGTCTTACGCTAGGTACCTTACTTCTATATCCTTGCCTTAAGTACATTTTGGGTATTTTAAATGCTACGCCGCCACATGCAGAAACTCACATTTTACAAGAATACGATATATACATAGGTATGTACCTAACATAGGTAGCATCTGATAAAGTTAGGTGTATTTACGGATTTGTTGGTGAACGGCTATTAGTATTCTCTTACTTCTCACCGCCTTTCATGGTTTGTTCATCCAAATATTTCCAAGTCGACTCCCGGTTCGTTACCATTAACAGCAGGGCTAGACCCGGCACCATACGAAGATCATACATACTTAAAAAGGACATACCTATTGAATTTCTTACATGATGTAGCCTTGTGTGGAGTTAGGTAACTGATGGCTGGCTGGATTTTCAATATCAACCTATCAAAGAAAGACGTCTACATAGACCACTTACACTACATTATATACATACAGGTTACATGTTCAGCTAATTCGTACATTACATGGTAGTATGTACTTCTACCAAAATTACATAGGTACCTGGCCAAACCGATTTGATACATACCTACATACATACCTATGTACAACCTAGTCACGGGCATATCTAAACTCAGTAAAACAAACATTATCATCGTCACTATCATCACTGTTATTACCATTATCGTATGTCATCAGACAATACATGACCTAGGCCATCGTTCGACCAACCCCATCCTCGGTTCTGTAAGACAAAAGAAAACGTAAACGGCACCAAGCAGCGCGCCACGCAAATACATACGTACATAACATAATACTGAGTTCGGAATCTTGGAGAAAAAGGGAGCAAATGGGCTGGTGACAAGTGGCGAGAGGCTTGTTGAGTCCAGCTCTTGCTTAAACCTCTATTCCGTGTCTTAGTCGGATAAGAGCAATTCAATGATGAGGATATATAGCCGTTCCTATTTCTCGGGACTATGTATGTATGTATGTATAAAGTACCACAAGATTCGCTTGTCGATCAGCGCTTATCTCATGGAAGGGGCACAGATACACGATTCATATCTAGATAAAGGTGGCGGTAGTGGTAAGATATTAAAACTTGTTGCCATGCGTAATGTATAGACGTATTTGAAGCATGAGAAGTTAAAAGGTATTTCAACGGCCTTCTATATTACAAAAGGTACATACTTTGGTATGTAACTTAAGGAACAGTGCTGCTTTATCTCTATTATTGCATAATACGTTTACATCTGACTCTTCACATGTCCCCCTTGATATTCCTTTGATCCCGAATCGTGGAATGCAGGGTTTATTCAGGGGGTGTGGATTCCCGATCAAGAACAAGAGGTTCTAACTCCAAAATAGTGATTTCTCCGCTTCCTCGGGACCTTGTCACTTTTTTTTTTTTTCTGTTGGGGATCGCCTAGGATCTTATCCTACCAAATTGATCAATTGTTGAGAAATACAGATCCTTGCAACCTTAACCCATCCCTTGTACCCCTGTCCACAGTCTTGAGAAGTCTTGCTAATCGGCTTCTCCACGTGCGGCGGCAATCCGTTGTCGCTAATCTCTAAATTGTACATATTCTCATTGTTAGAACCAAATACATATACCAACGCACCGCATTTAGGTAGGTAGGTTTCTCTCTACATAGTACCTAAGAGAGAATAGTTATTAAAAAAATGAAAACATCGAATCTTCTATAAGTAAGATATACGTAAGTCATATTACCTTCAAATCGTGTGTATCATACAATTTACCCTTACTTACCGTCTTCGATGGCCGTTGATTCGGGAGTGAATTCGGTGTTACGTCACAATTCAAACTACATATGTAACTTGCCTGTGTTCGGTTAATACCCCAACATTAAAGAGCGTGAAAGAAACCATATGCAGGTATAGAGCTTTTCCCGAGGCAGAGAGGTTGTTATTTCTTTTTTTTTTTCTTTTTTTCAACTCACATGTAAAACAATCCAGTCGTATTCGGTATTGTCTCATGCTACCCGGCCTCATCGAAACTATAATGATGCAAGTTCTATGCTTTCATCATCTTCACGCAGCCACTTGTAACATAAGCCAACATGATAGCACTTCAAAACATAGTATCTCATCTAAATTATTGTGTATAGAATATATCTAGGTACATATATTAGGTACCTACCTGATCGCGAACTACCTTCTAATGTACATATGTTTTTACCTACTTACTTAACCTAGTTAATATAATTCATCCAGTGTGAACTTACAAGAGCACCCACATACCAATTATTCCTAAAACTAATACTAATCAGACCACTGGCAAATCAATCCTTTTTCTCTATTTTCTTGACAATCTCCTCCATTTGTGACAGCTTGCGCCATAGAGTATCAAACTTGTTGCCATCGTCAAACTTGCCAAAATCCACCGTATCTGTCGTCTTCTCTCTTGTTGCCCTCTTGACGTCACGTCTGGATTGGTTATAATGGTCGAGCACGCGAGGCCCCTGTCTATTACCCATATACTTTCCCCGAGGACAATCCGGTTGCTGTCTCAGTCCGTACCTGTCCTTTCTCCTTTTCTTTTCCAGGCCGGGCTTCTTTCTTCCCCTGTGCCTACGTTTTACCTCCCGGGGTGTGACGGGAGGTAAGAAAGGTGTACGTGGGTTCGGTGTATGACTATCCTCGTTCAGTAGCTTAGAAGCCGAGGTATGGTGATTATCTTGTGTATGAGGCGGATTTGCCTCGCCATTGCTTTTCCCCACGGGGTCGTCATTTGAAGATCCAAGCACTGTCTCATTTGCAGCATTTTCCCGGGGAGTGGATGCTGTACTCTGGTGTGCCACATTATGCGTCTTGGGTGCGTGCCCTGGTCCCTTCTGCCTCTTCGCGGAGCGAGTGTCGCAAGGTGAAGTAGCCTCTCGGGGTTTTGGCAAAGCCACACCCTCAATAAAATCGACTTCTAAGCTATCAGATCTAGACTTAGACTTTGACCTATGCCTCGATCGCTTCTTTGATTTCGAGCTGGATAGCATATTAGTAGCTCCTTGGGCCTGTATGCTCTGAGTGTCTTCATTTGAAACCTCTTTCGGTCCAGTAAGATCTTCGGAATGGCATGCATGTATCTCTGCTTGCGCTTGAATATGACCAGAATTTTTAGGGTCTAGATATACCTGCGAAGCATCGTCTTCTTGCGTGACACCAGTGTGAACAGGAGTCTGGAGTATATGGAGCTCTTGAGAAGTAGATGCGTTGCTGGAGGAGGTCTCGGCTTCGTTTGCAAGCCTCCTCCTTCTATACAGTTCTTCTACGTCAGGGAAGCTTTCATCGTCAGAATTATCGTGCCTATGTTGACGAGCAACTACCGGAGAGCTATACTTGGACGACATTGTGTCACGCGATGCCACACCATCGCCGTAGCAAGAAAGGCTGGTTGAATTCTGAGAGAATATTGGTAACTGATATTCGGGATTCTGCTTCTGGTTTGGCCCATGTTCTTCTGCGGCAGGAACACGCTCGGGGGGCTTCGTGCCGTAAAACTTCCATGGTGTGATCCTGTTGCACCTAGAAGTTTTCTTCGATTTGGGACTAAGTTTTCTTGGTGGTGTGCTGGTGTGTGGGATTTTTACTGGTGCTAAAGGCTTCTGCCGCTTCTTGGCCTCATCTACGAGGAACTTCCTTAATACTTTCGGCGTGCCGGTCTTCTCTGAGGTCGGCACCTTAAACTTGAGTGTTAGCTGGTCAAACTAGCCTATTGCATTCTCTTGCGAGTGCCTTACAGAAGATTTCTCTTTATTAGTCTTACGCGGTGTAAGGCCTCGTCCATCTGCTCGTGTTGGGGTATGCGTAGATGTTTCTGGTCTCTCTTCTCTTGCCTCATGCTCGCTAGCTACGATGTCTTTCCTACTGTCTTCACTGGTGCTTTCGGTTGTTGGCATCGGTACCTGACGGTTGACGGTACGCTGATCAACACTAAGAAGGCTTTGACGAGCTACTTCTAGCTGTACTTCTTCGTAGGACATACCATCAAACGCAGGGTGGTATATAATATCTTTACGAGAGACGGAAAAAGTTTTCCCGAGGCGGAAAGTTGATGGCACTGTTCGCCCTTGTATATTTTGGCTGCGTAGTCGGAAGTTGATTATGCCAGCAGTGCTTATTGTTGCAAATACGGTCTGTCGGAAATCTTGCTCGGCTGTGACGTTCATACCTATTAGAGCTATTTGACGAGCGTGCCAACCGACCAGAACGCTCTCGCCTGCAGAATAAGTACCAGGTTTAAGATGTTGTGACGGGGCAGAACTTGGATTGATACTATTGTAAGTATCATCTTTACTACTTTGTCCTTGCTCGGATCTCGGTGTCTTGACAGCAAGAGTAGTAGTTGAATAGTCGTCTTTCTTATCTTGAGGTTTATTAGAATTTGATGTTCCATATGCAATTGAATGTATCTTTACTTACTATTTAATGGTAGCTTGGGAGGTCTATGAGCAAGAGTCTCTTGCAGGCGCGAGCATGCTCCTGGTGAAGACGTCCCCTGCTGGTTAGAATTTCGCTGAGCTAATCCGAGGACGGACATCTTCTCGCCTGTCGTAGTCCTATTCGCTTTAAGTATGTTGATGAATCCCTTTTCCAGCTCCCTAAGCCTTTCCTGCGTAGCTGGAGAAAAATCTGGAGAGCTTACTCCTCCTGAAACTCTCTGATTAGGTTGTGTTAATGGCATACCTTCTGACGCCGAAGGTACAACACCTTGGACGTCCACCTCAACCGACTGTAGTAATGTTTCTTTAGCCTCTAACCCAACAACTGCATCATTCTCGTCATCGTCTATCAAATCCGACTCGTCTTCGCTAGAATACAAAGAAAAGTGACGGCCTGTCGAAGATCGTTCTATATCGCGTATCTCCTTCTGAATGCCTTTCCAAATCGGAGCTGAATGAGTCAGTTCGCCAATTTCTTGGGGTAGTTCGGTACCGGCTATTCTATCGCGAAACATCTTCTTAAGCTTCTGCTCCCCCATTCCTTCGAGCAGTACTTGATCAGCCTTAGCGGTTCTGGTTATTATATCACGACATATCCAAACGCGCACCCATTTGTCGATCCACATGTCACCGTGAACCATCCGAGGCCGTCTCTGCGGTGGTGTAGTGCCTTTTGTTTGCTTGCGTCGATTCTTGCAAATCGTATTGATCGCTTTCTTCACTTGGGGGTACTTGTTAAATACGCCCGCACGGACGGTGGTCGAAAATTCTTCCATTATTGACGTCCAGACATCTTTCTCGGGGTCCTTCCCCGTAGTTGGGCAATGAAGAAGCCTTGACCTATGTTGATAGCTGATCTTGAGCAGTTTTATCTTCTCAATCTGTGAGAGCTGCTTAGAGCTACTAGATACCTCGGACCCAGCCATTGTATCGCGTGCTGCAATGGGGGTTTGAGGAGAGCTGTGAGAAGGCGTTATTTTTGAGCCCGAAGATGGTTATTTAGCCTCAAAAGTTTCGTCTACACGTTACATTAACATGTCAACAATATAAGGTTGATGAGGAGGGTTTTACCTAGAAAATCTGACAGCGAAAGATTTATCCAAAGAAAAACATCAGTGTAGAAAGGATGGAATTTCTATCATTGATTAAAACTTACGTACTAATCATTAAATGCTTGATCCTAGTTCTTCGGATTTTATCGCTTACAGTCGAGATATTAATAGTCAAGGATGGTGTACATGATAATAAAAAGCAAGCTATGATGCTCATCCAGTCAACCTACTTTCCCGGGTAGCAGCTCCGACAAATTTCATCTCTTCCGTGCAAGGTTTAAATAACTCGATGACGATATACTTATTGTGAGAACTGACTGAAGTATTGGAGACGAGATTGGTTGAAACTGGGAACATGCGATAAAACGCTTGGATTACATGTATACAATATGTATTGTAAATGTACAAGTTTATTAGCAGGGGCATACATGTCCGTAAGTCGAAGGCTGAGTGCTTGGGCGCAGTAATCATTTATATCCCTTAACCGGGGCTCCCGGGTAGCAGCGATAAGTGAAGACTGGCCATAGCTTACTTTGCAGATCAACGGGGGCAGATTTATACACGGCACGTTTCCTGAATACATTTGCGTTATTCACCGCCAAAACGGAAACATCTGGTCCAGTTCCTAGTTAAATTTACTTCACCGACTTGAAAGTCCATGTTTTACGAGTTTGTTTATTAACTACCGAAATATGGTAGCGAACATATTAACCTCTAAGGTAAAAGTCTTTACTTGGTTAAAAATATCTCACAAAGAGCAAATTGTAAAGGTTTTGATCGATAGTTGGCTTGCAGTTAAAAATAAGAGAAAAGTACATATAAGTAAACTGGAAAGTCGTACCTCGAATGACTGAATTTTGCGCGTTAAAAGTGAACTCGATACTGGCTCGATGTGGATTGGCGATCGCGGTTTTATAAGTTACTAGGCAAAGGAAACATTATTTGGTATTCGCATCAAAAGACAGCTGCCTTAGAGGTTAGGTGTTTCATTGCCGATTTTCTTAGTACACTTGACAGTAAAGAAAAACTATAGGATATTTTTCCGGAGCCATGATATGTAATTTTCACGAGACCAAAAAGTCAATAAAAAAAACGATGATGTTTTAAGGAACTTAGAACATCGAAAGCCTTGCAACTCGCTGCAAGACTATATATACATGAAGATCAAAATGTTTGACTGTTGACCGTGATAGTAATGCTGGTTAATATTTACCATTTCATCATTATTTATAAGTTCCAGTTCTCGCTTAACTATTGAATCAGCTTAACTATATGGAAGTGAATTTGATCAGCCAGTCAAGGATAGTATGGCAATGTGCCGGGAATTCTCAAAAGGGGGCGAGATTTAAGTACGATTTGACTCATTAGTAAATCAACAAGTCATTAAGGCAATGGGGGCAATGTGACGCTTATTTGTTAACATAGCTCCAAATATCAACGCGCCCTCTTAAAACTCCTTTATAGCCAGTCTCATATTCGTTTCCTTGTAGATATGCATTAACGGAGCTAGAAAGAGACGAAGCTGTTCCCAGTCGGCGGTCAAAGATACATTCAACTATAGAAGGCATCAAGGAACCTGGTTGGAATTCGGTTATATGTGGGACTGTACGTATGAGGCTGTGTTCCAGCTTCCACACTCCCGGTACCACTGTATAAGTGATGATGATCTCTCGTGGGCGTATAGGGGTCTATGTACACCGTATGGTATGGGTTGTTCTCCAACCATAGTTTGCATATGTACATACTTATTACATACAGTGCGAAATGACTAACTCCATCTTAAATGACAGCTCATATGTGATATCTTTAACGCCTAAGCGTAAAATAGCTGAAATCGTGAGGGTACATAGGTATTATGTAGGCTACGTGGAAGAGGTTAAAAAAATATTCATAACTTTATGGTGTTTCTTTTCGACCATAGCTTAAATGAGCATTTCTTATATAGTACCACGAAGGAAACTGTATATGGCCTTATTCTATAAGATGTTTCTTATAATCACTTCAATACATAGGATGTATGTTAGGTACCTAAGGTACTCAGTACCTCATGTCCAGCTACTGTTGAATGCTTACATGCTACACCGTGCGGTTTTGAAGAGAACTGGAAAAAGCAATCGTCTTGATGTATTACCCATATGTAAGGCCCATCAGCCCTCGCTTAAATTATGCAACGTCATTCACGTCGCACATGTAAAGTACAATTATGTACTTACCGGACTTGATACATAGGTTAGGTAGGTTAGGTACCTTATGTATTATGATAATTCGTTGAGTTTAGTTTGCGGGCGGAAATACCATACCAAATAACAGTCAACGACAATTGCTACGATAAGAATGAGGAAGTTAAAGTAAACTATATGAATTTGACAAATTTCTAGGTTGGTTAGCATGGAACTTTAAGGACGGTAATTACTCTAACTCGCACCCGAAACACAGGTATGTCTCTTGGAACTTACAGCTACAACATCTACGTCTAGAATTTCGTGGCTTCTATACGTAAAGAAGTCATGATTTTTAATTATTAAAACATTGGTCTGGAGCACTATGCTGTATCTCATTACGATGGGTATTTGCATAGTCTATAGCATAGTCTATGATACTTTTACATCTTTATACGCGTGTGCCATCCATTTAATGCCTTTCTCTCCTCCGTGGCGCCGCTCGGATTATATCATCTACTCTTAGAAGTAGCTGGAAATATTATTAGCATTCAGGTCATACTGAAGACGACGACGTCTGAAAATTGACTTACCTCTGCGGCTTCACTTGCCGATGATACAACTGCTTTCTTCAACTTGTAACTCTCAATCACTCCAAGATCTCGCATATCTGCTATTCCACCGCCGGGCGTCGTTAGATCTAGGCCATACGTTGACATACCGTCATATATGGCTTTTCGTAATCTTGCGACAAGATCGCTGGAGTCTAGTCCTGCGTTGTCGGCGAGGATCGTGGGGAGCTGCCGTAAAGCTATGGCGAACGAAGATACAGCCATTTGCTTTTTACCCTCAACCCGGGTTGCGGCGCCTTCCACTGCCTTAGCCATAAGCATCTCGGCGCATCCACCGCCCAGCGTGGTCCTCGGCTCCCTGACAGTTTGAGAGAGGACGGCCAAAGCATCGTGCAGTGAGCGCTCTGCCTCATCTAGCAACTGTTCCGTAGCACCCCGAAGGACGATGGTGCAAGCTTGGCCTGCGGCTACACCAGAAAATTTTATAAGAGTGTCTTCTCCGATAATGATCTCCTCGATTAGATCACAGTGGCCTAGCTTCACCTGCTCCGGATGGTCGAATGTCGATGTGATCTCACCACCGGTGACTAGAGCTAAGCGTTCGATGCCGTCGAAGTCAGCGTGCTCGATGGACATAATACCGGCGTCGGTAAATAGCTGCTCTGGCCAGTTGTAGATCAACTGTCTATTGATGAAGCAGTTGATACCGTGTGCCTTGATCCTATCTACCTTCGCTTTCATCTTGTCCTTTTCTGCCTTCTCAAGCTCGGCTAGCTTGCCGGTTGAACTGACCTTCATACGCGCGCCGAATATTTTGACCTTGTCTGTGTCCATAGACGTATTGGCGACCAGTATCTTCGCATTCTCTAGCCGTTTAGGCTGATTTACACCGATCTTCTTGTCAAGGATGAACCCTTCGTCTAGGTACGAGTCGCTTAGTTTGCCTCCGGCCTTTTTGATGATCTGGATATGGCTGAGGTCTGAAGAACCCTTAAGCCGCAACACCGCTTCAACGGCTAGCTTGGAGAAGAGATCTCTATCTTGGGCGAGCACCTTGGAACTGAGGGTTGTTCGTGCAATAGCGAGTAGGTCCTTCTTGAAGGCCTCGGGGTTCTTGCTGTGGTCTACCGCAGAGCCCTCCAATGCCTGTAGAGCCGCCTGACTTGCTATACGGTAGCCTTCGATGATCGTCTGGGGGTGAATCTTTTTGTCGACAAGCTTCTCAGCCTCACGCAGAAGCTCGGCAGCCAACACGGCTACCGAGGTCGTGCCGTCACCGACTTCGTCGTCTTGGACTTTTGATATGTTGACGAGAACCTTTGCTGCTGCGTTGTCGAGCGCTATAGACTTTAGGATCGTGGCGCCATCATTGGTGACCATGATTTCGGCCGTGGATCTTAGCAAGGTTAGTCAAGGAAAATAGGTTGAAGGAGGGGAATAACTGTTTGACACGGACGTACGCTGATTGTAATATCTTGTCCATTCCCTTTGGACCCAGGGTACTCTTTACCAGGTCACCAACGGCAATGGCGCCGACGAAGGCGGCTAGACGAGCATTCTCTCCTTTCTCCTCAGTTGTACCCTCTTCGAAGATTTGGGTGGGACTAAAAGACGACTAGGAAAGAGACGTTGTGTTAGATGGAAAAGGACCAAAAATATACCAGTAGCAGTACATACCATCTTCAACACTGTAGAGAGAATAGTTATAAGTGATTCTATCAGGAGTTATTGTTGTGTTGTGTTGCGGTATGCTTTTCCGCAAAGCTCGAGATATCTTGTATCTTGTAAGTCTGTAAGTTTATAACCTTATGGCGGGCCTCGCAAGAGCTTCAGATGTAAATGCGGGCTGCACCTAGACTTTTTTCGCGGGACAGGTCGGAAAAAGGAGAAAATGTACGGCCGAAACCATAAATTCAACCATAAACTCAAGGACCTAACAACGCGCTAAAGGTGGGGTTGAATAGCAGCCTGTTGATAGCCTGTTGATAAAGCGATAAGATATAAGCGGATAACAAGAAGTTGGTGGGCAGAGTGGGGACACACACAATTGGGGCTTTTTTTTACCTTTGGAACGTTCAAAAAATCACCTGCAAAAAATATTGGCCGCGAAAACCTAAGAAAATACCTAATTCATTTTTCCCCTTTTCCCTTCCAATAAAATATCCCAAGCCGATACTCGAGTACCGCGCCGGATCCGATCACGACACCGCCTTTCATATTTACTAAGGGGTTAAAGGATCAATACTATAGTTCCTAGGTTTCCCATCTCTCAATCCTACTGCGATCCAGAATTTTCGCATTTTCCGTCTATCGTCATCTTCTTGACTTTGAAGGCGGGGCAGTTTTTCTTACCCAGCAACCCCACACGGGCCGACCAACACCTCTTCGAAGGTATACACACATACGTTGACTTAAAAACGTAATATACGACACCGATATGGCGCCGTCATTTGATCATCTGCGCGATGCAGACGTTGACGAGGATGATTATGATGAGGATGAGATCGACATCTCTGACCTGCGCGAGAAGTATGAGGTCCAACTAGAGCAAGGCTATGACACCTTCATTGTCATCGATGGTCTGCCGGAGGTCACCGAAGAGCAGAAGCCTAAGCTGGTAAAATTCTTATTGAAGAAGCTGAACCAGGTGGGAAAGACAAAAGAGGACCAGGTCTACATGCCGATGGAGGACGGCAAGTCTCTCAGGTACGCAACTATATTATCTCACATCACTCTTTACAAAACGCTTCGCGAAATAGACCGATAACTAGCAGCCGTTGGGTTGTTGCTGAGGATGAGAGCCCGAGTATTGACATGTTTGTAGATTTGCCTTTGTCGAATATTCTTCTGCCGCCGAAGCCGCCGCCGCCGTGAGGCAGCTCGATGAAGTCCCCCTCGACAAAAAGCACACACTGAGGGTCAACAAGATGTCTGACATTGATCGATATGGCCGCGAGGGACGAGTCGACGAGAATTACGTGCCTCCTAAGATCGAAGAGTTCACCGAGAAGGAGCATTTGCGATCATTCTTAGCCGACCCGAGCGGTCGCGGTCGCGACCAGTTTGCTATGTACCGAGGTGATGTTGTCGGTATATTCTGGAATAACGAGAAGGAACCCCCTGAGAACGTTGTCGACAGGCAGCACTGGACGGAGAGCTTCGTACAGTGGTCGCCCCTGGGAACGTTCTTGGTATCTGTTCACCAGCAGGGTGTACAACTGTGGGGTGGCGCTTCGTGGTCCCGGCAAAAGCGGTTTGCGCATCCCTTCGTCAACATGCTCGATTTCTCTCCAAACGAGAAATATATTGTCACGTGGTCGAATAGACCTATTTCGATACCCGATGAAGGTCATCCCCAACTATCATTAGATGAGGACGGCAAGAATTATGTCATCTGGGATGTTGAAACTTCTAAACCCCTTCGTTCCTTTGCTAATCTCGACATACCTACCACCAATGATCCTACGTCGGCAAAGCCACAACCTAAATTCCCCTGGCCAGCTTTCAAGTGGTCCGCCGACGACAAATACGTGGCACGAATGACCCAAGGCTCCTCGATCTCGGTGTACGAGCTGCCTCGCATGAATTTGTTGGACAAGACGACGATTAAGATTGAAGGTGTTATGGATTTTGAATGGGCCCCTGCCACGCCCCAGAGAGAGGGTGTGAAGCAGTATGAACAGCTATTTTGCTTCTGGACGCCGGAGATTGGTAGCAACCCTGCCAAGGTCGGACTGATGAGCGTACCTTCGAAGCAGATCGTTCGATCACTGAATCTTTTCAGCGTTACGGATGCTAAGCTCCACTGGCAATCGGATGCTACCTATCTCTCAGTGAAGGTTGACCGACATTCGAAATCCAAGAAGTCGCAGGCCACTACTCTAGAGATCTTCCGTGTCAAAGAAAAGGGTGTGCCAGTCGAAGTTGTCGACACAATCAAGGACACAGTTATTAACTTCGCCTGGGAGCCCAAGGGAGACCGCTTTGTTATCATCACGACGCCGGAGCCGGTTGGGCCAACCGCCGTAGCTCCTAAGACTTCGGTGGCATTTTTCTGTCCCGAGAAGGCTAAGGGATCGGCTATAGGCAACTTCAAGCATCTGCGGACTCTTGAGAAAAAGAATAGCAATGCAATTTATTGGTCTCCTAAGGGCCGCTTTGTAGTTGTCGCCACAGTCGCCAACCAGCAGAGTTCAGACCTTGAATTTTTTGACTTGGACTTTGAAGGCGAGAAGCCGGAAAGTGATAAAGATCTTACCGCCAACCTACAGCTCATGAATATGGCAGACCACTACGGTGTCACTGATATCCAATGGGACCCCTCAGGGCGCTTTGTAGCTACTTGGGCATCTGTTTGGAAACATACGGTACGTTTGATATATTCTCTTAAGAGGTTAATTTTGGTGCTAACAATTAGGGATAGATGGAGAACGGATACCACCTCTACGATTTTAAGGGCGAGCTACTACGGGAAGAACCTGTTGACAAGTTTCGCCAATGGTTATGGCGTCCCAGGCCGCCGACTCTACTTAGCAAGGACGAGCAGAAGCAAATCCGCAAGAATCTCCGGGAATACTCCAAGATCTTCGAGCAGGAAGATGCGGAACGCGGAGCGTCTGCTGACTTGGCGGTGGTGGAAGCCAGAAGACGCCTGCTTGACGAATGGCTTGGATGGCGTGCGTCGGTTGACGCTGAGATTGAAGAGGAGAGGGTTGCGCGAGGATTGCCGAAGCACCCAGTGGAAGCCGAAGCCAAGTCAGCGGAGAGCGGAGAGGAGCAGGTGATCGAGGAGATTGTGGAAGAGGTACTTGAAGAGAGCGAGGAGATTGTCCCCTAAATGGACTTGGGCCGTGGCGGGTGATAAAAAAGGACTGGCAATCAGCGGCGTTCTGTGTAAGGGCATATAATGAAACTTGCAGCTAGCATAAATACAGCGTCTATGATGACTGATACATTTAGAAGGGTTTGGTGAGTCTTGTTATTTTTGACTACTATATACCATTGCTACATATTTGTGAGGATCTAGGTTAGGGTACTTCCTAGGTATTTTGTATGTATCCAACCTGAGATGTACATATAAGCATTGACTACATGTATCTCTAACGCGGGGTATGTTGTGATCAACTGGGATGAGACGTTGATTTAGGAGATATGTATGATTGAAGCACGTGGGTTCTTATTCTCTCTTTTTGTTTTTGCGGAGTCTGCATACCACAGTATATCGGATGGTATGTTTGGATGCTTTGAGGATCCTACAATGACACGAGGCGCATGAGTTGAAACCCATCCATCAAGTTTTATGCTTTCTTCGGCCCGCGCGCAGGAGAAGATGGAAACATTTTCTATATTCGTTTCCGGAGGAATGCCCATAGTATGCCATTATGTAGGTACAAAAATACCTATAGTTACTATCTCTATTATTTTATTTTGTGATACGGCTTAACCATGCCATGCCATGTTTGCTTGTGGTCGGAGCTTTTAAAGGTAACGAATGAGGCTTAATTGTGTGGAATTGCGGAGATGAGCAGATGCGGTAGACCCGAAGTGATGAAACGCCAACAGGTTTTTTTTTTTTCAAGTGGCTTAGCTGGACCTGTACCTGCATGCGATAGCTTAAAGACATTATAGGTAAGACATAATATTGAACCTTTATCCATGTTTCTCTGTTTATGTACATTTACCCAGATGTAGATGCAAATGTTGTATAGCTGTGTACCTCGTAGGCTAAAATAAACGACAGACAAGATCAACTTTGTTATGTGAATAAAGCAATTAGTTGATGGTATATATCTATCGGAAAAGTAATAGTAATTGTGTTAAGTCTTCAATCTATTCTGGGTTATGTGCATCGTTGTTTTGAAGATACGGAACTAACCAAATCCATCCTAGGCTGTCTATTGCGGATGCGATATCAGGATATGTACCCAGGTAAGATGTAAGTAATCTAATAAGATCAAGAAATGCACTCCCATTGATAAATATACCCAGGTACGTAAAGGAGCGGTGTATATAAAGAATTATTAGGGGGTACACAGATGATACCTGCAAGTTTCAGAGACTTCCATTCATGATTAAACCAATATAATGCTAGCCTTTTCAACTAGCAGGTACAAGGCTTCTTAATACTAAAGTCTTATTGGTTGATCTCCTGATTACCGCTTATAAACGGACCCCTTTCTTTTCTCCTTATTCTCGCACCGGCAAGAATTTGTCCTTCGCGCCGGGGGGTTTATAAGGGGCAAGCTTTTAGTGGTGGAGAGGGGGGTTATCAAGTAGCAAATTAGAAGTGTTCGGCGCTTTCCTAGGCTCCCTCCTACATATGTACATAGCTAGCAGAAGGCGCCAAAGCTACTAGCTAAGGTTCCCAGGTTGCAATGCGTTATCTTTACTATCTCGCAACCACAGCATCATCATCAACTTTACAACCTTGAACTTTCCCTTTCTTCTTCCAAGTTCCAACTTTGTTACTTCTTTTCCTACCGCATTAGGAGGATCCGTTCATTATCCCCGAGGAAGCTACATCGTATTGTTCTTATTTAGTATATCGGAAGAGATTCCTTGATATTCGTCCACTCATTCAAACAATAGATTATTACACATTACGGAATACACGTATTCGCTCATTTCTATATATTCGATTTCATCATTCGTTTGTACCGCATCGCCTGCGAGCATCCCCAGCCAGACATCCCGTGTCAGCGTTGGCATAGTAGCACTATAGCCTCAACCCTTACTGAGCATATTAATTACACATACCTAAGGGCTTCTGCACATATAGACTTCTCAGCTGAATTGTAATGTTTCTCGGACAAGTCTAATTGACCAGCACTGGAACGTCGGAAGTACTATTGCACATATACTCCGGACATAATCATCTAACCTTTCTCTTTGGTGATTATATTCAACCATCATCACCAACGTTACCAACACACTCGTTTTCCTCGAATCGAAATATTAGGGTATTATATTCATTTATAAATACTCGTCTCCTATAACGGAGAGCAACATCAATAATCTATAAGTTTTTATAATCATCTGATATCCGACACACCCGTGCCGCCATCTAGGGGTTCATCCTTGCTAGGATCGTGAGACAATTGACAAGCCGCATCTCACTTCTACCACAACAGTGTCGCTGCAGATCAGGGGGCCTTCCCTTTACAGCGAATTTAGTTAACGAATTTGGGATTTTTCGAAACGCGATATACTATCATACTTCGTCCCTGCGCACGCCTTACGCGATTAAGGCAACTCCAGTTTCTGTATCTACTGTTACTATTCCTGTCTACCCTGCTGGCCTCTAATTCCTTCGTCTGGAGTCGCTATCTGGAAATCGGACGGACCTCAAGTAACAAATCGACAAAATACCGGATCATTCACCTTCAGTACCGAGGACAAACCGCTTCGGCTTCGTTTCTGTATCCAAACGCCGGTGACGCATACATAATAATCGCCTTGTGTACATACGCTTGGGCACTGATATAATCAATATTTTATTCGACTACCTCTTCCGCACCGTTTTATTCTGACCCGACTACTCGATGCTCGATCATGCGATCATGACCTACGGTGGAGGACACTTAGACGGGGTTGACCTCGCACTTCCGAGTCCTGGATCACCGCCCGGCATGACTTCGTCCGCTATTACTTCTAGGGCCTCGTCTGTACGATCATTCAACTCTGACGATGGCGAAGACGGCCTCGCTGCAAACGTTGCCAATTTCGAGGAGATTGGCCTTGATGACGACGTTACCTCAATTGACCATTCTCATTTCCGCGACACTCACGCCAAGTCGGCTCCGAATCCGAATCCCTATAGCATCTCATTTGCCTCTGACCTTCGTGCCTCTGTAAAGCATGTCGGTCCCAAGATCCATCCTCAGACTCGTGATCTAGCTCGCCCGCGACCACAATTGCGCGCCATTCAGTCCTTTTCAGGTTCTCGTCCCGGAGCCCCAACACTGACACCGCAGTTTCGCGATACTAGTACCCGTAATATCAGCACAGGCATTGGCCCCGAACCCCAAGCAGGCCCATTGCCGGCACGAGGTCTATTAGTACGATCTGCTTCCACCATGGCCATACCCCGTCGCCGACGAAGCCCTAGCTCCAATGTTTCAGCCCGGTCACTTAGCCCTGCAGAAAATAATCTAGTAGTGCCCAAGCTACGACGGAGTAGCTCGCAGACGGGCCGGACGCCAAAGTCGGCAATCGATTTAGAAAAAGAATGCGACGACGATGATGATGACATCCCCGACGATCTTATACTTGATAATGTCCCTTTATCGCCTCGTCCCCCCACCGAGCGGTCGGCTAGCCGTCCAGGGTCGACCTCAAACTCTCCTGAAAGACGAACAAAAGATCGGATTCGTAGCGTGGGCAATGGCACGCCGCCGGTTGCGGTTCATCAAGGTTCTCTAAAATCTCCGACTTGGAGGATGGATTCTTCGCCGTCCACGGATTCGCTACGATCGTCAGCGTCTTCGTCAGCCAAGGGTCGTGCCAAGAGCTGGACTGCTGCTATTTCGGAATTGAGCCCTGAAGCGAAGGCCCTCACCGAGAAATTGGAGGAGCACGCAGATGAACTTGATAAGCATGGCGTTTGTAATTCGACGTATGTCCGTCCGGCGCCAAAACCACGGGTGAAATCAGCGCTTGCTGAACTTCCTCCTCTCAGGCGGACTAATATTATGATTGACCCTCTACCCGTCTCTAAGGAGAAGGAGGCTGTTCTCTCCCGAACAAGACCGTCTTGGCTACCACCAAAGGATCCTGCAGAAGAGAAGAAGCACATCAGAGAATATCAGAGGATGATGGCAAATAGTATTGAGGCGGACAAGAAGCGGGAGGCCGCAAGGAAGGAGAAGGAACGTAACAAGGACAACATTGCCAAGGCACTCATGCAAGTGTGGGAAGACGACATCTTGAAAAGATGGGACGTTGCTATTCGCGAGCGACGAACTCGGGAGTTATGGTGGAAAGGCGTAGCACCTCGAAGCCGAGGTGCTGTGTGGTCTCGCGCTATAGGAAACCAGCTGGGTTTAACCGAAGCGTCGTTCCAAGCAGCCTTAGCAAGGGCGTGCGAGGTTGAGGAGCGCTCTACAAAAGGAAAGCCTGAAACTGAGGATGAGCGCAAGATGGGCTGGTTTGCGCAAATTCAAGCGGATGTGGAGGAGCAGACTTGGATTGACCTGAAGATCTTTCAAGCCGGTGCTCCTTTAAACAAGAGTCTCATCGACGTCCTTCGCGCGTATGCTATGTACCGGAGTGATATCGGCTACGTATCCGGTTGTAATGTGAGTCCTATGGTTTTACTTCCTTTCTTTTGGCCTTATTTTAAATATCTATGTACTAATATTGCTAATTAGACCATTGCGGCAATACTCTTGCTCAACCTTCCCACGCCCGCTGCTGCTTTTATTGCCCTAGCCAATGTTCTGAACCGTCCTCTTCCCTTCTCTTTTTACGCTTCAGATGTAGGAGCCAAGACGTCTACATTCAACTTGCTTCTTCAGACTCTAGCCACGAAATCACCGCGACTCCACGAACATCTTACCAACCAAGAGCTCCTCCTCGAGCCCGATAGTTATCTGGGTGACATATTTACATCTTGCTTTACACGCAGCTTTAGTCTTGACGAATGCACTCGGATATGGGACGTGTATGTCTTCGAAGGAGATGCCGTCCTAGTCCGTGCAGCCGTGGCCTTGCTGTTGGATACAGAGGCATCTCTGCTTAGTGCTAAAACTACTGCAGAAATCCAGAAGGTCTTTGAGACTAGAAGCAGACCGGACCAGCAGGAGAAAATTGATTCGTGGATGGCCAAGATTCGAGACGCCGGAAAGTCCTAAACGAATTTTCGAGCAGACGAGTGTCGCTGAATCATCCATTTATCTCCCTGTTCGCCTTAGCCTAGCCGTCACATTATTGTCTACATACCACAAGGCGTATTGATATTGAGCAAGTCTATTGTGTATATGTTGGACTTGTGAAGAGATGCCAGGATAGCTTTGCCGCGATCCATTTCTTATGTCTTATTAAGCCGCCCTCGGCGAAAAGGCGAGCATGGAGCACATAGGAGGCGTAAGAAAAACCTTAAAGGCAGCTCGATCTAGTGCAGATGGGCTCGCAGAAGAAACCTTTTGGAACGAATTAATCACGAAATGGGAAAGGAAATATAGACTCTTGAAGGCGATAAAATAGGCTTGGGAAGAGGGAGTTAATTGCTAGTTTTCCACCTACACCCGTCATACATATTTCTCTTCTTCCCTCTCCCCCTTTTTATCTTTATATTCTCAGATATAAATAGATAGCCTCGTTATTCTGTGCAGAGACGGGAGCTAGCCTAATTAATTTGATGAACAATTTATTTATCTATATTCCTGCAAGGCTTTCTAGCCTAGGGTACTTCTGATTTAAATACTTTATGCAAAATATCTTCTGTCTTGATCAACATGTGCTAATTTGTCAATACCGTGAAAATTGCATATAGAGATGGAAATATTCTTAGCTATTAATCGTGCGATATCATATATTAGGTTAGGTACGTATACATCCCTCTAGCCATCCGTCCTTATTGTGGTATCAAGCGTAAAATCATACATTAAAGAAGCAGCAAGCAGTCAACACTAGCAGCCCAGTCCATCCGTTTATGTGTACAGTCTCCGTATTATTATCCATAGCCAACTTTTCTTTTCCTGTTACTTCCCCTATTCGCTCAGAGAGCAAATCCAAGATCCTCCCTGCGATCATCTAACAGCCGTCCCCATTCGAGCAGTAACCGAAACATGTAAACCTGCATGTCTTCCTTTCGAAGGGACTGGGCGCTCCAGTCCCGCCCTGCCTGCGCGATTCCGTCGGCGTCAGCTAGACCAGGACCGCCTAAATAGCTTACGGCGCCCCAGAGATCACCAAGTCGCACGTCTAATGGTACGAAGTGTCTCCAAGCGTGGACACGTTCCTCCCACCAAGTGCGGAAGAGAGCTGCACGATACGGCAGAGAAGCAGATTTGAGGAACGGCAGGAAGCGGCCACTGAAGGCAGCACCGTCGAGGTCGATAAGATGGCGGTGACGCCAGTGCTCCTGGAAATCGAGAGAGGGTGGTGGTTCAGCTGTGGATGAGCCGTAGAAGGTGGTATGCTCAGCATTACAGTCGCGCTCGTCGCAGCGATTAAAATTTCCAACGAATGAGACATTGACGGAAAGGTGATTATCTACGGCGGGTGTGCCTTGAGAGGAAGAGGGGGATGATGAGGTGGTAGAGCGTGGGGTGGAAAGGATACGTCTTGGGGTGTGAATTAGGTTAAAGAGAGACTTCGCCTGGATGGACATTTTTGCTTTAGTAGCCATTTGGACGAACCTGGCCCGCAAAAACGTCTGCCAGGCACCATGCATGGCAAAGCCGTCAGATGAGGCGCCACGCCAGTACACGCTGTTCAGCTTCTGATTCCAGGGAATGCTTCTATTGTTCTCGATCTCGACCTTCTCGCCGAAGTTCCAAGGACTCGGGTATAATATATCGGCAAAGTTATATAACCGGCTCTGGCTGAAGACGGGGAATAGCGTATGCGAAGGTGCCATAGCAGACGGCGATAGTAGAATACCATGCAGATACGCAAGGTCGGGCTGATGACACAAGTCACCAGACAACGTCCAATTGGATACGAAGCCATGCTTCATATGCGGAGCAGAGCAGCCTAGACATTCTGCTTTTCTATTCCACCAACGATACTTATTCACCGGAGAGTCTGCAGGACAAGTTGGTGAAATCCATTCGTAAAAGATCTGTCGTTTGGATCTGTCCAAGAACCACGGTGATTTCTCCTCCCAGATGCTCTCGTCTGCCTGTAAGTAATCTTTGGGCCAGGGCGGTTCCTGGTCCTTGCTGAATGTCAATAACTTCTGTTTTGCGTTCAACCTCGCCCTGGCCTTAACTCCTTCTTCTATATATGCATTCATGCGGTCGAGGGGGACGGATATGCGGCACTCGTCATCGAGATTGAAGGCAAGCTGCATGTTTGGGAGCCATTGTGCAAAGGGTTCGAGCATGTCCTTAGTAACATCCATCATCCATCGATGCGTACCGCGGATGTGCGGCGATATATCAATTTTGCCGCCCTCAATGATGATGCCTCCCATAGATAGTGACGGGTGCTCAAGCAGGTGAGTTGTCCTCTGACGAAGGATAGATGGTACAGTGCCCCAAAAGGGGAGGAGGTCAGCGTGAATTTGGTCAAATGTATCGATTACTGGAGATTTGACCGAAGTTGCAAATATATACCACTTGTCGAAGCCAGGAGGAGGTGGCATACCATAGCGCTCTCTATACTCCGAGACGGCCTCTTTTAGCGACTTGCTCTTCCTAGCCCCAGCTATCCATACATCCGACTCGCTTCTGGCATTGGCAATGATAGGGCCAGGGGTAGGTCGGAACCCACCGGGGCTCATGAAAACTGTTTGGCAAAAGACAAGAGAAAAGGCTAAGAGGGCGTAGAGGCCATATCGATTCCTAGATATAACACCCTCACCGGTTGACTGTAGCTGAAAATTGATGGCTTTGCTAAACCGAAACAAAATGCCTGCCCCGAGAAACAGCCAAATGCCCGTTACAAGACCCCACCAATTGGACCAGACCTTGATCATGGTTCCATCCATAATCCTCCATTGTATGTACACGAATATACCCGTAGTTGTGAGTAGTAGGCTCACTAGTGTAGTATGGAAGTAGCCAAGGAGGTAGACGGCCGAGATTATAGCTATTGCCACAGCTATACTATCAATAATCAGGTCACCAACAGCGAGCCAAGTGAGAAATACATTCCATTGAAAATTGGCTCGGTCAATTGATGACCAAACGGCCAAGAATGTCAAGACGGCCGCCGAACTTAGAAACAAAGTGCCTAGAAAATGCCACGTCTTTGGTTGTGCCTCGTTGCTTTGCCGGAGTTTCCTAACCTGAGATATGAATATAGCGTCCAAGGCCAATGTTACTAGCTGAGCAAGAGGTATGAAGCGCTCGATGTGCGTTCCGCCAGGACATATTGCGCCAGTCGTGCGCTCGGAAAGGAGGAGGGTATCAGTAGCAGCCAAGCCCCAGAACAGCGCAACCAAGCCATGTTTTATGAAGGCCGAAGCGCCCGAATCTCCCGCTTGCGTATCGTATCCATATCTCGGTAGATGTAAAGGTCGCAGCTCGAGGACGTCGTATATTATGAGGATGAAGGGGAGAAACGACTGTCAATAGGGATCAGTGATTGATTCTAGATATTTTATTGCGGGGTAGGATTGGGCGCAAACCTGAAGTCCGTCCCACGAACAGTGGATGGTACGAATAGTCCGCCAATACAAGATAGTGCGGGCAACGAGACAGAATAGCAATAGCGCGAAAGATGTCGAGAGGAAGCGAAGCCGAAGCGAGGACTTCAGTATCCCGGCGAAGGTTTTAGATAAGGCATTTCCGTCGGCCAGCGGTGCATAACTCGACTCGAAGCGCAATATATATCTAGCATAGGCGGAGAGGGCGAGACCAGAGAACAAGAAGGTCAAGATGGAAAAGTGGAAAGGTCGCTCTAGTTTGTATATAAGTCAACATTATGCGCGTTTATACAAGATGTAAGCTTGAGGTGGTGTCCTTAAGCCAAGATAAGAAGAGAGGCGGGCCGTACCGAAGGCTGCGCTTTTATAATATCGGGACCAGACAAAGATGGTACTTAAACTGAGAATACTAGGTACTGGGAGTCAATTATTTGGGTTTGGATTAATTGGAATTATACAAGAGAAATGGGACGAGAAACATAGGTAGGTAGCGCCACACGTACCAGATAGCTAAGACAACAACTTTCCGAGATGGCGATGCCATCTTGAATAAGACCAAGACGAATAGCCCAGGTGGGTGCTTAGTCTACATATGCGCTCTCACTCGACTTGTCGAAGAAAAGGCACACGACTTCAATTCATGGTGATGAGTTACAACTATAAGATGTATAAGATGAGACGATGAGGTAATCGATGCCAAGGGTATTGGCACTACGAGTAAAAGAGGCCCATTCCGTTTCTAGTCTCTGCAGGTATCGCCGAAGAGGTGACAGGAACGAGATGACGAGTTGACCAAGAATCGAGAGCTGTTTGTTTGGCTGTATGTACGAAAACATGTACGAAAACAGTAGTAATGCTACTGTATGGTTCAGTATGTATAATTCAGGCTCAAGCGCCTTGGCAAGATGGATCGTGAGAACTTCTTCACTGAGGAGGCGGAAATTCGGCACAGACAACTTTTCGCAAGTCGACGCACAAATAGCATTAAACGTAAGGCTGGGAAATCCCAAGTAATTGGATTACGGGGGGTCAGGATTGTTGTGGGATGCGACTCTGAGTTGCGCTCTTCCAAGATTCTTGGCTCAGCAAAACCCATGCAAAAAGAAAGAAAAAAAAGTATTGATATCATAATTATAAGTCGTTATTATTAGAAGTTGGGGGGGGCTATTCCTTCCCATGTCTTACCCTTGCTACGTGTAACTTCCACCACAGTTAAATTTATGTGACCGACTTGACCGGCAAAACGGCTGACGCCAGCTGACATCCATGGCCATATGCATATGTACCTAGGTACCTAACCTAACTTTACAGATTTACCTCCTTCAAGCGCAAATACATCATTACTAAATGTGCATGTAATTAAACTTCAAAATATAATATTCCATCTTGCATAAAAATATATTTAATATAACTAATACATATTTTTTTTTCTCTCGTCTCTTTCGATGTGCCCCCTGAAATACGCAATTCCCGCGAACCACGGAAGACGAAATAGAAGAGAGCCAAGAATTAATCACCTTTTCTAGATGATACCCTCGTAGAAGGTGACCTGGAACCTTCCGTTGTTCGAATTGATTACAGGGTCGATGTCGTCTTCCAAATACACATTCCACGGATCTAGAAACTGCATCTCCCATTCCCTCGTCGCGTTGTTCGCGTCTTGCCCAATGATCTTGTCGAGACACCACGAACCCGTCGCCTTCTGCGCTAACACGTTCGCTGGCGCATCGGATAGAAGGTCCATCGTGAACCCCTTCGCCCTACTAAGCCCGTCGAGAGACTGAATCACCGCGGCCCCATCATTGCCTTGAAGCAGTGAGATGTCTCCCCATGCCGTCCCAGATCCGTTGGCGTGCCAGTTAATCTCGGCCCATGTCCCTAACATATGTTTTTTCCTATCAAAATTCATCATGTCTCCTCGCACAATACGCCCGCGAAAATTTGGACATACGGCAACGAATACAGACGACCAAGGTGGGATCTAGAAGAAAGTACACGATCCTTATCAGTGCCCTGCCCCCTTTAGGATATTTAAAGGTATAGCTATCTCAAGGGAGCTTACGACTGTGTACTTATAAGGAACAAAGTCGTGGTTGCTCTCGTATAAGAAGAACATGGTCCCGTTAGTAGCGCCGTGGCTTTTCGGGTCATGGTTCCATATAAGCACGCCGGGACCACCGAAGTCTTTGTCGCCCGCTAAATTTGCACGGGTATTGTTAGTAAGTAGTAAGAAGCTCGATTAGAACATAGACGAAACCCAAAACTATATTGGCTCGATTCCGAACCGTGATACACTTACTGGTGTAGATAGGCGGCTGGAATTCATCATGACAGAATATCTGAGGATCGTTAATCCCTCTGCTGATATTATACCAGCGGTGGCGACTGAAATTTCGAAAGGGAACACGATGATGTCTCGCGTTGACGCCTTCGGGGACCGAGATACCAACCGGAAACGTATGGGATGAAGGAATGATCATGGTAATCAGTGTAGGAAAGAAGATTGCCGTATTCAGGAGGCGCATTTTTGCTTCAGCTATGATGTAGGTATGAGGTGGGTGATGTTGTATCTTAGGTGGAAAATCGACGTTGATACTGCGAAAGGAAGAAGAAGCCGCAGGAGACAAGATCGGACGATAGCTGAACTAACACAACTTTGATTAGGAGATCTGCATCAACTAACGAAGAAGATACTTGTGATTTTACATGCGTTGCTTCCTTGGAAGAGGAGCAGCAGCTTCTCTAAGAAACATATATCATCGTTAGTACTTAGTTATCTGCAGACATCCTAACATGTGCGCTAGACGTCCAACTCTCCCGATGCTAGATCATCATCGTGAATTAGCATCACGACTATGAAGGACTCTTGAGAAAGACCATTATCATATAACAGCACATTCTATAAATACTACCGCAGTTATTGAATGGGTATCCTAATACAGTTGACTACTCCTCTTGATCTCTACCGCACGCCTTCTTGTCTTAGAAGTGTAATTCCCAGTCTTGTTCTTCATCCCCTCGATAGCAGCGTAATAGGCCGGATGCTTCGTGAAGTCGTCAAACCAAAGTAGTGCCGCTCCTTCGCCCGGAAATACAGCTGGAACCCAACTGAAAGGGTCGTAGAAGTCCCAGATCGTTACGCCTACGCATGCCTTAACTTGCACGCACGCACTAACAGACTATTAAGTAACACAGTTAGCAGAAGCACGGCATAGAGAAGGAAAAATAGTGCACATACGTTCTTGTAAACCTCGGCTTGCCACCCCATGCTGGTCTCATTTGCCGGTGTCTCAACTCTAACATCTAGTTCCGTTAGAGCCACCTCCACGCCGAGAGCGCCGTACGATTCCATGACGGCGACCTGCTGGTCAAACGTCGGTGCTCTACTTGCCACAAGATGAGCTTGCATTCCGACCCCGTCGATTCTAATCCCTGCCTCTTGTAGCAACTTGACAATTCGGATAGCCCCCTCGCTCTTAGCTCCCGGTGACTCCACGTTATAGTCGTTATAATACAGTTTTGCATCTGGATCAATCTTCGCCGCTGTACTGAATGCCAACTTGATAAATTCCTCGCCGAGGACGTTATAGAATACGGATTCGCGGTATGTTCCGTCCTCGTTGAGTGCTTCGTTAACCACATCCCACGCATAACACTGACCTTTATAGTGACCCATGACCTGTGTGATATGCTCGATGATTATCGAGCGCAGTTCCTCAGGGGTCCACTTTCCTTCCTCAACCCACGGCGCGAGTTGGCTATGCCAGACTAAAGTGTGGCACCGCAACAACTGGCCGCTCTCCGCAGCGATCGAGGCTACGATATCACCCTCCGTAAAATTGAATACTCCTCTCTCTGGTTCCGTGAACAGCCACTAGAATGTGTTAGTGGCGAAATAGTCACTGGTGCCTTACGGAGGGTAGCCGATTCGTGGTATAACATACCTTCTGGCCGTTTGTCGGCGTAGTTTGGCCAAACTCTTTCGTGTCTCTTATGATAGCATCATACTGCGGGTATGTTGCCTCTAGGCCAGCGCGCTCTCTCTGGCCAGGAGAATCAGTCGCTGCCCCGAAGTACTTTAGACCGGTTTTCTTCGCATACAAATCTAGCTGTGCCGCAACGAGGGGTAACGAAGTCGCCGCCAGGAGAGATGTAGTAGAGAACCGCATCTTGAACTAGGCACCAAGCGAGACTCGGATTATATCAAAACTCACTCGATAAAGCAACAAGGAGGCCTAGTTAGTTCTTAATGAACTACAGAAACTCGACTATGGCAGGCCAACTCATGTTACTATATACTGCCTAAGAGGCCTTGTAATTGGAAATTCGTAATACTTTTACCCTGTCATAGAGAGCTGTTGGCCAGACGGCCAAGAATCCCATGATGGAGATATCCCCGGTCCAAGAACCTGGATAGAGAAGACATTGAAACTTTCCACCAATCTCTTTAACATGCGCCCTGGGGCTAAGACTACGATAGTATCATAGCATTTAAGTGTGGACCCGCGGTCCTGGTATCCAGACATGCTCTGCATGGTCAAGACATTGCTGGAATCTGGTTAACGACGCGGTTAAATTCATAGATCGTTAGTAGCGTATGGAGTTGTCCACATTGCGGAGAAGATGTGGTTCTCCCCGAATAACTCCAATTTAACCGGCTGGGGTTCACGTTGGCTTGAGTTAGTACGCCTTGGCTATCTTCAAAGCTTTACTTAACGAAAGCATCACCTATCCCCTAATATACCGTGATAGTAATATTTCTATGTTAACTTACCTAAAATGATGTGTTCAGGGGTTTGGACTATACCCATAAGACCAATTTAACCCCGCCATCATGATGCATCATATTTCGTGAGATGTCAACCATTAACTTATATGGATTATTTTCATTTTAATAGTTCAATCGACATTCATAAAGATACTTATCAACCTTTGTTCTACATCTCATCAACTTCATCCCCTAGGTGAAAGATATAAGTCTCCTTAACAATATGGCAGATCGGGATTTGAGCAGCTCCCAGCAATAAAGCTCTGCTTCGTCTTCTCGATATCCGCTTCAAATATCATGGCTGACGGGTCAATGATACGATCGATTATATGTACCAAACCCTGGTTTACATGATTAGTCTTGCTTTACATCTCCAGTCACGTCGTAATCCACCTTATATACTTACATTCGTCACGGGGATATCTGCTTCAGTCACAGTAGCTGCTCGATTGAGCACGAGCTTCTTGTCGACGACTTGTGCCCCGACATAGAGAAACGTTCCTGTCTGTACTCGAGTGTAGTTCGTGGAAAATGAAGAAACCCTCAGTTGTGAGTTCGGGATATAGTGATGCTGTACTAAGTTCCCAAGCCACCATTTCCCCTTCGGCGTTCCCGCAAAGGTATTGAAATATTCCCCGGTGTGGTTGAATGCAGTATCTGAAGGGGCGAAGAATGTAAAGTTCCATGTAGGTATGGTGTTGAAAGCTTGCGTGAAGCCTGTTATTAGGTTAGAATGATATGGCCTTGCATTGGGACCTTGGAAATAGTAGATTTACCTGCACTTTCCGAGAGAATTCGTGTAAGGATGCTGAGATCGCTCCTCGAATTCACATACTCAAGCAAGGAAATAGAGTCGGATGACCTTGGTGGCTCATATAAGTTTTCGGGTGTAGCTCTATAAGATAGGGGAAGCCTGTCATTGCTTTCAGCAAACACTAGACAGTTAAGCAATAAATATACGAAGATCCTAAGACTGTACATTGCTCATTTGTGACCGAAGTTGACTCCGTATTAGAACTAATAATTATTAGGCGCTGCTCTGAGAATAAATCACCTATAAAGTAGTCTACGAGGATATGTAAATTGAAGCTCTTCTCTTCTAGTGCGTGTGCAATTCAAGCGCGCATATACGCCAAGATAACTGACGAAGTTGTATCGGGGTAACTTTCGGCGTTTCGTCCGGGGAACTGGATACCTGTAAGTGCCCGTAGTGGGGGGTATGTATCCATCTTAAGAACCGCTGGCATTGACCTGGATACCCAAACATAATAACTTATAACTAAGTGTAAGGAAAATGAGTCTAGTTATTTGGTAATATTGAGGCTGTATGGGCTGGGTGTAAATTATCTATTCATCACAGCTATTCCGACCCATGTATTCATTGACTTTGACTAATTACATCGAGAAGTCATTAACATGATCCCTTTACTTTTCCAGGTCTTATTTATTGCTGGCGTAGAAGCTGCGTCGAAGCCACAAATGGGTAGGTAGATTGCTGTTGACTCGATACTTTACGACTGGCCGTTCTAACATTGAAAACAGGATGGAACTCTTGGAATACATTCAAGGCCAAGATAAACGAAAGCCTAATCAAAGATACCGCAGCCGCCCTGGTTAAGCTAGGTCTAGCAGACGCCGGGTATGAATATGTAATGATAGATGCCGGTTGGCAAGCACACACAAGGGCAGAAAATGGACAACAGCAGGCTAATGTGTCAACATTTCCTTCTGGAATCAAAGGTGTAGCTGATCATGTCCATGATCTTGGGTTAAAACTTGGTATATATAGGTTTGTTTTTTAACGAAGATCTGTTTCCACAAGCACGCACCCACACAACTAACGAATCGCGTTTCGTATTTAGTGATTCCGGTATATACGATTGCGACTTTCACCCGGGTAGCTGGGGTTATGAGGAGCTGGATGCGTATACTTATGCGTCCTGGGGAGTTGATTATCTGAAATATGATAATTGCGGTGGCTTTCAAGCTGGTACCATCTCCAGTCAAGAACGGTTCCAGAAAATGGGCCAGGCATTAAAAGAATCCGGAAGGGAGATCTTTTATGCTTTGTGCCAATGGGGTCATCAATTCCCTTGGTATTGGGCTGATCAGATTGCCGATTCTTACCGTATGTCAGGAGATATATACGCATCATTTGCATCCGACAAGTCTGGCGTATGTCAGACGGCATACTGCCTGAACACAGGTTATGCAGGTGTAAGTGTTCTAACGATGATTCGTAAGATGAGAGAGATCTCTCCTTTCCAGAAGCCAGGATCTTGGGGTAAGCTAGAAATAATAGAGAATACAGAGCCTTTGGGAAGAGTTGCATAGCTAACGCATGCTAATAGCTGATATGGACATGCTGGAAATCGGCACGAACACTATGAACGAATTTGAAGAGCAAACTCACTTTTCATTTTGGGCTGCTCTCAAGTCACCATTGATTATCGGTGCTGATATTACTAACATATCGGAATCATCGCTTGCGATCTTGTTGAATAAGGAGGTCATCGCTATATCTCAAGATGAATTGGGCGTTGCCGCCGCTTACATCCCTGACCAATCCACCGAGGGGTCAATACAGGTGTGGGGAGGTCCACTGAGCCACCAATATGTTGTGCTCGTTCTCAACTATGGTAAAGAGACGGCAAACGTTGACTTGAAGCTGCAAAACCTACCAGGGCTGGACCAATTATGTAACAGCACCGATGTTAAAATCAGAGATGTATGGGGCGGAAAAGACTTGGGAAAATTCACGGAAGATATCCATCTGGAAGATGTCGCCGTACATCAGACGAAAGTTTTACTCATATCTTGCTAAGAGGTAGAAGCATATTTACTGAATCGGTGAACAGGCCGGGCATGGGACAACTATAAAATTCAATGACGGCCATTGGGCTCAATATTAATCTGTAAATATCCTCAATCCTACCTGTTCCTCTAATCGAATCGCACTGCCCGGGGCGCACGGTCGCTTCTCATGCGATGACCATCTGCTGCCTCTTTAGATAGTATGATCGCTATCATTTAAGATGTCCTTACGGCTTGGATATGACCACTATGTGAAGTCAATGATTGTTACTTTCGATAATAATGACGGGATTAATAATAAAAGGGATCTTTATGCCACTTACTATGAGATCACCCCACATTGGATGGTCGGTTGAGAGCTTCCCATTGCCTATAGTACTGTTAGCAAGAGTTGAGCTTGTTAAAGGGTTTGGTACCAACTGGTCTGTTCACCACCAGCTGCATCGTGAGCTGACTTGGCTTCTGATACATATGGTGCGTCGAGGCCTCTCTTGATGACATATTGATAATAAAATATCTATATCATCAGCATTTCAAATGATAGAGAACCAGGGCCGTGAGAGAATCTTACATCCCATACATGTGGTCCGCTGGCAGCGCCGCGACTAATGTTTGAAGGCATACTCCAAGGGCCGTTGACTAGAATTGCTTCGCACCGGTAAAACTTTGGGTCGTATGGCACCTCATAACCTAGATTATATTTGGCAGTATATTCGGCTCCCTTGAGGATTAAGTTATCGTGAAGCGAGTAGATATCATATCCCTGGGACTGAACTACTCGAGAGGCTTCGGCAGCCCAACCGAGCGCTGTCGTAGCATGGCCTTGATCCCTGCCGGTTTCGGCGCCCTGTCCAGTCTCTGTGTCCCAATTTCCGAGAGCACCGGCACATAAATCATTTTGATATGCATTGAGCGCATAGTTATACTGGAAGGCAAGAGGGAAGGTTAATTGCGATGAATAAATGAGGTGCCATGTTTTACTCACCATTGCGACGTCGTCAAGGTATACCGCAAACGACAAGAGAGCCTTAATGCTAGCTAGCCCATAGTTAGCCTGGCCGATTATGATAGACTGTCTTGCAAATAGCCAGTAGAGCTGATTAGAGAATCCTGACGTCCCCGAAGGTTTGGCACCCTCCTCAACCCATCCACCTTCCCATCTCATAATCTCTGCGGCGTTAACAAATAGGTCACCGTCTAAAGCTACAAGGAGGGATGTATCAGTGCCAATCACGTCTGTTAGATTTGACCCCCAAGCATCCAAGATTATGGTAGCTGTATCCCAATGGAGCTGATCTCTGGTAATATACCACATGATGGAATTCTGCCAAGCTGCTCGGGCATCGTTCGAGAATGTTGTATAATTGCTACATGTCCCTCTACAAATAACTTGTTTGGGTCCTTGCATACTATACTTGATATCTTATCAGATGAAGGAATGAAGTAGTGAGGCCATAGTTGGAATTCTTACATCAGAAGCGGAGTATAGATCTTCACGAAACTTTATAAAGGCCGACGCATAGGGTTCTTCACCCCCCTCCACTCCCATCCTCATACGTTCTAAGTCATCGTGCGTATGCCATATACCAGGGTGGACGAATTGGCCGATTCGAGTTTTCATTCCTGGAAACGCGGGAACCGTCGGAATAATTCCATTCAGAATAGGCAAACCATTCAACCCCCCTATGGCTATAACATTTTGGGAAAATATAATAATGAAGATAGTAGCAACGAGGTTAGCCATGATTTCTGATCTAGTTTCTGATCATGCGAGGTTGCGTCTCATCTATTGGTATGTAGTATCGCGAATCGCGAATCATTCGTCTTGTTAAAAGCAAGATGAGACCTTCCTGCTAGCATATTCCATACTAAGGGGTGATCCCATTCCCCTTTTCCATTAGCAACGAACCCCATGGGGGATTCTCCGGGTTCTCCGCATATCTTCCCGGACCCACAATATTTATATATATAAAAAGGGGCTGGAGATTCGGGCTAAGTACCGGACTATGAGCCGGCAATAATTTAAAATCTTGATTGGATTCTGATCACCATAATACTGTAAGTTCGCGAATTTGAGCGGTTTGTCCACCCAGACCCTTTGTCATGTGATACTCATCGCGCATACTAGGACATGTCGGGACTTATTGCTGGTAACAGACTGGTGGTCTCATTGAGCGGTGGAATTTAACAATTAACTTGGATAACTTGGACTGTGCTGTTATCGATCGTCGAGACTATTGTGGTGCGCCAACAACATATTGCACCTTTTGCCTAAAGTAAGAAAGACCCGTGTTTAAGCTTGGAAGACAAAATGGCCACATCAGAAATTTCAATCGTTGAGAAGGACCAAGACGGGGCCGGCTCTGCCCATGATGGTAGACCATTAGTTAGCCCCCTAACATCTCTCCAAAGATAATCGCTTCTAATACCTTATATGATAGAAACGTAGCCAAAGCGCCCGTGATACTGACGAGGAAGCTCATAATTATCATGACCTGAGGACACCCCCGGGGCTCAGAGCTGTTGCACTGACCAACTCGGTGGGTCGACATTTCGAGAATTTATACTCTGAAAATGTGACCGCAAAGATTTGGGGGGTGGCCCAAAAAGCATTTTCTAGAGTAAGTCAAATATAACGACTTTGATCCAACTGCTGACACCTAATACAGCCAACACCACCAACTCTGTTCCCTGAATACACCAAACCCGGAGGTGTAGGGTACGTTTACCGCGAGTTAGAGTTCTGGACCTCTGGATTCTTCCCTGGATGCTTGTATCTCCTTCTTGAGCGGCAGCGGAAATATGCACAGGAGGCCCGCCATATAGGGCAATCAACTACTGAATATGAGTTGCATGAGCTCCAGCTGCAGTAAGTATCGATTAGATGTTTTGAGGTGGATGAAATATTGATCGAAGTAGGTTCGCATGCAAATGGTGGACAGCTAGCCTTTACCGAAATGCGAAATTGAAGACCACGCACGATCTTGGATTCATGATTGCGCCATGGGCTCGGGCAGCTTGGGAGCTCGAGAATGACGTGAAGGGTTTCAATACTGTGATTACAGCGGCAGAAAGTTTGATGACTCGTTACAGTCCAGCAGTAGGATGTATTAGATCCTGGGATACGTGTATCACCAAGAGATATTCGTTTCAGGATCCGGATAAAGACTTCTTGGTTATAGTAGTAAGTGATAGAACTCCCCTAACCTTGGAAATAGAGACTGGGATCGTGGTTGACTGGAACTTCACTATAGGATAACTTGATGAATCTTGATATGCTATTTTGGGCTGCCGCAAAGTCGCAAAACAATTCCATGTACGCCGCGGCGCTCAGCCATGCCAAAATTAGCCAGCATTGCCATGTTCGAGCCGATTATTCAACTGCGCACGTAGTCGTCTTCGACCCTGGAAATGGTGCTATCAAGTCGGTTTTGACAAATCAAGGGTACGCCGATGACTCCTGTTGGTCTCGCGGTCAGGCTTGGGCAATTACCGGATTCACGCAGATATACCATTGGACTAAAGACTACACATTTCTCGAAACATCCAAGGCTTGCGCAGATTACTTCGTAGAGCACTTACCTGAAACTGGTATTCCACCATGGGATTTCCAAGCGCCTAGAGACAAGCAGCAACCTACGGATACTAGCGCAGCCATGATAGCTAGCTATGGAATGCTGCTGATTCATGAAATAGAAACAGCTGCTGGAAGGTCGAGTGCATATCTCCAGCACGCTCTCAGAATCATAGAGGCCGTTTGCGCTTCTCATGTTAACCATCCGGCTAAATTTGTTATGGAAGAGGAGTTTGTCGAGACACCTGAGCTAGGAAGTTTAGGCGACCAGAAAACGATGGCAGTAGACATGGGAAAGGGTGCCGAAACAATATTGAATGGTGCCACGATTAATAACTACGAATTTGCTCCGCGCAGATGGGCCAACCACGGATTGGTGTATGCGGATTATTTTTTTCTGCTTGTGGGAAATAAACTACTTGAGATGGGCCTTGGAGAGAGTCTTGCTATAACTGAAGGGTTCGGAGTCACGCAGGGAAGATGATGTTCGTCTGTCGGCTACGTATGGAGTAGGCTGGAGTCATCCCATTATACGATGTTCTCTTAGTCTGCCACGATTAAATTTAGATAGGTTTACCCAGCATTCTAGTGTATTGCTTCCATGGCTTACACCTTATGGTGGCTCGCCATTGTTCATAGGCTCTGAAAACATGCTTATCCTCTGTGTAGGTAGGAAGGGATGCTGTAAGTATGCATTCAGGTCGTCGAAGTTAAGCATATCTGAGCTTCCGAAAGACATGCTTCCAGAACTTTCAGGATTGTCGACTTGTAAGAGAGGGCCATGCGTCTGCAGTGACGCTAGCGCTGGTGAGTTTACTTCTGCATGGATCCTGCTCGAATGGTCTGACTGGAACGCAAGCGGTAGAGGGGGAAAGGCCAATGTGATACTGTCAGGGGAAGCATCGTTGTTTGATCCGACAGTGTTTGCTTGTGTGTTTCGGGTAGCCATAGGACTAGGTATACTGTAAAGATCGGAGCGGCAATTTAGTAGTTGGCCGGTATGAATCGGCACTGATACCGGCGCGTCTTGTTCTCGTTGAAGAACGTCATCCTCTGAGTAAGCGGGTTGCCTGATATCGATGGCGCCGGGACCCTGTCGTTGGGCGTGTCTAAGACGCATTGCAAATTTGGACGCCAGATTCTCTACGAAACGCGGACCTTCTTGGGGGCGCCACGGGTTCCAACGATTAGACATCTCTAATAGGCTTTCAACAAGAGATTCGAACTCTTTTAGCAACGGTACTTGGTAATAGGACGCATGGGCCAAAAGCATACGGCCGCAGATAAATAGACAAAAGGCAAATTGCGGGTTTGTTGGTGATGTAGAACCTTGTAAAAACTTCTCCGTTATAATGGCAACTTCTGTAGCTGCGGCTAGGCAGGTTTCGGAACTTGAAGCACTGGGTAGCCGGATACGGCTATTTTGCCAATCGGGTAAAGGGTACGCGATGCTTTGATGAAGCAAGACTACCGCGGTATTGTGCGTAACGTGAGCCAAGGTCAAATTTGGGTCCATGATTCCGTCCTGGTTTAGAACGCAGGCTTCTCGCCACTGCTCAGGCAGATATAGCTTCCACCTATCAAATGGTATTAGTTAACGCGGTAAAGGATGAACACCGGTAAGGACCGAAAAACATACTGGATCAAGCGTAAATCTAACTGTTTAAACTTCATCAGCCATACCTGCACCTCGTGAATCATAGAGATGTCGATAACCTGTTGTAGGAAGAACGATGCCACAAGGTTAAGGCTTTCCGTCGCTTCGATGCAGTAAGCAAATCCCCCGAGGGACTCTTGAGATTCTTCACCCATTCTTGCCGATGGAAGCACACCGTTAACGGAACCAGTCTGATCAGCAACGCCGAAGTAGGGTGTAGGGGTCTCCAGAGGCTCCCCTGCTTCCCATAGGGCCCCCTCGCAAGGTAAACGCATTCTCACATCCGCGCTTGTTAGTGATAAGTTCCAACCGGTCGCAATGCTGCAAAACCGATCCAATTGAAAGATATTCCAAAAGACCCGACGCCTCTCTTCTCTCTCGCTCCAATTACGCGCCGGCGGAAGAAAAGCCATCCTCTTAATCATGGCTTTAGCAGATGTAGCGATAGGCTGATCGTTTTCCTCGACACTGAGTTGTAATTGTTCGACAGTCCGAGTCATAGAGCCGACTATAGACCAAGCCGAAGGTCCGCGACCACTCCCAAGAGTATCGAATGCACATATGATTAGAGCTTGCAAATTCTCTACCGAGAAAGACTCCATGCTTCGAAGCAGAACAGTTTGTCTACTTCTCTTAGCATTTCGTAGTTTCTCCTCGACGTTTCCAAGGCGGGCGTCATCTGAGAATCTAGAGCATAGCGAGACGATGGCATGAAATATAGTTGTTAGATGTGCTCGTTTTTGGTCTTCAGCCATACGCTGACGGAATAGCCGGACGTGGAGCATAGGGATCCATGGATGAATCTTGGCGAAGTATATTTCAACTAATGCGTCAACTAAGTCCCTTGGAGGTAAATCTATCTCATCATACTCGATAGGTTTAACCTTATCGTGGCCTGCTATGGTTCTCTGGGTTAATCGACTTCCCCATTGGTTAGGAGCCTCTAATATAGGATTGTGTTGTGATGAATCGGTTGATGCTATATGCGTTAAATTCGACTTTACTTGTGCGATGTGATCCTTCAATGAAGAAGCAGGATCGCGAAGGCTATTCGAAGGAGAATCGATATGCCCACCAGATGTATTTGCTAGGCCACCCCATAGTTGCTGCCATAACACACTCTGTCCAAGAAACATTTGCTCGAGACTCGCTATTAAGAATTAGCCCAGAAGGGCGTTGGTTGTATGAAATAAGATGATAAAGGGTTCGGAAAAGGAGTGACGGGCAAGTAACGCACCAACTCTCTGACTTAAATTTTCTATGGCACCGGTTCTCATTCCAGGTTTAGACCGTGTGTCGTCGTAGACACATTGGATTTCTATGTTCGCGTTAATATTTACATACTTAGATAGGTGAGATGACGCGCTTGAAACCGTGCACGCGGGTGGCCCTACGATACTTGATACAAACCGAACACGGTTGTTGCCGGGAACATTTTGCCTTCTTTTTCCGGCAGGATTGACAGCTTCATGATTCATTAGAACATATTCAGATGGAAAGTTACACGTTATCGATGTAATGCTTACGCCGGACCCTCGACATCGTCGTCGCGTGAGATACGTCTCCTCTTGGAACGTTGCTGTGCCTCACCATCAGCAGAAAGACTCGCGTCCTCATCGTCCATGTCGAATATTTTATCGGGAAACTACTCGTACACTCAAAAAGAACCAAATTACATTCAAAGTATGCTCATCATATTACTAGGTAGATATACGTAGGGTACTCGACACGAAGATCAAAGACGACAAGAAAATCGAATTGGTTAAAGGTAAGATGAGAGGTCAAGGATTAGTGGAACCACCCCTTTTAATTTACATTGCTGTTTAAAGGGTTATTAATATATGAATAAACGAATAGATGTTTTTTGTATAACTCCATATTAAGCTTCAAACGAGGATATCATATCTCCTACTTGAATACATGACTCGTTTAAAGTCGCCGTCTTCGTATGGCGCGTCTTCGTGTATTAAAAGTTCAATTATGATTCGCAAACAGTATTTAAGAAACATACCTCCTATGAGTGGCTTTCATGTTTTCCGTTTTATACCCTTGTAAGATAACAGATCTCCATATATTAAAAACATCCACCTTCCCTGACGCGCAACGATACTATATACTGGCCAGCTTCTTATAAATCCCCACGGGGTTGATCGTGGAGAAATCTATATTCAGGATGCCCATACCTTAACCTATCGAGACTTGAAATCGTAAATCAAATCGCCAAGACACTAGCATGCCATGATGGAAAATTTAGTTGGCTCGGTATTATGTAGGTCCAAACTGTTGGGACGTCGTATGCTTGCACTCTCGTGGTACGCGGAGGCCGGGCTATCTCCCGGGCTTCTGTCCGCCACCTACCCAGGTATCGTCTACCAACACGACGAAATTTGTTGCGGCTCGTTACCACGACGAATTAGATCCCCCATGATTCTCCAGTCTTATCAGCCCATTCTCCGCTTTAGCTTACCCCGGATTTTGAACATATGTTCTAGGGTCAAGGGGTACATAATTGCCCACTGCTGATTACTCCTTGTCTCTAGGTGTTCCCCAACGCAGTCTCCATTCAATGTAATACACTGGCGGCTCTTCACCACCATTGAGACGAAATGGCGAAACCTGAAACGCAGGGCAACATGAGCGCCATCACTTCCGTAGAGGATGACCGCGTACTAAGTCATGCAGATAGAGACAGCGAGGTCAGAACTTCCTCTTAGACCCGCATGTTATTAAAGCTCACAGTCAAAAGATTGAAGCCTATGCCGGCATAACTGGGACACATATCGATGATGAAACCAACAAGAAGCTGTTTTGGACGGTCAATAAGCGAATCTTAGCTTGCATGCTGGGAACGTACTTTTGCCAATCTTTGGATAAAGGAACTCTAGGCTTTGCGTCTGTGATGAACATCAAGGTAGATGCTAATCTGCAAGGCCAAGATTATAGGTAAGAACCAACCTATATAACTCTGGTCGTGCTGATGCGCTTACAATATCAATTCCTCTTAAGTTGGTTAGGGACAATTTTGTATATGGGTGTTCTCGTCGGCGAGTACCCTACAAATCTGCTTCTTCAAAGACTTCCCGTCTCAAAATATCTCTCTGCCAATGTATTTTGTTGGGGTGTTGTTATCGCTTGCTCGGCTGCAACCCATAACTTCGGGTCTCTGATGGCCGTCCGCTTCCTTCTTGGCATCTTCGAGTCATGCGTACAACCAGCATTTATTATCATGTAAGTCAGGAACTATGACTAGAGTACGATGTGAGACTAGGATTAACTGTATGATAGGACTTCTATGTGGGTAAGATATAATTATGTCAATGATCTGTTGCTCTTAGCTAAGGGGCCATATGCAGTATACTAAACAGGAACAATCTATCCTAACCTCACTCTGGTGTATGTAACATTGAAAGTTCTCTTCCCCTTTTAATGCCTAGGACACTTATTTTAGTGAGAATCTACTAACTTGCTCCGTAGACTGTATGACCGGGGTCCAGCTAATGGTAACATTACTCAAATTCTAGGTGAAGTCTGACTCTTAATTCTAACTGAGAATAGGTTGGGGGTTTAATTGCCTATGGCGCAAGTCACTTCCAAGGCCACTCACTCAAGTCTTGGCAGCTGCTCTTCCTCGTACTAGGATGTGCCACTTGTGTCTGGGCTGTCTTCATCGGCTGGTGGTTGCCGGATAGTCCCATGAAGGCCAAGTGCTTCAACGAAGACCAGAAGCGACTGATGATCGAGCGCGTACGTGCCAACGAAACGGGTATCCAAAACAAAACGTATAAGCGGTACCAGATGCTCGAGACGATAAAGGATCCGGTGATCTGGTGCTATGTTATGCTCCAGGTTACTTCTACCCTCGTTATCGGCGGCCTTGGAGTGTTTAGCAATCTGATAATCTCAGCGTTTGGATTCTCATATCTTCAAACGCAGCTTCTTAACATTGCCCAAGGGGCTGTTACCATCATAGTCATGGTAGGAGGGGCTTGGCTAGTGACTTGGACGAACCAGACGGCTATCATCATGCATGTCAGTACACATACCCCTTTTTTCTCTGTTTACCTAATAGGAAGATCATCGAGCTAACCTACTCAGCTTTGGACACTGTAAGTCAATATCTACATGGAACTTTGAAGATGCGCTAATAACTCCACAGTCCGGCTATTATCGGTACTGCCATCATATATTCGATTCCTCCTAGCCCTACAAATAAAGTCGGGCTCTTGATCGCTTTTTACTGCACACAGTTCTACCTTGCCGAAGGTAATATGATATTTTCTTTGATCTCCCGGAATGTAGGGGGGCAAACGAAAAAATCCACCACTCTAGCCATGACCTTCATCGGTTGGGCCGCCGGTAACATGGCAGCTCCCCAGGTTAGTATTGTTTAAGTACTTGACTCATTGAGCGACTGGGCCTAACAATTTTCACGCAGATTTTCCAAGAAACAGATGCGCCTCGGTATCAAAAAGGGTTCACTGCCCACTTTTGTCTTTATGTGTTATTTAACCTGTTTTTAATTCTCCTCCGAGTGTTGCTTGTCCGGAGGAACATATCTAAGCGCCGCGATGCTTCTACGATAGTCACTGGGGAACGGGAAGTCATCTCGACTAATAACGAAAAGATCGAGCACGCCCATGCATTCGATGACTTGACAGATAAAGAAAATCCCGATTTTAGATACGAACTATAGGTGATATATGTTTTAGTTCGGCGGGACGCTATCGGAATGATAATGAATGTAGGTAGTTATCGGCATTTACTTCTATAACTTCTAAACATAATATCTACCTAGGTACCTTAGGTAGTCTACTCAAGTCTAAGTCAGGAACATGGCCCATTAGGGCTATTTTATTAATCGATATCTCTACCAAGCTCTCATTATCACTATCATTTTTATTTATATGGCAATGTCGATCATCGGTTGATTCTTAATCAGGAGGTATCCAAGTATTGGCGAGCTTGATGAAATTTGGACTATTCCAGTAAACCACCCATAATAGAATCATTAATTTTCACGTTGACCATATGTTTTACTTTCCTCGTGTGCTACTTCAAGCCTGTCGTTAAGCTTTTGAAGTTTGGCTTGAGACATAGATTGGGTTTGGGGAATGTCGAAAGTGGGTGTTGCCGCTTGTTCTCCAAGATCTTGCTCTACAAGATCTTCCTGCTGCGGTTCTTGAAGGCGCTGGTGCTGATCCAGACGATCTTGTCGTACTGGATGGTGTTGCATTCGTTGAAGATGGTCTAACCATGAGCGGTGGGTTTCAAGGCCCGCAGATATGAGCTCGAACTGCTGCGCTAGGTACAAGTGGAACTCCAGCCACTGAGGAGACCGTGGATCTACGGAAGAGACTGTGAAAGCAAGTTGTCCATGCAGTTCCTGGAGACGCACTGCCAGATCATTTGACCATTGCCCGATCATGAGGAGCTGAGACGATGGATCCATTTGCTCCTCTACATAGAAGCGAGAAGATCCATAAAGCGGTTGCTGTTGATATTGGCTAACTAATGGGAAAGCCATCGTGATTGCTTGACTATTTTCAGAATATCTTGTACGTACGAGTTAAATATAATTTACCGGGGTTCGTTTGGCTTAAGCACTTTATAAAAAAAATGTCTGGGAGACTCTGGAAGTTTATGACTACCTAAGGTAGTGAATATCATGCAAGAAGATTCTAATACATATTCAGGAAACTAGCTGTGTTTATTAAGAGCTTTGGAGATATCACGAACAAGGCGTCTGTAATCCAACAAACGTATTTTCTACAACTTGCGTCGAGAATAGTAACAGAAAATTGTTCATTGTGTTACATCATTCACCCAAGTTCTTTCAATATTTGCGCAACAATGAAATTGTCTTATATTTTTATACTAATAATGCACTTGTTGGGCTTTATAATGTAAAGGTACTTACTTTGTAATTAATCAATGCACCGGCTTGACAAGGAGAAGTAATATACGAAGTTGAGTAATAGTATCCTGCCTTAAAATATTGAAATGCTTACTTAGGTAGGTATCTTCTTAGGGTATTTATATTTGGGCTTCATTATGATATTTTCTCGTAGAATAAAGAGCTTATGACTTACTTACCTTTATTATCGATGTATCTTAAGAATGAACTCTTGTACGTAGGTACTAACATAGTTTCATGTAAACAAGCTTAGTTAATAACAACGCATTAAACCTCCTATCACGTATAGACACAAGGTAGGTAAATTCTCAAGAATTACGTCCTATGCTTTAAATACCTAGCTTAAGAGTTAGTCACTAATGAATCGTATAGCTTCTCTTCACGCTATAGGTAAAATATAAACATAGCTCAATACGTACTAATTTTAACACCTAGATACTATCGAATTTCTCAGATTCATTGGGTAATAATACTTAAATGCAAGTACATATGCAATGCCGCCATCTCCAGTTAAAGACTTATGTAGACCAAAGGTGTACGCCAAAGCAAGCCATCTAATCGGATACCATGTATGCGCCGCCCCTCTTAACGCCTGCTATTTAATGCCTTTGCCATATCAGTTCGATCACCTGATCGAGTTCATCCTCATCCTTAGAAGTATCCGCAGTCCGTACGTACAACTGCCTTAGATCCCCACTCTCCGTAAACTCGGCTCCTCTCAGCTTATAACTCTTCTTCTGATCCGCGGGGTAGGGTTGTCTGAGCGGACCAAGGCTAAAGTCGAAGTCTTTGCTGTCAGCTTTACCCCACGTACCCTCCATCAATTGTAGGTTGACCGACTCCACACCGTCTGGGTATTTCACAATAGAAAATCCATTTGAGAACACCGTATCATTACCGAACCGCCAGCGCTGCAAGAAACAATCTCCACAAAGCTTGGCAGCTTTTGCCATCTTCTCGACAGGTGCCTTGTACCAACTTTTCCAATGATGAAGATTTAAAGGCTTTAATCCAGCTTCGAAAAATCCGCTAGCATCGTCCCTTAAATCCTGCTGGTACAGACCTGGGAGAATAGTGAGCTTGGCTTTGGAGTTAGAGTATACACAGTCCCGAAGGATGGTATCTCCCTCTTTGGTAGTTGCGTCGTGGATACATTGGAGAGCTTGGTCACTAAGCTTTTTGGCTAGCGGAGCTGATAGGAACGCACCAGCGCCGCCGAATGCCATGAAACCAAAGCTCCGGACAGACTGGAAGTCTTCTGAGAGAGCGCCGACGTAAGCATCGGTCTTGTGATCCAACATGGCGAGACTGTCCGAGAGAGGTTTCAAATTCGGGAAGAAAGTATCGTCGTCTATGAGACCATACCACTGGGTATCGGGACTATCTTGTTGGAGCATATTGATTAGGACAGCGAAATGATTCTGTGATGTCGAAAAGTCCCCACTAATAGGCTTCACCAAAGTCACGTCGATATCAGCTATTTCAAAGCTGCGTTGTAGTCGCTTTATGTCTTCAGGCGATTTGTCTTTGGCATCTGTGACGACAGCGACGAGCTTGGCACCAGTGCCAGAAATCCAATGAGTGAAAGGGACGATCGAGTCATTGAGACGTTTATAATCTGTTGCTACACCGAACATAAGGTGAGAAAGCTTAGTCCTCGGATAAGGCTTCGGGACAACTAATTTGATTGACTCAGACTGAGGAATTATGACATCTCCGCATTGATACAGATCGATCTCTATCTCGCCTTTAACGAGAGGCTCTGTGATGTTGGCAATATCGTCTCTGTTGGCGGTATCGGAAAATATGGGCTTGATATAGCGGCGGACGTAGTGCACGCGCTCGGTTAATCCTAGATCGATGCTAGAGCGTACCAGAAACTCCAACTCTTTAGAACAGAGTTTAGGGTCAGGAAGCGGTTGTTGATGCTCCTCTTCTCCAGATTTATCCCCTGCGGCAGTATCATCACTGAGGATAGTAGGCTGAGCTGACGGTTGAGATAGTGCATTGTCAGTTTTTAGCTTCCAGGCTGGCTCTTCATCTTTACTGGTAGGACTCGGCACGGGAGTAATGATAGTTGGGGTTAAGATGTCAGTAATAATGTCTGCTGCCACTACATGGTTGACATCTGACTGCCCCTCTGGGATTATCGCATCTTGAATCGGAAGAATTTGAGGATCCGCGGCTGGATATGAGGGTGGAACACGATGATACAGATGAAGGGTCGTATATGTGACGAGGAACAGGAGCACCGTGCTGGCGAGGACAAAGACTCGGGGGACCTTGGATGGAAACATGGGAGAGCCCTTTTTCTCTTTATCACCGTAGGGGCAGCATAGCTGAGAAAAGTAGGAAGAAGAGGAAGAGAACTAGGAGTTCTTCAGGATTCTAACGAGGAGAAAAGGTAATAGAAGAAAGGATAGTTGAATATTCTACTAAGGGCGGGAAAGATTGTATGTAAAGAACCGAAGCCTAGAGCAAGATACCGTACGACGAAACAAGCCAAAAGAAGAGAGGAATATGGACATAAGGTAAGAGGGGAATACAAATACGTATGTACGTATGTACGTATGTGTGGTACGAATCAAAAGAGGCAAGAATCTACTTTTAGGTGATAAGAGGTAGGAATTGTGGAATCTTTGAGGGATGGAGAAATGTGAGTCGAGGAGATAAAGTAGGCCAAAAACTACATAGTACGACGACGATCTTGGACGAATGCATTCCTTCTTGTAGCCATAAGGTTCTTTCTTTCCCTTAGTTATGGTTAACTAACATAAAATACATCACAACTAGATCATTCAAAGAAATATCAACCTGACTTAACATCCTAGCTCACATATATAGATACGTGTATAAGTTGTCGGTGCATCTTCAACGGCTGAAAAAGAAAAAAGAAGATGACGCAGTTGTGCAGTAAAATCAACTTGAAAACAATATGAACTGATTGTTTCGTTTTCCTTTGGCTTAGTACCCGCGGGTCCGGTCCTCATTTTCAAGCCGCCTAGAGTTCATTTTATCCAATAGGCGGTCATCAAAGACGCCAATGCGGATCGGCGCTGTGCATGGCGCAGAAATTTAAGCCGTTCCACCCGATATCTCCACTAAGTTTCCCTGGGCTTTCGCTAAGAATCGCTAAGAATCTAATAAGATCTAATAAGACTGCGGCGTCATCCCTGTCCCCTGTTCCGCTTAACTAGTGGGCGCAAAACTGCAAAACCGCAAAATAAGATAGATTCGTTGGTCGGGTGTGCCGACTAAGTAATTCTTATCACTCTCTTATCATTCCTATGCCGTCCGATATCCTATCAATGGTACACAGATCGACATATGCATGATATAGGTATGCACCGAAGCGTATGACTGTCGACAATGTGCCTGCTTACCTATACATTAATGGACAAGCTTAGAGAAACATGTATAACTGACACGTAATGAGGGAAGAGCATTCAAAGGTACAAAACCGAATTACGAATGTGGGACGCGTCATTTAAACATACGATATCTTTACGATAACTATAACAAGTTCTAACTATGAAATTTTTTTAATAGTTACTATTTAATTCAGAACGTGGTCCATCTAAATCTACGTGCTTAATAGTCGCAATAGTGCCTCGTGTAAAACGACGGCGCATCGAATAGAACACGAATAGAATGCGAATCATTTTACGAATCACGACATGTTCCCACCCTTTATAGGCTATCCCAAGTTAGCGTCTCTTATGCCTGCACACCACATGCAGGTACCTTGGCAGCTTCAATAACACCAACTTTGAAGCTTGAATAGCACTAAAGCTGCTAGGGTACATCGTACATCGTACCGTACAGTTAGGGTACAACAGCAGGCAGAACGGTTGAATTCGAAGATCGACAACATAAATTGATTTGATTGCGGAGGGTAGAAAATATGAATGAATAAAAGTCTCGAAAGAGTAAATGGTAATTGTTCTTGAATATTTATTTGGTAATACCTTGTTGCGTATCCCCTTGGCTGGCATAAGACAGCAACTCCATAACTTTCAGTATTAGTACATAAAGCTTAACGTCATTCATTAACATAATAGGAAAAGGCCTTATGATTAGTCTCTAAAACCGCAACCTACAAATATTATTGGTCGATTCAGTACCGCACGAACGTTTCTTTCTTTTCTAGCCAATCCGTATGTATTGATACTGAAAATTATGGAGTTGCTGTCTTATGCCAGCCAAGGGGATAGATGAGAGCATGTTACAACGGTATTTCCATGCCGTTTATCTTTTGGTTATATCCATGTCTACATTGAATGAAAGTTCATTTTTTGACAGATTGATAGCTTGAAGCTCTTGTCTCAAGTACTATACACGATACGCTAGGAATTTAAGACTTTTACAAGAGAGTTGACTTGTACTAAAGTGAGTGCTATTGTTAACTACACTTTAAACCCCCACGGCTAACAGAAACCACATCATTAATCCTCTATCAATTCAAATTCAGATGACAACTTACATAAGAACTGAAAGTAGCATATTTCATATTTTCGCATACAACTATCAGAGCGGATCAATAGACCTTTCGACCATCCGGTGGGAGCTGGCATGGAAACCCCCCAAACGCATACTGAGCCCCCATTCCTGCGGTGTAAACATAAAGTTTCGTAAAAACAGCAGTCTATGTTCTCTCAACTGCGGCAGAACCCGTGTCTAAATCCTTTTCCAGTTCGACAAAATACAAGTCTGTTAAATCCAAGCCAGCGAACCGCTCACGTGGAAATTGCGTCAACTCCCCCGTCTTCCGATAGCCGCAGCGTATGTACCACAAGATGAGCTCGTGGCGGGAAGAAAGGGCGTCAAGTCCTATTTTGTTAACGCCCCATCTACGTTGACAGTAGTCCTCGGCATAAGCTAGGACCTTGCGCCCAATGCCTCCCCGGTGGTGATGCCGGTCAACTGCAAGCATGTATATGCGAGCAAGGTCGGCGTTGCGTTTAGAAACTCCCACGGAGCCCTTTAAGGCGCCGTTTTCGTCAGTAGCTATGAGGTATGCGCTGTCCGGCTTGGTGATGTTGCTCATGATCTCCTCGACTTTGACGCTGAACTGCGACGCAAGAGTCATGTCCCCTGTCCAGTTTTCCCTACTGTCCTCAGCGCGAAATGCAGACTGTACCAATTGCTGGATCTGCGACGCATCGTCCGGAGTCGCGACGCGGAATTGAAGATCACCATTCGCCATCATAATGTTGTAAATTGAAATCCAATCTTACAAGTTGTTTGCAGTGTAATAAATATCTTATGTTGTCGATGTTGAGTACGAAAGATTACGTTCATTAGAAACCTAGATGACTACTTGGATAACTAGGTACCTACTTAATATATTTGAAGATTTTATATATAGCTCGCGATTCCGGAGTCCTTAAAGGGGTATATACAGAGGTCATGTAATGAGAAGGGCTTGGTAGGAAGGGCGTATAAGGAGATGGCGGGCACAGGAGAGGAAGGTGTAGGATTTTATGAGGGGTATTATTAGATCTAGATCTAATGGCCCTCAGCTTTCAGCCCCAACATCAATATCACGCACTCAACTTTTTTACATGAAGGGCGTAACGAAAGACATAGCGGTGAGGATGTTAATGATGATATGATAAGAATCATGTTATCGTCAGTTGATACTTGATCTTTCTAAGATATGTATCTTGAAATCGTATGCGATTACGGTCTGGCTAAGGTCATCGGCTCGGAAGTATCGCGAAGCTTCATAAGTCTAGACATATGGAATTGGTTCACTACCTAACAATCGTACTACTAATCCGAAAGAAATCATCTCTCCTCTCGCATAGAAAGAATAGTAGTAACCCTCCAGCTACCTATAGCTCAATAATTTCTTCTATTTACGAGATCAGGCCTTAGCCCTATCCATTGTCGTTGTACGATAACTATCCCACGACACCACAATCTCTTCCCTTGACCTCATAAAATTGATTAGAATTGGCGAGGTATTATAATAGTAACTCCAAAACGTCGCATTCTCTCCCAAAGAGTAGAACTCTTCTCGTGTTCGATGCTGAAATTCATAGCAGTATGATGACCTGACTCGATTGGTGGGTATTGAGTAGAAAGGAGACGGTAAAAACGCCTAGAAGCCGTAAAGTGCTAAGATGGGGTCCGATTTCCCTTTATGCCCGTGAAAGTGGCGATAATGATTGATAATGGCCTGCTTCGTGTTAAAGGTTGAGCTACAGCCATATTCCGAGCAAGGAATCAGTTCGGATAAGGGGGCTCGCAGACGTGCGAAGCTTGAGGAAGGGTCGTGAAAATGATTGTAATGGGTAGCAACATTCTGTTTATAGTAACGATAGTGTCGTTTGCATTCGATGCAGAAGAAGCGCTCCTCTCCATTTATAGTGATAACGCGCCCCCTTACGCCAGAAAACATGAATGTATCTGCGTCCTCTGAGCCAGAGGGCTTCGTACTCTCATCTTCTGATGTTGAACTGGCAGGTGAAGTCTTGGGACTGATAGGGGGGTGTGAACTGTAGCTGACCGCATGACTAGAGGTAATGGAGCTGGGACTGGTAGTTGATTCAGAATCAAGTCTGGGTGTGATCGGGCTGGGGATGGCAGCTTTAGAGGTGCTAGCCGCATTGCTGATGATATTATGTCAGTATTTTGGAAAGAAAATGATTTTGTTAGAAAATATGTCGCATAGTACCACAAGGGGTAAAATAAGAAGCTTTGGGTAAAATGGTACTAAGACGAGCTTATTTGAAGAAGCACTGGCTGAAATACAAGCGACCTTAGTCGAAGATAGTAGTGAATTGCATCTAGCCTATCTCTTAGAAGAGAAAGTACCTAGCTATATATTGGTATTAGAACCGAAATATACTTACTTCATAGCAGCTCGTCTGCGAAGAACACTGGGTGCCTCTGGCAAAGGCGTCCGGCCATTTTTCGGACGGGGATGGGTAGTAGCTGTAAGCTGAGATGACTTTGCGTTGTCTTTGCTACCCATCTTGGGTAGTTATCTGAAAGGCTATCGAGGGGGCGTGAAATATTTGGTTGTGTTGTGGAGTTGGAATCTTGGAAATTCCTATTGTAATGGGAGGCGGGCGTTGTATCCAGCTCATGGCAGTAACGGTAGTAACTATGGTCCCACTGAACTGCACACGCGCTGTCAAGTTGCTTCGGTAATTAATTGCCAGGCGGCGTAGTGTTGTCGTTGTTGTAGAAATCACGCACAAAAAAAAAAAAAACCAAAAAAACCTTAGAGTGTTTGTATTTTATTTTAAGACAAGATGCTAAATTTTCTTCTTCAATATTCCGTTACTTCATACTTCGTTAAGCAGTAACTACAGACATCTCTGTTCATTCGTGTAAAGCTCTTGTCATAAATTGATAAATTGTTATTATACATGTGATGATTATATATGAAGCTACGGGATGTTTTGTATAAAAGCAATGGAAATAACCAGACGTATAACAACAATTAAACTTCACAGTTAAATTATTGATATAGACTTAAACGCCGGGTTGCTCCTAGTTTTAATTTATATTTACCTGTCAGATAGAAGTTATGAAAACTAGCATGTATAGAGAAGCGACGCCAACGTTGCGTAGGACAATGGTACCCACATATGCTGAGTTACGGGTCGACCACGCCCCAGGTACCTGACCTAGACAATCACCTTGTTATCAAAGGTAAAAGTCATTTTCTTCTTTTTTCTTTCGTACCTGGTTTCCCCTTTATACCCTCGGATCTTGATGTCTGTGAAGCGTCCAATAAAGGTCACTAGCTTTCGCTGGGGAAAAGGGCGTAAGAACGATGATCTTCCACATAAACTTCTATTGCACATAACATCTAACATTAAAAGAGCATATATGCCAAAGGTGGGAACAATGAACGCCTAGTACGTAGTTATAAAAGATGATGGGAATGGTTTCTAAAGGCTACTGTAGACGAGGTACTTACTTATGACCGACCCTTTGCGCAAAAATGCCTTTTTTATGGTTATATTATCAAGATCGTGGGAATTTAAAACCCAGTCGGAATTCGATGTGATATTAATAGCATCAACCTTTTACCTATGTAGTACCGTATTACCGGGTCTCCGAGTACCTAAGCCCGAGCGTAAACCGGAGGAGGCTTATGCATGGGTCCGATCAGGAGAATCTTGATCGAAATCATGACGTCAGAGCTTTTTCACAGGGTTCGATCAGTCCGGAATAGGTCAACACAATATTGATTCTTGGGTTTATGATAATAATTTAATTTTAAACAATATTTACGTGTAAGGAAATATCTCGTTCAAGGAACACTCAAGAAATTTGATTTAATTAAAAAAACGGCGACCCGACTCGTTCTTTTCCGCAGTCTCAAGCCGATCCTGTCGCTGAGTAATCGACCACGCACCGAGACGGTATAAGACCCGTCTGGTCGGTTTTGAGTGATTGCCGCTCAATCTTCTCATCATACTCAAGAAAAGGATTTTTAAAAAAAAAATGAGTTCAAGTATAACTCCCGCCTTTGGCTCGGGTGACTATGTCAAATTCTTCGGTGCTGGAGCCCTTGCGGCAACCCTCACTCATGGGGTAAGCACCTATCTAGGTATCTACAAACTATGATCATATCTAACGAGAGTCAAGGCCGCAACCCCCATTGATGTAGTAAAAACTAGAATTCAGGTGGACGATTCGATGAAAGGACTTAACATGGTTAGGGCAGCCCGGCAAATAGTAGCCAAAGAGGGCGCTTCGGCTCTGCTGACAGGCTTTGGGCCTACTGCCGTCGGCTATCTAGTTCAGGGCGGTGGCAAGTTTGCAGGATACGAATTCTTCAAGAAGAAGTTTATCGACATGACAGGTTCCCAGGAGACAGCGATAAAACGGCGTACTGCCATTTATCTAGGTGCCAGCGCGACAGCAGAGTTCTTCGCCGACATTGCACTATGTCCTCTCGAGGCTACGCGTATTCGCCTCGTCTCTCAACGTGGTTTTGCATCTGGGCTTACGTCTGGCTTCATGCGCCTAGCTAGAGAAGAAGGTATACGTGGATTCTACTCCGGCTTTATACCGCTGCTGTTTAAGCAGGTGCCGTACGCCGTGGGTCAGTTTTCCGTACATGAGGCGGCAGTCGAGGTCATATACCGCACCATGGGACCCGAGCGGAAAGCTAAAATGACTCAATTGCAATCCACAGGGGTAGAACTAAGCTCCGGTGTTGTGGCTGGTGTTGCAGCCGCCGTTCTCTCCCATCCGGCCGATACGCTGCTGTCAGCTATTAACAAGGGCGCGGGCGATCCGAAACAGGGTGTGACGAGTAGAATGTTCACACTCGCAAGGGAGTTCGGTCCTAAGAGATTATTACTCTCAGGCTTGGGTCCTCGAATAGTAATGACGTGCGGTCTGGTTTCTGGTCAATTCGTTATTTACGCTCAATGCAAGACCCTCGTAGGCGCACCGCCAGGTATAGAGATACACAAGGAAGAGTCGCTGAGTTAAAGCCGATGTAGATATGATAGATCCCGATGTAGATGTGATAGATCTAGATTTACCTTAATATAGTAATATGTAGCCGTTAGTATCTGGGAGATTCGAGTACGACTTGAGGGGGGTTAGTCCTTTATCTAATGCGCCCTTGAATCGGCCAGATGCCCATAGTCTTCCAGAATCCCCTACCATCCAGTGTTCTCCCTAGCGAAGACGTATCTCTTGGGAGTGCCCTGACACCCTCTTCTAGCATGAGCTCGCCAACCCAATTCAGCAGCTCCGTCTGCCTCTCGATCTTAGCGGTCGATGTGTCAACTTGACCGACGCCACCCTCGGCGCTCCGCAAAGTTTGGATTGCCCAGTCCTGTACTAGATCCCACCAGTCGTAGACATGCATATCACACAAGAGCCACCGTTTCTTGGGGGTAAAATTTCGATGTAGGGCGACAACGGCTCTGGCAACGTCCTCGCCATGAATGACATGCAGTGCACCTTTCCCCTTTAGATCCGACTTTGATTTTACCACGTGGTCTACCCAATCTCGTGGCTGGCGGGTATTTCCGTACAGTCCGGCGAGGTTCAGCACGGCGCTCTCGGAACATGCCATCAACTCGTCTTCGGCGATGGCACGGGAGTCGGCATGTTCATAGGGTGATGATTCGTCTTGCCATTTTGGGGCCGTCCAAATACTTGTAGCACCTAGTTGTATAAAGTGCGGCTTGGAGCGACCGGGTTTTTCATGTGTGGATTCGTACATGCGTACCAGATGTTTTGCTTGGCCTTCACCCTGTAACGGAAAAGTGATTAGTATCGTCTTGGCGATCGGTAGCATCTCGAACGGCCCCGCGTCACTCGATTTAGGATCGAACTTGAATCGAATTGTGTCATCCCGGCCGTCCCTTGTTGTAGCTGCATACTTGATCTGCTCGCGTTTTAGAAGCGGAATAAGAAATGTTGAAGTCCAGCCCGCTCCTAATATGAGTAGGCCGACGCCTTCATACGAGCCTTCGTTTACGGACTTAGATATCTGCATGTTGCACTTTGGTCTAGATATGGCGATTCACGAGATTTGCCATTCACGTAGTTTTGAAAGATGAATGAAGGGAATATATGTTTTTAGCACACGCAAAGAGGCGGAGGCTTTCTAATATTCAATCTCCGGCAACTTAAATTGGCAAAGTCTGGGCCATCTCTACTCCGACGAGCCGATCCTAGGTATCGATTACACTTCTTAAGGTCAACCTACCTGTTTTCGCAAATGCTTGTACCCATTTTTTAAACATCGCGCGTCATATTTATGTTGCTTTTCAGTCAACACATACATATTTACCTACCTCTTAACCTTCGTCGCGTGTATGTCAAAGACTACTCCTCAACGAATCGGGACCATAATTCAAATCAACGATTTAGATATAAGAAAGAAGATTAACTCTATCTACAACAACCTTCTACTTTTCTTTACGATGACACCTTCTCGTCATTCCCGTAAAGCTTCATCGCGACATCGTTTCTTGCGTAGAATGTTGACATACGATATTTGGTTTCCCCGCGATACTGTTCCAGCTCTTCAAGTGCCTGCTTACCCTCGCGCTCTATCGTTTGGCGAATCTCTTCACTACGCGGCGTGATACTACACTCGAACGGCTGCGGCCGCATATTAAGCCCATTCCTGCATGCACATTATTAGTTTTTATACATTGCAAGTCCCTCCTTTTCTCTGTCCTTCTGTTGCACTTACGTGTAATTGAAAATATCCACATTAACCGTACTGCCATCTGAACGCTTCTTCTTCTGAATGTTGAAGCCCCATAGTATTCTAGCAACAGTAATCCAAGTACCTTGTTCAGCCAATGCTTGCCCCGAGCAAACCCTGCGACCCCATCCAAAGGTCATATAACCCCTTTCTCCCGGGAACGGCCGACTATCTGGATGTCCAGAAAGAAAACGGTTTGGGTTAAAACGATCTGGCTCGGGGAATTCGCGCTCGTTGTGGTGAATCGCCCATACGTTGCCTTGAATCCAGGTGCCCTTGGGAATCAGCCAACCTTTATAGTAATCATCCTGCGTCGGCGCATGCGGTTGTCCTCCAATTATGGCAACCGAACGCCATCGGAAAACCTCCTTAACAAACGCTTTGACATAGGGGAGCTTTTCTTCGTCTTCCCAAGTCGGACTTCTGTGAGACCCAATTACACGATCAAGCTCTTCCCATGCCGGAATTAGGGTCTCTGGAAAAGCACAACAAGCTAGAACAAACGTTATTAGTGTGCTGCTGCTAGTGTCGGACCCGGCGCCAAATAGATTTCCAGTTAGTGAAGAAATTTCAGCATCTCTAAGGTTATATTTTGGGCCTTCAGAAAATAGGTGGTGGACGAAAGAGTCCTCGTGACCTTCCTTTTTAACTGCTTCGTCTGCTAAAGCGTGGAAGAAGTGAGTCCCACGTCTCTTACCTAACCCATACTTCCATGGTGCAATCTCGTTGGGAAATTTCGCAAGCAAAGGAAAAGTCTCCATGAGCATGGGAAAGGTCTTGCCAGGGACATTCAGGTCGGCAGCTAGGTGCATAACGGCGATGACTTCGGTAATAATAGGATCACTCCAGCTTTCGACACGTCTTCCGAAAGCGATAATGGAGACAACACTTGTGGCGTACCGTTCGAAGTGCTTAACATAATCATCGGGGGCTCTAAGTAAGTCATACGCGACGACCCGACTCTCGTTATTTTGAAATTGACGATACCTGCGGACGGACTGGATACCGACGCCCTGATGCATGAGCTTGCGGTGAACACGCCAACGGTCACGCTCTTCAGGACGCGTCGTATACATGTTGACTAAGTTATCTTGACCGGCACCTAATTCTGCAAAGACCAACATCCGCGGCCGCGATGAGTAAACACCCGCACGCTTTTCAAAAAGCTCCGAGGCCGCCCACGCGTCGTTAATCCAAATGGTTGGATTTCTACCTCGAAAGTTAGTCGCAGATTTATACGGGATAGCGGGATTCTCTCACCGTCCAATCCATATCGTGACAAGCGGCGCATCATATTTTTTAGACAGCTCTTCAAACCAAATCCATGGCTTATTCTCCGGGAGCATAAAAGTATTGCCTACAACCGGCCAAGGAAAAGGTCCAGGAGGCTAACGGCCACTCAAATTAGTTATCACTGAATAAAGTGTCCGCTATGTGAGTAACTGACCAGTTTTAATCTCATCCATAGCATATAGCCATAGTCAATTATCAGAGTGATGATGCCAATCACCAAAGTCGATATAGCTAAATGCCACGCCGAAAATTGACCGAACATCTTGGTTCCATCCCCGGTCCTCAGCCCGGCTAGGAAATGGTCGAACAACATCGTAATAAGAGGAAATACGCATGTACCTCGAAGAGGATAAGGTGAGCCAGCAAGGGGTCAAGAGCGATCCAAATATAGACAAGAAGTGAGGCGAAGGGCGCAGATACTTAGGTAACCATATCAGCTCAAGGGGGGATGATGAGACTTATTATGTTGGCATTGAATCAAATAGACAGATAGCTATTACACACCTCGGGGCCCTGATTCGGCATTTATCCTTATGTTGTGTTATTGGTCGATGGTAATCTGCCGAGGAGGAACTTGGAGTAAACGACTACGATACTCCTCATTCAGCCATTACTTATACTCCTTTTGGCTCCTACTTACCCACTCTACTCCACCCCCGGATTCAGATTGCAGACTACCTAGTCTAACATTCACACGTGCCGTTGTGACATTATGGCTACTTATGATGATCAACTTACATGATCAGACATGAATTATGATTACGTAATTGGGATCATTGATATTGAATAACTCAATATTTGGCTTTTGGAGTTTTAAGCGGACGTTAAACTCATGTCAAGATCTAATAACTAAATTATGTTGGGTACCTATTCACTCTTTTTGCCAAATCTACTCATTCTTCTATGTGTTCATTCACCCATTCACTTTTCTAACTCCTATTCACTTGTCTCGTCCGTCATCTCCAATTCTAAAGCTTGCAAAAGATCATCCGCAGTGGCATATTCGTGCATCCAACATTTTAGGATAATAGCCCCCGCCCAGATTTCACTCACGTCAGGGAACTCTTGTCTTTTAAATAAATCATCAACCAGCTTGCCATAATTCGTCATCTCCTCGGGAGACCCAAAACGTCCCCCAGGTGCCCTGTATGGCCAATGTCCGGTAAGGATTGTGTAAAGTATAGATGCAACGCTGAATAAATCTGTAGCAGGTGTTGATACCCATTCGGAATTGGGGTCAAAAAAGCCCGAATCTGGTAAATTCTGACCCTGCAATTCGATTTTGTCACACGCTGAACCACCGAAATCACAGAGACAGATGTCAAGAGATGTAGGGGTAGTGGCATGGACGAGGATATTTTCTGGGCGTAGATCAGAGTGTATCACCCCGTGACGATGTATGTATACGATCGATTCGACTAATTGCCGACACCATTTTTTTCGAAGGGCAAGGGGGATTTCGTCGTTCTTATTATTGAGATATTCTTGAAGATCTCCATGGCTAGCTTCAACAAAGAGCAACCCTGACGGAAGTTCTGGCTTATCTTGCCGTCCAAGATATCTCCACGCATAGTTAGTTATATACCTAGATAATCTTACTGAGGCCGGTAAACTGACTTGACAATTCTGGGGTGGTCTCCAAGTATTTCGAGGATTTGAGTTTCGACTATAAAAGATCTGGCGACTCTAGCATCGAAATCTTTACTAACACTATCGTGAGGACGTTTTAAGACGACTCCAGGTTGGACTCGGAAAGTCAGCGAAGTTGAACCAATGGAACATTCAGATAAATTTGGAGTAGTCATTGTCATCAATTGAAAATAAGTATATCAATTCTATGTTTTGGTAGTGAGCTTGCGTCGCACAAGCCTGAAGGCGTTGTTTACCTTTTATTATTAGAAGTATAGGTACATTGGTACCTCTTAAGTTCCTTTCGGAGTTTCTATATTTCCTCGAGCGACTACTACCTTAGGTACACAGTATACTGTACAAATACGACATGCCAGAAAAGTTCTTATTCCTGCTTGCTTAATTCTAGATAGACAAATCTGATAAAGCTGTTTACTTGAAGCTATTCGCAGTTTTGCTCAAATCAGCCCCTGAACTACCTAAAGTCCCTAAATTCTTTATATCTTTACTAGGTTAATTGCTTTAACACACAGTTTATTCGAGGTTCAGGTACCAACTTATCTAGTTCTTAAATAATATAGTTAAGGCTTGGCCTTAAGAGTTTACTGTTAGGTAAATTATTACAAACGGTCCTTGTAAAGAGGCGTCTGAATAACCTCATCATATTTAGAATCCACACAAAAATTGAGAATCAACAGTTCTGATTGGTTAAAAATTCTTCAACTTTACTTTGACTTTGTTTGGTTAGTAGAAACAACAAGCAAGTCAAAAGCCCACTTTACTTGTTAGAAACGCTGAGGTGAGATTCAAAAGATATAAGAGACCATGAGCACCTTCATCAGGCTGACAGGTAAGCACACAGCACAACTAAAACAATATTAAAGAAAAACAATTGAAATAAAAGAACAACGACGAAAAAGAAACCGCCCTCCAAGTCCAGTGCGGATCAACTCGCATATATGGCTACTCAGTCTCAGCTCCCTACCGTCCCAGAAGAGGTCACGGCCTCCTGGCTTTCGGAAGTACTCAAGGTTAATGTAAAATCGACAGAGTTGACAAAAATATTGCCCGGTACCGCCACCAAGCTCTACGTTAACGTCAAGTATGAGGATGGTGTAGAGACGGATAAGGCGATACTGAGGTCTGCTGACCTCTGTATCAAGGGTGGGTTTAACCCAGGCTTTATCGAACAAGTACCCTGGGTCATCATGATATATCAACGTGAGGTGGAATTTTTTAATCGTGTGGCTCCATCCCTCGGTCATATTGATATCCCCAAAAGTTGGTGGGCGGGATATAATTCTAGGCAAGGTATCGTGATAATGGATGACCTTTCTCAAAGATGTGAGTTTGGAAAGCCTACGGAGGCATGGCCTGTCACGCGGGTGCTTGCTGGTATTGAACAGCTTGCGGCATTGCACGCGTCGACTTGGGGTGTTAAACCAACGGACTACGCCTGGCTCACATCAGATTACGATCAAGCTATCTTAACTCTGATGCAGACATTCGACGACGTCGTGCATGGCCCAGAACGACCAGCAGTACATGACTACCTCAAAGATCAAAAACGCATCACCGAGGTTCTAAAGAAACACTTTGCTTCAAGAAACCCCAAGTTCCGGTGTTTATTACATGGCGACCCTCATACTGGAAACACTTATCTCGAAAAAGGTGCGCCTCGGTTCCTTGACTGGCAGATAATTCATATCGGATCGGCTTTTCACGACGTGGCCTACTTCATCGGTGGTGCTTTGAGCATCGAGGATAGAAGGACTCACGAGTACAGAGTTTTAGATCACTATCTCGCTACACTGGAGAAACTAGGCGGCCCTACATTCTCGAGCAGGGACGATGATGTCTTGCAAGAATATCGCAAGTCATTCTTGGCGGGAATCGGCTGGATAATGTGCCCTTATGAGATGCAGGCTAAAGAGTGTGTTGACGCTATGGCCAAGCGATACTCGGCAGCACTGGATGATCATAGAACTATAGACCTTGTGGAATCTCTGACTGACGTTTAATAAGGCCTGCATACAATATACTACAGGATCAAACGAATATCATCCCTGTCACGAGGTGGACTAAGAAGCTAGGAAATAATTTCGTGGTTTTGTGAAGAAGTCCAAAATAGGTATGAGAGCCTATGGCTATACATAATAACAGTTTTCTTTTCGTTTTTTTTTTCTTGGGATGCATGCTTAGGGATCAATTCTCTATGTTATCTACACTAGTTGAAAACGACAACGACTCTACTCGCAATAGTTATATTAGGAATAACTGCAAGGCTATCAACGCTTTATATTTGTACACTCGTTTAATTTAGAGTGATGCTACTTACAGATTATCGTGCCAGGCCTTCCAGACAGATTACCCCATAGAACAAGTGCGTGCACCTGGCCACCAAAATTACTAGTAATTAGCAACACAGCATTGATGCTTGAGGACATCAGACTCAATCAGAGGTCCTAACTTTTCAACCAAGACGTTAAAATTTCTCGGTTCACACTCGATGACTTGTTTACACATATTTCATAATATGACACTGTAATATCAGCAGTGTAATAAGAGGGCGGGGCAATGCTCAGCGTGGCTCAGGTAAAAGGCAAAGCACGCATTGCTCCAACAGGAGTATGTATAATCCCAATCAGACTCTTGAGAATATTGTTCTAAATAATGAGTCTTATCGTTATACCTATTCAAGTTGAGTTATACGAGTTGTAATTTTGGTCATGAATAATAAAGCTGATGGGACACGCTCTAACTCTAATATGCCGAGCGTTGACACGCTGTCGGGGAGCTATCCCAATTCACGGAGCGGAGGACTGGCCATTATTAAGTGCCATTATTAAGTGAAGTAAGGGCAGGAAATCTTATCGGACTCGGCATAGATGTTTATTGGTCTCATATAGATGTATTTTCCATGATGAACTTGAATGCCTTGAATAAATTATTCATAAGCCTGTAAAAGGTAGGGTGGATGCCAACTTACACGGACCGTTTTAAATAGGTACCTCCTTAGGTGCCTCCTTAGGTGCCTACTACCTAAGGTACATATCATTATGTAAGCAACTCTCAAATTTCATAAACAATTGTTCGGATCCGTACGGATGTCATCAATACATTTTCATATAACTACCTATTAATTACTTAGACTTTTCGTAACTGAGATAGCACCGAAACATTTTATAGCATTTACGCGTTTAGTCGATTTAAGCATGATACTAGTCTAGCAATGCCTATAGAGCTTCCGATCCTCACTATTGCCGACGCGGCAGCGTGGTCAAACTGGCTATTTCGTAGCGCCGGTACGTCTAAGGGCGTGTGGTTAACCCTAGCCAAGAAGGGTACTGCAGCCCCAACCTCGCTCACGTACGCCCAAGCACTTGATGAAGCACTTTGCCACGGATGGATTGACGGACAGACTCGTAAAGGTGTTGGAGAGAATGCGCTTACATCGTACGCCCAGCGGTTCACGCCACGCGCGCCGCGTAGCAGCTGGTCGAAGCGAAATGTCGAACATGTAGCACGTCTTGAACGCGAGGGCCGAATGACAGATGCGGGACGACGCGTCGTCGAGGCTGCCAAAGCAGACGGCCGCTGGGAATCCGCATACGCGGGCCAAGCAACGGCAGAGCTGCCAGAAGAGTTCCTTGTCGCAGTTGCGGCCGTACCTGCAGCAAAAACCGCCTTTGAAGCATTATCACGGCAAAATCGCTTCCTAATGTACTATCGCCTGAAATCGCTGAAGACTCAAGCTGGGCGCGAGAAGAGGATTTCCGCATTTGTTGACATGTTAGCCCGCGGCGAGGTGCCGTATTCGCAGAAACAATCTGTGCAGTCTTCGAGCCCAACAGTATCAAACAGTAGTTCAACTAGAAGAGAGAATAAACCAACTGTATCTAACGTTCGCCAAGCAGTTCGAAGATCTGCGCGCGTATCTCAGCGCACAAGAACGCTTTCCTAACAGGCACATAGAGGGTACCACCAAGGACGGCATAGTATTATAGGGATTCGACTTCGACCTAATATAAGAAACCCTCGTCAACAATAGGTACCCATTAGCGGGGGTGGGGTTACGTGTAAATAAGATGGACTTAGCTTCACTATTACATTAGGCCAGAGGTGAGGCTATTCCTACCTTTATTCACACTACATAAACGTTGCTTTTCATCTTCGTCGTTACTTTTCTCATATATTAGATTACAGGTATATACATTTTACAACTCCTTTTATTTCGATCCGCGTTTCTCCACCTCTTAATTGCGACATATACGCTAAATCTGCTGTGAAGCATTCAGTCGATAACTCTCGCTTCGCTCCATCAACTCACTATGGCTGCCCTTGTCTACAATTTTTCCTCCTTCCACCACTAAAATGACGTCGGCCTTCTGAATGGTATGAAGTCTATGAGTTATAGCAATCACTGTACTTCCCCGCGCAGCAAAATTTTCGATCCCTAATCTAACGGCTCGTTCACTCTCAGCATCCAAAGCGCTTGACGGTTCATCAAGCAGTAGAAGACTCGGATGTCGAACCAGGGCACGTGCAACTGCGACCCTCTGACGTTGACCCCCCGAAAGACGCGAACCATTCGGTCCACATTCTGTGTCGTAACCCTGCGGAAGTCCTATAATGGTATCGTGGATGTTTGCTATACGGCAAGCGTCCTCAATTTCGACATCGCTAGCCTCATGGCTTGGACGAGCGCCGAGGCCGACGTTGAACTTGATGCTACCATTAAACAATGCACTATCTTGTGGCACGACTGCAATATTCTCGCGAAAATCGGCGTTATCGCGAAGGGAAATATCCATTCCATTTATCTCCACAGACCCTGCTGATGGGGAATACATCCCCTGGATGAGGCTCATGATAGTTGATTTTCCAGCCCCTGAAGGTCCTACGATGCCAAGAAATTGGCCCGGTTGGACCGTAAAGGAAACCCCCCCAAGACTTGGTTGATCTGGTCGAGATGGGTAGGCAAAAGCAACATTTCTGAATGTGACACTCGCGCCTTTGGATGTTTCCGAGTTTATTTTCGGGGACTTGCTTTCTGCTTCCGCTTCTATGTCACGGCCACTATTCCCATCTGCGGAATTGTGGCCGTCTGTTAAACCAAGGATTTCTGAAGGCTTAGCAAGTCTTCTATCGCTTCCTAGATTAATAAGTCCCAGTGTTCTCGATGCCGCACTCTTGGCTCGCGAAAATTCAGGTGCGAGAGAAAACATCTGACCCCATAATGTCGCACTAACCAGCATCGAGACTTGCACGATATAAAATTGCGTCTGAGTGTATTCGCCGCGCATGATAAGTTGTGAACCCCACCAGTAAGATAGTGAGTAAATAAATAGGCCTGTGCTATTGGCGATCGAGAGGTAGAGAGAGGCATGTAATGCCTCCCCAATCATGCTCGCTTTAGGTTTTTTCAACGCTCTTCGGTACCTGTTGATTATTTCATCCTCTAACGAGAAACTCGCGACGGTTTTAATCTGATTGACAGCTTCCACTGTTATACCTATCGCCTCGACGAATGCCTTGTGACTTCTTTCTTGATGTCGAGAAGTGACTCGGATTTGAAGAATTCCAGCTCCGAGTAAAATAGGCACCATAGCCAAACAGACGAGGGCGATTTTCCACGCGAAAGCATGGCTAATTATTATAGCAATGAAGAAGTTGATTATAATGGAGAGCGCTGTAGCAATGATGCTTCCGCTGAACGCTGCTATCGAGGCGCCATCCTTTGTTATAATGGTGAGAAGAGAGGTTGGGGTTCGATTCTCGGAGTTATGCCATTCGACACTCTGATTTAACAATGTCCTGAAGCTCAGAATACGAACTCGATAAACCAGGTTCTCCGATATTCTGCCAAAAATAGACCAACTACCCACATTAGCAAGGAATTCAACGACAGCAAGCATAAAGACGAGGCCGCTGAAGAAGTAACCCAAGTACAGAATACTCGATGCTGTGGCGTCACAGGCACTAAGAGCACTGACAGTGTGGCCAAATATCAGAGCCATTGCCGAGAACGTGCAGCCGACGACCATTGCGCAAGGCACAGCAATAGCAAACCATCCATAGTCAGGCCTAATTAGCCACTTCATGCCAGTCAGGATATCACTAGAGGAGAGAGACTCTCCAATTCCAGCCGGAACAACCTTGCTCGGAGTGGCTTGGACATTCTCTTCTACCAGTCTGCTTTTCTCAAGTTGTAATTCTTTAAGCACTGCATCGTCTAAAGATTCCGCATCCGTATTATTTAGAGACGATAGCTCCGAGCCCTTCCCTGTCGGATTGTCTAGGCCCTGTAAGGCGAGTAGATTTGCGAAAGCACCGCCCCGCTCTTGAAGCTCTTGGTATGTGCCTTGTTCAATTACTTCACCTCCTTGCATGACGATAACATGGTCGACGTGGGAGATTGTTGAGAGTCGATGTGCTATCGAGATAATAGTCCTGCCGGCGGCTATCCGGTCGATACTTGCCTGGATTCTCTTTTCTGTGGTCGAATCTAACGACGCTGTGGCCTCATCAAGAACTAGGACCTTCGGGTCCCGGATCAATGATCTGGCCAGAGCAATCCTTTGAGCTTGACCGCCGCTTACGAGCCCCATGCCAATCTTCGTACCAAACCCTTGATCGAGAGCGTCGATGAAAGTCAGATCAGCTAAATTAGCAGCCTTCTGGACCAGGTCGGCAATTTCCGCGATGGGCCCCCCTTTGCTGGCTGCTTCCTTTAAAATATCACCTGAACAGGTATTAACAAAGCTTTCCAATTCATCTCCCACGATTATAGATCTAAGGTTCTCGTGTTCGGGTCGAGAGGAGTTCGCAAGGCCAAGAGCAATATTCTCGAAAATGGAGCGCCTAAAGAGCTCGGACTCCTGTTGGACTAAACTGACGTATCCTCTCAAGTTTCTGGGGCTTAACAGCTGTATATCCACACCATCAAATGCAACAGTACCTTTGGTGGGCTTATAGAGACGATTTATCAAAGCTGCAATCGTAGACTTTCCACTGCCAGATTGACCGACGATAGCGGTATGTTTCCCTGCTGCAAAGGTCAAGTCTACATTGTTCAGTGCTAAGCTTTCAGGCCTGGACGGATACGTAAAAGATACACCGTGGATTTCGATGCAGCCAACAGCACCCGATGGGAGCTCCTCTCCAGAATTGACGTCAATAGGCGAATGTTGGTCCATATCAGCCCTGATCCTCTCGTAAGCTGATGAAGCAGCTCCAAAAATTGGAAAAAGGGGCGCGAGTCCACCAAGAATTATACAGGCATCGACGAGTAAGAAGACAACAGTATACACTTGGCCAAATGTCGCGTCTCCCTTGCCACTAACAGCATCTGCGATCATACGACTTCCCTGCCAGTAAGCTAGAGCGTTGGAGCTGTACGCAATAAAATATAGCAACCCAGCTTGTATACCAGCAACGACACTTTTTTTCTTTGCGAATTTGTGTGCGAGTGCCATATGTTTCGAGAACTTGGCCTCGAGCCTTGGCCCTGCATCGAAAGCTCGAACGATGGCAATGCGAGAGAGTGCCTCTGATGCTATAGACCCTCCTGCGGCGAATGATGTGGCGGATTTCGCAGCAAATTTCTTGAAGAAGTAACTGCCGGCGAAGGTTAAGGCTAGGAACGCCGGGGTAAGTGAGAAAAGTATCGCCGCTAAGATTGGTTGTTTAATGAAAGCGACAATAAATGCCGTCACGAAGAAGCTTGATTGGCCGATGAATCTGCCAACTTTCTCGCTCGTGCCGGTTTGGATAGCTGTGAACTCATCATCTAGTCGGGCACTTATTTCGCCGGCGTGTTTATCGTCGAAGAAGCTAACTTCCTGGCGCAAGATGTGCTGAAGGTAGCGATCCCTCAATCTATGCATCAATCGTTGGGACTGCACATTCCAGCAGACTGTGTGTAAATACACGAGAACGAACTGTGCGGCAGCAAGAGCAACAAGTTTTACAAGAATACCATCAATAGTGCCCCTATACTGGGTCGTGTCGATATTGGATCGAACATCGCACGTCAATCCGTTGAGATTATTGACAAGTTCACCGAAAAGGATGGCTATGAGCGGATAAGGAGTACCAGCGGCTATAGCGAAGATTACGCCACCAATGACGAGACAGAGATCCAACCATGTTGGATTAGAGAACAGAAGGAGATGAATGAAGGTAAAAAGCTTTCGTCGTGCCTATCTGTGCGGTTAGAGACTATACGAAGATCTAAGGAGAGGTGAATAAGTGTGTCCGTAAATATTACTTACCGGTTTGTCCTTCGGAGAACTGTCAGTCCGACCTCCTTTTCCTTCCGCCATTGTTTGTGAGATTTCCTACGCAGAATAGCACATTCTCATAGTTTCTGGCTGTTGCTGCTAGCAAAGATAAAAAAAAAGCAGCACTGGATAGGTATCAATATCGCAACTATGAACCCAACTACCCAACTACCCAACTCAATCCCCGGGCCGCGACCGGCCAGGAAATTGCGCATATGGCATCCAGACAACTTGGCATTTTCTAGGCACTGGGAATTTCTCATTTCTTCCCTGTATAATACGGTAGCTGCATGGGTAACGTGGTAGTCGCCTACCGAGTAGACACCGTTGGATCTTTTCGGATCTGATAAAAAATACGACGGATCTGATAACCATCAAAAGTGGAGACATGCCGGTTCATTTACCGCATGTAGGTACCTACGACTATTTTTACGTAACCCCCCTTGCTACCTATACCATTCCTTTTACTGTATAAGTGCGATTTGAAGATACAAGTTATTAGAATATTAGATAATTACTACTACAAGTACACCATCTTCTTTTAACTAAAGGCCTTAACAGTTGATAAGATGATCTGATAAAATAACAGTGGACATCAATGTTACTGTTACATCCTCTCCCCCACTCCCTACCCGGCAGCTCCCCTTTCCACATATCAGTACTCTCCGCCAAGATATTTTCGACCCTCCGAGCATCTATAGTTATGACTTGGCATGCTTTAGTGAGAATATTTCATCTGTAAGAAAATGTTTAGGTCAATAGCTCCTGCTTATTAGAGTAACTACTCGCTGATCCTTCCGAGGCACAATACATTTCCTATACCTGCTCTCGTTACTAGCTCTTCATCTTAGCATGCCTTTTGCGTCTTATTATATGAGAGATTTCTTACGTATTTGCTCTCGCTACGACTAAGAACACCCAAGGAGAGTCAACTAAAAAACATAAGAAATATAATCGCAAAGTCGTAGCCAGGTAAATGATTAAATGTGTATTATTCTACTAAGATTTCTAAAGTGAAGAATATTCAATCAGGATAGACTTAAGCGTCTGAAGAAGCAGCATCTTCTAGGATAGCATCACTAGCCTTTTCGCTTGCCATGAAAAGGGAAATCAGTGGAAATGTTCCCGGAGTCTCCGGAAAGGCCGAGGCATCTACTACCCTCAAGCCCTTCACACCCCTCACACGGAAGTTAGAATCTAGGACAGCTAGGGGATCGTCATCACCGCCGATAGCAGCCGTGCTCGAAGCATGGTGCCCATATGCCTGATCACGGACATATTGCTTGAGCTGGTCCTGGGTTTTTACATCATCCCCAGGATACACCTCCCTAGTTAAGCCGTCGAGACCCGGGATCGACTTGAAGATCTTGCGTGTAAACTCAATACCATCGACCAGACCTTGTATATCTTTGTCTCCGCCATCAGTAAAATATTCAAAGTTGATCTCTGGAACGTCCCTCGGATCAGAACTGCGGAGTGTGACGGTGCCGGCGCGGTTTCGCGAGTGTGATTCCGATATAGTGTAAGTATACACATCTTTAGCACTTAGGACACCAGTCCAATTAGTGTATGGTGGTAAATGGCCTAATATACCTTCGGTTGCGCCATACAAGATTAAATCTCGTTCGCCTACGCGAGGAGTCACCGAGCTTGTTTTCAAGACGAAGTTGAAGAAGCCAAGGGTTGACCAGGGGCCGGTTCCATTCTTTTCCCACCTCTCATAGCATGGGTTCACCTGGCCCTCAGGGACATAGCAGTCGTCCCAGAAAGTAAAATTATTTGGGAACTCCTGGATAACGGGAACTTCGTAATGGTCCTGGAGACTTCGACCAACACCTGGCAAGTCCACCACCACGGGGATGTTGTGCTTATTCAGTTCGGTAGCTGGGCCAATGCCACTGAGTAATAGGATTTGAGGGGTATTGAAAGCGCCCGCAGAAACAATAACTTCGCGCTTGGCCGTTGCAGTTCGACGCACTCCTGTATTATTTCTCGTAGCCCGAGGGTCAGCCAAATAAATGCTCTCTCCTTCCAGATATTCTACTCCCGTTGCCGTTAATGCATCATCAATTAACACTTTGGTAACGAGACTATTAAATCGGACAGTCAGTGGTAGGCCTTTCGAAACACCCTCGTTCACCCTGGAACCCGAAGAAAATCGACGGCCGCGCTCGTCTTTCTTGAAGCTTATTTGATACACATCATTCTGCAAATCGCGATCTGGAGATATCTCGTTGATATCTTTTTGGGCGATGACGTCGAAGTCTTGCGAAGCGGCTCTGGCTGTGAGTCCCAAGGCAGCAACAGAACCTTGAGCTACTGCAAGTATTTGTGGCTCACTCTCGAATAGTGACTTGTCTCCACGGCCAACGGGCTGGTATCCAGAAAATCCATGGCCAGGTGTTGAAGGTGGCAAAAAGAGATTGCGCTCTAGCCTTTCGAAATACCCAAGCATGTGATCGTGAGTCCAACTCGAATCGCCAGTGAGATTCGCAATATTGTCCCAGTCCCAGTCCGAAGGCCTAACAGTAAGCCCACCATTATGTGTGTCACAGCCTCCTAGCGTCCCAGCCCGAGGATACCAAACTCCAAGAGGACTTGATCCCTCCGGAGGATCTCGTCCAACCCAGTAGCTGCCGTCTGGCTTTTTCCAAACCATCTTGTCGTTTCGAGCGGCTTGGGTTTCATTGCTGTAGTCTTTCACATAAAACTCCCAAGATTGAGCTGGATCCCATTGGGCCTCCCCGATGAAAGCAGGAATCAGTTGGCTATTGTTCCCAGTGTAGTTTCCACCTGCCTCCAGAAGAAGTACAGACCACCCTGCTTGGGCCAAATTTACTGCCAAAGGTCCTCCTCCGGGACCAGAGCCGACAACAATATAGTCGAAATGGTCATCTTCGATGGTCTGCGTAGAATTTTGGTATGACGGAACGGATAAGACTGGGAGTGCAAGGAGAAGGAAGCTTATTATAATTGAGGATAGCATTATGAAGATTTAGAACCGACGGTTCTATCTCCAAGGAAATAGTCCAGTTATTGTTAAAGTATGTAGGGTCTGTACATCACGACTACGATACGAGATTATATACTCGAATATCCCATACCAAAAATCACGTCACGGATTCATTAAAATCGCAAACCCAGTGCTGAAGCATGCTTATACCGATCTCGCAACATTAAGCAAGGGTAGCATCAAGGTCTAACTAGGGCTTGCCCGTCCTATGATGATGATCATGAAAAAATTTTATTATTACAGCGGTTTATCCCCATGAGATTGGAGCCCCTTTGCCAGACCCGAACCGGAGGTAAGGGCCATAGACGTTACCGTTATTGGATGCCCCCAGATGCCAGTACTACGCCATTATGTCCTACATTCTCTTAGGTCGGCTCGGCAGAAGAATGTGTTGGCACATGCGGTACTACGATGTATTCGCATCTGATTATACGGGCTCCCATGCACAATGATGATCTGATAAGATTAAGGTCACATCCTGACCAGGGGGTAAGAGTCGAGGTCCACACAAACATACCTACCGATCCACCTCCTCAGGAGCACCCACATGCAGTTTCTTAATATGTACAAATGCAGGGGGTCCACTTCTGGATACCTGGTTACCTACCTGTTGAATCTATACCGTAGATCACTTATGCGTCAAGATCAACGTATCTCCAGCGTTAATCCCTCAAATTCTTATACTGTGGAAAGTATGTTACGGCCGAAGCGATGTTGATCACGAGATACCGTATAACTACCACGTACTGCTGGGAATAGAATATTATTGGAAAGCTTGCTTTCCTAAGTTAAATTTAGTATATAGAGTTGTAGAGGGATCGGATTTTCAAGCTAGTAAAACCTTACGACTTTGCATTTACCCTATTGGCTGAAGTTTACCCGAAATGTACAAATGTAGTTTAGTCTAAAATCAGGTACGTACCTCTCTTAAAAAACCGAAGCCATCGGCTTTGGTTTTCAACGTATTTAATTGGAAAGCCTTGCCGGCAAGCTTTCCAATTAGCACAACTCGTTGTGCTACAGGGTATTTTATAGTGTCAGGGTATAAGTGGGTATGGTGGCCTACAGGGGTCTATCTACTATATAAGGGCGCTCTGCGCCCTCGAAAGAGAGTAGAAGCCAGGCGTTACTAGTTCAATATATCATCCTTTTGGTCTACCATCCTAGATATTCACTCTGTGTATGACATCAATCACCTGGGTATAAACCCCCTGACATATAGACGGCGGTATCTGCAATATTCCAACAAGCTTCCTAGCAGTATAAACTACCTAGTGACATTTAACATAAGCACGAGTACCTTTTCTACTATGTCATGTTTAACCTATTAGGCAACAAATCTTAAAGGGAATAGGTATAATGTATTAACACCAAGCTATACGTGAGGAACCTCAAAGGTTTGACTCATTGGTAGGGTTTCCTCGAGAGGGATATGTGCTGATAGAGCTTTGACGATACAAAGATGTGATAGTAAGTCAACTAGAGCTCTGTCTGTCTCTCTCTTTCGCCCCAAGCGTAATATCTGGCGTGGCTATGGCAACTACTAAATAAGTAGTTGGGTGAAAACAATCGCCGAATTATCCATCTAACTAGACCATCTTAACTTCCTAGCACTGGATTTTTCCTCCTTGCTCAACTATAATCAGACTTCGGCCGGAGTGGGAGATTGGATAGGAAGTCGAGATCTTGCCCCTTCTGTACCTTTGGTTCTTGGTTCTTTGACGGGCGGCTAGATTTACGCCTCTGAGGAATGAGAAACGGACCTTTCTTAGAACCAATGTAGCGCTGATTTGTTGTCTTGTCTGGTAGCGTATCGTGCTTCATATGATCATCATCTATGATGAATTGGCTGGCGCGGCTAAAAGGGATGATGTCGTTCATATCCTCGAGTTCAAGTTCTGGAACTGCATATGGTTGTTCTTGGTTGCTGACGCAATGATTGCAGAGGTCCACAAACTGCTGGACGAGGCGTGCTACTTCGCTGTCTTGGGTAGTAGGATGGAATTTCTCTTCTTGTCTTCTCTTAAGACATTGATCTCTGGCCTCAATGAAAAGGTAGATGAGCTCGCTGAGTTCCCGGTTAGAGAGGCTCCGAACCCAGAGAACCTTGTCTTTGATGGCACTGAGAAACAAGGGTTGAAAGGCGAGATTGCCGATATCACATTTCTCGTCGTACTTGGATTCCATATACGCGTCGATCATTCCTTTGAAGACTTTCTTCATTTGTTCTTCGGCGACCCCGGTAGTAGCTCCGTCTGGGCCCCAGGCACCAAGCAGTGAGGTCTTAAGGCCATCGGCAACCCTAATAGAGGTCCAAGAAAGTCCCTTACTCTTAAGGATTGATTCGAAATGTTCCGTCGGGGCGTCCATGGCTACCGTAATACACTAGAAGGGATGTTTTAAAATGACTATCGGATAGTGGAATGGAGTTCTTAGGTTGTTGGGTCGTAATATATCTAGGTGGAAGTTATAAATAATTGAGTAACTGAGCTGAGAGATATGATGTATTTAGGTATATAAAACTTTTCTTGGTAAAAGATGCAAGAGCTGGGCAGTGGCAGGCTACAGGTACGCAAGTGTCAGATGAGGCAAACACACACAGTTGCTAGGAAACGAGTTTACGTGAGCTGTTTGATCGATTCATTACGTGTTTGCCAGCAAGGTGGTTAAAACCTACAAAGATTACACCTAGGCACATATCTATATGGCGTGTTGAAATTTAATGTCTATTAACAACTGTTTACTTTGGTCTTCAGCCCTTGTTGAACTCTATGTTATCCAAATCCTCATGGAAATTCTCCCGACACTTAAATATCAAATAGGGTCCATCATGACTTGCTGTGAAGTTATCAAATAATTGGAACTCCCCTCGTTGCTCTCTCCCCTGACCTGTCCCTGGTGCCCCAGCCCCTATTCTGCCGAGGCTACCTGTTGCGCGTCTGAAGTCGAAATACCACAGCGTTTTAGCAACTGTAATGGAGATTTCCGAGTATGCCATAGTCTGACCTGCGCATCCTCGTGGGCCGACCGAAAATGGAACGAAGGCGTCACGCATGATCTTTTTTTTCTGTGGTGTTATGGCACGGTCTAACCACCTTTCAGGTTGATAGGTGAATGAATCGGGGAAGTATTTCGCGTTGTGATGGATGGAATAGATGTTCACGCCTACTACAGTACCCTCAGGAATTGCATGTCCATCGACAATAAAAGGTTGATCACCAGTGGCGTGAAGGTATTTCCTCCAGAGAACCCCAGCTACAGGAGGGGACATTCGTAGAGCTTCGTCAATGCACGCCCTGAGGTAATGACAAGTTGCCAAAGCCGAACCCTGAATCTCGCTCCCAACTGTAAAGGTGGATCGGATCTCATGCACCAGTTTCTTGTAGCAGCCGTTGTTACGTGATAGGTAGAAGAAAACAGCACAGATTGCTGTTTTTACGGTATCTCCAGCTGGCGTATTTCACTTAGCAAATATAAATCCAACAAGACAGGTGGCAGAGTCCAGTATCAGTGACTTACCTGCGACTAGGAAGAGATTTGCTTCAGCCCAAAGCTCGCTCTGTCGAAGACCATCACTCCCAGGCTCTAGTGCATCTGCGAGAACAGAATAAAGGTCATGTTGAGCATCCTTATCCTGTCTTTGACGAGAAGTCATCATCCTCTCCACCACGGGGAGATATTTGCCTCTCAACTGACGGAAAACTCGCAAGCTGGCCAATCCAAGTCGGAATCTGCGGGAATTAGGCCAATGTAAAAAAATGCTACTCCAAAGCGACCCGGAGTGAAGCATATGAAGCATGAATCTGTTCTCCTCGTTAGTCTGGAGGCGAAGATCGAATCCGAACCCGAGAAGACCGGCGATATTAAGCCCTAAGTACTCAGATCGCTCGGTTATATTAACTGGAATAGATTTATGAGCAGATGGAAGTATTTGTTGAAGAAATAGATTGACTTGATCGATAATAGTCGGCTCGAATGTACGCATAAAGCGCTCAGATATGACTTGGCCAACTAATTGTCGCCTAGATCGATGAGCCTGACGATCTATTGCAGTTATGGTCGTTTGTATAGTCAATCCTGACCCCAAGGCAATGTATGCCTCTGGTTTCGTAGTCCGATCATTATTATATATATCTTCCGCTTTAATGTCAACGACATATTGAGAGCTAAATTATCTTAGTTGATCTCACCTTGCAAGGCCTTTATCGAGTTAAAGATCAGTTTATTAGGCCCTTGTCTTACGACAGCACCTATATTTGAAAGTCAGCTATTATCTTTACAGGTCAGTATTGTCCGTATAATATTTTATGGTGTACCATATTTTAGCTGGTTCTGTCGTGTTTTTAGATGAAGTCGTCTTTGAAATGCGTAGTAGCCATTGTAAGCATCCGTAATTTTAGCAACAAAAGGCCCTGGATAACTGCTAAGAGGATGAAAGAATAATTGGTAAGTTATATAAATCAATATCTTCAAGTGTGTATATTCATTAGTCATTATGTGTAGGTATTAGGACCTTAGTTCTGCTATCAACTTACGTAAAACAAAACCGCTAGTACAATATAATCTATCATAGTAGAAAGTAGAGTGTTAAACTATTTCAGTATTGTTAACATCGGGGTAAACTTCGATGCCGACTTTTACTCGAATAACTGAGGAATAGCTATTAACTACCTAACTTACCTTGGGTAGTTAAAGAAGGGAGAGGAGAGCGGAGATGGTGTAACTCCGGACTCAGCTAGGGCCGACCGCATAGTGAAAGAGTTGTAATCAAGGTGATGACAATGGCCTCAGCTGGCGCAGGATCTAGGCTCGATACATAATGAAATCCTTTAAGCCTAGGTCCATTTTTTATAACTATGCCTACTAGAACAGACCAGTTACATTTAAACAACTAACGGGTAACACCTGAGTACATAGGTAGGTATCTAACCGAAGCTAAAAAGCCACGAGGTTATCGGTTACCAAATACCAGAATATAGGGGGGAGGGGAGTCATTCTACAGTTCTTGATGCCAATAAAATCGTCTACAAGCTGAGACAAGCTTTATTTAGTTAACTCCCCTTTTCAAGCTCCTATATGATATCTTCCACCATCGCAAACGACAGTTCAGCCATAACCTCACGCCAAAGTATTTTAGAAATCCTATCACCTTCGAGCTTGTATACCATAGGCGCCTTACTATTAAGATATCGATTTAGTAACATCCAACAGGCTGATTTGACATATGAGAGACGGTAACAAGGCTTACGGCTGTAGTTTGCAATCTTCAATATATTGACCATGCGCCTCGACTCCGTAGTGAACGGCTCCGTTGGTGACTGAACGGGCTCCGACAGAAGGAAGACGACCTAAGATTCGCCTAGGAAAAGCTATAATCCTACTAGTAGCAAAGTAACTTATACAAGTTAAGCCTCTGTTAAGGGTCTACAGTTTTTCTTTATAAACCGGACCACGCCTGAGATAAAGGAAGACTGTGTTACCCCAAAGCATCGTGGTATATGTGGTGCAATAAAACGAAGTGCTTGATTGTTATTCTAGGCCGACTAGTATGAATGTGTCCTGTATAAATTAGCCGGAAAAATTGGTGTCTAACGAGCTCTATGGTTGGCTTTATATGAATCAATTCGCGGCTACTCGTCGTCGAAATGCCTTCCCTGACGTAACTGCAGCAGAGGCTCATGAACTAAAGGAATAATTAAGTTTCGATAGCTTAACATATGACCAATTATTGATTTTTTTCAATACCATAAATATATTCAGGACTAGAGAGACTTCTCCCCATGAGAATGCATATCAACTGATCTTTTAGAGCTTGGTAGTGGATGCTCTCCTTTCATAATCCCAGCAGCGTCCCAATGTCCAACAATCCCATCCCGTGAGTCACCTAAAAAGGGATCTTTACCGGGCTTTGGAATATTCCACGAAGCCTCAAAGTCCCTCACGTCCTCTCCCCCAATAGAGAAATCCCAGTAGCCGCAATTCTTAGGGTAAGCTCCCATCATCGTGAACCCAGAAAGCCGTACATTTGCTAAGGACTCTCGAGCATTGGGGCCGGGTATCCCGTGTCCATCACCTGGTGATAATAGACTGAATTCTGCGCTGGGGCTAGTATTATATGTCTTATGAGCCACGCCGGCAGGGATTATAAAAACATCTCCAATGCTAGCCGTCACCTCGATCCCACCCTCTTCCTTCGCACCACCCCAGGTATTTTTATCAAGGTCAGGATCCGTATCCGCGACGCCGAATCTAATAGTTGCCCTGCCAGAGAGCACGACCATAGCTTCATGGATTCGTGAATGATAATGCGATAGCTGAGTTGAGCCGTACCGAAATATCCACTGTGTTTCCCAGTGGTTTTTATCGAGCGTTTCGTGGATGGCTTCAGGTCGACATTCGGAGGAGTCAACCAGGAGTCCTTTATAATAAAGTAGAGGTTGTGGAGAGTTAGGTATGAGGCGAGTAGGCGGAAGATAGTATTTCTCAACTTCAACCATGTTCACATAAGATACCTAGTTTAGTTAACTTATAAACTAAAAAGGGTTTATAATAGTAGAGACTTCCTTAAGTTAGTTATAGAGGCTTTAGTTGTAAGTCGTATCTAAGGTATGGGTTTCATTTGTGATATTTGAAGCCCCGCACTTTGGTTGACGGCGATGACATATAACGTTATCTTACAATAATAACTTAGATTCGACCACACCTTGCTCGAAACTTGTATCGTCCACTAAAAGTGTCCTAATTAAATTCCGCAATAGAAACTTAGGGAGTATATTAAAACCTAGCTTCACTATCATTCTAATTTATATTACAATATCACAATATTTTATTAGACTTTAGGACAGGTGAGACTAAAGATTAACGCTTATAGAGGTAGGTATCTCGATGATCGACGATTATACGCAAGCCCTTTAGCCTATTCTATTGGCCCCAAGGACATAATATAGGAAAGCTTCAAGCGACCATTCTTAGTTTTCCTTCCAAGATAAGGTGAGTTGATATGAGTTGTCAAGCGCAGGCCGGCATCGGCCAATTCAAGCAAGATACAGTGACATCAACCAAAGTCATTATCGAAGCTCCGTATCGCGGTTGCGGGGCTTGCATTTAATATTAGTATAAGAGCATTAGTATAAGAGTATACATCTTGTTAATGTAACATATGAGAATTATTATCACAAAATAGAAAAGTCTTAACACTATGCTATACAGCACGTCGGCCTTTTTCATTTCACTAGCTTTACTAAGTTTATCTATCATTCTCATAAAGATATGGCATCATCATACCAAAAAGGCAAGCCTCGTCGTGACATTTACTCTAAAAACGTATAAATACTAATTAAGTGACACAGCAAATTGACCAGTTCCCTCAGAAAAAGGATGCCGGAATTTGCCAACCTGGGCCTGATGTCAAACCTCTTGACAAGTTCGATTGGGAGACAACAGAGCCACAAAAGTTTCGACCATTCAAGCCAATCTATCACATAACGATGGGTACGTAAAAAACTCTTTAAACCATCCAATGCAGTCATTTTATGGCATGCTCATAATAGTGCTACCCTATATAGCACTCAAGTCAACGTCTCCCTCGGATCTCATAATTATCGATCGTAATTATTTGTCGCGTATACAAGAGCGACGAGTCACAATGACCAAACACCAAAACCACACGCTAGGCTGTCTGCCTTCTGGTGTTCAGGCCGTGAAAGAGGCATATTCATATCTTCTGGAGTACCTCTTAACTAGATATCCAATGCTCTTCGAACGGGACGAAAAATTCTTCCTTAATAGAGTTACTGGCGTTTCCCTTCCGCTTCTGCCCCCTGATGACCCGGTAACTGCGTTACGGAGCCTTGGCGAAACCGTTGAAGATGATATGTTCTTCCTACGCGAGACACCAGATGGGCATGAATGTGTTGGATTCGTATGCTGTTGCCCAAGTGGCTTCGATCCGGCCAGCAAGATAGGAAAGTTACTGAAGGATATACATGAACCAGTTCCGTCGTACGAAAAGATCGGTCTGAGTATGGAAAGATATTTTAGCCGTCTGGAAGTTGGTAAAAGCGCTTGCCGGGTCAATGTGAGTTATCTACAAATTCAAGAGTTGTATTGGGTACATAATACTAGATTCACTAATACCAGGTCGTAGTGGTCAATAACAACTAATTCAGAGTTATTCAATGTTTCTGGTAATCACGTCAATGAGGGAGACCAAGTTGAAGAAGATATTGAAGTGGATATCGAAGAGGTAAGAATTAAGATACTATAAAATGAACATGTATTGAACAAGCACTGACGACCGGCAGACTCGGGTAAGAATGGAGTTACAAACGTTGACGCGGATGCCCAAGACGCGAGCGATACTTTTCTCCTTTAAGACGTATTTGTACCCTATCAAGGAGATCAAGGAAGAAGGGCTTGGACCAGATCTTGCTGATGCTATCGATGGGCTGAAAAATGGTAATGCTCCTGGCATGTGGACATATAAAGGAGGGGTACGTTGGGGGAGAAGCGTCTCTGAATATTTGAGATCATAATCTTTGACGTTATGGTTATGGTTATGGTTATGGTCTTGTATAAGTGAATTTTGATAGAAAAGAAGAATAAGGGAGGGTTGGCCGCTATGTACCTACCATAGCGGCAAAGGGTGGTTTTGAGAAACGGTTATTTATATTTATAATTATTTACTTGAAAAATATCGTTTTTGTTTAAATTATTATATTTTTATAAAAAATCATTTTCGGGTAAAAAATCGTTTTTAAACTTAAAATTAAGATTTTTTTTAATTAAATAAAATATATAATGTTAAATAATAAAATAATTTTACGTGTATATATGTCACGGGCTAAAGCTAGCAGAGATGCAGGGATCTGATGAACTAGACTCTATTGGTAAATATAATAAGCTTAAAGAGGAAAGGATCTACAATGTGTGGTGCGCAACGCGCACCCACACCTTTATACCCTAAAACCTGTGCGCATTGACCAGGGGGTTGTGGGGCAGCAAGCCCTAGCAACACGTGGTCCGTGCGCCACACTGCCAAGGCAGTGGCTTGGCGGTGACAATATATTAAACTTTAATTGGTTTAATAATAAAACTTACAACTTATAAATTTTATAAATTTTATAATATATTTAAAATTTACTATTTAAATTAATTTAAATGTAAAAAAAAAAAAAAATAATAAAAAAAAATTGAAAATTTTGTTTTTTTTTAAGAAACGATTATTTATCGAGAAATAATTCTCTGGGAAATAACGTTGCCTTTTTAATGAATAATGCATATGGGAGGTACGGTATTCGGTCAAGGAATCGTTTCTCAAAACCACCCTTTGCCGCTATGGTAGGTTAGGTTAGGTACATGTAAGCAAGATCAATAGGTGACAGGGCGGTATCGATAAGGTTATTTAAGGGGCCAACAGTGCCGCTAAGGCCGCTAGTATCCCCGGTGGTTTCCCTTGCCCTGCTTGCGGATCCCTGCATGAGACCACCGCGCAATAGTAATGTCAGCTGTCGAAGCTCGGACAGCCCCGGGCAATGGCGATCCTTACCCGTAGCTGCTATGGCTTTCAGAAAGAGGATTAGAAACTTCTCCCGACTTTGGTTGTAATTAATTTACAACAGTCGGAAACATATTGCTTTGCGTAACATCAAATATACACCACCACAACGGGAAGAGTGTCATTTTTGTCCACTACGCCTAGGTTAGAACCTTTCCCGAGTTTATCGTCCGCGAGCCGAACCGCTTTATTCCAATAGTATTGCTTTCGACGCTTTTGTAGACTAAGACATTTACCGCGACGCGAGACATGTTAACACGAAGACCGAGAGACGAGGTCCCTGCATAATTGCCCAAAGCCCGCGCCTTTGTGGCCGTTGAACCCGTCTGCCCTACCCGTACCGCAGCTAGATCGAAACAGCTACCTCCGTGCTATATTTCAGTATAACCAGCTATTTTATTCATGCTCCATCGCATTTGGTTAGGCGCCGATCGCCATCCTCGAGGCGTAATCTGCTATCCCAATCCAGTCAACAAACACATTGCCGCATCTACGATATTTGTTGAAACGCTAATAGACAACATTCGGTGCCCTGGAGGGAGTGGGCGGTGTTGAAGATAGGTTATAGGTTGTAGAGGGTCATGCAGACAAATAAAGCTAAGGCCGAGGCGCTGGGGCGGAAAGCAAAGGTTAGTTTAAACTGGTGTATACCTCTTGTTCTTGTTGGTGTTTTTTCTTTACATTAGGTACTTGATTTCTGATGGTGCTTTGTATATCTACAGCTCGCCAATTCGTATCAGGAGTTACTCGAGTAAGTTCAAGTCCGGTTCTCCGCGTAAGTTATATGGGGGTTGGATACTGATATCTTCCGTTTCTTATAGCGAATTTTCGAATAAGGACTTAAAACACGTCGGGAATTATACCTTAGGGAGGCTGATAGGGAAGGGTTCCTTCGGAAAGGTCTATCTCGCAAACCATAGGCTTACAAATGGCTCCAAGGTTTGTCACGTCTAGGCTTTTCAAGCTTCTACCAGATCCTCCCCTAGAATCGGTCCTAATCGCAACAGGTCGTCCTCAAGTCAGCTAATAAGGATGACTCCAACCTTGCTCGAGAAATCCATCACCACCGGCAGTTTGTCCATCCTCATATCGCGCGCCTGTACGAAATTATAGTGACAGAGTCCTTGGTATGGCTTGTGTTAGAGTACTGCCCAGGTATGCTGTGATTCACAATCCCACGAGACAAGATCATCATTGACCTGACCTAGGCGACGAGCTCTATAATTACCTCCTTAACAATGGCCCCCTCCCCGCTGAAAAGGTGCAGAGGATATTTACACAGCTAGTTGGTGCTGTCACCTACGTACACCAGCAGTCATGTGTCCATCGCGATCTTAAACTCGAAAATATCTTGCTAGACAAACACGAGAACGTCAAGTTGGTAGACTTCGGATTTACGCGTGAATACGAGGGCAAGTCCAACTATCTACAGACATTTTGCGGTACGATATGTTACTCGGCGCCAGAGATGCTGAAAGGGGAGAAATATGCCGGCGAGAAAATAGACGTGTGGAGTCTAGGTGTGATTCTTTATGCGCTGCTATGCGGTGAGCTGCCGTTCGACGACGACGACGATAATATAACGAGAACTAAGATCCTAACGGAGGAGCCAAAGTACCCGGGACATCTTCCTCCTGACGCTGTTGCCCTAATCAAGATACTCCTCTCTAAACGACCTCTATTAAGACCTACCCTGCCCGAGATCCTTTCCCATGCATTTCTTGCGGAGTATGCTCCTCAGCAGCAAGCAATTCTTAAGCTGCACCAGCCCCCGCCATTTACTACACATCTAGAGAAGGATTGTCTACAGCGAATGCGAAGTGCCGGCGTGGATATTGATGCTGTTATCGAAAGCGTTTTAGCACAACGATGTGACGTGCTGGCTGGTTGGTGGACACTATTGTTGGAAAAGGAGGAGAGGAAAGCTCGCCGGCGCGAGAGAAAAAGGAAAGAAAGGGAAGCTGAAAATAGAAACTCGCGTCGATTTTCTGCAGCATCTAGCAAGCTTGAACGCATGGCGCCGATTTTAGATGAGGATTCCAATGGTTCTGGGATACTAGGCGAACCGCCTATGCCTAAGATGAGAGGTCGTCCAGAAAGGAGAAGTACTGCATACAGCGACTTCCAAGTCCCAGAATTGCCTAACTTGCCTGAGTCTCAAGTAAACACTCGTCTAAACGCTGATGACGGTACGCCACCGCCGCCGCCGGTAGATAAGGACTCTGTGCGGTCGGCTAGCTCCTCTCGGCAACGACGGCCGATACCACCGCCGAAAGAAGGCATCCTCCGGAGTGCGAGGTCCAGGGGCTCCACCCTCCATCTTGTAACTACATCAGATGCATTAGGACATCAAACACAAGAACTCCATCCGCCACAAAAAGTACGCAGGAAGCCATCGCAGGCAATTGTTGCCACATGGAAGAATTGGACACACTGGATTGTTGAGAGTACAAGACGACACAGGCCCAATAAGCGAGGGAGCATGTCTACTCCTAACCTAGCAGCTAAAGACGGTCAGTCTGGTGCCAGCAAGAACCCTAAGGATCCTAGTCCTCGACCTCACACTAGTAAGTATCCCGCCTCTTTACAAGGCGCTGCTGAGTCGAGCGGTGGGAACTCGCCGAGTCTACCAAACGGAAATGTTAAAGGCATTGGGAGAAACGACGGTAACCCAGCGAAGAAGCCTACGCCAACTCCGCTTTTGACGTCTTCTAACCAGGGACCGCATCGTATACCATCCAGTACCTCATCATACAAACGCCAATCCTTATCTCCAGGCCCGCTAACACCTCGCTCTACGATGCGCCGCTCATCCATTGGTCTTCGAGGTCGAAAGTCGACTTCTTCCTCCCTGTCCTCCATTCGAACGATGCCTCATCACCACCACTCGCATTCTAAGGCTAGCTCAACAAGCTCTACCGGATCTGTGTCGACAACGAGAACACCTGGACGATCACCGCATCATTCAGTCAAAGTTCTCCCTGCTACGCCAACTAGCACATCATTTCCGTCTAATATTCGTCTCGTCCGCGGACCGACGGTCGCGTTAAACTTTAACGAGGGCATGCCTTCATCTAAGTCGGGGCAAAATCCTCCCGGTTCTCCTAATCCGTTTACGTCAAATAGCCCCTCTGTCTTATTCGCGAAGCGCAAGCGAAACCTATTCAAAGGACCCATGCTTTCCATTGGTAACTCGTCGCGCGCCGGTCCTAGCTCTAGTAGTCATAGCCGGAGCGCAAGTGCGAGCGGATTGGGGAGGAGAAGCGGCGAAATCACTATCCAAGAAGAGGATGAAGAAGCAGAAGAAGCAATATGCGACGTCGAACCTGAGGACGATGTCGAGGAGGTAGAGCATTTCAGTCCCATTTTGCAAGTCCCCGGAGAAAAAGTAGAAGAAATTTATGAAGGTGAGGCAGACTCCAAAGATGCTGCACTAGATTTTGGTGCCGGTGCCGGTGTTGGAACCGTCATAGCTGGTGAGCGTGATAGGGGATAACGACTTGATGATACCCTGTGATAGCATGAACGCATTGTAGCGGAGCGAGTTCTTGTTGTTTTTGACGGGATTTCCGGCCGTATTGTTTACCTATATACCTAGATATCTGTCTTGGTATTTTTTTGTTTTCTAGGTTTGTCAGTTGAGCGGTGAACAGCACACGCGCGGCTCGGACTGTACAGCCTTGTTGTATTTTTTGGTATCTATTGCGTACGCTGTACGATTTTCGGAGGAAGAAGATTACCCCATATATCAATCAGGTGATGTATGTCCTGGAATGACTGCAATTCTCGTTGTCTTGTACTAGAAGAGTTTGATGGATTCTATTTATTAGCTCAGCAAACGACTTTGCTGCAAGCTTTCTGTGAACCAGCCCCCTAACTTGTAGATAAGGATCTCTACATAGAAGCCTATGAGCTTACAGCAGCTCATACACAGGTATCTATAGTTATATTTAATCCACAATATAGATAAATATTAGGTCATGAGAGGATTTCAACGTAATAGATGGCTCAGTAATTCCTCCTCCTTGCTAACTTCCGGCATTGGCAGAATATTACATGGAAATAATTTGATACGGAAGTAGGGCATATCAACGGGTAGTTAGGTAACTTTATATATTAGACATTAGAAGGCAACTTTACGCTGCCCAAGCCTTTGCTTGCTAGAAACCCTAAGAGTAGTAACTATTTAGTCGGACAGACCTGGAAAGCCAGCTCGCACGAAGCCGGTAAACTCTCCATCTAAAAGTTTCTTAGACGTGTCCGTCAAGAGGCGGATTCGGTACTTATTAGACGCTTCGTCGAGTAAGTACGCCCACGTCGTAAAGTTGTTCCACCCCAAAAATGTGCCCTCCTGCCGCGTGCCGTTGGGGTAGTAATGCCAATGAGGTTCGATAGGAGCGCCCCGAGCTACGGTCTTCGCGAAGACCAAACCGTCATACTCGTGATAAAAGTACTCTGATATGCTGAGAGGCTGGAATTGGCCATTCAAGCTCACGGCTAACATCTCTGCGCTGCCGAACGCCTGGCATTGGATTTGAGGAACTGCTCCGTCCTTGATGTTGCTTATTCCCAACTGTTTTATAGTATTAGTATTTCAAGCGGAATTAGATATGTAACGAAGATTCCATACCCAAGCAGAGGCAACTGTAACATCGGAGATGGTGGTATAGCTAGCTTTGTTGCCGTCAATGTCTTTGCCGGTGGAGTCGGCAAAGATGTTGAACGGTCCGGCAACGCTGGATGTCTGCCGAAAGAAGGGCCAGTTGCTACACGAAAGCTCCTTGGGAACAACGGTGATGTCGGGGATAGCGCTGACGGCGATAGCCATGGAAAGCGTTGCGAGTAGAGACTTCATTGTGAACGCGAGTGAGTTTAACCCTGATCGATGAATTTGGTAAGGGGGATGTCGTCGTGATTCACAAGAAATGGCATGGTGAACGCGCCGGGCTCCCCAGTGTCTTTATAAGCGGACTTCCAAGCCCCAGTAGGAGCTTGAAAGTCGCTTTCGGACCTAAGGCACATCGTGAGATACTAGTCCTGGTCACCGACTATACCTACTCCAAGGAGGTGTCGTACTGGGTGAAGCCTAGAACCAACTCCATTTAAGATTGACCCTGTAACGTTGACCATGTCACATTGACGAGCAAGCGAGCATTGTTCAATGGACATAGAAACGATGTTGGTCCACCCATAAGCGATGCGGAAATTACTTGGTGCGGCACAGCTAGTTCAGCCCTGTTCAGCTCATCGCGTAGAGATCTCGCTTTCGTGACGGTGTAGGCGCAACTTTGGCCGCATGACTCTTATTTATTAACCGCGCCTCCCAGAATTTCGGCCGGACGTCTGTTTCTAGATCACCGGCAATGCAGTTATAGTATATTCCGTACACTGGATACTAACTCTATCGTACGGTTTATGCCTTGGTCTGCTACCCTTATTACGGTTAGCTGCGCCTTGGTTAGTTGTGTTGGCGTTATGAATGTCCCGAAAAAATGTTGTTTAGACCGAATACCAAGTCTTACATATGTCGAGGAATCACTCTCTATATTAAGTAATTCTTAACATACGATTAGTGCATAACTTGAGATAATTCGAACCAAAGTTGAGCTCTCGGGCCTTAATTCCGGCTTCTTCAACCACCTATGTATAACACTACCCAGTTAGTGTTATTAGGTACCTAACTTCTCAAGCCAGGGGTATTTTTAGGCCAATTCAAGTGGCAATGTCGCTATAAACTTACAACAAGCCACCCAACTCGACTAAACTTCGTGTTGAGTGAGATCTTAGGACTTGCATTAGAGGCAAACTTAGTAGTCTATAATTACTGATACGAATAATCATCTTATAAAACCTCAAGTGATATACCTTTGAAGGTGTCTTACATCGGGCGTGGCGCGATGGCACATACATATAGATTAGTTGGATCAGTATTATAACTCGTTTATGCTAGCACTTGCAATCCTTCACTTAAATCCTTCGAGGTAGTATAATTCGTATCGTATAACGCTTGATGCCATATAGCTGTTGATACCTTAGACATTGACTATGTACGTTCTAGGCAAATCCTCTTTTCATAGTAGAGATGTTCGAAGACCGCCAGGCAACTAAATAAAAAGCCATAATTAGATTCACATATATCTATGCTAGTCTTGATTTATTACATTTCCTGCTTAAGTCTCAATGAAGAGATAGGTATCCGTCATTTATTAATTTCAATTAGACACTATTATGGTGTAACTTGAGGATAACTAAATGTAGAATGACGTGACAAAATGTGGCAGTTCCTGTGGCTGTTTCTTCTAACTATCAAGGTACCCAAGTTGAAACCCAGGTAGCTTTATTGGGAGACTCTTACTAAATAGAAACCTACCAACTTCAACATTTCTCCACTAGTCTATGCGGTCAATGCTGCTGGACTCACAACGACTCAGTTAGCGTATCACTTTGATTTAATCCTTAGATTCGGAAATGAAGTTATACTTTCCGGTCTTGCTTCTTGGTAGCTCCCAAGTCCTGGGACTTGAGCTTCAAATACCTATCAAGCCAGTTCAAGTTCCAAGCTCCGTCGTTTCGTCCGCTTCCGATTCCAATGCGCCGGCATATCGTGACGATCTAGTCTCCCTGCACAAGTCACTCGTAGAGATTTCTTCTATTAGTGGTAATGAAAACGACGTCGGAACCTTCCTAGTCGATTATCTCTCAGCGCGCGACTTTGTCGTCCAGCTCGAAGCCCTCCCACCGACTAATACTTCTAATCCTGGCAAGCCCCGCTTCAACGTCCTCGCCTGGCCGGGTCCCAACAGACACCCGTCTCCAAAGGTGCTTGTCTCCAGCCATATCGATACTGTCCCACCCTTTATTCCCTACTCACGAACCGATGCGGACCCCACCGCCGACACTGTGATCGCTGGCCGCGGCAGTGTTGACGCAAAAGCCAGTGTAGCCGCGCAGATCATTGCCCTCCAGTCCTTGCTCGAATCTGGTCGCATTGATGGTGAGGAGGACTCTGTTATGCTTTTATATGTGGTTGGCGAAGAGACGTCGGGTGATGGGATGCGGTTCTTTTCGGACACACGTAGCCAATTGAGCCCCCCTCCCGATTTTAAAGCGGCCATCTTTGGAGAGCCAACTGAGGGTCGTCTTGTTTGCGGACACAAAGGCATATTTAGCTGCAACATCACAGTAAAAGGGCACGCGGGCCACAGTGGATATCCGTGGCTGGGTAAGAGTGCGACGGAGGTGCTGGCACGCGGCTTGGTACGTGTCTTGGATACGGACCTGGGTAGCAGCGAAGAGTTTGGCAACACAACTGTAAACGTCGGGTTATTTGAGGGAGGCGTCGCTGCGAATGTGATTGCGGAGAGGGCGACAGCTCGACTTGCGGTCCGCGTGGCTGTCGGTCCTGAGAATGGAGGCGAAAAGATCGTGGCGCAGCGATTGCAGGAGGTCATGCGCAGCGTCGACAAGGACGCGTTTGAATTCGACTGCAACAATGGGTATGGCGTGGTCAAGTGCGACTGCGACGTCGAGGGTAAGCTATGAAAATTATACACTACTACTATCCAGGCCGTCTAACTCTTAATGCAGGCTTCGAAACTACCACCGTGAACTATGGAACGGACGTACACCACTTACAAGGCAACCATACACGATATCTATATGGACCAGGAACTATTTTTGTCGCACACGGCCCGGACGAGGCGATCAAGCTTGGGGATTTGGAAACGGCGGTGGAGGATTTTAAGAAGCTCATCCTGCATGCTCTCGAAAGCTAAGCGGTTTGTGTCTGGGGGATTGAGGAAATTTGAGCACAGCTCTTCTAATTTGTTCATGTTTGCTAATTCGTACAACATCATAGGATACCCAACAGAGGAAATGTCTTGCGCTGAACCGCTAAGGTCATAATTCCTAACCGCAGAAAAATCGGTCCTTTGATCTCTCCATGGTGTTCTTCGGTGCTGATTCTTGTTCTCAAACTGCCATGGATCATCTTTCGGGGATGATGCCTTTGAAGTCGAAGGTTCCATCTGCTCCCTTCACGACAACACCGCGCTCCGTGACCACGGCATCGATTAACTCTGCCGGGGTGACATCAAATGCCGGATTCCACACACCAATCCCTTGATGCGCTGTCGCTACACGCTCCGTACGACTGACGTCTACCTTTCCATCTTTTCCTACTACAGCTCCGCTGATTTGAGTCAACTCTTCCGGCTTTCGCTCTTCAATCTTAATCCCTGCGCCTGTCTCGGTTTGCAAATCGATACTCGTCGTCGGCGCCGCCACGATAAATTTCAGACCGTGATATTTGGCGAGCACAGCGAGCGTGTAAGTCCCTACCTTGTTGGCCGTATCTCCATTGCGTACGACTCGGTCTGCACCCACAATAACAGCAGCAATATTATTCTCAGCCTTCTTGGTAGCGAACAAGGCGCCCGCCATTGAGTCCGTAATCAACGTGGAAGGGATGCCCTCGTACACTAGCTCGAAGGCGGTTAACCTACTTCCTTGGTTGTATGGCCGAGTCTCGGTGCAGAAGGCGTGGTGTAGATGGCCGCCTGAGTATAATGAGCGGATGATGCCGAGCGCTGTTCCGTGGCCTGATGTAGCGAGCGATCCCGTATTACAATGTGTTAGGACTGACACTTTGCCATCGGAAGACTTGGTCGGTGCATTCTCGAGTAACCATTTGCTGCCGTGCTTGCCGATGGAGAGGTTGGTCTCGGTATCCTTTCGAAAGATTTCTTCTGCGGCCGTTATATATGCATCAATAATCGCTTCATGTCCCGTCGCATCGTCCTCCTTGCCGGCTACATTCACGGATCGGATCGTGTTCTTAAGGTGAGTAATTGCATTGCTGAGATCTACGGCTGTCGGGCGCGATTGTTTAAGGTAATCTAGACGAGAGTCGATATAGGATATTGTTTCGTGTGTAGTCGAGGCCTCTATTCCTGGTCAGTTATTGGTCGTCGTCGACTTCCATGTAACTAGTAGGGCTGCGAGTGATACCTACTGCAACTTCCATTGTTTAGTTCGACTCCGTGTGCTAAGGCGGCTACAATAGCAATAGCCGGTGCGCCTCTAACTCTCATAGATTTTATACTGTCGAATGCTTCCTCGCTCGTCGAGACCTGGTCGTAGTGGTGCTCGTGGGGTAACTTAAGCTGGTCGAGCACTTCGAGTTTACCCCGCGAGTATCGAATGGCTTGTAGGCCCGACATTTTTCTAATGTTTTGTTGAAATTGCTTGAGAATGATTATAACATGGAAAAACTACGTGATTGTTTTCTTGAAATTTATAAGACTAGATTGGAAAATATTATAATAGGCCTCATTAGCTGACCTAAAGGTTTCGCCATCGCCGTTAGATTGTCCCCGTCGCATACATCAGTACCAATATGGCGAAATATTTCCTTAAAATTCTGCCGGACCCCGCTATGTACAAATATACAAATCCAATTGTAGATTTAATATTAACCAATAATTGGGCACCGTGGCTTGTCACCGCTCTCAGTCGGCTTTACCCCCTGAACCTTGTTATGCATTAGCGTGATACTGGAGCTTACCTGTCAGAAGGGCGTCAAAAAAGGTGGCGCTTCCTACCAAAATATACCAAAAACACTCTAACTTCTAACGGCTATAATTCAGCCAATTTAAAACTAGATTAATTATGAAATATACTATTCGATAGCCCTAATAATGGCCTATTTTACTATATTTTTTATTTAGTCTAAGATTGGGAAATAAGCCTTTAAATAAAGGTGGTTTTATATTAATATTTAATACTTTAATAATAATAATATAACTTATGATTACGTACTAACTTAGGTTAATATAAATAATAAAAAAATCATCCGATTATAATTTAATAGATTAATTTTATTATAATAATTTTCTTTTCTTTTTAAAGGTAGGTTTGGGTATAAAATAACTTTTTGAAATATAATACTTTTGTATGCGTTGGTAGTGGGTGCGCCACCTTTTTTGACGCCTTTCTGCCTGTATGCACCTCTTGGTTTAGACACCTTTATCGATAGAGGTAGGTACCTAATGTATGGCCGACTTGCGACAGCCTCGACATGAACATCAACACATCAAGTATTAAACCTGGACAAATACATAGACAATTGTTCACACTCTACGCTAATTTTACATGTCTTCATTGTTTTAACTCGTATATACAGCAGAAATACTATTGACACCTCAGCCATGAAATAAAAAGCGATCCTTGAAGCTGTTCGCCATGGAACAGCCATTCTCTACCTCTAAAGTCACAGGTGCTTTCGTACATGACCCCCTTAAGCCATGCGCCGGCCTTGCTGATTTCTTATAGTCGAATATTTCGATCCCCATGATGTTTTTAAGCTTCTCGCACCCGGGCTAGTACCTCGACTCCCTCTGCGTAACCTCCATTGGCAATCCCATGCCGGACCCCTTCGTTCCATTGACACATTACACGTCGACCTTGTCCCAGCTGGTGATAAGAGCTCCATTACTTCGCCTCTTTCCTCTCCGCCCCCTTCCCAACAATTAGATAGCGTCGCTACTCGTGATGACGGTTTCCAGACTCAGATTGGAGCGACGTCTTCCTCCGATGCTGTCGATCAGACTGCGAATCGAAACAGCACACCCGTGCGACGACATCAGATACCAGGGCTAAGGAGGACGCCCTATCTAAAGGTGTTTCTAGTACGATGTGACGACAATGATTCATATAAGGGACACGTGAGACAGGAGATACGCGACTGGATTAAAACGAATACACCTTCCTCTAGTTCTAAGAAGAATACGGCCGAAAACCACGATGCTTTCGAATGGCTTATTGTTCATGTTGTTATACCAAATACCGTCGCTGCGACTCAACCCCGTGACTCGGGATCTGTAACTGAAAAGAGCTCCACCGCATCCAGATGGAGACCCGGGTCGAGCCCGATTCTGGAGAAGATGAGGTCCGACTTCAATACCTCTAGCAAAGGAACAGTAGATCGGATCGCCCAAATTCGTATTGGTGTTAACGATGTCCCGTATGATCTGCTTCCACGCGTGGTACCCGCCGTACCTAGCGGTTATACCGAAACAGAACAAGAGACAGAGAATTCTTGGACGGATCTCGTATCTAAATTTCGCAGTCTCATTCTGTCTAGTTTTGACCTACGTGTTAGCCAGTACGAGGAAGATATTAGGGAGAAAGATGCGCAGAGGACTTTACCCGGATGGAACTTTTGCACATTCTTCATTCTTAAGGAAGGATTAGCTCGGGGCTTCGAAAGCGTAGGCTTGGTAGAGGATGCGTTAGTGGGATACGATGAGTTAAGCGTGGGGCTCGATATGATTGTCAAGGACCAAATGTCGGCCGGATCTAGCTCTGCTACAAATGCCCTGTTAGGCTACACGGAGGAGTTGAAGCAGATCGCCCTCAAGGCTAGGGAGGCGATCATTGGAATCGAGGATGAGGATGAAGACGAGCTAGTTGATTTGCAATCGTCCCAGGCCGAATCTACTCAGCCGAAGGACGCATACGATGATATTCCAATCAGCTCTACGAAGAAGCCGTATCGTGATATGATCGTCGCCAACAATGTGTCCGTCTTCGACTTCAGATGTTATATCTTCGCGAGGCAAATTTCTCTCCTACTCCGGCTTGGGAATGCCTGGTCGACTAGGGAAGAGTTGCTGGCAAAGCTCAAAGAACAGCAGGAGTCCGTTTTACACGGTGTTGCTCCCCGAGCACCACCCCCGAAACAAAAGGAAAATGAGCATGAAGATTTAACTATGCTTGGTGAGATCTGCCGACGGACGCTAGAATTCATCCCGACGCTTTCACAAGTCATGAGGAATGATGTTTTTGCTGCATTATCTGACATGGAAAAAGAAGACGGAGATGAGACAGCAGTACCTTCTCAACTAGATCCTCTAGTTTCGGAGGTGGTTGATAATCTAGTGGCTTCTTTTGCATTTTCCATCGCACAACAAATCTTAGCCCAGACATCTACCAAAGCTTTACCAATACCAACATCTGCTTTGGCTTCTCCAGATTCTCACGAGCCAAAGTCAGCAATACCGGAACCTAAGACAATGATGCATCCAGCTAGAGGCTCGTCTTTGTCTATACGAACAAGCGGTACCGGCAACGTAGGCCGTCCGCCTCCAAGTCCAAATATTTTCTCTGGACATCCACCGGGTGCTATAGGCGAGCACGGCCAGTCCACGTTTCTCAAAGCTGGGCTAGAAGAGCTCGCTGCTAGGAGAGCAGAGCTCTATATTCTATCCCGAAATATTCTTGCTGAATGCGGAAAGAAACGAGGGTGGAAAGATGGCTGGGCCGACGTACCAGTCATAGGACAGACGAGCATGATCGAAATGGTCGATATCGATCTTGGGGACAGTGATAATAACGAAAAGCCAGCGGCAAAGGATGAGGATGTACCGGCCGATAGAGAAGTTATTGTGTCGCTCTCAGGCATTGATAGTAAACTTCTTAGGACGGCCCTCGACAACAGTGACGATTTCTACCGTCTTTATGAGACACTCACCGATAAAGCTCTGCGGCATTACACCGTCGCTGATCATCATCATTCGGTGCAGACAAGCATGGCGGATATCGCAGTATTGAAATACTATCTTGGCGACTACACCTCGGCTTCCTCTTACTTTTGGAGGACCACCCCCTTTTTTGGAGAAAGTGGCTGGAGCCTTCTCGAGTTGTCTATGTTGGTTATGTACTCAAAAAGCCTTAAGCAACTCCAACGAAAGGATGAGTACGCCAAGGTTATGCTGAAGCTCCTGACGAAAGCCGCTGCCGCCGAGAGAGATCGTCAGGCACAGAAGTCAGGATTTCGAATACCAAATATGGATGATGTTGATTATCCGGATAGTGATGTTATCAAGGGATTCTTGGACGACCTGCTTGCAGCAACAAAAACTCTCTCGAACGAATTACAAATATCACTGTCCAGCTTCTTCTCGGTTGTGGAAGTAGATGGCCCTCCTGAGTATTACCAGGGTCAAGACAGCATTTCTCTCAACCTAAAGGTGATGAGCTTGCTGGTGGATAACTTCAAAGTTGACTCAGCGAAAGTACGGGTTGTTAGTCTGGCCGGGAAATCGTCAAAGGAAATACGGTTTGAGCTCGCACAACCGGTAGTGTTAAAGCCTGGCAAGAACAGGCTCAAACTGAAGAGCAATGTGAGTATATTCCTGTGAGTATCTAACTACGATTTTCCGCTAACTATCACAGTCAACGATCCCAGGGACTTATGAGATCGATAAGATAGATCTCGTCGCTAGTAACTTACGCCTTCATTACGAACGAGAGACGGGTCAACCGTTAAATAAGGATAACGATATTGTCCATTCCCCACATGTTGTCATTTATCACCAAGCCGATACGTTAGACGTGCGGTTACACGCATCGAATCATGTTCAATTGGATCGAAACAATACGGTAGACGTCGAGTTAGATCCCGGCTGGAATAATTTGATAAATGCGGAAGTTCGAGTTAAGGCGGCTACGGGAGGTTTAAGACTCCTCACCAGCGAAGCGAAGTGTATCAGCTCTTCTGTCAGCTTCTCTAAGCCACCAGAGGGGGGATTATTTCATTTCGATTCCATATCGTCGAACGATGTTGTTCGAATCCGATTCCCGTTCACAGTAGAGCAGGAGACACTTAACATATCTGTACGCATCGACGTGTCGTATACTACTGAAAATGGCAAATTCTTCTTTTCGAAAACACCTACCATCGAAACTGCCCTGGCTCTGGGGGTCAATGTCCAAGATGTCTTTAAGCATAAAGCTCTCTACTCTCGCTTTACCGTGTCCACGGCGACTCACAGTCCCCTACGACTATTTAGAAGCGAGCTCCTCAGCTCGGAAGTCTTCACGTCGGAATTTGGGGTGCCGCCTGGTGCGCCTGTCGTTATCTTTCCAAAACAGCCAGCTAGTATTCTATACAAGGTCACCCGCAATATCGATGTGAAGGTTACGCCGACAACTCAGAAGACCATGTACCTTAGGCTTCATTACAGCGTCTTGCAAGAAGAGATCGAATCTCTATTTGAAAACTCGATAATTGAGTCTCTTCAAGACAAACCGCTGCGTCCATTCTCTAGGCTCCTATGCTCGGTCGTGATTCCACATGTCCGACATCATCTTACGGAACAAGAGCTTGAGCGCGCAGCTCTCCTCAGATCTGTTTCCACTACATTCCTGTCATCCATCAGCTGGGCTAAATATTTCACCGGCCTAGGCAAGGCACCCGACGGTACCAACTGTTTGCAGACTCTAACATCTTTCCTACATGTGTGGCAAGCCGAAAATCCAAAGTTAGGTCTTACAACCTCGGTTCCCGCCGAGCCCAGATCAATACTTATCCCGGTTGACATACCATCCTTAACCATCGTACACACAACCGATATCCGACTCCAAGAATCCCCACAACCATCCCCAGTGCTCCCCTCCAATCCGTCAAGCCCAACTATCTCCGCCAACCAGCTACTGCCCGCGGCCTTGCATCTAAAGTGGACCCGAGTCTGGGACACAGATACGCCGCCCGCCGAGCAGACCGACCTCGAGTTCAGCTACGAGATCACCGCGCCCCAGGATACGTGGCTACTAGGCGGTCGGCGCAAGGGCCACTTCGTCATCCCAGCACCCTCCTCCTCTAGCGAATCGAGCTCTTATGAAAGCACCCTAGACACCGAAGCCGAGATCCCAATCCTCCTGATCCCGCTGCGCGAGGGCTGGCTCCCATACCCCAGCGTCGACATCCGCGAGGTGCGGGACCACGAGGGCGCGGGCGTCACGACGCCCGGTGCCGAGAGCGCAAGAGCAGGACAATTCGAGACTGATCTTGGGAATCTCGGCGAGACGGTGCGGGTGCTTGCCGATAGGGCGCGCGTCACGCTTAGTCTGGATGCTAGTGGTCCTGGGGGCGGACCGTTGGTGTTGGATGTAGAGCGGTTGCCGGGGGTTGGCAGTGTTGGGGGAGGGTATATGAAAGGGAGGGCTGTTGCATGATTGTGAATGAGGGTTGGGAATGTTGCCTATGTGTGTATGTGTAATCTTGGTACCGTAAGGTATCGCGAGATACCTCTTTATTTGATGAGGCGCTCAAGTCAGATACGTGTGGGTTTATGTAGTTTGTCTAAAGACCGCATAGCCAATTTAGCCAAGATATCAACTTTGCTCTATATCTTCGAAACTACACACGGATTGTGACAATAGATTCCTAAATCGATTAGGGGAAGGGTATCATTTTATATTGAGACTACCTAAGGCAAACGCTCATAACCGTTCTTTAACCGGTGCATTCTCCTATCCGAACGGACATATTTCGACCAGTCAGTTGATTCATGATTGACTTTCGAGCCACACAAGCCCACCGCTATCTTCCAACAAACCATCTTCTAAGCTACCCTCTAATCTAGTTAATCCATTTACCCCTCTATTCTCAGCTTTTGTATAATATAGGACATTTCAGAGGAGAAATTGATAGGTAAAGCAAAGAAGTATATCTGTCCTCATTCTGCTGATTCGGCCTATTGCCCTGTTTAGGCGTCCAACTCGTCCAGCTTCGGCGGGTGGAGAGGATTCCACTTATCCATCTCATGAATAGGTATCTTGCCCTCGGCCTTCCACTTAGCTTCTAGTCGTGCAATAGTTTCTCTGGTATTATCCCAGTCGAGTTCCTTTTTTATCTTTTCAGTCTCACGTATCCATTCATCGTCGCTATCATCGTCTTCGGAAGAAGCTAATAACGCCTCCCGAGCCTTATTGACCCTTTGGGAGGCTTCGATTCCTATGCATAGACGTGGGTCGAATCTTCCTATGCCTTCCTCCTTTTTCTCGTCACCCTCGGCATTAGCCAACGTCGCCAAGGCAGCGAGTCCTAAGTATCCGTGGTATACATCGGGAGGGGCACCAGGATATTTACCAAATCCGCCAATCATGTGTTGCGTCTTCTCTAGTATGAACTTCCTGGCAGGACCGCGATCGATGACCTGGCTTTCGCCGAGCATGAACAAGGTGCCGCTAACCCACCACGTATAGCACGTATCGGCAACCTTATTCAAACGACCATTAAAGCCAGCTATTTGAGGTGCGTCTGATACATCTAAAGTAGATAGATCGGGTAGTGGGTGGTTTTTAGATTCATCACTTTCGTCATCGGAATCGGGTTCAAGGTAGTCAAATTGGCGGCAAGCTAGGAAATGGACTAAAGACGGGATGGAGGGAATACCGGCTCGAAGGTACCGGTCCGGTTCCGAAGCCGCATTTGGGTTGGTGAGGTCAAGAATGGATAGCGCTGCTACAGCACAGTACACATATCCAGCATGACTCTCATGTGTCGAACTCTCGCCTAGACCACCATCGAAAGTTTGCCCTCGTCGTATGTGCGCTACAAGAGCATCGACATTAAAGTCCTCACCCGTCTCAGCTCCTGCAAGAGCCCACCTTATGGTAGCAGCCAGGTAACAATACCGCATATCCCTTCCTCCCCCTACATACCCATCCTCGTCAATGATTTCGCCAAAGCTTCCGTCGTCCCTTTGCAACGTTTTAAGCCAGCGTAGAGTTTTTATGCGGTTCACTCCCTCGAATGCTTTAGAGCCGTCATCCTCGGCCAAAATACCTAGCAGAAGTAGGGCAAAGTAGGTAGCAGCTATGTTGGCATTGGCCGGGTCTAGTGCAGATTCAACATTGTTCGTAGCATCCCACTTGGTGGTATACTTTGCCGGTAGGACATGGTGAGGTGAACCGCAGAAACCACCTTGCGGATGTTGTAGTGACAGTACCCAGGCTCTCAGGTTGGCACGGTCTTCTCGACTTATAAGAGAAGCCTTCAGGGGATCCTTTGGAGGTTCGGAGTATGAGGAAGACGAGGATAGGAGGTCGAGAGCGGCGACTATGAAGAATCCGAGGGTGAGACGGATACTATCATTGCTCACATAGTGGTGAGGGAGTACAGAACGAAAACATCGTTGCCAGTAACGAATATGTCGGGCCGTATCGAGAGGAGGTTGGAGATCGGAAGAGGTCATTGTGTGCGTAGCTTGTTACGTATAAGAAGAATTGGGCATTGAAAGTTGAAGAAAGGAAAAAGAGGAAGAGGGAGGGAAAGGGGAATAAAGTAGAGCTAAAGCTAAAGCCAATAGAGACAAAATATTTAGAGAAGGAACGACATGTAACTGACTTTACTTGAGCAAGTATACTCAGGTCATACTTTCCTCTTTACTATCGTCGTACTAGTAAATCGTTTCAACCTGCCCCTCCCCTTTCTATTACCTGCATCAGCCCTATAGCCCCGCCTACCCCTCCATCCATGTGGCTGCGAAGGGAGCCACGACTCAGGGCTGTCTAGTGTAACTTAGATCTATCACTGGTGAATAAAAAGTACGTACCTAGGTAGGTACTGCCCGTGCATCAATGTGAAGCTCCCGCGATAGGCGATAATGATAAGCACGATAACTTACCCAAAACCAAATAATCCTGGTCCCTGAAAATGGGAATGAATTGGCATTTCATCTGCACCACCTTTCTCCCTTCCCATCTCCGAACCTGACACAAGGACGACCCCTCCAAGACCCAAAAGACCCAAGGATTCTCTCTGCATGCGTGTCGCAGGACGGCCGCCATTCCGTTGAGTCCGTCACACGACGACCGTTAGACTCTTGTCGACGTGTATGGAATTTGAACCAATCCAACTATCGTTCTTGTTCCCCAACTATCTCTTCACCAACGGAGAACAGAATATCGTCGTCGACGCTCGTTTCGAATAAGAATACCTACCTGTATCTTACCTTACCTACTGTGGATACATCCATATAAACCCAAAGACCACCACCGCCGTACGAACGATCCACCATAAACCGTCAAGAACTGGAAACCCAACCATGGCGCTCATATCAGTCAAGACCATCTTGACATCCCTCTGCCTCTTCCATATCACCCTAGCCTACTTCTTCTATACCAATCCCAATGCCATCTCCGATCAAGCTCTTGTCTACGTGCTAGGCGAAGCCATGGGCATGGTAAGTTCCCCATTTATACTCCTTCATTTCGACCAACGAGTGATGATTAAAACAACTAACAACTAACTCCGCAAACAGCCCCAGACAACCGCTTTCGCAAACCCCAACGCCGTCTCCTCCCTCCTCGGCGTCTCTCTCCTCGTAACCGGCCTCTCCGACCTACTCACCCTCTCTCTCCCCGAAGAAGTATGGCTGATCCACTACTGGGGCTCACAAGCTCCTCTGCGCATCATCGTATTCGCCTCGCTATCGTTATTCTCGTATTTCTCGACGCCGACCGCCGGCCGGTCCGGAGCAAACCGCCTATCGCACCCACTAACACCCCCCTCCGCATTCATCCCCGGCGCCGTAGTTAGCGGCAGCGACGGCCTGCGCAACCGCGTCTTCTTCACGTTTGCCTTCCTCGAGTTTCTTAGCTGGTTTTGGGTCTGGGTCACGCTGAAGGAAGAGTCTGCCACCTTTCTCTCCCGCAAGAAGAGGAGGGGGAGCAGCAGTGGCAGTGGGGTTTTGCGGTAGATGGTTAGAAGGCTGTTAGAATGCTGTGGGGGCAAGGGAAGTGCATTTCGATATGCTTCCCAACGTGGATAAACAAATATACTATTCGAATTTCCATGTGCGTGGCTTTTTTTAGTCCAGATTCTGGACTCTCACTTACGGCAGCTTTATTTTCTCCCTGTTTCAGTCATTGTATCGTGCGGCAGGTTTTTAGAAGCATATTTTGGCGTGGGCATAAGGCACAGGTTGTTAGCATATCCACGGCATCGGGTTAAGGCTTGCAGATTGGATCGAAAGACTGCTAGACAGAGAGATACGAAGGCACGGAAGATACCCCTTTCTTCTTCAGTGGATTGGTTATGTTGCGTAACACCTATCTTGGATGGCGGTCTCGTCTATGTTATGAATATACGGTTACTTATGTATTGCCTATTAACAACCGCAAGTATCTGTACAAGCTATCGCAATTTTTATGTATGGCATCGTAGTAATACCGCATTATGCCTAAACATACGTGGGGCAAGGCTAAGACTCTCATCCTCCCCCTTTCATATCTTCACTCTCAGGTCTACCCCCCAAATATCCTTCATTCACAAGATTTCTCCGGCTCAAATGTCAAGATCCAGGAACCATATTGGACCTATACATAATTTCCAAGCTTTCGAAGAGTACCATTAAGATATAAAGGAGGTGGATAGAGATATGCAGAAATGTTTCGGAACCGTGATTAGAGCCCTCTCGAGGCAGTAGAGTGAAGTCCGAATTGTAGCAAAGATCAGGATGAACAAGGCGGGGGGAGGTTAATCGAACCTAACTGCAGCCCAACCCTTCATGAGCTCGCGCCAAGATTCCCCAACTTTGTCGGCCCATAATTCACCGTTCGCCTTGGGGATGGCGTCTCTGATCTTACTAGCCACCTCCTTCTTGAATTCGGGATCCTCGTCATATACCGCAGTGTAATCGCCAAACACCCAGTCGCATAGTCGGTCTCTCCAGCCGTCGACGTTGCCCAGGTAATCCTTAAGCAGCTTAATGCGAGCTTTGATCGTGTTTTCCGACTCGATGGCTGCGGCTGTCATCTTCTTAAGCTCGGGCGCAAGCCACGCGAGTTCAGCGGACGCACGAGATTTATCAGCATTCTTGAGTTTTTCAGAGATGCTCGTAAGGTAGTTTGTTGCATACTTGACGGCTAGGATCGATTCGCGTAGCATGCCCATAGCATGGAGAGCTGCAAAGCCGTGGAAAGCGTAAATCTTAGAGTGAATATTCTCAGGTACTTCTAAGAAATCTTTGGTTTGGCCCTCAAGGTTGTCTAAAATATCCTTGATAAAGAAGCGATTGAAATCGCGGGTTTCATTTGTAGATGCCGAGAGAAAGCCATGTCTGAGAATGCTCTTCATCGCATTCGCGAGTCTCCATACGATCCCATAATACCAATACTCGGGCGTCGTGAAAGAACTCCTTACCGATTCTCGCAGCTCTCCTAGCTTGATTTTCTCATCTTCCGGAAGCCCCTTGTCACCGATCGCTAAGAGAGCTCTCATTTCCTCCTCCAGATGGGAACTAGTAGCGAATGCATATTTCCAGTCGACTTGTGCAACTTGGCTTACCTTCGACGGTTTGTACTCCTTTGGCTGTACGTAGCAGACAAAGTCAAGAAAGCGCTCGGCTATCAAACCAGCGTGAGCGCGGCCACCCTAATTCCACGATTAGTATTCGGTCCACAAACATGATATCAAAAACCACAAACTGTTGGGAGCGGTCCATAGTTGACCAAAGCAGGAATAGGTTGCGATGTTTCACTATCTGGAACTGCAAAGATTCCGTAGTCGGTGATATCTCGGATCATATGGCCAGGCATCAATTTCCCTGTCTAGTCAGCATTCTCAGATTTCTTTAGCATCGGACAAGAGAAAAACATACGGACAAGAGGCTGATCTTCTATGGGAGACTCGATCTTGCCTGTTTTCATTCGCAGGCCTCGGCGTTCTTCCACGACAGCCATAACTAGAGTACAGCTTGCGGTTTGTTTTTCGGCATGCCGAATAATTTCCTGAATGCTCGAATAAGTTCCCATTTCCAGAGAATCCATAATTCGTCTGGGGGTCGTAGTCATAAGCCCTCTTGTGAAATGTACAAGGAAAGGTTCAACTGGGTTATCGCGACTAGAGCCCGTGATGAACAGCCCCGGAGCGATAGATGATATCCTATCGACGAAGAGAAGACCTAGAGAATCCAGGAGGGCATTTTTAACATCAAAGCGATCCCATAGAGCCTTGGCCCGGGACACACAACCCATGAGAAGGTACAACTTAACGAGCAAAATACGGTGTGTACTGCTAACAGATGGTGACGTCGTTAAGCATGATTCTAGCCATATAACGGCTTGTAGGAACAGTTGGATGTTCGCACGGTATAGAGAGTTAGTTCCCATCGGCGGAGATCCGGTACCAAGCCCTGAAAGCCTTAACAGGCATACAGCCCCGATTACTGCAATATCTGAGAAAGGGTTCTCGCTTTGACTGGATAGAATCTTCTGGCGAAAATCGGCATCTTCCATTCCTGCCTTGTACGCATCGAGGGCATTGATTGCGATGGACTTGAGACAAGATGCACAGGTTCCACGTTCAATACTTCCATTGCAAAAGATACAACCAAGTATACTGCCTGTTGCTACTGCATATCGGATCCTCAAGCTTAAGGATGTTAACATGAAGCGTTGTAATGTATCATCGCACTGAGATGTTAGGGTCAGCAACATGATACGGTATGAGTACTAGTAGAGTTTGGTGGTTACCTTGATGCTGGTAGCAAGAAGAGACGTAATAAATGCGGCAACCTCTGGCTTACTCAACTCTGGTATGAACGATAACGCCTCGGTGAGGCAGCGAGACTCGTTATAATGTTGAATAACATGATTGGTGAGGTTAATGACCCGCGTGGTATAACCATCAGATTCCGGATCGGCTGGCGATTCTCGTGCGATGAGGATAGATAGAGAGAGAATGCTATGCGTTCTTTGGAAAATAGGCCTCATGCTTTCTGCTCGGGTTAAAGCCTTAATCATCTTGTCAACCAATTGGCGAACCTTTTTAAGGGCTCTAAGATAGTGTTAATATCGGAATTTTGATGTGTGGGATGGATAAACTTACCGCTTCCTGTCGGGCTGGCGTTTGGCCGCTTGAAAAATAGCCGTAAATAGCCCATATTCACAGCTTGCAGATATGTAGGATTGCTCCTTCAAGGTCCGCGAAGGCCTAGCCTTTTCTATAGCCCGAACCAAGTCTTTCTTAACTGACGAGTCCTTGGATTCAGTTTCTGCTAGCTTCCGCAGACTAATGACGTTTTCGTTGTCTTCGATAGCTGCTGCTTCGGCCTGGGCTATACGAGTGGCTTCTTCCAAGACCTCCTTTCCGATTTGAAAGATGTCATCCCATGCGCAGTAGGTCTGTAGATAACTTAGAGCTATCCAATAGGGTTCCTGTTTACCAGCTTTGAGGAATGCTAAGGGGCTATACTCGGGCTTCCTAAAAAGTTCCAAGTTTTCTTTTGGGCTACAATGGCTGATTCGAATATTCAGCCACAACCAGGCTTCGGATTCATTATAGATGACACGATCATCATCACTAGAAGTCTAATAATTATATAATTAGCGCTTACTCCTATAGCTATATTTTCTGTATTAAGTTCTCACCATAGTCCGGAGGTCAAAGGCTTTGTCGGCCTGCGCTTTCGCAAGCGACGCGAAGATCTTTCTGCTGCCCTCGGGACATTCATCCGATAACTATCCAGGTCAGAATATTAGGCTCAAAATTGAATAAGGCGCGAGAGTGAAATCTTACAGAATACTGGTGGGTGGCTAGGATATATCGAAATAAGAACTTTCGGTCGCTGGCAAAGTTCTTATTCAAGGATGCTGCAATCTATATGGGTCAATTGATAAGTTTGATATGCGGAACCATAGAAGGATATTACCTGTTGAGCATTCTTCCAGTCCGAATTCCAGACGCAAGCATCGAAGCATCGAGTACAAGACTTCTGGTCTTTCGGAAGGGCCTTCACCAGCCTTGCACGTAGCACGCCAATAGTTTCTGAATACTTGATATCGATCCGGGAGCAGGCAAACTCATACAAGTCCAGCGTATCGACATCAGATACGGTGATGTTGTCCTTAATCATCCTCTCAACTTCAACCTTTCCCGCACTGCGATCGGAAACATTGTCGCTCTGAGATTTAGCAGCAATCTCAACGGCCTAGAAAGAGGTCAGCTACAGTACAAGTAATAAAAAGCACACATTACTTACCAAATAATACGGGTCTTTTGTAATTCTATAACGCTGCCTCGCCAAGTTTGCAGTGGTGATCCATTGCTCTTCGGCGAAGGCAGTCAGTAGACTGACAGGTCCGGTGGGTTTGAGATTGATGGGCCGTGGGGTGGGTGGTATTAAGGGAGGCTTCATGGTGAATGTGGTAGTGGTAAGTTTTGTTTTTATATTGTGACGATAGGTTTTATTTCTGCAGCTTGCCTTTTGTGATGTTAAATCTTAAACCTACCTCCTATACATCTATTTTTTATGTTAGGTAGGTAGGTGGAATAGTTTCTAAATGTGAGGTTTTAAGGTGAGGGTTTGAAGAGGGAAGAATAAATGACAGTGGGGTATCATTGCAAGTTGCGAGTTGCAAGTTATATGTATTAATTCGTCTCGTAGGAAACCAAAGATCGGTATCTACGTCGTTTGGACTAGTGTCACCGGGCCATCACGAATATGCTTATGCTTATGATTGTTGGTTGTTTGTTGTCTGGTTATAGCATCGCATCTATATAAGGCAACCTTCTCCCCCCCCATTGTTCTTGTATGTAAGGTGGATTCTGCCGTTCGAAGTGGATTAGGGTTCCTTCTAATTATTAAAATTGGTAGGCGGTGTGCGTTAGTGCGCCCGCCTGTACTCGCCTGTGACACTCGCCCTATATGAGGTAATATAGAGGTACATTAGGTACACTAGTGCCTGACATTATGATCACCTGCATTTTACCTACCTGTATGTTACGTTAGGTACCTAATGTACCCCCAATTCACGCTTCAGGGATTAGTAATCGACATAAATTCGTTACGTAGAACGGCATACCCATTTTTAAGTGAGAGAGGCCTTTATATTCTTTATACATATATGTAGCCTTTCTATCCTGTTTTACAAGTGTTATTACAAGTATTCCTTACGTTAAGAGATACTTAAGGTAATAAATGGCAAAACGATAAACCAGCTCAAGACCCCGAATTATTAATGTCCATTAATATTGTCCAGGTGGAAATGTCTGCCCTAGTTCAAGATTCTCACGCAGACCTTAAGTCTAGGTAGACGATGGGCCCCAAAAGATGCTGCCACCTTCCCTCTTCCTTTTATTGGTCTTCCAGAAAATCAGGTTAGAAATATTGGATAAGCTTGAGGTAGATTTATAAGTTATTCTTACCCATTCCTTTTTGCAAGCACGATATGCCCTACGCAGAGTCTCACATTAGTATGGCCATATTTTCTACATTCGTGCCCCGATCTCATTCTCATCCTTAAACCCTTAGGAGTCACTCACTCAAAGTAGTCGGTGCACATTCGCCTATCTCCTCCATTCCGGTTCAGACATCGGATACTTTTCGCTGCAGCTTCTTGACAAGGGTCGAAGAATTCGCTCTTGGATTTACTGTGGTAACCGCAGTTAGCAAATGCCAATTAAGCTTGGATTCACCATAAACTTGCTTCTGGAACTTTCGTTTCGTATCTTTATCCCATGGATCTCCGCTTGGTTCACCTTGAGAAGACATATTGGGCCATTAAGCGGACGGACGTGACGTGATGATGTAGTGTAGATATTGAAAGCTTCAATGTTCCTTTCGTGTGGGCGCCGTATCTTCCTTTGAAATACAGGGATTAGGGTGGGTACGGGTACATTAGGTACATATTCAGCTTAATCTTATGTAAGCAGCGGAGTCAGTAGTATCGCCCCTAGCCCCTAGCCCCTATTTCAATCCAACAATAAGGATAGAAATATATCACCATCAACTTGCTATTCAATATAGGGGGTAAGGCAGAATTTGACTGAGGTATATAGGTAATATAGAAGACCACTCTGATATACTTGCATTCAAAGTTTATACCAACTTTGCTCTTTTGTCGTCCATACTTACCCTTAGTTCTCACCTCACCACACAGCTATCCAAGAACATTGGTCGCATCTATATGGGATCCTTCAGAAATGCTCTGTTTAGCAAGTCAATAACGATAGAGTCTTCATAGCTTCTTGAGCTATATGGAGAATCTAGTCAACTTGCTGATGATGCAATACGTCGTTACAATAGTAATCATATATTTCGCCAGTGTTGCCTTTTATCGCCTCTCCTTACACTCCCTTGCTCGGTTTTCAGGGACAAGACTAGCAGCAATCACGAGATAGTATGAAGTCTATTATGATATTATCCAGAATAGACAATATACATTCAAAATCGGACAGCTGCACAAAGAATACGGTGAGGTTTCTCTTTCCAGCCCATTCAAGAAGAATAATCTGATGTCCCTATTATCCGGATTAGCCCCTACGAACTCCAAGTAAATGACCTAGCGTTCTTTAAGCACCTGTATCGTCAAGAAGGGAATTGGCATAAGTATGACTGCGCTATAGACGCATTTAGAGCTAAGGGTCCAACTCTATTCACGGCGGAACACGAGCTTCTCAAACGCCGTCGTCAACCCTTAAGCCCCCTTTTCTCCGGGGTGAAGGTTGCTAGCTGGTAGGATCTCATTCAGCGACATTTACGCAAGCTTGGTCGTCGGGTTTCTAAGTTCGCCTATTCAGGAGATACGTTGAACCTCGGTGCCGCCACCACGGCCATCGCCCAGGACGTCGCTAGCGACTTCATCCTAAACAAAAGCTACAACAGCCTTGAAAAAGAGGACTTTCACGTTTCAAAGATTACTGCAAGTCAAGGATCTGGCCAAATACGGCGGCTCTTTAAGCAAATTCCATAGGTTCCTAAGGCTCTCAAAACTATAGGTACCTGTTGACTGGGTCTTAAAAACTTTAGGCAATCATGTGAAGGAGTTATTTCTTCATCGTCAAGACCTAAAGATTTGAAAGGCGGTTCCTGCCTAATTTCTACTGAGTAGGAAAACATGCAAGATACTAAAAATCTCATGGTAGCCGCATCCTCGCCTATCTCAGATGAGAAAGTCCAACGTATGATAGTTCACGAAATACGAGAATCTAAACTTATAGCTCCAGAGAAGTCCCACGGTCGTGTATTTGATGATGTACCAACTATTACCAGCGCAGGATTCGAGACAACTGCCAGCGTTCTACGAGTCGTTTTTCTTCGCGTGTTTGGCAAACCCGAGGCCCTTCACCAAATTCGAACTGAACTCGCTTCTATAAATGCAGATTTAAACGAGGTTGAATGAAAGACACCTGAGCAGCCACCCTATCTAACGTCGACACTAATGGAAGGTCTGCGACCAAGCTCGGCTATAGCCACACGCATGGCACGAAATTCCACAGATAAGGATATCTTCTACGGTAACTAGCGAATACCTGCCGGAACTCCTGTTGGAATGACATTAATATGATGCATACACATGACACGCTCTATCCGAGCCCTAAGCGCTTCAGACCAGATCGCTGGATGGATCCAAGATCTCGAAAGATGGTCGACAAAACATTCGCCCCCTGCTCAAGAGGGACAACGATTTGCCTTGGAATGTAGTAAGTTATTATATTCTGGCGATAGCCGAGATACTAGTTTTCTAATGCTATAACGTAGTCTAGCATGGGCCGAGTTGTACTTAATAATTGCTATACTTGTCTATCGATATGACTTCCAGTTCCAGGGCGCAACAGCCGAGGATTTCGAGTGTATCAGTGACTAGTTTGCCATTGGTACCAAGGGTAAAGGTATTTTGAACGCCATCGTCACCACTCATTGGGGATAAATTAGAGGGGATGCTTTAGTTTGGTTATGTTGGAGACGATGGGGCTATCCCGGAGGATTACCAGGCCTGTATAGAGAGGACGTCCCTCCCCTATTCGCAGGCAGGGCATAGATTAAAGTAACGACTAATCCATTAATAGAGAGACAATGTGTCTCATCACGTTGGATTTTGAATGATTCGGTTTACACTGGTAGGTACGAGCGTAGCGTCACTCGAATAGCCGACCCAACATGATAAGGCGTATAATCCAATTTTAGTAGCGAAAGGTGTTTCGTCCATTGTACTCATACTGATAATGAGGCTATGACGGTAGGATATCTCAGTAATGATTTATCTAAATTGTTAGAAGGCGATTGTTGCGAGATAGGCGTGGTCATACCTTAGGTACCTAGGTCGCTCTTCAAGCTGTACATGTATCTATCCATAGAAACAGTCAAGTAGACTAGTATATACGTAGTCTTTATGAGATCAATTGGCTTGCGCCATTAAAATATAGATGGAAGGATGTTTCAGCAATCGTTTACGATACTCGATCAATATGTTCGGGGCTTTCAAGGTCTGTCATACCCAGAGGCGTGGCGAGAGATAGCTCGGCAACTCTTGAACTGCGACATAGCAATAGTAGCGCTGGACCTCAAATATCGGATTATCTACGCAGTGTCATTTGATGGAGGCTCTAAATAAAATGTAGCTTGGCGAAGTAAATGGCGTACTTAGGCCCGTCCAACTTTGGACCTGCATAGCCGCCGGCTTCTGATTAGTACCTTACAGCTGAGATGACCGTGAGGCTTTCACTCAGTCCAAAGAGCCCTGACGGCTGTTTAGGTACGTGTTGCCTCACCACTAGCTTATATGTCAGAAACAATAGGTTACCAATGTGAGATCTATTGTTTCGCTCCTACTTCTGAGCAAGACTGCGCCTAGCGGGAAGGGAGTGAAATACAAGGAAAGTCTGCCGCCCTTCAAATCGCATATGTCTGAACTTCAAGGCTAACAGCAAATCCAACCTAGGTACATCATTCCGTCAAGACTCCGGTTAGAAAATGCTAGGTCTTGCCGGGGCTTTTTGCACGCTTGGGTAACACAAAGCCCCTTTGTGACTGAGTAAAAACTTATTCATCCAAGACATGCATGAAATAGTTAAAGCCTGTGGCGGCGAACACCTCGTAATGTAGTATTAATGATTGCTACCTACGAAAGCATTGGCCACGGGCCTTACAGCCTTACAACTTTGCGGAGCCGAGCTGGAACCATAATAGATAAACTATGGCTCAAGTGTACATAGTTCTCTACATATGTAAATAATGAACGAGCTGGGTAGTATCAAAGATATCTCATGATAACAACATGAGCGACGCACTTATGTTTTAAATCTCGGTGGGATAAAGTGACTTATGTTTTACAGGTTTTCAGCGGATGCTACACAGAGCTGACGAGACTGTCTCGGAAAATAGGCCGAAGGATCCCGTCCGATTATCATGTATTTTGATTGGCCTCTGAAACAGGTCGAAGGATTCTTCTGCATAGAACGGTAGGTGATCCAAACAGCGGGATCCTCAAAATCTGCGGTCGGATTGCAGTACGCCCAATGAGGCGAGCAAGACTTACAGGGGAACCCGGTGTCGAAAAAGCCTAGGTCACCTAGGAACCTGGGGTTCATGGACTTTGGTTCCCTAGTTTGGAGGTTGGGGGCCTGATGACAGGGGCTGGTACGGCATCGAATTCTCAATTAGGGACTCAACTCCAATTCAGGAGCGAAAATAGTGAGCCTACATACATATGATGTAACACAGGCGGCAGGGCGGATCCTTCATAGCTTTTCTTTTTCCTGTATATTTCCATCTATGCTCTCTGTCTGTGCTCTCCTCAAAATGTCAACTAAATGTTAACCAACATCCGCCGGTGCGGTGAACCTAGAGTCACCTGTATCATCATAAGCTAGAGGGTACGATGTCGCCCAACAATTTCCAAAGCGAGCCTGCTGGTCTAGAAGTAGCTCCAGTATCAGACTTACCATATGTCGTCGAGGGGCCGATTATCATAAGGAAGCCATACGACGGCACGCAGTATGCGTACGATCAGCAAATGCCGGGCTTCCAGGGCATGGCTCAGCAGAATGCTTACTCGAACGGGGTATATCCTCCCCAAGGGTATCCTATTCCTAGCCAGGGTCAGCCATACTGGGGAGGTTCTCAAGACGGGACATACCTCACTGATAAGACTCTTCCTATACCGCCAAGTAATAAAAGAATATGTGGATTAAGATTGAAGACTTTCTGGTTAATCGTTGGCCCGCTCATTGCCATCATCGTTATTGGTCTAGCAGTCGGCTTAGGTGTGGGTTTGGGTACTTCGCACAAATCGAGTTCGGGTTCTGAGTAAGCGATGCTAGGCAGTTCCTTCACAGTATTATGATACTTGTACTAATACGCAAGCAGCGCAACTACTACATCGTCACACCCTTCAAGTACAACTCCAACAGCGTCAATCGCGTGTCCGCAGTCAAACGGGACGATATACGAAGGGGCCGGTAACGACCCGTTCCTAGTTCTCTGCAACGTAGACTATAACGGCAACTGGGAAGGCAGCGGAACAACAGACATTGGCAACGAAGAGACAAGTTCCGTCGAGGACTGTATCGATATGTGCGCAGGGAACTCGACCTGCGCTGGCGCGGGCTGGGGTAGCTACAATGGGCATTATATCTGTTGGATGAAGGGAAAGTTAGGCTCACCACAGGACTCCCCTAATTGGTTCTTCGTCATTAGACAATAGGTTCGTTAAGCTAGGGAATTAACTACTAGGATATAGATTTAGTAATGGGCGTCTAAAGGGGCTGATGGGATGGGTGGTAGCGCTGGATTTACTTCGTATGAGAATATGATTTATATTTGTTGTATATACTCGAATATACCCTCAGTAGGGGTTTAATGTTAAGTAAAACCCCTGGCATATCGAATCGAAGATCTGATACGCCACGTTTATCTGCGCATTAATTTTTGAGGCCCTCAATGACGTTTCGAATGGCGTTTGATCCTTCTGCTTTACACCTGCGGTCATGCTTAACGTGCCTTATGTACCTAATCTTATTGGATGTTTACTACAAAACGTAGCAGTTAGCCTAACACCTTTTTCTTTTTTTACAAGTATATTCAAGGAGCAAGAGACAGACCAGTCTGTGAGTAAAGGCTACGAGTATGACCAAGCATGTTGCTCACTGTAAATGCTCTTTTAAGTAGCTACATACATCTTTATGTCTGCTATATACAACCATACCATTTAATAACACCCTCACTGACTCTAGACTAAACAAGCAAGTAATTACAAACCTCAATTTCCACCCCCAAATCATATAGCAAAATTTTTAATCATATCCATAACGACCGAAAAGGGGTTCATATATGTCAGCGAACCCGCGCTATTCGCTGCATGGCTGGAGTTATCACCACTGGAGATAAAGTTAGCAAACCGAGCTGAAAAGGCGTGACAGGGGGAAAGAAAAAGATAATAAGAAAATCACTAACCCACAGCTCCAGCTCGCAGCCTCGTTTACATTCCCCGTCCCATCCCACTTCGCCGTATCCGGATACGCACAAACCGGCCGCTGCCGCAGCACCCCCGACGACGGCTCCAGAACGCTATTCCATGTCGTAGCAATAACCTGGTCGACCGGCTTCCCATTCTCCACCCAGTCGATAAGCGCGAGCAGGACGTCGTGCTGCGAGTCCGCGAACCCAGGCACCGAGTAGGTGTCGTTTCCCAGAGAACCGGCTTGGCTAGCGCCGCCAAGAGCCCACGGCGCATCTACCGTTGTTAATCCGCAGTGCTGCATCCCCGGGATCTCGAGGCGGCGGAAGAACTCGCGCGTGGCGTTTACGTCGCCGCCGCTCGTCGTGTCTACCGCGCGTTCGTAGTACAAGCTTCCGGCTGTAGCGGGGACTAGGCCATCCGAGGCTCCGTGGTATAATAACATCTTGCCACCGCGGTCGCGGAACGTTGTTAGGTTGTAGTTGTTTGCCGTGGCATTACCCGGATCCAACATCTCGGCTAGCTCTAGTATCGAGTCGTTGTACTGCGATGCTTCCCACAGCGGGTTATCGAGGAGGAAGTATCGAATGTATCCTAGGCCGTATGGGCTTGCGTCTGAGTAGTTGAGGAGCGTGTACATTTGGTTCTCGGACCCGGGAAGTAGACCGGGCATCACTTGCTCTCCTGTCGAGTCGAGTGTAAATCCCGTGTACAGCTTTTTCAACGTATCGATCTGCGCGTCGTTCAGACAGTTGTCGGAATTAGCAAAGTTGGATGCTGCGGTACTGGTGCCGTTGTTGCATCGCAAGGCGTCGTAGTTCACGTTACATTGTTCCGGTGAGCTGATGATGCCGTCGGAGACTCCGTCGATGTCATCGCACTGGCGTACGACCTCGGCGCCGATAGGTGGTAGCGTTTCCCAGTCGATATGCTTAGCGTCGTCGGCGGGCCAGTTATACGTAGCAATTTTGCAAATCCAAGTATTGAGGCGGCTTGTGTACCAAGCTGGAGCACCAACAAGTACCCCGTCAAAGCTACCGGGAGAAATCTGTACTTCCTTAAGCCCTTGACGACCGCCCGTCGAGCATCCGCTATAGTATGAATGGCCGATAGGCTTTGCATAATAGGTTGTAACGAGGTTTTTACCTAATAGGACAGTACCATGTAGGGCACGCCAGCCCCAGTCCTCTTTCATCTCAGCATTGTTGAGAGCCCAGGAGATGTCTCCAGTCGTTGAGTTGTGACCAGTATCCGTTGATACAACGGCAAAGCCGTATCTAACACCGGCACCCATATCCAGCCAGTTGATACCGCCTCCGAATCCTCCATTGCCAACAGCGAGGAAACGGCCGTTCCACTCTGCTGGTAGGAATATTCCGAACCTATACGAAGAAATCGGCGATGAAGCGACGGATATGATAACGGCGCATAGTTCCGGTAAGTTTGTCGGCGGGATCGGGTACATAAGATCCGTCAAAGGCTCGCCGAATGTGCTCCCGGCGCTGACATACTCGACCTTTTCTACCTTGGCCGCCGCCGGAAGCACGTTAGCGAAGGTCGCGACGTCGCAGTTCACGCCGCCAACCTGCCTACGGCCTTTGTCGCTATTATTGCCATTCCCATCACTCCTCGCTAACGTAGAAGAAGCGAGAGTAGCAGCTAAAGCAGTCACCGCAAGGGTTCTAACAGAGAATTGGAGAAGGCCTGAGCACATCATCGCGAACATATCATGTCTCCACACTGATTTGCAACAGAAACTGCTCTTTTGGGGAGCGAGCGTTTAGGTGTGCTACTTCAGGCTGATGTTGAGATAATATATATGCCACCGGGAACATACACCTACCAACACGCGTCGTCTATGTATATACTCGTCTTCATAAACCTACTGACCACGCATGACTAAACTCATGGGCTATCTTGGCATGAAAGAAGATATGGAAGGGAGGTTGGTTGGGGGTACAGATCATATACAAGACCCTGGCTCAGCGTGGCATCCCTGTGTGACCACGCCGCTGGTCCCGCAAGTCTCGACCTAGCGAGATATTATCTGGGGTAGATTTGGAGATCTATATCCACCAGAACGGTATACGCTCCGGGGGGAATATAGTAGTGGAACAGTCTAGTTTACTTAACTTAGTCTAGCCAGGTTGTCAGACTGTCAGGCTGTTTCTTCAAGTTGCTTATGACCTCGTGCCCTTGCTTGAATCTTTGTATCCATCTTTGTATCCATCTTTGTATCCATCTTTGTATCCATTGTCAAGTGCGGGGTTTCTTACCCGCGGGAACAATGAAGATCTCATTCCAACCCCGGTTAGAATCTCAGTATTTACCAAGGTATTTTCTTAACTCCGAGGTACTAACCGGGCGTTTCTGAATGCAGGTCCCCGGCGTCTGTCATACTAAGTATCTAGCATAACTTGGCAGAGACCCTTTGCGGGATTCCCCAGGAATTCCGGCGATTGGCTATGCCGAAAAGCTTGTCAAAAGCAAATGTAGCTTGCGTACCTGGATGTCGTAAACATTGTCACTAGTTTGGAACGTGGCTTGGCATGATAGACATGTTTAGTTTAAGGATGCTGATGTAAATTATTGAGGGTCTAGATTCCCAGAGGAAATTAATTCAAATATATAGGTATTCTCTTGGTAAAATGTTTCTACGATAAGAATGGAATTAAGATGCTTCCCCTACTAATCTGAGAACTACCACCAATATTCAAACCAAAATAAGCAGCTAACAATATTTCATAAGCGCACATCACAGCTTGTAAAGTCTTGGAGTTACGCCTTCAGCGGCTCCATCTAGTAGAGTGCGATTCTTTCGTCCGTAGTAATATCTCAATCCAAGAGCACCAAAAGCTACGAAGAAAAGCATGGCACAGTTCACACCATGACCGGTTGGGTAGCCTTTTGACGCTTCTTCGGCCTTGTATATCCATACTCCTGGAATCTGCCCGAGACCTGCGCCAATGCTGACATTGAGCGCCACGGCCAATCCAATGGACGCCGTGCTCCACATGTTCGAGGTCAGCCAGCCAAGCATGGGCGGAATGCATCCGAACGCTCCAGCGGTCCCAACGATCAAGCAGCCATACCGATGAGTGTAAGCATCAGGCGGTAGTACGGCAGAAGCCAGGAAGCCCGCTGCGCCGATCAATGAGGCAATAGCGCAGTGATAACCCCGAGCGTTGAAATGATCCGCCGACCATGACATGAGAATTTGGAATACTTCTTTAGTTAGCACCGAGCATTTTTATCTGTCTCATATAGGAGACTTACCATAAGCAGCGGCCCATGGAGGTACTGTCATTAGTTGAGCCTCTAGATCATGGAAGCCTAGACCAGCGACAATCGAAGGTGAGAACAACGAGAGAGAACTGAAAGGTAATGAGACTGCGAAGTAAATGGCGTAGTGCCCGCATAGTCGCCAGTCTGTAAGCGTATCTTTGACATCGTCCCAAGTCATAGAAGAAGCTGAGCCTTTAGCGCCTTCAAGATATAATCGCTGCGCAGCCAAATCCTTCTCGGTTTCTGAGAGCCAAGAAGCTCTCTCGGGGTAATCTGGTAGGAAAAACCATACGAGGATTCCCGATAGACATGAAGGGATACCTTCAAGCATAAAAAGCCATCTCCAGGCAGACAAGCCGCGAGTCTGGTTCATATGGCCGACTCCGTAAGCAATTGCTCCGCCGAAAGCACCAGCAAGAGTGGCGCTTGCGAGAATGAAGGCTACTCGTACACTACGCTCATCGCTTTTATACTGTAAGGGACTTGAAGTTAGTAATTGTATCTGGAAACTGGTTATGCTCCCTCGGTGAAGAAAAGCTGTTCATGGTTTTCATCCAGTCCTAGGTAAGAGTGATGATTTGAACTTACCCAAAATGTTAAATAATACACTAGCCCGGGGAAAAGACCAGCTTCGAAGGCGCCTAATAAGAAACGGACGCCGGTCATCTGGGCATAGTTGTGGACACCGCCCATGCCAATGGTAATAACACCCCAAGAACACATAAGGAAGGCGAGCCATCTAGACGGGCGAAGCTTCTTAAGTAGAATATTCGACGGGACTTCGAATAAGAAATAACCGATTAGGAAGATCATGAGCGCAATGTTGAATTCGTAATTCGAGGTACCAGTCTCGGACTGCATATCATTATGGCTCGCTGAATTGAGGACTTTGGCGTTGCCGATGTTGGAACGGTCTAGATAGCAAAGGAAGTAGATGCCCGCGGCTAGGGGCACGATGCGCTTGTCTTGCCTCCATAGCAAATTTCGCTCAGGGGTAGAAGAAGCGAAGACAGTATCAGCTACCTCCTAGTGGCCGTGAGAAACTGAGTAGTATAATTGGGGTTTCTCTGTTTGTCTGTGTGTTACTTACATCCTTCAAGTGTCCCTCTTCAATCTCCTTGGCCTCGGGGCCGCTGTTCTTCTCTAAGTCGCTAAGAGTATTTTCGTTCGCCATTGCGAATAGCTAAGCTTCTTAGGACGAAATAGCTGGTTGGAGAGAAGTTCCAAGTGGGGGATAGAGTATAAAAGAAGGATTGGAGAGGCGCTCGATGCGTGCTGGGGGCGGATATGGGGTATGGGGTATGGGATGAAGACACCCTTGTAAGCACTAATCTATGTCTGGAGAACAAAGGATGGCGGTAAGCTCGATATAATCCATACAAGCCAAACATATCAAACGGGCCGGGGAAGTATTTCCCAACGCGGGGAAAACCTCGCCATCGTGACCAGAAAAGTCAAAGACATCCAACCATATTAGGACATTCTCTACATAGCAGACGGCTCCCCACCGCTACTGAAGCCCCCTATAGGACCGAGACTCTAGACCCGTGTAACGTAGATGCTTTGTGTTGGGCGTCTCGAATGTTTGTTGGTCGAATTGCGTTCGAGATCATATCACACAGCAATACCACCACAAAAGGTAAGGAGCTCGGGCTAGTCGGGGCATGGAATCTCATTAGTATCCCCGAATAGGGACTACCAATGACTTCTTCCATGTGGAGAAGACCCGGAGTCGGTGGATACCGTGCCCCATTCTCGCATAGGTTGCGGGGGAGATACAAAGATATAGCGAAGAATATTCGTCGCTTATATACGGATTGTAGCGAGTAATCATCTCGCAAGTTACCTATCTACCTACCTTAGGTAGGTAGGTAGGTAGATAGATAAGCTCTGTCTAAACTCGGCAGATAATATTTCGGCCGAGACGAAAAAGTTGAGGCTTATTTGAGCTCGAAGCTACCAGCTATCAACTGTTCCCTGGTGACATCTCGAGCAGTAGCGTTAAGCTAACAAGTGAACTAACAAGTGATCGATGCAATGATCATCCCTTTTCCCCACCGGGATCTTATTGCGGCTCCGAAATATGAGAGACAACGGCCTCACATTCTTTGCAATGAAGTCTTTTTCTTGTCAGGTCACCAGCCCAGTAATGTGAAATTGTAAGGACATTGGTCAATCTGCCACGCGATCGCCTCGTATAGACAAACAATTTAGCGGACGCCACATATTGTTAGTAATACAGGTAGTTAGAGACAAAGTCGATACTATTGGAATAGTTTAGTTTTGCTTCTTTGATTGCATATCGCATAACTATATCTTTAAAGGGTGAGGGAAGTAAAGACGCAATCTTGGGCGGAAATTGAGCAATTGAGAAGTCTCGAACGAATAGATACGAAAGGAAAAAAGATGTAGGAAGAGAAAAGTGCGAGTTTACATAGACATACAACAAATTAAATGAGTTTGAGAATAGAAGTCGTAATAAAATTTGCTATTGCACCAATTAAACAATCATCATGTTATGCGACCCAGAACACAAACTCTGATTGACGAGAATTTACGATGTAGAGGCAAATGCGAGCGCCATCAATTCAATCCCGAAACTCGTGATTCCTACTCGTAATAAAAATAATAGAGTGATTGGGCTGGGCAAAGCTTAGTAACAAGCAAGGGGGAAAGATTAACACGAGATGCCTTTATTTTTAGCAGCACTAAAGAGAAGGTGAAGGGGAGGGGGAACATTTTAAGTCGTTTCATTGGTTCTATAAGCCGGGGCTGAGCTACCGCCGACTCAGATTCCACGTGCTACAGCCCTATGGAAACTAAAAAGTCCCCTAACTTTAGAAGTCTTAGCTAAACTACGTGTACCCAGCATCTCGGGCCTTTACCTTACAATTATGTAAATGTAAATTATTTTCTTTTTCTTAAGCAAACTGCTGATGCCATCATTGTTGCCATCACAAGGCTTTCTCGTTGGATGGCTTTACGGGTCACCGCTCAACTAGTAGAGGGATTGTTTGCTACGATTAGAAAAAATTAAACGAAGTAAGGGAGTAAAACTACCTGTTACCTAGGAAAAGAGCGCGTTCTTGTTTATCTAATATCGTCAAGTATTCTGCTACTCGCCGAGCTCAATAATAAAGCGAAATTCGCAGCGGCAGTTCCGGCGCCGACAATATGGGAATTAGACACAAAATTAGAACTCAAAGCGACCCGAGCCGAAACCCGTAATGGCCGTGGGGATCGGAATTGCGGTGCTTGTGTTATGTGGCATGACTTCATTCCACCGTCTCACTACGGCGCCAAGCCAAGGAATAAGCATCGTAAGTCAGCGAATACGGGATTATGAGGCACTGTAAGATATAGCAGCACTGCCACGAGAGATGCGGTGAGGTGAGGTAAACGTGTATATAATAGGGTTCATCGCTGCTCTCATCAAGGAAAAAATAATTCCATCAGTCCACCAACTAACAACAATATCAAAGACATACAACCATCATCATCACTCTCAATAACTTCCTCACTTACACTATAAGTGCCATCACCAACTAACCAACCAACCAACCAACCAACAAGCAAAAATGAAGTCCGTCTCTGTTCTCTCATCCATCCTCCTCGGAGCCGCCTCCGTCCTTGGAGCCCCCGTGACCGAGAGACAAGTCGAAGCTCCGACTGAGTTCAACATCAGCAAGTTCAGCGCCAACACCTTGCCCCATGGCACCGGAGCCTTGTAAGCCTCCCTTATAAACTACCTACCTACAACACCAATACTAACACTTCCACCAGCATCTACTTTGATGTCGCCATCCCCAACACCTCCATCTCCACTACCTGCGGGTACAGGGACCAATCCTCCATCTCGAAGCTCCCATCGGTATCTCTCCGAGCTTGCGACGACCCAGCCTTCGAGTGGCAGTTCCACCAGGACCCGTCGCTGCCCGGCACCGAGGGCCGCTACCGTGTCCTCGTGACCTACGCCTACGACACCCCCAAGAAGGTCGCCGGCTACCACGAGTGGCCTGCCACCGACTTCCCCTTGGAGAACTTCGGCTCCACTGTAGCCACCTTCTACCGCGGCGAGCCCGACTTCGTCATCACCAACGTCTCTTAAATTCGAAGCCCAGCTGAGGTGTCGACATTTAATTTCTGCTTGTTTCCTTAGATCACTTTTCTTGATAGAGTATATATAAGCATAGACACGCTCAGATTACATATAGATCTTCATCTGCTCAGAGCTAATAGGGGGGGGTTGTTTTGAGGGGGAAATTCTAGGGAGTGGTATGGTTCAAGTTTACAGCGTTAGCAGTTCATAATAAATACTTACTCCCTTTTTTACTACTACAAAACGTATTAATTGAAAGCATCAGCCAAGCAAATACAAAGTTTCTCCTTTTTGGTGTACTATGCACTAGGTATGTACATCTTTGCAGGGTAGGCCCTTTTTCTAGCTATAGTTTCGTCTCTCGTCATGGTAGACGTTTGTGCAACAGCATACATTCCGGAATGTCTGTACCTGTAACACCACGAAACTCAATGGACATGAAATCAACTCGACCGATAACTGCTTGATATCAATGAGCTGATCCTAGCTTCATGAAATCTCAAAACCTGAAACTTATTGATTCAAATCTCCAGGTACTGTTGTAACGTGAACAGTAGCATCAATGTACAGCTTATTCGTAGCAGTACACTCAACGCCTGGCCTGATTCTGATCATACCGTTAGGGCCCATTGAGAAGTCTTGACCATGAATAGACACCTGCAGTTTGCCTGACGCTACCGAACATAGCCGGAGCTTATTGGCGTTAGAACCCCAGAAGTGAACTGTGCCAGGCTTGATGGTGATGACCTGGAAAGAAACATCACGGCCTATCCGGATGGCTTGATTTTGGGCCAAGTACGAATTCGAAAACGCGAAATCTGGGGGCTAGTTAGCAAGGTACCTAAAATAGAACACGAGCCCTCAAGATTGGTTACTCTAGGATGGAGATGTTTGGTTACATACTATCGACCGCTTCACTCTGCTCGTCACGAATTCGACCCGGTGCGATCTCCCATGTCTCTAGTTCAAGGGCTTGTGCTGGATTTATGGCACTTGTGTGTGCTGTGCTCCCAATATGGACTCCATTTTGGGCATTTGAAATAGTGCTAGGTTGGCGGGGCCTTAGACCATCTTCTCTCATGGGAGCTTCTGTACCCATCAGGCTAGAGGCAGATAGAGTTTTGCTCGACCTACGAGCTTTCACAGGTCCGTCCCTATTATCACCAGTTTGAGAAGACGGAGTAATAGATTTAGACAGTTTCATGTGAGAATTGAGAGAGGGCTCCTTCAGAGGTTCAGTGGGATCCAATGGATTGTGAGACACTACCTCAGCAGGCATAGCCACACCAACCGCCTTTAATTTCTTAATAATAGATAAAGTGCCGTCCCCGTTGTCGTTAATGAGTGAGGCTCTGTGGCCACGCTATAGTCGAAGTGAGCTTCATCAAGCTAAGCCCCGAACATAGGGTACTCACATTGAAGTGGGCCCCGAGACCTTCGAGTTTTGAGAACAGCACACGACATGAACGTATCGGGCATATCCACGGAGCATCAGGATTATCATGAAGGGCGTAGCCTCGTGGCAGCAATGCACCAGAAGTGACCTGGGTTTCCCCAGATGGAACTAGTTCACTTAGTTAACGTCTTTGCAAAGACTATGCGGCAACCCAAACAACTTACAGGTCCAGATATGGTAATTCCAATCAGTCTTAGCTGCTTTGGCTGGGTTGGTCAGCTTTCTAAGTGGAGTGTCATCGTCTGTCTCACTTCTGCCCTTATCAATTGGTGGCCGCTGGTGACTTGCTGAATGATTGCGGTTGGTACCAGAGGCCACATCAGTATCAGGCTTACGAGAATTGATTGTATCGGGCCTGCTACTCTTAGTATCATTCGACAAGCTATTAAAAGAGTTAGTAGGGTTGTATGTCGAGTCTTTAGTATGGCTATGGGTAGATTCTCCAAGTCTAGCAACATCCTTTGGGCTTAATTTCTGGGGTCCTTTCGATATACGGGGTTCAAGATTTGCAGGCGTCGGTTCATTCTCGGAATGGGTCTTAGATGACGCGGCGTGAATCTTTTCGGAAGGAGTATTCGTAGGGTTAACCTTGCGACTCTTTTGAGGGTGTGAATCCCGGGAGGCTCCTGCGTACTAACTGTGAGTTGGACTTAACTTTCTAGATGGATTGTTCATGTCTAACCTGGTGGGGAGGAATCATCTTGCTTCCTCTTGAGATTCTTCTCCTTCTTATCGGAAATATCAGGATCTATGTCTTTTGTTAGTAGTTTTTAATATACTCCTGATTATGTCTAAACCTTACCATGTGAGTGACCACTGCTTGGTTCTTGAAGAACTGTCTGGGGTGCTGCCAGGGGGGACTCCTTAACATCTTCCGTTTGGTTTGAAGCATTCAACGGCAAGGGAATTTCTGAAAGGGTCTGTAGAATATCGCTAACAATCCTAGCTGGTTGGGGGCTGATGGGAGAGGCCGAAGTTACCGGCTTATTACCAACTGGCTCTGATTGCTTTTGAGTCGGATTGGGTTTGGAAACCAAATGCGGAGGAAGTGTCCGCTTAGCGGTGAATACCCGTTTGGCTGGGGCTGTGGAGGCCGAACTCTTTGTCGGAAGCTCGTCTTTTACTAATGGGCCAGGCGCTTCACGCTTGTCCGTGATTTGTATTGGTGTTGATGTAGTTTTAATGCCTTTAGAAGCTACTGTAGACTTGGGTAACCCAGTAAGTTGAGAGTTTCCACTTGACTGGGGACTCTTGTGCTTGCCATCGCGGCTAATCTTAGGAGCAAGCTTTGGCATAGATGTCGATGTAGTCTTGTTTGTCAATATAACTGGTGATTCGACAAGAAGTTGTGAACGGAGTTGGGACGACATCTGGGCTTTGCGGATAAAGAGATGGACTTCATCTTGCGTTGCTAACTTTAGTAGATCCCGTCGTAGCTTCTCTGAACTCAAGAGTCTTTCTTCGAGTGCAAGGGGTACAACTCTTTTTGTGAATGCCTGTCTTAACTCATCCATATCATCCAAGTCATCTTTCTTGATTGGATGATCCATCTTATATTATCTTGGTAATAATATAAGTGATTCACCACCATAAAACTAGAGCATATCACATAGAAGGTTAAGAAAGTTGTAGAAGAGGGTATTGAACTCTCTATGTTACCATAGTATTCTTTGTTGGTTTCAAGACTCTTGGGACAGTTCCAAATAGTTAACCTGATTAATTATATCACGGTTTGAATATTTGCTTGGGTCACTTCTTAGCCAAATAAAACAGGCCCGACGTTGGATGGTTGTCTCATCCAGTGATCTCTTGAATTAAGCGAAAAAGAAAAAAGGAATAAATATTCACGCCAACGAAAAGCGCGATGAAGAAGACATAAAACAAAAAGGAGAGGATTAGGGTTAGGTAGAAAGGTATGATCCCGCAAAACGTGCTTTATCCTTGAGGATGAACCATGTAAAATAGGTATCAACCCATAAAGATTAAGATGCCAAATAAAATAGTTGTGCGAATCAAAGTTGTAAATGTTGTGCCCGCAGTGACGTAAATTCTATTTCCAAGGCTCTGAAGGCCTAAGCGTTGCTGGACAACGCGTGTAAAGAGGCAGTAACGCGTTTGCAACGATAAGCCTCTTATCGGTTATATGTATGTAAATGGTAAGAGCGATATAGGTACGGAGGCTTACAGTGCAAATTGGATATACTACAGTCGCTAAAAACCCCTCTAAATTCAGCTCCACCAAGATGTTTAACTTCATATAGGTGCCTAACGTTTAGCGACTGCAATGCAAAACCAACCATCAACCATCAGAGAAACCAAATAGAAGTTCGGTGAGATATCTTCAAAATAATCTAATAACTACATCCAAGTTAATGAAGTTTTCTAATTGTTTGAACATTAATTTAATACTTATTATCATTTATTATATCTATAAGTAGTACCTTGGTAGGTAGGCACTTATAGCATTTCAGAGAGATGCCTATTCTCAGTTTCATAAACTAAACTATTATCCCTTCCACTAAGTTCAATTAAAGCGTATCGGGAACTTGATGGAGTAGAGACTTCCCATGTCATTATTTCTATTTCGAATGTCAGACCCGGGATAATTCAGTCAGTCATTAAGACTACTTGTCGGCAGGATAGCTCTCATCCAACGATGTTTGCTCCTCAGAGAGACTTTTTCTATATCGTTTGCTTTTCCCCTCAGCCGCCGCATTCGCAAGTGTCAAATATAGCAATCCAGGAGAAGTTTTCTCTCGGAAAATTGAAGACCGCTTCTTCTCCGCATCTACGCTACCCTCATGTTCTTCTTTACCTTGCTGCGGAATAGGAGCTATGGGAATATCATCGACGATGGGATCTACCGGGCTAGACTCCAGAGAACTAAGAGTTTTCTCAATGGATTGCTCACGGGTGTCGCTTTCGTTGCTATCTTCTCCTTTCTTGTCAACTTCTTGTAGGTTCTGCTTGACATTTTCTGATAAGAGTGACAGAGGTAAACTGAATGGTCTTAGGCCTTTTAAATCGTTATCTCGTCTCTCGAATGACCTCAGCCTCTCCCTCCAAGGGAGGTCTTTCACCGGGCTCATTTGCGGAGTTGTATCCTGGTTATCATTCGACATGCGTTGGACGAGTAACGGTCTGTGAAAGTACTTCCTCCCTCTCTCACTCTCCGAGAGCCATCTTTCAATGCCTACACGCTTAGCTTCATGTGCTTCATCCTCGCTATTTTCCTTGGCGGATCTTCCCATATCTTCTTCCACTCCTATAATGCCTTGCATCTGTGCCTCTGATACCGCTGAGAAGTTATCTTTGCTCCCTCCCACCATGTCACCCTCTTCTGATCCCACGTGGACAGCTGACTCCCAGTTTACATCATTCAGTAATTCTGAGAAATGTTTTCCCTTCAACAGTTTCCTGCTAAGTGCCGCTCTATATGGACTATAGGTTTTGTGCGGGCGGTTCTGAGCGGGTGGCTGCAGGTGTGACTCTGGCATGAGGTTTAAGTCAGAGACATCTTCCTGTTTCTTCTCGTTGGGCAATTCTGGATCGAACGTTCGTTTGTTCTCTGGTGGTTTTTGCCACTGCCGGCAGCGAACCACCAGTGCGGCTATGTGTTTCTTCGATGCACTCTTCTCAACTGCAGTCCACAGCGCCCACCAATCCTTCGCCCTAGCATAACTCTTCATGTGCTTGCTAAGCATCGCCTTCCATTGCTCATCTTCTTTGCAATAGCAGAAGTGTATCGCCACGTACTCAGCCCAAACTGGGAGACATGCAGCATTATCAAACCCTAGGATAGCGGAGACTCTCCCGTTATGAATCAGGATGTTGGCAGTAGACAAATCACCATGGGTGAAGACGCAGGGTGCTGATTCCGGCATATAGTCCTTCAAGATCTGAATCAAATCCTTGCTGACGTTTTTCCTCTTCAGGCGTCTATGAATGGCACTCCATACTTGCTCATCGGACCTGAAAGGTCCAAATCCTTCCTGCGACGGACCGAAAAGATGACCGTGGCGTCGCACAGGACCACCGCCAAGAGTCGAAATCCTGTCTGATGTCATCCGTCTCCATTGATCCATGTGGCGTCCAACTTCTTTCGCGATCGTTTCCCTTTGATCATCTCGTAAGTCCCACCAGATATCATAAAGCCGCTGACCAGGAACCCTCTCGGTGATAGTGATTACCTTCCGGTTCTCCTTCCAACCAGCTATTATGCTCGGCACGGGCACTCTCGTCGCTTTCCTGATAAGCTCCGTCGCTAGGGTTAGAGTAACGTCTGCTTCTTCCGACCATTCGTCGTCTATTTCCTCGGTCATAACATACTTGTCGCCGATGAGCCAAGTATGCGTTTCCGGATCGTTATATCCGAGCTTCAAACTGCTTTTAAATGGCAGGGAGTCGAGAGCCTGACAGTATGGTGTCGTGCAGGCGGGGCAGATATCCTTGACATCACCAATGTCGAAAAAGTCCTCTTCTATTAGTCGCCTTCCGTTGAAATGCATCTCGCCTCCCTCCATCAAGCTATTCTTACCCACATTGCTAGCGGCGGACAACCATTTAGCCGATGGTTGATCTTCTTGTATTATTACATTTCGGCCCATAATCCAGTCAACGATGCGATGCACTTGAGGAAGACTTTTTAGTCCCGATTGGCTGGGACTCTTCCATTGAAGTTTAAGTGGCAGAAGAAGATCTTCGGATTCCGTAGAAGCTGACAGATTGACGAGTGGAGGGGCATCGATCTCCTCAAAGGGAAAATAGTCGAAAAAAGATTCGTCGCCCATCGATGGCGTTTTAAGCTCTTCGTCGTCGCTAATGAAACCCTCTAGGGGCTCAATAAGATTTAGACTCGTCTCTCCTCTTATGGACATAATAGTATAGGTAAGTCGATATAGTAGTAGCTATTACTTATAGTTGGGGTTTGATGGGTGAATTAATCCCTATTAACTAATTATTTTTTAAACACTTAGAGAGGGGTTGTAGGCTTGACGGCTCGCCAAGCGAGAATAATTCCGAGTAAGCAAGTATTACAAGAGCAAGCCGTAAGGGTTTGGGAACCAAATAGCTTTCGAAGCTTAGAAAAGCTACGAGAATTCGTCTGCTTTTTTTTCTTTCTTCTTTGGGAGAGCTTTCGATAACTATGTCATCTGCACATTTTCTGCTCCATCTCCGCTTTCCTTTCCTGACTCCGGTTATGCGCCGTAGGTGTGGTCCCCCTACGTCTGCGGACCCTCCTGGAATGCCGCCACCACTGCACAACAAAGGACGTCGGCGGCCGCAAACGGGGGCGGATCCACGATGATTGAATCGCACGGATGGGGAAGATGAGTAATATATGGGGGGTTGGGTATCAACGGAAATTGACCCGTTAATGATTTTCAGGTCATTTGCACAATTTGTGGACTTTCCGGTCCAGATTTCGCCCCTCCTGCAAACGAGATTTTTTTTTCTTCGGGTCAGGAGTCGAGCAAGTGGCTTATTACGGCCTGTAAGATCGAGGAGAATAAAAATATGAAAAATGTTGAATGCCAAGCTAATAACAGATATGTTTGTGAGTGCCTCTTCTGTCATAAGGTCAATTATACAGCGTTTCTTTGTACGAAGGTTGGGGCCAAAAGTTTCGCACATTTAAGCTTGGTAAGCCACGTGCGAATTAAAAAAAGACTGCACGGTTTTATTTAAGCTATAGTGGCTGATATCGCTATAAATATAGCGGTAAGCCACCTAGATTTAGTGGATAGGCCACTATTTAGTTTTTAGCTTAGCGTGTGGCTAATACAGTATTGATAATTCAAAGAACATATAAAATACGGTGCCAAGATTTGGACATGTGCGGAACTTTTGGCCCCAACCTTCGTAAAATAAAAATAAAAATAAAAATAAAAATAAAAGATAAAAGATAAAAAATAGCGAAACGCGAAACTAAGATCCTCTTCGAAGAATATCAGGTAATTATTAACTATTAATATATGCAAGGTATGACGGATTGGAAAATTCTTCAAGGGCCTATTCCCAACATTATGTTTGTATGTATGTATATGTATGTGTGATGAACGAAAAGTTGAGAAATAATTTGTTGGATTTACTACCACTACCACCTATGTACTCTTGTCGTGTTAAAGCGAAGCGAACGCCATAACGCTCTCTATCGATTTGAAAATGGATTTGAACTCCGGCTGCAGTTGGTATTCGGGAGTCAAAGAGAAGCGAAACCAACTCCCACTCCCCCCTTGCTTCAATGGCCACCTTTACTCGTGAACGTAGAATAAAACTGTCCTGTGTAGTGCGTAGCGTATTAGATATAAGGCAAAGGCGACGAAGCAGAACAGAACTCCCTCTCCCCTCCTCTCCAAATAAAAAGCAACGCAATATGCAGAATGCTATTAAGGATAAAAATAAAAAATGCCGATCAATGCTTTGCTGAAATCTAAAAGTTGCTTTAGGGACAGAAAATCGAATGGAAGGCTAATGATGAAGGATATTGTTAATTCTCGTGATGGAATGGTGGAGGTTTGAGTCGCCTATAAATAACTTATGCCCCTCTCTGAGAAGAATAGGATAAGGTAGGTACATGTACCTAGATGGAGTGTGTGTGTGTGGCCCGATAAGTATGTAGAAGGTAGATAGGTAGATAGGTAGTGGATAGGTGGATAGGGTGGATAGATGAGATGGTATGACGTTGGTGAAGTTTGGAGAGCCCCATACCAAGAAAACCTTAGACGGATCCTTCCGACTGCCGATAGCTGCGCCTCAAACCTGCCTAGTAAAATTGAGAACGTCATTTAACCCTTTTTCTATCATATCCTCAAATCTTTAATCATACTGACGGCTTTTCCGCAATGATCCGATATGTCGTAGTAATTAATCGCATGTTATCCATTTTTACGAATGCTTGACCATCAAGACATAATCTATCAATGAGGACTTTGAAATGAGGAGGTAGAGCGCGTACGCGAACAAGCCCGTGAATGACGCGCCTAACGGAGCGAAAGTATATATCAACTTTGTCGATGAGCGGAGCTTGTAGGCCGCCTATACTGGGGTTATCCGATCTTGAAACGGAAAACCCGGCATCAGTAAGAGCCTTCTCAAAACTCGCCGGTGTCGGAGTACCGACAGCGCCGATCAGAGGCTTCACACGACGCATGAGTCCCGCGTGAACAGGATCTTCCGGGTTGTACGGCGGCAGGCTAACCCAATCTAGCAGTGAGAATTTGGCGCCAGGCTTCAGCACGCGATAAATCTCTTTGAAAGAGGCCGAAGGGTCCTTGCATAAGCTGAGCGCTTGGATCTCGTAGAAAGCATCGAATGATTCGTCTGCAAAAGGTAGAGGTAAGTCATTTTGGTCGTGGACGACGAACTCGTTGCTGAAACCGCATTGATCGTTCCATTCCCTTGCTTGTGCAATCTGGTTCGCATCGATGTTTAGACCAGTTACATGAGCTCCGCTGAAGCTCGTCATATGCGCAGCTACACGCCCACGGCCGCACCCAAGATCCAAGACCTTCATCCCCGGTTTCAATCCGATATCCTTCGCGACAGATTCCTCGTAGAGTAGCTGATTGTCGAGGACTGACGCCTTCTTATCCATCAGCGGTGGGATGTACATCTTTTCCACGTCGCCGAGACTACAAAGATGATTGAGCACCGAGTAGTAGGCACAAAGGCAATCTCCAACACGCTGTTGGTAATTGGGACCGAATGCCTTGACCATCTCCTCTTCGTTGGCCCAATCTAAATTGTAGATTTCATAAGACGCCATGAAATCATCTACTTCCTTAGGAGTCAAGTTGTGAATGTGCTTGAAGGCCTTGATGAATGTCTTCCACCTCTTGGGCGAAACAGAGCGGTCGACCTGACCTTGGCCATCATGACTACTGTGTTTTGGTAGCGATGACGTATGAAGCGAGGAGGCGAGTTTGACCTTCTCAGTACTCGTCTGGCTGGAACGAGAACTATCACTGCTGTCGTTCCGACCCGGTATCGCAGGAGTGATAGCAGGTTGAGAGACAGTTACGGTGGCCATTGATATCTAACTCTCCACGACTACTTGGTATATGTACTGTGAAAGCAAAGAGACGGGGTAAATAAACTTTGGACGGATGTTGTACGGGAATGGATGGAGGGGGTTTGTACCCGTACCTGCGTCCGTGTGTGCAGTTCGATGTGTGTAGGTAGTGGAGTATAAGGTTAGGTACGCGTTAAGACGGGTTAGGTATAAGTGAGTGGAAGTGAGAAGGGAGAGAGGGAGTGTTTGTATGTATTGTCCACGTATTGCCTGTGTATTTCGGTCTGTTTGCGCAGTCTGGTAGAGATTGCTAACGAAAAGTATGTATGAGTGTCGGTTTTCACATAAAACACGAACGCGCTGCGAGATCTTTTGAAATGACTGAGTCAGGCCTGTTATTTTTTTTTTCTTTCGCGGGACCCCAGTTAGTCGATCACCATTCGAATGTTAAGGGTCTCCTCGTCGTATGATTGGGAGATGGTTCGCTCCGGAAGACCCGAAGGAATATTATGTAGGTAGGTTAGGTATTAGAGGTATGTAATATGTAAGTAGAGAGATTAGGTATCGAACTGCAGGTGAGCTAAGGGAGAACTAGGGGAAGAGGATGTAATAATAATGGAAATATGGAAATAGGAAAGAAAAAAAAAGGGATTATTAAGTTCTTGCAAGGCTCAAAGTGGATGTAAAGGACAATGCATCCGGGTTTACTTTAGGTAATGCAGGGCCAGCTACGTCGATTTGCATGTAGGCCTGTACGTGTATGTCATATACATGTCAACTACATATCTTGGTAGGCTGGTAGGCCGGTAGGTTACCTATCTCAAGTTTTAAAGTTGAATTAATGCAGGGCAGGCAATCCAGGTTAATATGTAAAAGTGATTGGACCTAAGACTCCAGGCAACGGGTAAGTCGGTGACTTATTTCTGAGGTAACCTGTGACTTGTATGTATTAAGCGGCTAGCATGGAACAAATATCAATATAGGTACATGTAACATACGGTATATACATATATCGATACCAAGGTTCCAGTATAACTACATACCTACATGTAATACATGTATGTATTGAATATTGAATGTGGTGACCCAAAATGAGGTCAGCATGTACATGTTTGAATACAGAATACATGCTTGAACTAAGAGCGGCTCTAAGTATATAGGACATGTATCCATCAAATTCAAGTTACTGCAGGTGCCTCCTCCTACCTCTGTAACCCCCTACCCTTCCGGCCGGTTCCTTAACCCACCCCCACCTGCCACCTCGGACAGGTCGGAGCTGCTCGCTTTTGCTTTTTTTACGACCAGAGGTAATTATTTCCGGCTCGAACGGTATCATCAGGTCAGCTAAGTGCAGGTGCATATTAGTGCATGTATTAGAACATTAATTGACTCTACAGTTGATTAAGATTATATACTTTTTTAACCATTATATTTAATATAGTATCATTAGGTATATATACTTACCTTACATACATCATGTACCTAACCGAACCGAACCGCTAATCCTTCAAACTATTCCTAGCTAATCCCCCAATTCAGACTCGATTCCACCTTTTCCATTTCCTTTTTCATCTTAATCCATAATTCTATATTCCCCCTTCAGGCATCGCACCGAACGACAATCAACAAATCAACAATAAACAATCAACCCGTTTCCCCGATGCGCCATTTCTTACTTCAATAAGGTTCTTATGTTTCTTATGTTTCTTATGTTCTTATGCCGGACTGAGTCAACTGACCGACTCTTCCCTTTGTTTTCCCTGCTTTTTTCATCTTTTATCCTCGCCTTCCCACTCTTTCTTCTATTGTTTCTGGATTCTTCCTTTCCATCTCGTAGTTCCGCTTCCGCCTATTCGCACCTATCATATCTCCACCGAACCTCGGACATGCGACATGACATGGCTTATAAATCAAATTTATTATCTTCTTCTTTTTTTCTTCGTAATCGTGGCTTCGGTAAAGTAGTTCACGAGCCGTGATGCATACATAAACTAACCGTGTTCGTTCTCGTTTAATGCAGAGTAGGTGTTGTTATTACTCATTCGGCATCCATGCAGAGAGTTGCGGCATTTCGTATCACGTACAACTAACATCATGAACAATTTCAATGCCGATCGTAGTAGATCCTACAACTCCATTTGACACTCGTAATCTCGTCACTCTGACCGCAGGAACGACTGATCGTTTCCATGTTGGATGGTATAAACCGAAGTTGAACCGTACATCCAGTCTGGAGTTGCTGGCCTTCTGTCATACCTTCACCTTCATCTTTCTTCACCTTTTATCAAATTAATTTGAATGTGTAGTTAGACAATAATTCCAACTATTTTTGTCTAACCTATTTATATTATTTGTTCAAGCTTCTTAAGGTTTAAATCAGCTAGCTTAAGACTCGATGAATATGGCACATTTTCAATTATTATTTGCTGCAACACCTTATATCTCAATTGAGCAATCAAGAACCTCTTCAAAACCCTCGTTTTAGCATGCGGCTCTTTTGTAGTGCTATATTGTACGTCGAATTAAGCTTTTGGTTGCATTGCCACAGTTCTAAAGACCCATCTCCAATCTTGGCTACGTATTACTGTATCGAACCCAGATCGGCACCCTGGATGCGAGATATGCCGCTGCAAGATGGGCATAGGCCGCGTGGCAAGTGGAGGGAACTGCCGAGAGGCTTAGAGAGGCTTAGCTAACAAGGTAGAGGGGGGATCTCGAGCCAGTTTCTAGAATACGCGGAACGGGAGAGCGACGATAGGTTTCCATTGGAAGATAGAGTCAAGTTTTGATAGCATGGGTCCCGAGGATCGATCCCCATTAGAACCTCTATGTAGTACTAAACTCTTAGTAAATGCCACAAGTAACTGCACGGTGCCAGTCTACTTAGAGTAGGTAGGTAAGTAAAAGGGATAAATCCTATGCTTATACGTAAGTATTGGCTCCAGAAGAATAATAAGCTTAATGGATATGCGTACATGTTCCCCGGGCTATAGAAGCTTGCTTCCTAGGAAACATGTTTAAAGATTTATTAGCTACTTATTGGCTACTTATTATCTACTTATATCCCTTGTGAACGCTACAATTCGACGCTACAAATTGGCCATGTACGATATCGTACGATCATGCTAATATGGGCTACTTTCGAGCTCTAGAGAAGCCCTCCTTTTTGACACCCCTTAAACCCGAGGGCAGAATGGGTCACAAGGACATCAGATACCCTCTAGGTAGCTATTTGGCGAATTTAGGGTTAAGTATTACTTTAAAAGTCGCTTTACCTACTGTAAGGCCGTAGATCACTACTGTTTCCGCTGCAATGATCCCTTTCTTAGTGAGCAATGTATTTCAGGGCTGTTATACTCGAGTATTAACACCATCCATCTACTACAGTTGCATAACCCCTTATCCTATATTAGAATAGATCTTGCATATATATACCTGCTACTACGTAAGTAGGGTACATAGGTTCTCACTCCTCAAATATCTAACTTACACAAGTGCAAATCCGGTGATCGCATTTCAACAATTGGTGCCCTTATTTTCCACACGGCCACACAAATACTAGCCATACGAGAATACTATTACTTATTAATATTATAAAGTTCCTTGCAACACTCATTTGCACTTAGCAGTTATACCCAGCCTTAGAAGCATTCACAGTGATACGGCGATCCCGTAAATGGGGTCTCCTTTTCGGGTGAACACCATTTTTACCACGATATATATATGATACCATCGTTAGCTTGTAACTGCATTTTGAAATTGTTCTAATATTAAATACTTTTCATGATAACTCCCTCGAAGATTCGGCATAGTTCTATTCCGTACGTAATCGGACCTTAGGCTCCGACCAGTTTTAACTTCCACAACTCAAGATCAATATATCAAACGACGCAAAGGAACTCACTAGGAACATGCTATTTAATGGCTAGTTAGAACCAGGTCAAACAATAACTCAACCAAATAATATCCCATTGAGAAAAATCTCGCGTAAACTAATAAGTACCAAATATGAGCTGATGTTTCTTATAGAGTAACACTTTCAGTTCAAGTGAATACCTGATATAGAACTTTAGGTGGCAGAAAATAGTTCTATACTCTAAATAAGACTAAGTAGGGTCCGATAGAGAAAATATAGAATGATATTGCGAAAACACAAAGAGGGGAATATATTGACGTTAAGATGACGTCTAAATTTCTAATCGGAAATATATCGTCAGAAGATATTTATAAGCTCCGTGTAGCTACTAGGTACATACTGCGTGATATGATACTCTGCACCTATTCGGTACGTATGACGGATTATACTATATAAGCTTACAGTAAATAAATACTCTTTCGATAGACTTGTTGATCAATAAAATTTAATATCATGTCTTGTCATATCATCGCGGCTTGTGCGTAGAGCTCGCATTGCACCATTATCAGTTGGAAATGTTGAGGGGTACCAGACTGCAATCAAGTCACATCGTGTTCATTATACTAATTATTAAACCTTTCACAGAGAATAAATCGCGCTGAAATGAGAATTCTCAAATAGCATACGACAAAAGAGTGACTAGTTGGTTGGTCTGAAGTAATAAATTATTTACATTAAGTTAACATTAAAAAGGTCATGCAAGAGGGCCTGGGCTTCTCAGAGCAATTCATAGCTTGGAGCTGGCAACATCTCTCGCATATAGAATAAGAGTACAACTATAATCGTATTCTGCGTGAATATAATCCCGTCATTTCTATACCGTGGTCCGCACGGCAGCATGACCACATCACCTCGTCATAAAAAACCCAAGTCCTGTTTAGAAGAGGCCGAAGAAGACAGCGGCAAATGCGATCAGAGCACCGGTAGCGCTTGATCCCGCGATGGCAGCACCGGCAGTAGGGATAGCAGTGGGAGCTGGGTTGGTCGAAGAGGCCTCTCCGGTAGGGTATCCAGCAGTCTGGCTTGTGACACTGGAAGTTGTGTTGCCATAGACAGTGGATAGAGTTGCAGGGCCGGTGGAGAGAGCAGGGTAAGTAGCGGCCGGCTGGCTAGGAGTCTCAGCGGGGTAGGTGGGAGCCGGCTGGGTGTTGCCCTCGGTGGGATACGCAGGGGTCTCAGCCGGGGAAGAAGGAGTCTCAGCAGGGTAAGACGGGCTTCCGGCAGGATAAGAAGGTGAGCCTGCAGGAGAGGAGGGTGAGCCTGCAGGAGAGGAGGGTGTCCCGGCAGGGTAAGAGGGAGTCTCAGCCGGGTAAGAGGGAGTCTCAGCCGGGTAGGAAGGAGTCTCGGCAGGGGAAGAAGGATATCCCGCAGGCGATGAGGGAGCCTCTGCGGGATATGAGGGGCCCGGTTGGCTAGGGTATTTGGGGGTCTCAGCCGGGGAAGAAGGAGTCTCAGCAGGGTAAGACGGGCTTCCAGCAGGATAAGAGGGGGATCCTGCGGGATAAGAGGGAGAAGCGGCAGGGTAGGTTGCCGAAGGGTAGGGAACAACGATGGTGGTAGCTGATCCAACGGGGCAGTTGGTGACACTGGGGGCGCACGAGGTGATCGTAGAGATCAGAGTTGTGTACTTGGTCAAAGTTGAGTCACCAGGATAAGTGTTGATACCGGTGGTCGGGTAGACAGGGGCGGAAGCGCTCTTAGATCCAGTAGGGTAGACAGGGTAAGAGGTAACCTCCGACTGGCCACCAGTAGGGTACGAGGGAGTAGAAGCACTCTCGGATCCGGTAGGGTAGACAGGGTAAGAGCTGCTTTCAGACTGGTTGCTAGTCGGGTATGAGGGAATAGAGACACTCGGAGATTTACCACCTGTTGGGTAAGAGGGGATGGAGACACTTCCAGACTGGCCACCGGTAGGATAAGAGGGAACAGAAGCACTCTTAGATCCAGTAGGATAGACGGGATAAGAGCCGCTCTCAGACTTGCTACCAGTAGGGTATGAGGGAACAGAAACACTGCCAGATCCGGTAGGGTAGACAGGGTAAGAGTCGCTCTCAGACTTGCTACCAGTAGGGTAGGAGGGAGCAGAAACGCTCAGGGTCGGGTATCCAGTGCCGAAAGACGCCGTGGGGTAGCCAGTGGCGCTATAGGATTCGGACTCGGTCTCCGGGGGGCAGTCGTCCTCTTCGGAGCTGGTCGATGAGGCAACCGGATATCCAGCTGAGGAAGAAGGGGTGATGACGGGGTACCCAGCGGCAGAAGAGGAGTTGGTAGGGTAAGGGGCCGAGGTAGCGCTGTAGGACTCGGTCTCAGAGTCGGGAGGGCAGTCATCCTCCTCGGGATAAGAGGTCGTAGCATAGTTGGCGTTTACGGAAGCGACCAGCAGGGCGCCGGCGCTAGCATACTTCAATAGGCGAACCATCTTGTCTGATTAATTTTTTAATTCTTCACGTACAAGCGAATGACTGAAGTTGGACTGATCTAGCGATTGATATGCTCACGAGAGGAGGTGAGGGAGCGTGTGATGGGAGAGAAGGAGGAAGCTAGAATGGGTCGAGGTTGGACAGCATGGGCTTTATAAAAGAAAAGTACTGCTAGACTCTTGGAGTCAGCCATTGTCTTCTTTCATACCGTTCCGGCAACCTGGTTCGTTTGCCAAGATCTCCTCTTCGGGTCCTTCTTTCGGACCATTGCAGTTTATTTAGAACAACATGCAGGGATTGACAATGCGGACATAGCCAATGTCAATTTCGGCTGGGACTCCACGAGGCGTGATATGCAGGCACCGGTCAGGGGTGAGTACGATGATGAAAGAAACCCGGTGCATTACATGTGACCTAGTTGGGAAAGTCAGGTTGAGAACCAGGTCTCGCCAGATCCTTCGATCTAGAAGGAAAAAGAAATGGCCGCATTTATGGAATAGTGTATTTTGAAGACATCCTCTTATTGGCGGAATCGTAGATAAACTAGCTAGTTATCCACGCTGCTCAAGCCCGCCTCGCGCTATTGACATTAATGTCCTTGGCTTAACAAACTTCCCCTCTATGTAAGTACAAAGGTTAGGTACGTACGGAGAGCTACATCTTGACTACATCAGTAGACGGCCTCGGTTGTACACAAACAACTGTCCATAGAAATGTTAGCCACTGATATCTCGTTCTTTGAAGAGGAGACTGGTACTCGAAAAATACATACATTAGGTACATATCTCTATGCACATCACCCATCTTTGTACTCACATGCCTGTACACTAGGATGGCAAGATGGATGACACATTAGATATCGTGATTTTGACTTGTAAATGTCATTTATTACCCCTGGCCTAATGCAGGTGTCTTTTAGCTAACGCATTTGGAACCTTCGTCATGGCTTATCTGGAATTTACGAGGAGCAGACGGATCTGGGCTAGTGTTAGACATGGGGAAAATACACTGAAGCCCGAAGCTGAATATTGATAAAAATCCGAAGCCAACTTTAAGTCGGGAAAAAATAGTGCCCTAAGAGAAGAGATTTGCTAGGTATTGATTAGTGTTATCATTAGTCTTGGTACATCAACGGAGCCATAGAAGTGGTGAAAGACTACATGTACGTCCACTATCACATAAATGCGGAGCTGCGGGTATGGGCTTGATACTTGACTGGCGGACTGGTCTCGATCAGAAAAAACAAAAACATTACGTTTCACAGTATGTATATTGTTTTAATCGACTTATCAAGCTCGGAACCCGGAAGCAGAAGCTCATAAGCGGTAAAACATAACGTAACAAAAAGAAACATACCTAAGGCTCAGACACATACTGGGTAAAATAAGTTGTCTTAAATTATGAATTGCCGATCAGTAACGGTATATAAATATATCGATCACGATTAGAGAGTTCTTGTTATGGCTAGTAGCCGTCGGCTATCTGTTCGCTTTGTCTAAAAAACACAAAGCCGACAAAGAACAAGAGCATGTGCGGTCTTGGTAGTGTTCTATGCGGTATGCATGCTAACTTTCTCGTTCGTACAAGGTGACACATGTTTTAATATATCCCAAGGAAAATAGCTGTTACTAGTTGATTGGATTGCGGCTCTGTACCGGCTCCGCCGTCTTTCCTTGGATAGGAAACGAGGACAATCCCGATGTTCATAGTATTTATTAATAACGGAATATAGTCGACTGGCGGACGAGGATTTTGATTGGGGGTTGCTTTGATGATACTGACCACCTAGGTACCGCGAATAATGGCACGAAGCCTTCTAATGTTGTCATGGTTGGCCTTGCAACAACCGCCAACTACGATGGATCTCCAACACTGCTGATTTCGAGCGTGGACGACCACGTCAGCAACTTGGTGCTCCCACGAAGACTAAATGAATAATTAGTCTCATTGCTTAGGACTGCATAATAACACCTCTGGTGGCACTTACTGTGGAAAGTGGTTGGCTAGTTGGTGCGCGCCAAGTTTTTGTTGTGGTGTCGTATACTTCGCCGTTGGTTCCATCGGGATAAAGAATCAGGCTAGGTTGGGCTTTGAGTTTGCCAGTACTTGCCAATCGAGAAATAGCACTTTCATACAAATAAACCAGTTCGGCGACCTTGGCCACCTTTGTGCAATTGATGCCAATTCCCCATGGGGTAATATCCGAATACTCCGAGCTTAGGAGCGCATCGACCACTTGATCGACAAAACTACCATCGGGGAGAGTGTATCCATCTCCAGGAAATACACAAGATATCCAAAATGGGATATCCCCATGGAGAACTGAGGGCGTATTAAAACCGCTTGGTGGTGCACGCGTGAAGAGCTTTCTGATGGCTTTGATTTCGTCGAGCCTGGGGACAGTTTCAAATGCGATGAATCCAATACGAGATCCAAGGCGATCGATCTGGTCGAATAATTGAAAGCGGTCTTTATGCCAATTGAGAAGCTTTTCTAGTGAGTCATGTTCTGCATCGTATTTACCACCATATTCTTGACTCGGAACCATAGTTGCTCCATATGGCCCGATACTTAGAGCAATGTGAGCATTGGGCACCTTGACTTCCTCGGCAATGGAAACAGCAACATCAAGAAAGGGTACAATATCATCGCGGGAAATACCCAGAGGATGATTGGGAGTTTTGGTTCGTGCGAAAGCCTCCGCGGATACTTGATATGTTGCTGTTAGCAATATATCGACGGGGATACTGCCAAAATCCCCTTGGCATGAACGGAGGGTCTCGGGATCATCAATAAGAAGATGAGACGACCATAATGGGGTATTTTCATCAAACTTGACGCCGTATTTATCCTCGAGAGATGTTCCTAACCCTCCATCGAGGAACAAAACGGGTGCAAGCTTGATCTGTGCCATCTCGTTACTTTCCGTACGGAACTCTTCCTATAGATATACCATATATAGCGTTCGAGTAGCGTTCAAGTAGCGTAAGCTGAGAAGAGAAGCTAGTCCACCATTGGTGATATCAGCGAAGACTAGACAGCGAATAGGCTAATTCATAACGAACCATCAGCTTGAGATAGGTAGTATGGCTAGCGATATTCATAAGCTATACGTGTAAGACACACATGATGTAGGTATCACGTGTATATTGTCCTCATCAATCAAATTGATGTGTAAAGGTAAACTTTTGACGATTGAGTGATTTAGTGATTTAGTGATTTGACAAGAGATCGGAAGGCCGGCATCGTGGGGGAAACCTTGGCTGACCTTGGAAGGTGCAGGGCCTCATCTGGGCACCTGCAGCCCTGGAAGCGGGCATTCACATCGACAGGGAACCCCTAGAAACGCCACATGGATACAGCTGAATGAATTGAGTTTTCGGAGAGGATCAACGGAATTCCCGGCACTAGACATGCATCTTGAACAGATCATTACGAACGAATTTGTCTGATTTGTCCAAAGCTTCCGCTAAGCTTTTAGTTGTCTGTTAGCTTATGACCTATGTTGCAATCATCACAGCCACAGTAAACCCGCGTATAATTCCGATATATGGGTACATGTCAGATGCTTGGATGCTGATAGACAGAACCCAACCGGCAAAGCGGCATTACTACCTACATACGATTCCTAGAAAGAAAGAAAAAAACACTTTTTACGCGCTGTCGCGCAAATGAATTCAATTTTCCAATTTCATCTTCTTTTCTCTCCAATTGTAATAATCATCAATAGGTAATTAAGCCTTGCTCTATTAATCTCGCGCGTTTTGTCGTTTAGTATCATCTTCATTCGTATCGCATCGCATAATCATCTATCATTGCCAAGCCTGCTGGCAAGGTAAGGCGACCCAGAAATAAGGTCCCTTTTACTTTTTATTTATCAGTTCCTGTCCCTCCAGTCCGTCATTCGAGTCCTATCGCTACATACATAGTACTTACCTACCTCTATCACTGCTTGTGTGGAGAAGCGCAAAACCCAAACCCACCACCCGCTACCAAGCAATTCTCCAAACTACGACCGCCTCCTTGGCATCCATCATCGCACCTCTTTTTTCGGAATTTCGAACCAACGAACCATAACAAGGATCTTGCGACTTACGCTAACGAACAGGACGGTTTTGTCTGCCGTCGCTCCTACCTTCGGAGCCTGTAGACAAACCGATAGAAAGAGGTACCGTTCTTGACATCATTCGACATTAAGTGCTTAGCGTTCAGCCATTTTATTACGCGACATGTCTGCTCGCGTCGGAGGGGAGGCCGATTCGACGCCTCGTAGCCAAGACCCAGTGTCGCAAGAGGGCGCTAACGGGGTCAATGACGAGAAAAATGTTCAACAGGTCTCCGATGATCATCCAACCCCTGAAGACAGAGCTCATCCGCGTCCTGACGCCGATAATGAGAAGCCAGACGGTCCTCTTCCTCGTAGCAGCACATTCAAGCATAAATTTAAGGAGCAAAAAGAGAAGATCAAGACCAAAACTAAACCTCCCGGCGGCTTTGATCCTACCCCGATCCCTGATGCCCCCCCGGGTTATACCGTGAAATTTACATTTCACCGCGCTGAGAATTTGCCTGCTGCCGACCTTGGTACAGGGTCGTCGGATCCCTTTCTAACTGCCACCTTAACAACTTCACTGCCAAAAAGACATAAAGAAGACCCAGACCTCGTCTACCGGACGCGCACGGTTAGGAAGACTCTTGAACCTCAATGGGAACAGGAATGGATTGTAGCCAATGTCCCATCATCCGGATTCAAGTTGAAGTGCCGTTTATACGACGAGGACTGGCCGGACCACAACGATAGGCTAGGCAACGTAACCATTCTAGTCAATCGCGTTAATGAGGATTGGGAGGGCTTTGGACCAGAAGCCAAAGAATTTGAGGTCAAGAAACGTAGCGGTAGCAAGCGTGCCTACATTCTTAAGGCCTGCATAACTGCATTCGCTAAGGATGTCTCATTAACTCCGAGGCTATATGTAAGTGCTGTTGTTTTGGGCAAGTCGGATCCGCCTTACGGCCAGATGTACACCGTCGGTCCAACCTATTACTTCAAGCATTTCTCACCCATGATAGGCCGGATGATGGGCATAAAAGTGAATAAAGACGAGACTCACGACTCAAATGACTATGATTCGAATGCGGCAGCATCCACATCTCAGGACAATGGCAAGCAGGCGGAAAGGAGGGCTCAGAAGTACGATTTCCAGGCCAACGAAATCCAGCTTGCCGGTCCGGTCCCGGAAAAACTATACCATAGATATGTCGAATTCCGACCCATCATTGGCCTCTTGTTCAGGAGTAGGGGGCTACGCGGTAAGATTTTGAACAAGGCTCTTCACCACCAGCACCACCGCATATACAATTTCGATAGGGGTACGCTTTTTGGTACTTTCGAGCCGTGTTCAGAGGAGGCCAGTCTCCAATTCCTGAAGATGGCACATTACGACGAAGGTGGGCGGATATTCACGTATGTCATTACTCTAGATGGAATCATGAGGTTCACGGAAACTGGAAAGGAATTTAGTATCGACCTTCTCAGTAAACACACCATGCATAGTGATGCCGCCATATATATCGCTTGTTCCGGAGAGTTCTTTATCCGTAGGCTGAAAAAGCCTAGGGTAACCGAGGATCCTGAACCTGGCGAGTCTACTCATCCTGAAGAGCCCATACAGGGCGGACCACCCAAAGAGCCTCCACCGACTAAGCCCGAGTATTACCAGTTGATCATTGACAACGATAGCGGTACTTATCGACCTGATAAGTCGGTGCTACCAGATCTGAAGAAGCTGTTAGAACGTAACTTTCCCGGCTTAGGTGTCGTGACACTAGCGTGCGATGATCCGGAAGACCAGAAATTAAAGGCGGCCCAGGTCAAGGTGAAGAAGAGGGAAGGTCGCACGATTAATATGGTGCTGAACCGTAGCCCTAGCGCGAGCTCGTTCAGTTCCGACGACATCAGCGACCTTGAGGATATGGAACGATCTGGAGAAATAGGACGTAGGAGTAAAAAGGAAAGAGCGTGGGATCTGCTTGAGGAGCCGAGGCGGATCAAGGAGTTGGCAGGTAAAAAGCACGCAGACGCAGTGTCAAGTGGACCGAGCGGTAGTGGTGCGGCCACTTAATGAGTCGATCTTTTTTTTTTTGGTATTCCAATTTTTCTTGAATTTATTCCTTTTCGATTTTCCAATGGGGGAATCGGCAGCCGGCCGCTTGGCATTTCGAGTACAATGGGCGGCTGATCTGGCTCCAGTCACTAAAAAAAAAGTCTGACTGGTTACTTTTTATGACGATCTTCTACACGAATTTTGATTCCCCAGTTGTTTTCTCTCATGGGATGGAACGCGTCTCACGACGTGGGCGTATTAACACCTATGATGCTTTGTAATACCTATTATACTCATACATACTCATACATATTCTCATTCTCACATTGAATTAGGCGAATAATGAACCAATGAAAATTTCCTCTGTTTACTACATAGGTTAGGTACCTACCTACCTATCAGTCTATTTCTAGTGTTCCTCATTCCCGTTCTGTACTATCAGAATCTAGACTCTGTGGGCCTTCGTACGTCGCTAACGAATTTCAGCTCCCCACTTGGTCAGGGGACAACAGACATCCAGGGTCTAGCAACATTCGAGACCACAACCTTAAACTAGCCTCCTCGCCTTAATCACGTTCATCAAGTCTAGACGGTAGTGTCTATACTGTGGGCCCATGGTGGATATACTACTTGGTGTATTCGAATGCAGCAATGTGCCGCGTTCACCACGTGCCGGAGATTATTTATGTGGTTCTAGACGGTGCGTAGCTAAGTCGTTAGCAATGAATGCCCTTATAAGACGGATCTTCCATGTTACACGTCGATACTAAGTCAAATAACGCTATATTCTGATAGCTGGCCGCCCGGAGTTCTACACGACGATTGTCTATAGCGTTATTAACCCTCAACTAGGTAGTATTTTAGTTCAACTTACTATGAAGAGATCGTACGAGTACATAGGTCTTGTTCCGTTCTGTCATGGCAGCTTGTTAGTATTGAGCTGAACGAAATCCCCACGGAGGAATTGTGCAATAGGTATGCCAAGGACTTCTCGTGTTTTCATGCTTGTTATATGACCTCGTGTTCCACTTTCTCTCCGTACGCTTAAGTTAATGCGTTTATGAAAAGGAGTCAGATTATAGGCCAATTGAGGCTCTGGCAACTGTTATCCTAAACATGAGACAACATTGCCAATATTCGCACACCTTTAGATACATGGCAACCTGCTAGTTATGATCCAATCCACCCTGATAGAGAAATTTAGGAGCAGTTTTCGGTTCGACGTCTCGGTCGTTAGTTTAAATAACAAGAGGAGTACTCTAAATCATAATCTACGATGTGTCCTACCGAGTCATTGAACAATTGCAACTATACAAACAACGCGAAGCTTCGTTCAGGCGAGTAACGTAATTAAAAATAATATTTTAACGGAAATCTACTCGAAAGATCAACAATACGCAATAGGCTCAAAGGTCTTTCCAATGCGAAATCTTGCTTTCTACTTGCAGATGCCTGATAAGCAAGGTGTTAGATTGTCACATATATTAGAAGGTATGTCCCAACTAAAGGTTGTAGCTTTTTGTATAAAGATACTTTTTTCGTTTGTCGTTCTCTGCCAGGGTAGAGGGGTCTATCTACAGTATGAGGGCTCACAGCGCCCTCATAAAAGAATAGAAGCCAAGCGTTACTAAATCAATATACTATACCACTTGGTCTACACTCAACCTACCACAATATATCTTAGGTATACTTACAATGAGTGCTATTTAGTCATCCACACTGTACCAACAACGATGGCAATATCATCTGTTAAATATAGTGACACACTAATGAGTGACCTGTAAATATGTGATAAGATCCTAATATTTTAGAGTTCAAGTGTTAGGCTTTTCACTTCGTCATGTTACAGTTTACAATTTAATCCTAGAGACGAAAGGAGTCACGCCAGGGGTATTAATAGGTATTTCAAACGACTCTTTCCACCATAGGGCTTTTTCGAAAGCTGGTCAAAGTGCCTAGTTTATTTGCATACTTGCCTAAAAATCTAGTCATCAACTCGCCTTTTATATATGTGTGATGATACTTCAATCTGAGCCTTGAGATTTAGCTAAACCATTATGTAGCCTCAAGTCATGTTGTCTGAACTGCTATGTTTGATGATTAAGATGACTAGGAAAACATTCATGACGTGTATAGAATTGATGTTAGTATCACGGTGACCGGAATGAATACAGCGCACGTCTTGGGAACTACACAGGTATGAATTTGCATTTAATACCTCTAAAAATGGGTTGACTCGGAGAATCCTCTAAATTACAATTAATATACCACCTTCTACCAATTTTGTATTCGCATTTTCACTCAAAATTTATCCCTAAGCTATGGACGAGAAGTTCTTACATGCCCACGAGGCCATTGCCTTCGCCCGCGAAAACTCGACATACTACAAGCGTCTATACCAATCAGTTCAGAAGGATGATCCAGATCTCGAGGACGTGCCAATTATCTACCCAGATGACTACTGGAACTCAGCAAGAACTGACCTTTCCAGTGTCATGACCGGACCATTCACTACCGGGAATATTCATTGTATAAGCGGACCTACCAACAAGCTTGAGCTTGTACAACTATCAAGGGGAGAGGAATTCAAGCTTTCCAGGGCTAAGTCTATTTTATGGCAAGAAATTCTTGAACCTGAGAAAGTAGAGCGTATTGCCAATATTATGAGCCCCCATGACCTTCATATCGGCTTTTGGGATACGGTAAACATATCCAATGGATTGCTTGTCCCAGAGTTAGGAGTCCAACTATTTATATCAAACGAAAAGACAGTGGACAGGATTATGGAGGAAGTTGAAAGATTCCAACCCAACATTGTATTCGGATCACTACCCGACATCTTTCGTCTTAGCGAGCACCTTGGCGAAGGACATCACACATTACCATCGGTACAAGCCATACTATACCTTGGGGATACCGTACCCAGGGATATTATTCGGTCGTTACATGCTGGATTCCCGAATGCTAGACTCTATGCACCGCTGTACGACAAACCTCAGCTAGGCCCCCTGGCTTTTCCAGGTGCTATTCCAATTATGATTGACCGGGATATCAACCCGATATATAGGGTATGCGATTACGTTGTAGTCATGGAAATAGTGACAGATGACGGTACTGTTATCAAACAAACTGGTGTCAAAGGAAACATTATCATCACGCATCTGATACGTCGCTTGCAACCTCTGATAAGATACCCAATCGGCGACGTTGCGGAATGGGTAGACTATGGCTCTCGAATTTTCAAGTATTGCGGCAAAGCATCAACCAAGATCAAAGTTGCCAACACTATCTTGGACTGGTCTACATTGAAGGATATCACTAGCGATGTCATGAAGACCAATGTCAGTGGACGATTCCAATGTGTCCTGCGCCTCCAAGATGGCTGTCAAAAGCTTGTTCTCCGGCTGGCATATCCGAGGCCGTTAGAAGCGGGAGAATTTCGCCATAAGATTGAAAAGGCACTATGGAAAACATCTTCGACGTGGAAAAACGAGCGCCAGGCGGGTGTTATTTTATGCCTTCGCTTGGAGTGGGTCGATGATATACTACTTTGTGTTGGGGAAACTGGAGAATTACTCGATGTGGTGGATGAGCGTTAGGAAATATCCAAGTAAGTCCTGGCAGCCAAACCCGCCAGATATAAATGGTAAATTAGAGCACATTCACCATTATTCTATGAGGCACAATAAATAATTTCAGATATGGTGTTTATTATCTATAAATATCTCGACTTTTGAGTGCTAAGTTTTATGATGTTGGGATTATGGTCACGTGACAATGGCACCTAGCATTGTCATGTGACCAAGGGTTGGGCCCCACCCACACCCTAATCCAATTGTATTTAGATTCCCCCACTTTTCGTAGATCTTCCTCTTTCATCATCAATCAATACAATAAGACATCACTTTTACTACAAGGGTAATTGGTGATACAAAGTAACTGAATCGATTCCCCAGTCAATCCAACATATGAATATCACTTTAGCTAGGAGTTCCCTCCCTACAAAATCAAAGCCCTTTTCAACACGCAATCATATTCTTCTATACAGGTCCTTTTACGAATATAAAGACTGCATTAAACCTCTTATGGATAGTTCTTGTCAGGGTATAAGTGGGTCAGGGGTAACTGCAGGAGTCTATTTACTATATAAGAAGCGTTACTAGTTCAATCGATCTATTCTAACATTCTCTCTATGTATAGCATCTATAAAGTGTATAAACTCTAACAGTTCCAACTATTTTTCTTTTCTTTTCTATTTAAAGCAGCTGAAAAGCAATCACTTCGAAATGGATTAGTTAACTCACTTCATTACTTACTTATTACGAAGATCAATATCCTCGAGTTCAAACTCATCTGGATGTACAAGTGGCTGCTTTGGTGACGGCTTTGGGGATCTTTCCCCTTTGGCTATGTTGGTAAATGAAGGTTTTCTTCGCAGCTCTGGGTTGCCTGTCGCACCATCAGCAGTCTGCCGCCTCTGCATAGTCGGACGACCATTAGGCTCTTGCACAGGCTGATGGGCCGGCTCAGGTATAGTAGGTTGAGTGTAGGGATTGTTAGAAAAGTCGAATCCTGAAAAATCACCGGCTTGGGCCGGCGGTAGTGGTTGCGAAGTCTGATTGTGGGCTCGCGTCTGAGCTTCGAGGTCTCGCACGAGCCGTCTTGCACGAGCCGACCTTTTCTGTTTAGTTTTCTTGCAGTCGAGAACACACATTATTATGCAAAGACTAAGAAGGATAGCAATTATAATCCCACCGGCAATCATACCCCCGTCCAATATGTCGTCACTACGCTCCTGATTATCAGCCGACATGTTGATTGATAGTTTGTGGGTTTGATTTGGTAAGTATGGCTTCTAGAATATAATTTGAAGTATGATATGGTTTGTTATTCGTTCCGAATGATGACACATAATGACCGAGAACAGATACTCGCCAGTAGATTAACCTACTTAATATATTTGAACTACACAATCAAACAAAATATCGTATCGACTTGAACATTCGCAAAGGTTGCGGTTGTTTAAAATCAATTTATACGTTTGAAAACACGATTTAACGTATACGAATATCAATATAAAACTGTTGTGTAAAGTTTTCGTAAAGTTGCTGGTTGTTCATGGACAGAAGCTTTGTTCTATATATTACTAGGTAGCTACCTATTAAGTAAGAGTTTAAGAGTAAATATTTTTGATGCAATAGTAAAACCTTTCTATTCGCCTCCTTGGTCTTCCCCTATGTGATTGTTCATTACGATAAAAGTATGAAAATTACAATCCCGCCATCTGCTTGTGCTTCCGAGGTACGACAGGGCCTGAGATAATTCTCCACTATAGAGCTGCAAGGAGTAGCACCAATCAATGCTCAGCTAAGACTTAGCAATTACCTATCATGGAAAGCTGCAAGCTACCCCTGGCCAGTGAGACCTTGTCAGTGCCATCGAGTTATCTTCTTACCTTACATACATATATGCAGTTCATATTTATGTCTTTTACATGTGGTTAACCTACCTAAGCAGTGTTCACCTCGGATACTACTTCTTACGTTGTAGCCCTGGAGTTTAGGCCCGTGCCTTATCTATCTTCGTGCAGTTAATTCCGATTGGAAAACCCCGGTAAGACAAACCACGCCACATTACCTGCAGTCTCCTTGCATAGATTTATATTATCATCCATGCTGCTAGAGAAATCACCATAGATCATTAGTAGTTATGTATTCTTCCTTACTTTATTAATAGTTTTTATCAGTGAAGTCATACATAATATGGAATTAAGACATATTGGAGAAAGCTTCCACATCTAGAATGGATATGTCATCTTCTGGGCTACGAAGGATCATTCTCTCTCATATGAGAATATACCAAGATAGGAAGAAGTAACAAGACTTGGAAACTCTGGGCTTCAATGCATTATCATGTGGAACCCGGCCGGCCTTACCAGATGCACGATAAGAAGCGTCTCTCCCCGACTTTGCTCAATAGGTAACGTAATAGCTCGATAAACAGAAGAAGCATGGGATCACAATACGTAGCATCAATGTAAGTTAGCCCAACCGTTGTGGAACTTTCAACTCTATCGAGTCTATGTAAATAGCATTGTTGCATCGACCATATCTGTAGCGACTGATCCAAAATACAAAAAGATTATATCTATATCGAACATTCGATGATGGCATTAATGAGAAAAATTCGGCTTAAATTACAACCAGTCGAGATGTTTACCTTCTAGATACATTTATCGAACTATATGGGGTACGCTAACATGGGGCTGGGTGTTCGACCTTATTCGGGAAGGTAGCGGATCATCGGCTTGTGATCTGTATGGATCATTAAGAGATCTAGGCGCGCACTCGGGGTTACGCCGCTGACTCGTGGAACGCTACTCTATTCTCCGATCGATGGAAAAACAGGGGAAAGCAGGGTATCTCGAGAGCCTCGTGCCTGTAATTTTAGGAATAATGATGCACGTCAGACGGGTCCGTCCGACGGTGATATTCTCCCCCCTAACGGATATGAATTGGCCGGAATTAGTACCGAGCTCTACGATGGTAGTTGATGCAAGCGGCGGCATTTAGTACGGCCCTAAGTATCTTAGGTAGGAGAGTGTAATTGAACTAACAGAGATTTATTCAGGTGCCGTTAGGGTCCTTATTTACGATGGCTATGATGACATTTCTCAAAATTATTATGGTTGTGTAGTAGGTAACGCTGAGTTAAATCTGGACCTGGCGGTACACGTTGCCGGATACCGTTCGGACTGGAGACGGGTTTATGAGTTTACTTGAAGGGGGTGTGATCTTCACTCGAATATTTACAGGGGGGGCGAAGGCTGGGGGGGAAGGGGAAAAACTCTGCTGGAGATTTCAGGGCTGGCCGTCCAAAGTCATGTATTGTGTATTGTCACATGCGCTATCAATTTACCGCGCGACACCTGTCTTTGGTACATGAATGATGCATGCATCTGCAAGTTGGCTGCGAGTTGTCTCTTAGACGCCTCAGCGTCTTATACAGCACCGTCGTAATGCGGGGCAGACGCGGTACTTGTAAGTGATCCCCGAGGGGAGCTCTCCGTAGTTTCCGGCTTAGTCCGTCCCGGCATTCGATGAGTAATTAGTCCCTGGTTCGAACGGGATCTTATATACCTAAGCTTAATTTATAAGATGTGATGTACCAAACTTGATACTCGGATAGGTCAGTGAAGTTATGTAAAATATATTAGGGATTGATCACGTTATATATACCCGTGAGTTGCTCATTCATAGAGGCTATTTATCAACTTACGCGTTGCTGATCACTCATAATGAATACGAATAACGTTATACTCTCTGAGGTATAGTATATATATTTCTATATGTAAGAAAACATGCAAACCGCTACTCTCAATGCCGACTGCTCGGTAATTGCGGCAGCGAGAGATGATCACATCATGTTGTATTACCTGTAATATAATATAAAAGCCTGCTGGACTTGCCGTGGAATTCCACTCGAGATACTATGTGCAATCTGGAACGAGAAACAAGCTCAGTCTTGGCTTCTTGGCCCTTTATATATTCTGGGCATTGATAAGGAGAACATAAGGGGGCATAAGGGGGGCTAATTACCGGATTAGGAAGGCCGCCCATTGGGCACCACGCGACGTGAGCTCAAGACTACTTCTCGCAAGAAAAGCAACGGCTTGGCGCAGATGTCCGATACAACATCATGATACTGCTTGCTAGATTTTCTTTCTCCACGCTATTGGGTTCGACTCTTAGCCTGTGTTGCAACCGGCCGCCCGAATCCACCACATCCTAGGGCTTTACTTAACCTCATCCTTGCTCCGATCCCCGGTTCGGATCTAGGCTCTAAGTCATGGGCTGCTACCTCAACCCTGGAGAGCTTAGAGACCCCATATGTCCCAAGAGCTTACACTTGCACCCGCCACCGATCCCTGCGGAAAAGTAGCAATGCCTCTTCATACCTAGGAAACAAGCTCTACTAACTACCGCGCTTCCCCAGCCCATGATAGCGTTAAGATCTCACCCTGCATGTCATGTTGGCGCTGCAGGGCGGTTGAAGAACAAGGGTCCTTGATAAGATATAGACAGCTTCGCCTAAGTCATCAGGGTCCCCTCACTACGGTTGGCCAATACTTGCTGGAGGGCCGCTTATTACAAACTACATCGTCATCTAGCCTGTCCGACTATATCGCCGAATAAGACCCTAATGCCGTATAGGAGATCTGCGAGTTTCCTACCAAGGAAGGTCATGATCGACGGGCACGAGATATATCGAGGCTCAGATGAAGTCCTCACCATGATAAATAGTCGTGATGCCCTCGACTTGAAGAGATATTCTGTTCCTCATCACTCGCAGACAACTCAGCTTCAGATCATTACCCCTTAGTACTTCCACCTTGACTTGCTCCAACATGCGTACCGCCGCCTTCTTTGCTCTCCTGCCTCTGGCATTCGCTGCCCCGGCTAAGCGATCCGCGCCAGCTCCCCTCATCAAGCCTCGAGGATCTCAGGTCATCGAGGGCAAGTACATCGTCAAGCTCTACGAGAATGCCGCGATCACAGCTCTTGATGATACCATGAGCACCTTCCAGGGTGATGCCGACCACGTCTACAACGTCGAGGGCTTCAAGGGCTTCGCCTCGTCCCTGACGGCCGAGCATCTCGAGCAGCTTCAAAACCACCCCGACGTAAGTCACACAGTAGACTCATTTATCAAGGTCCACTCAAGATCTAACCAGTTCGCAGGTTGAGTTCATCGAGCAGGATGCTGTCATGAGCATCAACGCCTATGTTACCCAGAGCGGCGCCCCCTGGGGCATTGCGCGTCTATCCCACAAGACAGGCAGCAGCAGCTATGTCTACGACGCCAGCGCCGGTGCTGACACTTGCGCCTACGTCATCGACACCGGTATCTACACTACGCACTCGGTATGCATGACTCGTGGAACTCGTATCGATATTTACTAACAAAGATTTAAGGAGTTCGAGGGTCGCGCTACCTTCTTAGCCAACTACGCCGACAGCTCTAACTCTGACGGTAACGGCCACGGCACCCACGTTGCCGGCACTATTGTAATACACCCCCTATCCCTGAGCCAAGCCCATTCGGCATGCTAACCATTTTCATCCCAACAGGGCAGCAAGACCTACGGTGTTGCGAAGAAGACTAAGCTGTACGCTGTCAAGGTTCTCGACTCTAGCGGTTCTGGTTCTACCTCTGGTGTCATTGCTGGCATGAACTTCGTTACCTCCGACGTCAAGACCCGATCCTGCCCGGCCGGTGCCGTCGCCAACATGTCTCTTGGCGGTGGTTCTTCGTCCTCGATCAACAGCGCTGCCAAGGCTATGATCAATGCTGGAGTTTTCTTGGCTGTCGCCGCCGGTAACGACAACCAGAACGCTGCCAACTCCTCGCCTGCCTCTGAGCCCAGCGTCTGCACTGTTGGTGCTACTACCTCGTCTGATGCTCGTGCCAGCTACTCCAATTACGGATCTGTGGTTGACATCTTCGCCCCTGGTATTTATCCCAAGTTTATGAGCTAAATATTACCTGTGCTAACAAATTAAAAAGGCAGCTCTATCCTCTCCACCTGGAACAACGGAAACACTGTGAGTTTATTTACTAGTCTAGTCGCTACATTAGGCGCATAAACTAATTTTCATTTTAGAACACCATCTCCGGAACCTCCATGGCCACCCCCCACATTGCTGGTCTCGGTGCCTACCTCCTAGCCCTCGAGGGCAAGAAGACCCCCCAGGAGCTTTGCAGCTACATCGCTTCCACTGCCAACAGCGGTATCCTATCTAGCATTCCGTCCGGCACTGTCAACAAGTTGGCATTCAACGGCGCTCCTTCATAAAGGATGTACAGGGATTTTAGTGGCTATTTTGTAATGGGATTGTTGTGATGATGCTTGCATGGGACTGGTGGTGATAGCCTCATATTATTGGCCTCCGATATTTTACCGATTGCTGTTTTCTAGATACTGAGGGTGGCATGTAGCTTTCAGAGCTTTGAACCAAACCAATGCTACATAATAGTTCGAAGTCGGGGACCTGCGGGTTTGTTGGGGACATGGTTCGTCCCCACGGCTATTCGTATAGCCTAGGAAGGGTAGAAATATACGCTGCCATTGGTTACCACTCTTGGAGCATGATTTGCATCTACCATATGAATTAGCCGCGACAGAATAATTGACTAATACATTGAGAAACTCATCTCATCGCCCGTGTCTTCAACCCCTGAAATATGTGTGAGATTCCCCGCACATCGAGTATATACATACCTAAATGAGTGAATGCTTACAACACCGCAACAATGTTGCGATTGACGCTCTCCAATATAAGTGGGAATTACTCACGCGCCGTTGGAGCCGGCATTCAGGATATATCGGAGAACCGCAACTTGTTCGGGATACCTAGCTGGGATCTACGATCACAGGGAGATGGATAGGTTTCGTACAAATTAATAAGTAAGGTAAATCACCCACCGGGATATAATAAATCGACGACCCTAGCCATTAAGAAACGTAGAGTCATTCATTATGCTCCAGGATGACGAGTTCCCGTGAGCACGACACCCCTACAGCACATTAGAAAGCCTCGCATATTTTACACGGAACTTGCGCACCCATTCGTACTAATTCTTGGCACACAAGGGCATCATGGATGGAGTGATCAGGATATACTGAAGTATTCATATGTAAGCAATGGTATTTGGGACATATATTTATACTACCAATAAGCTAAATAATAAGGGGCTAGCTGGTTGTAGAGTTAACACAAAAGCGGCTGTTAAGAAATGTATCGCCAAAGGAATCTAAAGTGATTCTATGACTCCTTGTTCGAAGGCTAAATGAATATTCCCCGAGACACACTATTAAGTAAGATGGGAAATATATATCACCGTCGAGGGAAGCAATCTGTGTGGGTATGAATGTTCAAATGGGTGGTCAATGGGACTGCTATCAGGTTCAGTACGAGGCATCTATCGTACCAAGAACATGTATAAGTCAAGCTTCCCCTTTCATTCGTGAAAAACCCTAGTTAGTCAATGAAGTCGCTCATAGTGCTTATATACCGTATTACTTTCTGCATATTTTATGAATATTACCAGAACTATATTATGAGGTAAGACTAAGATGCTATTTCAAAATGTACTTCAGCATCCTTAGTAGCTTATTCTACCCCAACAGACATCTGTCTATAAGATATTGGCCATACTCACTATTCGCTCTTTACTATTTGGATGTTTATATAATGTCATTTAAAAGATCTAAAGACGTCGAAGGGACGAAATCAAAGCGCTTTCGAGTTACTTCAGCTTGCTTAACTGAACTAGTAGCCGTATGACCTATGTTATGAAAGGGGGGATAATCTCAGTGGTGTTATTTTTGGGAGTTGAACTATAGTATTTTGAATAATTTAAATCTCTCTGAATGTTTCCTAGAAATCAAAATAAATGTTCGTCGAAGAATTCTCAGAATAATGATTCAAAAAACAATTAGCTGGTAGTCTTCGTGGACTTTGTTAATGCCACTGACTACCTTGTAAATATGAGTTCAATAGTTTTTGGTGAGAGTTATATGGCTTATGTTCAACAAGAAAATAGTGAATACCATATAAAGCCAACATGATTAAGATTAATATCTATAATCTAAAGTAAATATTACGAGTTCCTAAGTCACAGATTCATTCTCTTTCTTGTATGTACTTCGTATACAGGCACCTTTCACAGCTGTGGGGACGCTAGAAAGTACTCCGGATCTCGGTACCTGCTCGTGCGACAGTGGCTCCATGATAGATAATTCCGTATCGGGGCTAGGGTCTCCCACTGATTCGGATCGGAGAGATCCACTAGTGCGCCTCCTAGACCCCTGGTTAGGTAAGGATATCAAATTGTCTAAACCTGTCTAACCTGGAATAAACCTTGAAACCTTTAAAACTCCTGAGTCGTAAATGTTAACGCCCGACGTTGATCGAACGATTCAACGTATTGTCTAATATTTCTTTCATTCACCACATCTCAATTCTCAATGCTATTCTTGGTTTATTGTTAAACAAAACTTCTGTATTAAACCCCCTTTAGCTTGAATCTCCTTCTTGGACGGGCCATACACTGCGACCACTGCGACCTGCGATACGAATTTTCAGCTACGCCTTTACCTTAACACTCGTTTACCCACGTCCGAAAATGGCGCGGCATCTTTCCGTCGTCGTCATCTTGGCGGTTGCGGTTTTCTTAATCTTGTCTTTCATGACATCTTTCGGTGGGAAAACCGAGCAAATACGACAGGTGTTACCTGCGGCGGGCTTGACCGAACGGCCGTTAGGTGCTGCAACTGCGATCACAGCAGATACGAAAGCACACGTAAAAATAGATTCGGCCCCTGACATGAAAGAGGACGTGAAAACAGATGCGAAAGCGAATGTAATACCAGACCCGAAATCCGACTTCCCTTCATTGTCGAGCGGAATCCTTTCAGGAGGCGCAATTGCCCCGAAACTTGAAAACGCCACCATCAAGTACGTATACTTCCCAATTCCACAATGAATAATACATACGTCATCTTGTATATTCTTTAGCTTAGAATGTGTATCATGAATTTTGCTAACTTGTCTTGGTTCCATGTAGAGCTGAACTCGGCCGTTCGACCTGGAAATTCTTCCATACCATGATGGCGCGATTCCCCGATAAGCCCACCGAAGACGACTCCCTCGCGCTTAAGACTTTCATCCAACTATTCGCGCGCCTGTACCCATGCGGCGACTGTGCGCGACATTTCCAGAAACTTCTCGCCCAGTATCCACCTCAAGTCAGTTCGCGCAGCGCGGCTGCGGGGTGGGCATGCTTCGTACATAACCAGGTTAATGAGAGGCTGAAGAAGCCCATCTTTGACTGTACTCCCGAGAAGCTCGGGGATTTCTACGAATGCGGTTGCGGGGATGACAAAAAGGAGGCTGCAGACAGCATAGGGGAGCTGAAGTTGGAGAAGGATGGGTGAGTATCTTCCTCCGTGAAGACCATATTTAATATCGTTCGCATACTAACTTTCTGGCTAGATTGACCAGGGGTGGTTAATTGTATAATTACACAATATCAATACACTGTTTCTGGAAGCATAGCGATTGGGAGTTCTTGGTGGTTGGTTTTGATCTTAGAATAGGAAATATTAAGCTTATTGTAGTTTGTATGCGTTTACAGTGTCTAGAATATCAATATGTTGTTGTCTGTCGTATTGTGCTTTCTAATATGCAAACCTCAAATCTCAAAATGATCTTTAAAAATCGGTACATACGTGCATATGCAGGTACACGGGCTTAAGTATCTTATCGATTCCAGATTTAGATATCTTATCATCACATACGTACCATATGATAGAGACCACGTGACCTGTATATGGGGTTTGTATCCAAGGCTAACAATAGCTCCCGACCTCCGACCCCAGCCTTGCGCGTCGGAGCTGCCTTGAGCTTGGTCAAACAATCATTGAAGCTGTTCCTGCCGTCAATCCACCAACCCACCAACCCACTAAGCTTCTTCAGCTTCTTCAGCTTCTTTCACCACATTTTCTATCGACAACAACAAAACCTTGTTCATACTTTTACAACCATTACTCCGACCTTTGCTTATTGAAATTACGCATCTTTCTTTATCCCCGCCTCCAGTCTACAATATGGAGTTTGGCAACAGGGGTGTCTTAAATGAGGGTACGTTGTGATCGTTAGCTATCGAGACTCGGGTCCGGAGAGGTTCAACTTAGGCGCGCAGAGCTAGACTAACAAATTGTTAACTAGATGGAATCCATGTGGATATGGAAAGACTAAAGAAGGGCGAGGTCAAGTAAGTACTATGAAATAATCTATAATAATACCCAACCAACCAACTAACTGATTATCAGCCTCGGAACTTCGATGTGAGCTTGACTTTGCCGACCTATACCGGGGAATAATCGTGAATTAACTTGGTGCTAGCATGGCTGTGACATTCAAGGATGGTGTCATTCTCGGTGCGTGCGATACCTTTATTTTCAATAATCAATAACAAACATACTGACATCGCCTGCTGCTTTCAGGTGCTGACTCGAGAACTACTACCGGAGCATACATCGCGAACCGAGTTACGGACAAATTGACCCAGGTCCATGACACTATCTGGTGCTGCCGATCTGGTTCGGCCGCCGACACACAAGCCGTGGCTGATATAGTCCAATATCAGCTTGGTCTATTCGCGATGCGAAATGGCAAACCCCCTACTACCCAGACGGCCGCGGCCATCTTCCAAGAGATCTGTTACTCGAACAAGGACCGGCTAAGGTATGTTCATATATATATAATATTGCAGCCCATCTGTGAGGCTCATACTTATACTAATGTGACTGTCTTACAGCGCAGGTCTCATTATCGCGGGTTGGGATGAGCGACACGGCGGTCAGGTCTACTCTATTCCTCTCGGAGGCTCTCTACACAAGCAATCGTATGCGATCGGCGGTTCCGGTTCGACTTACATTTATGGTTACTGTGATGCGAACTGGAAAGAGGGAATGGAAGAGCAAGATGCTGTCAACTTCGTCAAGGGTGCACTGGGCGAGGCGATTAAGTGGGATGGCAGCTCAGGAGGAGTTATTCGTATGGTTGTCTTGACGAAGAAAGGGGCAGATAGACACCTGTACTTGCCTGACGAGAACTACGAGGTGCGGCATCAATAGATCCCATTAGACATGGAAACATAGGCGAGACCCAATAGCGCTTTGAGGGTTAAGTATGCCTCTCCATATCTGTACAATATCACCCGAATTCACGTGTCGCAGCCACTGCAAGCTACGCGGCGATGATTTGATATGAGGTCAATAGAAGCTTTGCAATGAGGTGTATTGGATTTCCAATCTCTTGGGTGATCAAATAACCAATCTGTGGCAACACCCCCGTGAATGGACGGATGGATTCTCAAATGCTGCAGGGTTGGGGGAATTTTGAGCTCCAATCCTTGGCAGCGCGCACACAATAAGGCGGTGAGCGAGATATATTATGTAGGTACGTACGGCATCGAACAAATCATATAGCTCAGGTTGTCACATGGCGCGACGGGATATCGCCAATAGAGTCGCAATTCGACTGACGAGTTGAAAGTACATAGTAGTTGGGTCACTCTGACAATACCTGACTTACCGACCTGTCCTAGATACCTCCCTATCATGTTGCAATCTCTTGCAATCTCTTGTAATCTCTTACAATCTCGTTACTGATAAGTGAAGGTTAATCTCGGGGTGAGCCGGGTTACGTGGAAATTTGATTCAGATTAAACGGTATGTTGGCTCTACGGCCGGATGGACAGACAGCTTTCGTTGAGCTTCCGAAGCAGAGCGATAGATAATGAGAATATCTGATTTGAAGCTACTTTGTAATATATTCAACTAACCTCTCGCTTCGTCTATCGTCATTAGTGCTACGTTAACGATGCCTAACGCACCTGAGGTGTGATCATGATCACCTACCTAACGTAGGTACTCTAAATGAAGCCGCGGTAGTAACTCTTATGCTTCCCTTCGGGTAGTCATTTAGCCTAAACATCGAAACGCGAATAGAGAGCAACGTCAAGTCTTGGCAAGCGTTGCTGCAAAGCGACTGTAGGAATGAACAACTATTAAGATATTTCCGAACCCTGCATCTCACCGTTTTCGAGGTGAGAAAATTATTCGAGCGGTGGAATAGGGGGAGACGGACGTGCTTAAGAGAGTTTATTAGCCAAAAGGCCCGTCCCGTGTTTTTATTTCCTTATCTGATCACTCAAAAAACTCGTGGGGGTTAATGGAAGAAGAAGCTTACGAGCACGATGATGCCATCAAGTAACATCTGCTTTTCAATTTTTGGGACGCCGCATTGTCAGCCTCTCGAATCGGACAGGGGGGGAGCCAGCACCCGCCATTGCCAGGCTCTTGGCACGGGGATAAAGTGCGGGATGGTATTAGTTACCTATGATACGCATCTACATACATGGGGCATGGAATTATACTACCTAGTAAGTACATTTATGGAGAGTGGATTTTCAAGACCAAGAGATCTTGGTCGGAAATCGACAGCAATAGATACCATGCGACCATAAAGGCTTAGACTGAAGATGCTCGTGAAAATCATGGAGTGAGATCGGCATACGACGTGAAGGGTTAATCTAGAACGAGGTCCCTGAATCGTAGACGCCGAGAATGGGACCGGACTAGAAGAACGGCGGACCCGGATTTGCCGGGCGAGCGTGAACTACTAGACTAACTAGCCAGCGTATTTAAGGGTCCTGTTCGTAATTAGTGCGGGATATGCCCTGGAAACGTTGTTACGTTCCAGGTTTTGATATAAATGAAACCTACGTAACAGTTACTACGTACATAGGTACATAATGTAATGACAACTAGGTATATAAGTCAGTATCCATATAGCATAGTTAGCTGACTCGACTCCTTAAGAGTTGAACCAGCGCGCTTAGATTTAATTATCGTGATTATCTTAAAGTTTCAGCTTGAGTCTCCTTTATCTTGAATGCATGTGAAGCTGTATGTAATTTGTTGCATGAGATTACTGCAAGTCTTCGTTACGGGAGAGTTGAGATGACGTAGATTGAAGATACAACATATCGGCCATCTCCTATTCACTTACATCATGTATGTACTGATCGCTGTAATACCCCAAAAGCACTTTGTACATACAAATACAGGATGCTGGACCCTAGATGTTACCTAAGTGAGCTGAAAGAATCATCCTTGAATACGTATATGCCTTGGAAAGAGGTAGATACATAGATAGCTATATCTTACCATCTATGGAATATTCACCATATTCGGATTTAGTCAATCTTGAGGATATTTAACAAATAATCTACCTACCCTTCCCCTCTCTCCCACCACACGGTAGACATTGTACCGGAGTAACACAAGTAAAAATCCAAACGGGCCAACGAGCTCAAAGCTCATAGCTTCCCGTGCATTAGCTGCTGACAGCGACTGTGCACCGCCTCACTACTATTCCCCATTTCGTTAAGACGTAATTATTACCTGCAGTTCCGGAGCCGGGTCTCGAGCGATCCTGTCCGCCATCCCATCCATCCCAAGCATTGCGAACACGTGCGAGACAAGTGACAAGAGACCAAAGCGTAAAGCAAAAGAAAACCTGCCAACGAGAAGTTGTCATTTCCATCTCAAAGTGTCGATTTTCAGCCTATCGCACGCCATCTTTTGCTTGTTCCCTTCCCCCCTTTTTTTTCGTCCAACTTGAATATTATATTTCCTTTTTTTATCTTTGATTTAATCTACAGCCGCTGTCTCCCTATTAAAATTTGCTCGATATCCCTTTTCTTGCCATCTTATTCCTCGACCTCGTAATCTTTTATTGCTACTCTTGCCGTTTTTTGCTTTTGTAGCTCTTGTAGATTCGGTTTTTCATTTGAGGAATGAAGAAGATATTCCTGTGGCTTTCAGTGTTTTATCTATTTTAATCAAATACATACGCCAAATTGAATTGAAGCGCGCGCAAACCGGAAGGGAGCAACCATTATTGCTCTTATTATTTCTTGTTATTGTGTTATTGTGTTATTATTACACTACACTACATTGCATTGTATATTTGATTACACTATTTTATTATTCCTCTTTTTTCAATTTTCAAGCCAATTTATTCAACTGGCTGAATTGGATTGTCGGGGGTTCTATCTTATTTTATTTTATTTCTACTCTTTTGCTGATACCGTAGCATCAATTGATTGTTCGGTACAAAAAGCTCAAAAAGCTCAAAGTTGTCCTATCAGCAAGCAGATAAGAGGCAAGCACACCCTGGTTGCGCGCCGAGACATTGGATCTGAGGCTTTGACGTATGCCTGCTGCTTTATCTGTCGTATCAATCTTCGCCGCCGCCACCTGCATCTTGAAACTAACAACCCCCCCCAACTGCTCTACCGTTACGGGGTTAGTCTCTGAACTCTGGACTCTGGACCTGAACCTGAAATCTAAACCCGACCCTTACGTACCTAACACTAAAAACTTACTACTACAACAACTGCAACTACAACTACAACTACGCAATCTATCTTTCTCTCAAGTCGTCCCCCATTTCCATCAAAGGCAACAATCATCTACGGATTTTGTTACTTGTTAGGTTTGGGATACCTGCGTCGATTAAACATCCCTTCTTAATTTCCGTATTATTCATTCAAGTTGCAAACGAACGCATTGATAATAGGTACTATTATCTCCACCAACGCGCGACTGCGACGCTCGAGCGTTTTTGAGGCTGTCGTTGCGCCCGAACTTTGGTAATCTTTACTGATCTACCAACCGAAAAAATTCACTTTTTTTTTTTGTGCGCATCGCATATTTTCATTCGATAGCGACCAAACAAAGCTTATGCTTACGGCGCCATCCCGTTACTAGTATTAGAATAGGTAAGCATCATGGTTTTATATTTTATCTCGCTGTCGTCCGTGTCCCGCGTCTAGGCCCGTGCCTGAACTTAGGTTTGCTGGCATCTTTCGTCCTGTCATCTGGTCTTTTTTATTATCATCCCGTTTCTAATTCCCAGCAATCTGTTACTGTTCGCGCAACTCTCTCTACCCGGAGGTGGTGTTGGCGGATGGAAATAGTAAAGATGCTGGAATATGATGAAAGCTGTGAAATGCGCCTTGTTGTTGGCCAGTGAGGCTAGAGTTGAGCCATCCACCTACACACATCATACACATCTAGGTAGTCATTCAGTTTGATAATCCACCTCACGACCTAGTCATTCTCTCTCTTACTGGTCAAGCTTGCCCATATCTTTCATTCATTCAATCTTTGTCAAGCGAATCTTCGGGTACAAAACAACCATGATACTTTTTTATTTTACATGTTGTTGTTGTATGGAACCGTGAACTTTGCCACCTTGGAACCAAAGTGACATATGGGGCGTTCCACCATTTTTTTATGGCCCTATCTGCCTCATCGTGGATCGTTGGGCTGTCGAGATTGTGGCCCGAACATTTTCTTGTTTACCCGTTTTCCCCACTCGTGGACCCAGAAGTTTACTGCGCGCGAAGGCGAAGCAGAAGAAGACCAACCAGCCAGACTCGAGTCACCGAACTGCTGATCGACTGCTTGACTTAACTGGGCTGAGCTGAGCTGAGTCCGTTCGAAATCGCCTTCATTCCACCTTCATTACAAAACCAAACACGACGAAAGACAACTTAATTCGATAAAATACATTCACTAACTAATATCCGCTTCTTTTCAGGCTTCTTAATAATTCCCGATTGCGATATCCACATCGCATATTAATCAACCAACTAGACTTACTACTACACCTTTCGCAAGACGATGAGATGGCTGCTATAATCGGAGATTTCGTTTCAGATCATACGCGCCTCCATAATATGATTGCAGCTTCTAGCCTACCTCACGAACACTCGCGATCTCGTGAATCTTCATATCGGTCAGATTCTAGGAACCGACCGCGCGAAACACCATCTCAGACCGGTTACTCTCCTACTATTTCAGCCGCGTCTTACCGACCTTCAGTGCCGAGTGCTACACCTTCTAAACGATCTTGGGAATCTACAGAGACAGGGACGGGGACGGAGCAAAAATACATCTCATCTACCGGCGGAGCCTCAAGGTTCCCCACGCCACCTGATTCTTCCTCGCCGAACCCCGCTTCTACACGCGTAAGAGCACAGAATGCGAGCCCGTCTTCGGAATACATGGCATCGGAGACCCAAGCGACTACATCGGCAGTACCTAGTAGTTCCACGCCCACACCTACCCAACAGCAACCATCTCCTGATTCCGACTCATACAAGTCTCCCACTCCACGCGTCAATGCCGATAATACCTCAACTTCACCGGAGGGGCACACTGTCTATGTGCGCGATCTCGCACACATCCAGAGCCTTGCTCGCGCCGATCTAATGAACGGGGGCAATGGCCCCGGCATATTAAACGACCCGCCACTCCAGGCGATGAAGTATGAGATCAGCCAGATGCCGATAGGTGACATCATTGAAATGGTTGCGGCTCTTTTAACAAAAATCACCACCACCAATGATCTTCAGCATGATGCGTTACATAGAAACGCTACCCACCAGCAGACCGCGGCCAGCCACAATAGCGAAGGCACTTCGATGAGCCCTTTGAGCAGTTCTGTTCTTGCATTCCACGGCAAAAACGTGCCGGCGATCACGATTTTGAGCTATCTGAGCAGGATTCACAAGTACTGCCCAACTACGTACGAGGTGTTCCTCAGTCTTTTAGTTTACTTCGACCGAATGACTGAGCGCGTGAACACTATGGTAATGGAGGCAGAAGCAGCAAGAAGGCAGTCACAGACTCAACAACCCCTACGACCTCAGGCCCCGGTGGCAGAGACACAGTCCTACAGCAATGCCGATAGGGAGATGCGTGATGATGACAGTGATGGAGACGAAACTGAATCCGATCTCGTCGACGATGACCCTGATGAAAAAGGGGGCGAAAAAAGAAGTCGGGAAAAGCGAGCAAGGGCGCCACCGCCACCACCTACTTCACCCGCCACTTATTTTGTTGTCGACAGTTTCAATATTCACCGCTTAATCATTGCCGGTGTCACTTGTGCGAGCAAGTTCTTCTCGGATGTTTTCTACACTAATTCGAGATATGCTAAGGTGAGTTGCACTCCTAAATGCTTACCTACGTCTATACCTCTTCCAACACCTTCCATGTAACTTACGCTAATACGTGCGCCTTTTAGGTCGGTGGTCTCCCATTAGCAGAGCTCAACCATCTCGAGCTGCAGTTTCTTCTATTAAACGATTTCCGACTTGCTGTGCCTGTCGAGGATCTAGAAGCTTATGCAACGATGCTTGTCGAATTTTACGCTCGAGAAGTAGTTGCTCAGCGTTCGCGGCCGGTGAGCGGGGCCGAGTAAGCTTACGAGCCGATCATATTTGGGATAGGAAGTTCTGGGACAATATGAGTGTTGCTAGAGGTATCCTGCTTGGATTACATTTATACCTATCAAATAAGTAATCACTCACGGTCCTCTATATGCGTTTGCCCCATCTCTATGGTTAGGTAGGAACCGTCGAAGAAGCTGGAATATGCAGGATTGTCGAGTCAAGGATGGAAGAAACCTTGGCTCCGCCGACGTAGAGATTAATTGATCGTCGTATCAGATTTGCATGGGGCAAACCTTGGGATTCGGTTCCGTGTAAGATGAGTTTAGGTCGGTTATGCGCCCCTTAGAGGCAGAAACAGAGGGGGGGGGTTGAGTTATTGTCACTTTTATTTGATACCCGGAATAGATTTCCTTCGGGCTTAACTCCCCCTCTGTCTTTACGAAATAATTTGAAAATGTATTCTTTAAAATTCCTTATTTCGTGATATCCTCCTCGCGTAATAAAACAATGGCAGTACTTGGACGGGTTGGAATAGGAACAATGGAATAAGGGGTCTTAATAGGAGTCCTATCATTATGTACTTATATAATTAGTTGCTAAAGGGTAAAATGTATAAGAGTCGGTTGTATTTATTAAGAAGAGGCCTATCGTATGTCTTGTAAAACGGCCCATTAGGTACAGGGGCGGAAAAGCGTGTAAGTTGAAGTATTTCGGGATTATGTGTGACTAAGTGCCTATCTTCTTGAATCATGTAGTAATTGGCCTGCTTTCATATTTTTAACAAAAGGCGAACTGCATATTAGAAATCAATGAGTGAAATATAAAGGCAAAGAAACGAGACAGAGTTACTACCGCTTTGTACCTTATAAAGAATGGTATTGTTATGTGCAAGACAAATGTTACGAGGTACGTTATATAATTGCCGTATAAGTATGCCTCTGAAATAAGATCAAACCGGTGCTTATCAGGATACTTACCTGTGTACCTATTTGATTTGTAGCTACTTTTGTGTCTATTCTTATCTAGTTTACGAGGATATTGCTCGCCTAAAGTACACGATGATGAATGAACCGGACTTTATGGTGAGTAGGTTCTATAGGGAACTAGATGAACTTCAGGGGCAGCTAGAGAGGCGAGATATGATTAAATGTCCAGCCGTCATTCATGTCCAATGCTACCCCGAATCAGATTTCCCATGGGAGATAGAAAGCTTTGGCGAAAGTACTGAAAGGGCTCCCTATACACATCCGAAATCGCAGGTTTTATGTGTATTTTGGCATAAGTTTTCCACATTCGGTCACAATGTACGCTGTGACGAGAATTTATATATGCTAGAGCCTACAAGAAAAAAGACAATGGTTGGTAGAACTGCGAAACTCTACCCACTATATGATGGCGAGAAGCCTTTAGATTTCCATTTCCTGATAAACTATCATTTCCGACAGTTGGAAATGCCGGATAGCGAAGTACCTCAGGAGGATACGGTGGTTTGGTGGCCAAACCTCATAGTCTACCTTTCAGAAGTATACCGTACTATGGTACAGATCGACCGGACTAGTCAAGACGGTATGCAGAGGTTCTTTGGATTCTTCGCGCGACCATATGTCCGCATGCAGGAATATTGGATTATGATCGATGAGAAGTTACATGACATACCTCCCGACGAGGATTTAGCTGGTGGACTAGACGCTATTGATCATATATACGAGAATAGGCCGGACGATGCGATGAGAACTAAGCTGAGAGACAGATTTGAGGCGTATATATCCTACGATACAAGCCGATGTAGGCCAGTGGACATCATACCTGTTAACGACGTTGAGGGATTGACTGCTACACAAAAACGCAGACTTCGTACGGTGGCGGCGTACCTAAAGTCCTGGGGTGACAGTGTTCCGGTAACGCCTCGAGCCGTACGATACGCTCTTCCGGGTGAGAAAAGTCACGGAGAACCGGCCAGTATTCTTGATCTCGCTCATAAACTGGATATGATGGAACCTAATAACCGTATAGGGCCGCAATTCTTCCCTGCTATTAGCCTTCGCTAAATAGGGGCACTTTGCGTATCAAGGCATCAAAGCCTGCGAAAAGAAGTATATCCTTCCCGAATATTGACAAACGTATATTAGTTATGATATTATGTAGGAAAGATCTATGTGGTCGTCTAATATGCTAATAGAAGACGTAACTAGCATCGGTGAACGTGTTCACCCTCTACTCTTATTCTAAAAAAAAAAAAAGAAAAAAAAAAAGAAATATAGGATTCAGTTATAGTAAAATTAAAATCTATTCTCTAGAAATATTAATAATGTCTCTTTGAGTTCATATCTGTGACCCGATATCAAAAATATCTAAGCATTATTAGCCTTATAGATGCTGATCCTGGAACTACCACCACACCACTCCGTTATATCTCCTTTACAAGTCATGCTACAGTCGCCTTCAGCAGCCTTTGTTGCTCCATTTAGAGGACCTTCATTGTTACAATAACATTCTTGACCGTACTCAACGCCCATATAAGCATACCCCTTCCCCACACAATAACTTGCGCATTTCTCAACCGTTAATGTATTATTGCTAGTCGAGTAGCTCGTACTGGTTGCGCTCGTTCCTTTACCTAATGCTCTACCGTTCGCGCCTTCGGTATAGCAGCCAAGGTAGGCATATCCGGTACCGCTGATAGCAACTAAATTGCGCGTGGGAACATATAGCGTGTTATTCCAGACGGAAACTCTAGAGCTCCCTCCGCAGATTTGGGTCGAATTGCCTTTGCATGCCATGCTGCAACCCTCTTCGGTAGAAACCGCCGCTGAAGTCTTTGGTGAATTGCCACAGTAGCACTCTCCGCCGTATTCCACACCGAAGAGAGCGTAGTTCTTACTTTGACAGTATGAAGCACATGAGTCTACGGTCATGGAGTCGCTGTAGTAGAAGTCCTTAGCTAATGTACGTCCATCTGAGGCGCTGTCGGTATAGCATCCAAGGTAGGTAGCGGTACCATTTGCTGCTCTTAGTACGCTGATATTTTCTTGAATCGATGTTATCTGGGTGGGTTGAGGTGTAGCAGATTGGGATTTACTCGGCGAAGCTTGAGTAAGACTCCAGACACTCATTTTGAGGCCGCCACCACAAAATCCGTGTGAGTCCCCTTTGCACTTCATGTCGCACTGACTACTATCTGTGATGAGAGTGCCTGTATTGACATTACCGCAGTAGCACTCTTGCGAATATTCCGTTCCGGCTAACGAGTATCCCTTGCCTTTGCAGTATGATGCACACTTCTCATTCGTCATCGCTGCCGTGTCGAACATGCTATCGCCACTTAATGCTCTATTGTTTCCGCCTGGGTCACTGAAACAACCCATGTATGTCGCGCTGCCGTTGTTAATAGTCGTAGTATCGACTAAAAGCGTCGTTACGGTTTGCGAATAGGAGGTGTCGTTCCATATGGCTAAGAGGTTTGGTGCGCCACACCACTCTGTTGCGTTACCGGCACATATCATCTGGGATGTTGTTGAGCAATCAATTATAACAGAACTACTAAGGGAACTCCCGCAATAGCATTCCCTTGAATACTCGAGGCCTGCCAAGGGATAACCTTGAGACTTGCAGACTGATATGCAGTATTCAATGGTCATATTGCCAGCTGCAGTTGAATGCCCACTCAATGTCCTTGAGCTGCCACTATCAGCTGCGCATCCCGCGAAAGCAAACGCACTGCCGCTGAGCTTCTGCCCTGTGGAAGGGTTAAACATAGTATAGGACTCGCCATCATCTACAGTATTAACGGAGGGTGTGTCGTCTGGGCATACAAGCCGAATTGCTCTCTCGGGACCAGGCGTAATTACGTTACAGCCCGGGAGACATTCGATCATTCCCTTTACTTTCTCGTTAACAATCGGTTTACGCTCTGGGCAATTTGTCGCATAATAAGGGGTCTGAGACTTGGCTAGCGGCGGGCATTTTGAGATCTGACCGTTGGAAGAGTCGTCGTTAACGCACTGCTGCAAAGCGTCGGCAAGAACTTCTGCATCCCAACCGTTCATGAAGTCTCCATGGAACCCGAATCCCGTAGGGTCGCCATTCGCGAAGACGAATTGCCCGCCTGCCTCCTTATTGATATCATTCACACCATAGATGACCTCGAAGAATAAGTGCGCCAGCTGTCTTGGATGCGAGGGCGGGCAGACGCCATTGTCGATACCGGACATATATGCTACATGCGACTGGTCAAGTTGGTAATCTTGCCCGTTCCAGCACGATGGGAATTGTATTTGAGCACGAAGACCATTGTTGCAATCGGTGCGGAACATGTAGTTCTGTTCTGGGATGGTACCCGAACTATCAAGACATGCGAAAGACACGCGATCAGAGACCAGGCGGCTCCTAGAGTTTCCACCGGCCGAGTAAGTAAAAGATGTGGTATCGTTTGATCGTACGTATGGGTCTCCCGATACCATTCGGAATCCAGGTGGGAAGGGTTCAATATTAGACCGATTTTCGCCGCGCCCGAGATAGTAGACGACCGTCCCGCCATTAGGAACTTCCTCAAGGCTTCCGTTAGTATGTTGATAGTAGAGCTGCGGTGTCCAGTAGATTGATTTGTCGTCTTGCACTTCGCACGAGGTGCACTGCGAGGTAATTAGGTCCTCATAGGTGTTCGATAGACCAAAATTGCTTGCTCCGGAGACCTTATGCACATGGGCTGAAACAGCACCGGGGGATATGTTGGGATCCAGTCGGCCAGTTTGGATAATGGAGCAGGACATACGCCAGTATGCGTCTACGCTGTGAAAACAGGCAGATGACACCGCTAACACGCCCAGTAATACCCTTCTTAAGTTGGCCATGTCGGGCAATAGTGTAATAGCAGATTGTGAAATAAGATTTACATATTCAACGAGAGATTCTTCTGCTTATGGACTTCCCTCTGAACGGACGGATCAGAAAGCATATATGCGCTATACACCTTGCGCGAGTAAGTACGCAAGGACAAGCCGCGTCCATTGCCTCTTCCGGCCAAGGTGCGACTTAAAACACCACGAAATATCTTCAAGACACCGACTCTGAGAAGAGAGTGTCATGGTTGGTGTCATACGCTCTTTTAGTCCAGAATCGGTTCAAGTGGGGATACTTAAGACATACTATTCTACAATCTAAAGCAGTCGGTAGTCTAGACTCATGCTACTAGACAGGCGAGGGGATCTTGGTGAATACTGCAATGTCTCGCCTAGTACTAATAAGAGGCAACCTCAATATTTGTGTGACACGACCGTCTGTTAGAGAGGCAGTGCTCGTGCAACAGTATTACCGAACTAGAGATCGTGTAGGTTTTAACTTTTGACTAAACGCTGTGCTGGGAATAGATAACTGTCTAACCCCTGAGCTAGGTCATATACCAAGATGAGACTGGTGATAAAGCGAAGTAGACAATGGTGTAGGCCCTAAAAGGGGAACGATCTTATGACTTTGTAGAATCTTATTCATGTGGATAGGTGCTTAGTACACCTTCCCCGGAGAAGATGGTATCCAATGAAAACTCTGCTGGCTTAGAAGCAAACTGGAACTGCGAGTCAGGAGAGTGGAGGAATCGACCTGCGTTTACTTAGCTACCTAGGAAGTCGACGATAGCACGACTCAGTCATGAATGAGAAGCCATGCTAGATGGAACATAGCTCTTCGACAAGCCTTCTTACCGAGAGGTGCGCACACGGAAAAGTTATTGGCAGAGACACGCTGAACAATGTATATTGACTTCGGGACCGAATAGTTTATGATTTTGACGATTTCTGGATTAGAAAGTAAGACCGGCACTCTGTAGTGGATTGGGTGATCTAGTAACTCTTCTCGGTAGACTGATTCACGGAGATATTGAAATATAAATATCGTAGCTAGGAATTGGGGGAGGTAAGGTAAATTGAACAAAGTATTTTTATCTTCTTAACTCTAGCTAATACCTAGATAAAGAAGGTAAACATGCTCGAAATTTGGAAGAGTCCTCATGTTTCCTGTCATCTTCTCAATTTAGCATTACCGTTACTAACTGGATTAATCGCGGTTATTTTAAGTCTTTAGACATCTTTCATAACAGTTACTTGGAATTACTAATGGCTCCCTGCTATATGATCTCTGACTCTTGGAAGAACGAGAATGGGAATGGGGATTGAGAAAGAAAGACGTGGAGTTGAAAAGTTTTTACGGATCCTTGCAGATGGGACGGTATGGTTTAAAAAGGCTCCATCTAACCTGTCATTTTCACTATAAGTGCGTCATATTACAGTGAAGCTTAATCTGAATAATTTAACTTAGAAAGATCTTATCCTGTTCTGTTTAGTTGTTAATATAAATAGTATTAAACATTTTCGTTACGTTGTACATATGTCTTGGCTATTTTTAGTCTATTCCGAGACGAAAACTTTTTTGTTGAAGATATTATCTGCGGGCTTTTCGGGCTGATAGTTTATCATTCTACTACTCATCGTTGCGGAGATAAAAAAGCAAACGAGAAAAAAAATTTATAAACACCTCCAATATATGTAGTAATATTTATGATAGTTATATCATACTTTATACATAATTCCCATTCATGAACAACTATTAAAAATCCTGCTTAACGACGTAATGATGCTCCATCATAGTTGAAACATTTCCAGCCGCAATTCATAATAAAGTAGGGTAGCAAAATAACCAGGGTCTGCGCCGTACACGGCAATTAACTGCAGTTAACTGGGCCTAATGCAGGGGTTAAGAAGGATGCCAAGGGCGGGATGGCTTGAGCTCATGCGGATCATGATGATGATCATGATGCGACCCACGATCTGGTCTATCCTGGTCCTAACTACCATAGCGGCAAAACATGGGTTCGTGGAATGATTTGACATTGCGGAATGATTGGTGGGGGTGGAACGCTCCACCTATTTTGGGCCTCTAATTGGCTGAATCTGTGGAATTACGGGTCTAATATTTGTAATTTTTCATTTTTGTATGGAATCGTTCCGCAAATGTCGGTAGCGTTCCACATTTTGTAATGATTCCACATGGCTTTTTTTATTTTTAAAAAAAATTTAAAATTTTTTTTTACTAAGTCAAAATTTTACCTTTCGGGTGTAAAGGTTATAAGGACTAAAATCGGATGCAATTTTCGAAATAATTCGATGAGATTGGCCACCTCGTCCCATTAGCTCAAACGTTAAAACTTTAAACCTTATTGTGGGGTTTATGGTTACACAAACGCAAGAGCTGTGGGTTCGAGGACCAGTCTTTCCCTTTTTTTGACTTTTTTGACTTTTGCCCCACTTTTACACGTGAAAGTCACGTGAAAGTCACGTGGATTTGCGGAATCGTTACCTTTTACAAGACCATTCCACAATTTGGAATCATTCCACGATATTGGAATCATTCCACGATGTTGGAACGATTGGGTCTGAATCCAATGCTTATTATACATGGCATAATTATGTCCAGTTGGGTGCGTTCCACGAACCCATATAGCCCCGCTATGGTACGTACGCGTCACTAACTTCCCCTTTTCTATCCAACAAATTCTTTTCAAAATAAATTAACCAGAAAAAAAAAAAAGCTTGTGTATAGTAGTGACATGCTGTCGAATAGGAACAAAACTAATTCCACTGTCCACTTAAGAATATTCGGACCTGAACCAGCTGAGACTAGAATGATTACCCGATTTTTTCTTGTTTGCTTGCCTACCACATAGCTCCGTTAGATAACTATTATGACGCTCATCGGTAGTCCACGAGGCTTGCGATCTTTCGTTCTTCCAATTGGTCTGATCGCTATTAGTCTTGTGGCTTTGGCATTATACCGCGGTATAGGGGGCGACGATGGGTTTCTACGAAACCTCTCTATGATCAACAATGGAAAAACAAACCAAGCTAGCGCCCACGAGAATCACCGTCCGACAAACACTCATGCGCCTCCAAAGTACAAAGAAACACCAAACTTTGCAGCCCCTTCTGCGACCGACCCATTCCCTCTTCTTACGAAATCGACAGCAACACCTCCGCCTATTCCAAAATATAATGTTCCCCGTCCTGGTTTACATCGAGAGTACGGCCTTTCTTATACCCCGCCACTCTTCATTGGATTCACCCGACAATGGCCAATGCTTCTGCAGTGCGTGGTCGGGTATTTGACCGCGGGCTGGCCACCCGAATCTATATTTGTAGTTGAAAATACGGGCGTACAATATGCAAATGCGCAGGGAAAGCTTAGTCTACAAAATCCCTTTTATCTCGATCACGCAACGTTACGCAAGCTCGGGGTCAACATTATACAGACGCCTGTATTACTTACTTTCTCGCAAATGCAGAACTTCTTTCTGAATACCGCATTCTCCCGGTCTTGGCCATACTACTTTTATTCGCACCAGGATGTCTTAGTATTTTCGTTCGAAGATGGGCCCGACACGTTGGAGCGTGATGGCGATAGGAATTGGTTCTTTTATGATGAGAAAGAAGAAGCGGATATTATGCGCCCAGCAGCAGCTGGACAGGATGGATATAAGACCATTTATGAGAACTGCTTGCGCGAGCTAAATCAAACCTTGGAAAGGGAGGAGCGTTGGGCCTTCCGTTGGTTTCAGTATGATCACCTTACGTTGGTAAACAGAGCAGCGCTGGACGCTGTAGGAGGATGGGACTCGTTGATGCCGTACTACGGTAGCGATTGCGATATGAATGCAAGGTTGGAAATGGATGGGTGGACTATGAGACATCGACGTGTGGGTATAATTAACGACGTATCAACGGTATTGGAGGATCTGGCCGCATTGTACCGTGATCCGAACGTGGTCCCTCGATTTATCGATCCGAATCCGGCTTTTGCGCCGAAGGAGCAATCCAAGGAGGCGCAGAAGAAACCAGTGAAAGGGGAACAAAATGGGACGGATAAAGAACAGAGCAAGGACGGAAAAGGAGTGAAGGTGGATCAGAAAAGGGATGAGAGGGTCAATGGTACTGAGAGTATGAGTATGAGTATGAGTGTTGCCAGGTCGATAGAGTATTTCCGGGAACTGGTTAATGTTGGTAACGACATGGGCGCGTACAAGTATCGCGACAAGAAGAATTCTCGCAACTCGTGGCAGAACAGCCAGCACGGCGGAGTGGGTGAGCCCTATTATTATAACCCGGAGGGATTTGCGGCGTCGTTCTGGATCTTGGCCGAGGCTGGCCGTGAGGTCTTCCGTCAGAAATGGGGACACCGCGAGTGTAATCTAGTCGAGGAAACGGCATTAAAGCTGGAAGATCAATGGCTTGTCGAAAAAGACTGGGAATAAGCACTGTAGAATATGCATCTACGGGGATGTTGATTCTAGAGGCGTTCGGCTCTATAGAAGGGCTATTTAGATGCTGTAATGATATCTCCCAGGAGATCCTTGGGTAGTATTCAGTAGTTATGTGTGGATAAAGACGTTATACTTGTATTATAACTAACGTCTGTATAGATTAGGTATCTACTCGTTTATTTCAATGATGCCTCTTCCTTACTAACAGATGTTGATATCTAGGTGGCTTTATCCTAGAGGGTGTAAGGCTTTGATATTTAAACAGGCTTAGATATCCGATCAACTATATTTGAAAGGAAAGCAAACTAGAATTGGCACCTAATACACCTATAAACCTCATTGACGCATGTCAGACATGTTTGCACAAGCTATATTTTCACGTGGCTAGTAGAATATGTCATCTTAGAAGCCAGGCCTGACCATGTACTAGAGATATGAATCGACTTTTACTACCTTTCCCCCCTTTCGTATCTTAGCCCTTAACTCCTTGCCACCCCCGTCCCAACTCCGGTCTCAGCCATCATACCTCTGCCCAGCTTAAACTAAATACTTCAGTTCCCGCCTTGGAAATCCCGACCTCGATGCTCCCATTCTTGCTCGACACACTTGCTGGTATCTTTTCTCCTTTTCTTTCAAGCACGATCTTCTTACCCGAGCTTTCTCGAAGTTTATAAAAGCGCCGTCCAAACTGACTGAGGAACCCAGCTAATTTCTCCTGTGTGACATCTGCTTCCGCAATCACGCCACGGTCGATAGCCTCCTCGAGGGCAAGAAGAACGAGCTGCGTCACGTAGGGTTGCGTGTACACGCCAGCCGGCGCTTTGCCTTGCTCAGCAGACGTTTTGGACTGGAGGGGATGAGGGGCACTATCGCTACCACTGATACAGTCACAATTAATATATTTACATTGACAACGCAATAAGTATGGGGATTTCTTAGGTGTAACTTACAAGAAGAACTTTGGATCACCGCTGACAGCTGTTTTGACTAGTGCGTCTCTATCCGTAGGTTTCTTCGGGATAGGTTTGCAGAAGGCAAAGGGGTCGCAGTGAGCTTCATCGGAAGTGAGATACAGATGGTGGGCAGTGATTGTAGCTAGTTATTATAATATTAATATTAGCATTACTCACTCTAAGAGTAAAGTGAAGGGATATATCATACCGCCGACGGTAGACCCGCAAGCCTGCACAGCTTTAACAGCTGCAGCAGTAGTACAATGCTCAAGCTGAGGCGTGTGTTAGTGATTGCTTGAAACTGAGCTAGGAAGACACATGTGCAACATACCACGATGCGTAGATTCGGGAAGCGCTCATGGAGCGTCTTTAGGGTTGGAAGGAATGCTTCTTCTAGAGTCGTACCTGCTGGTGCAAGGGACTCTAGGACTTCTCCGTGAAGATTTAGCACTATATAGGTACGTAGGTAACTATGTTAGCCTGGTTTACTTTATACAAAAGGTGAGGGACTACTTGGAATTAAACACGGGAATATAGAGCTTAAAAGATGGTATCATGTACCCAAGTCATGTTGTTCCATGGCGGCGAAGGTAGCATAGAAGGACTCGAGATTCGAGACGCCAGATTCAGAGTTGGTAGTTACCCCTGAAATTTGTTAGTTCCATATACTTGGGAATGAAGAGAATCACGTTTACCTTGAGGATACATCTTGACACCTGTGATGCCAGCTGCTGCGGCTTGGGCAATGACATCGGGTGTTACAGAGGGGTGAAGCTTAGAAAGAGCAAGTCGGGTTAACCCCTATTATAGAAAGACACAGTAAATAGTAGTAAGGAACTTACGAAGAGTGACATAAGAAACTTCACATCTGGGGCTATTGCTTGTAGCTTAGATTGGTAATCTAGAACCTTTATCGCAGTTAATCACTGGTTTCTAGTCATTTTATACGGTTCGTTTATACATACCTGTTCAACAGTCGTAAGGGGTGGTATCTAGGTTTGATCGTATTAGAGTGTACAAATTCAGGTCTTCTACGATATGTCCAGCAGGATTAAAACAAGTCGTACGTACAAGATTAGGCATGCTGTACTCTTTAGTCAGCTCGTATATTTCCCCCTGAAGAAGTCAAGTAAAGAGGCCATACACAAATACAGTGTCAACACCACCCTGTTGCACAGTAGGCACCATTAATTCCATTAGCTCGCCTTGTCGCAAATGGACATGCATATCTGCTGCAGGCGGCAGCTCGAGCCGTTGGATCTCTTTCAGTTGCATCTTATGAGATTGATATAATCCGTCGCGATGAAGGGTTCCTTGGGTGATAAGAGGGGTTTATAGTCTTGACGAAAAATGTTTTTTAGAAACCTCAAAGATCTCATACCTTTTTTAGGTGCATCACAGGATGGAAGTACTAGTGCCAAAGCACAGACCACATATTATAACAGCTGGAAAATCACGTGAGTGAGTCGTGTTAAGGGGTAGAAGATAAAGCCCATATTTCTTATTTTTCAAGTTCACCTAATCCCAACATCGATCTTATGTTAGATTATTAAGAAAATATTATTATGTTCTACAGTACAATATATTTAAACACATGAAGATACTAATAAAACTTCTCGTTTTGAAGGCTGAAGGGTCAAAGTGCACATTGGCGTCCCTCCTAGTCGATTCAGGGGCTGATCTAAGTATAGTACCAGCAATTACTAAAGTATACCTGAGTACCACTTTATTAAAGATATGAACTAAAAGAAAATTGAATAGTTAAACTGGTATAGGATTAGACATAGATAGACATAACTTAGTGACTATGTCTTGTATATCAGGTAATTTGATATAACCTCTCCGACTAGTTAATAGTTTTGCTTCACGGGTAACACAAATGGGATTAACACACTTAAAACGAGTGAGTCGCAGAGCTTTATTTGATGAAAAAGGTAGATATTTCCATTATCACTTATTGTTACTCCTAAAAATGTCTACTAATAAGTAGTATTAACCATACTGCAAGATATATTTATTCTATTCTGTTCCCTGATAAAAATTATCTTCTCTGCGTCTTGATAATTTATTCGTCCCCTATCTCTAGGGATTTATCGTGCCTAGGGCAAGAACTCATGGCTAGAATGATAGGAAATGGGTTTTCGGCTATCGTGAAGATGCTTGGTGTAAAAGGCAATGCTGATGCGCATTTAACCCCAGATAGCCTTATCCAGCGTAGTAACGAAGCGATTTACCCATTCGAGCCATTCATAGAACAAATCCCAACAACGAAAGAATGGGTCCTAGAACAATTCTCGAACCAAGTCAACCCTATTTCATACCTCCGGAGCCTTTTCCCTTTCATTGGATGGGTCCGACGATATAATACGCGATGGCTAATCGCCGACCTCATTGCTGGTAATATCCTGTCCCTTTTTCAAATATAATCCAGTATGATCTGACCATATTTAGGTTGTACACTAAGTCTCGTAATGATTCCACAGGGGTTGTCCAATGCGATACTAACGAATCTAAGCCCTGAATTTGGGCTTTTCACCACATTTGCGGGTGCTTCGTTATATTGGGTTTTTGGAACATCTAAGGATATTTGTGTTGGGGTATGTGTATAAGTCATTTTGGGTGTCTGTAACTGAGTACCTTGCTAATCTTTAAAAAGGCAACGGCCGTAATATCTCTGCTCGTTGGCAAGACAGGAACAAGTATTATCGACAAAAATCCTAACTTTACTCTGGAAGAAGTGGCCAAAACTCACGCGTTTCTCGCTGGCTGTGTTTTTCTTATCCTTGGCCTCTTACGGTTAGGGTGGATCGTCGAGTTGATACCTCATGTAGCTATTTCGTCTTTCATCACCGCTGCTGCAATTATTATCACTCTTGGTCAGGTGCCAAATCTCCTAGGGATTAGGGACGTCAATACAAAGGATCCGGCTTATCAAATATTCATTGAGATATGTAAAGGGCTCAGTCGAATGAAGCTAGATGCAGTGGTCGGACTTACATCCTTGTTACTATTGATGTCCGTAAAGTGGCTATTCCAATACTTGGCGGTACGGAAGCCTCATCAGGAAAAGATGTGGAATACACTTGCATCACTTCGACTGTCTTTTACTGCATTCCTTTACATTTTCATCAGTTATCTGGTTAATAGGAATGTCTCTCAAGATGAGTTCAAGTTTCGCATACTTGGACACATCCCAACAGGTGCGTATACCATCCCAACCGATACGTCGTTATTAGCTTATTCATGATAGGTTTTGGTCACATTGGACCCCCGACTTTTCAACTTGAATTAGTGAAAAGTCTTCTACCTGAGCTTCCAGCTATAGTAATTGTTATCATAGTTGAACATATTGCTATTGGCAAATCCTTGGCTCAGAAGAACGACTACAGCATAGTACCATCACAAGAGCTAGTCGCTATCGGCGCAATAAATTTAGCTGGCCCTTTCGTCGGTGCTTATGCTTCAACGGCTTCATTCGGCGGTAGCGCTTCGTTATCCAGAGTCTGTGTTAAAACACCCCTGGCCGGAACTTTTAGCGCCGCTATTCTCGTCCTTGCCTTATATGCGTTAGGTCAGGTCTTGTACTGGACTCCAGTTGCTACTATGGCGGCTCTTATAATACATGCCGTGATAAATTTACCCGTGTCTCTTGATGAGCTGCGTAAATTATGGCTGATATCGCCCCTAGACCTTGTCATCTACACTCTCGGACTTCTAACATCTATTTTTAGTACACTTGAGAACGGGATCTACGTGACTACGGCTCTATCTGCGTGTCTCATTTTCATCCGGCTTCTTCGTGGCCGGGGGCAGTTTATTGGACGCGTTCAAGTTCACCCATACCCAAACTCACACACGAGAAGTTCAGTTACAGTTGATGCGCCATTTACATCGGCAAACATTCCGAGAGATGCTTTCTTCCGGCTCAATCGAAAGGATGCATCTAACCCATCCATCTATGTTGAATCTCCTCGTCCAGGAGTATTCATATATCGCTTCCCCGAAGGTTTCAATTACGTCAATCAATCCCAGTATATGGAGTTTCTTCTGGCATATGTAACAAAAGAAACTTGCCGAACCACTGTACTTGACTATAAGAATCCCGGCGTAAGTAAGATTGTATATAATAGGGGAACATTATTCGCTGACTTTTATGGCTTAGGACCGACCATGGAATGAGTGTCCCTCCTCTCGATCTCAAGGATTATCAGACCAATCTAGCTCAGAGGCCACTAAGCCAACTCTCAAAGCACTGATATTCGACTTTTCCACTGTGAGCAGCATCGATGCCGACGCAATAAACGGATTGATCATTCTTCGTAAACAACTAGAACGCTGGTCATCTCCAGAAACCGTACAGCTGCACTTTGCAAGCGTAGATGACCGCTGGGTGCGTAGGGCGTTGGCTGTAGCTGGGTTCGGTTATCCAAGCAGCAGAGAGTTGGAAACCCCTAATCCCTACAGTCCAGTCTTCACTCTCGCAAGGAAAACAACGGGAACGACTTGCCAACCACTCAGAGAATCCGCAATTGAACCTACAAGAATATCTACAACTATTGAAAATCTAGAAAGTGGACGGTCTGGTATCGAAACAATCCCAATACGCACTGGACAACTGACATCTACGCATGGTATCAACTATCCTAACTTTCATGCAGATCTGATGGCTGCAGTTCAGGCTATTAATGTGTTCACTACTCAAGAAGGTATTTGATTATATAAAATGTAATAAAGACTCTACAGACCCATAATGTCACGAGGTGGAACCAAACAGTATGGAAACAATTTCATTGTTCCGCAAGAAACTCTAAAGGTATCTATGAGGTTCTAGGTCTATACATACTAAACCTGTTCTTTGTTCTAGATGTCTCATCTAGAATCCTGACACATAAACCTATAATAAACTTACCTACCTGTAATTATATTTTTTCAATCGTGCATATAAAATTTGTCTCGACTTATTGACTGGTACTACCATCTGATTATCAAAGTCTTTGTTTATTATTGTGTGAATACAATAGTTTCGTCGAGTATGCTGTACTTAGGGGCACATATATAAAACTTCAAAGCGATATTAGTAGACCTTAGGCATAAGTTTGAAAAGGATGGTCGCCTTTAATATTCGAAAATAAAACACAAGAGAGTTCTAATATAGGTACGGATTTAGGCAGCTACCAACCTTCCATTTAACAAACTGCACAAAGTCATAACTTCTACATAGGCACCTACCGTTCTAAGGCATTCAAGGAAAAGGCAGTCACGTCTGCATCTACCTAGGAGGTTCAAATATCAAAGCAAAGTATATATCAACTTAACCTTATCTATAACATCCTACCTGATAATCAACACCAGCCCATCTGCCCATATACCAGTAAACATTTAGTTAGTATAAATTACCCTGCATCTTCACCATGTCAACTATAATTCGAGACTATATATCGCCTGAGGATATGCTCTCTGAGTCTGGAGAAGAGTAAGTATAAACTACCTACCTAAAATGCTTTATTCCCGCTTAAATGCGATTCTAACTTAGAAACGGCAGTCTATTAAAGTCTGGCATGCTTTCAGATGTGAAGGTTAAGTGCGAGAACCGCGTTTGGCAACTTCACAAAACTATCATCTGCCCAAGATGCCCATACTTTAATAAAGCGTTCAATGGCCCCTTTAAGGTATGTCCCCAGCTCTCGACCAAACAAGACCACTCCCACCATAACAATATATAACGGGGCGACTAACATAAATCCCATGCTGTGGTATTCGATACGCTAATAGTTGACGATCAGGAAGCTACTACGGGCGAAATCACCATTCAGGATCAGATCCCCGATGATATAGATAAGATTGTTTATTTTCTATACACTGGAAAAGGTAATACCTACCTACCTCCTAAGGTATTCATCAAAGTTCTCATTTTGGATTAAACTAACATGTGATGACAAAATAGTTTCGCAAGAGTTAGTCAATACCCGCCCTTGCGACTTTTTTAAACTGGCTGATTTCTTTCAAATCAACAGTTTGGCGAAAGAAATCATATCAAGAACTAGCCTTAAGCTGGACGGGATGGCAATGCGTTTACGGAATATGCCCCAACCTCATAAAAATCTACAATATGTATTTGGTGATGAAGAAATCGACTATTTATTCCGAACGATCGAGACTTCATATACCTTAGACTCTTCGCCTTATGCACGTCTTAAAGATTTAGTGAAAGATTTCATAGTCAAGAGTGGGTTCCGAATTACCAAGTACGACCGGTTTCTAGCAACCTTAGAAAGCATCCCAGAGTTGGCTTTAGACATCATGAAGCTTCTCCAGCATTCAGCAATAGTCAATAGTCCCCCTCCGAGATGTAACAGGTGTAGGCGCAAAATAGGTTCAGACGAACAAGCTTACCTTTGGATGACGAAAGACATCAATCGTCATGCTTTAGTCAGATATGAACTTCGTGGCATGTGCGGAGACTGCCAAACTTCCTACTGATCCAATCAAAGTGAATCGTAAACTCTGAGGCAGTCGCCTGGGTTGAACCATATATTGAAGTGTAAGATACACAATGATCGCGTTGTCTCATAATAAAGCTCTCTACATGTTCTTCTCGGTTTGCGACCTAGGGTCAGGGGGGTTATAGGTTAAGAATAACCCTGATGGGAAGAGGAACTTCGTATATATTAAACACTATGCTAGTAGCTAAGTTACTGTGTCCTATGTTAGTTGATATAATATCACATATTTAAATTCTTCGAGATGACATTTCCTATGCACAGTGATGAAATCAACTTAATAAGAGAAGCCTTATTTACATTCACTAACAAAGAAGCTGAAGTTTAGCTCATGGCCTGTTAAAAGCTCTATTTATGAATCATAATAAATAGCTTTTGACATGTAGAATCCCACATACTAAAGCTTCCAAGGCTTGCATCTACCCATTATCGTAATTTTCTGTGATAATATATATCCCAGTCTCCAGAAGCCAAGGCCAAGAGTGCTTAATTACTATACAACCACCGATAAATCGTCAGGGGGTACAATGGTAACATAGACCCATTGCTCAAGTTGAACCTCATCTTGCTTTAAACCCTCAGATTCTTTATCTGACCGATCTATGACGAAGATATTAGCTATTAATCATGGATGGTGGGTGCATGCGGGTTGCGCATTACCGCTGGAGCAGTAGAGGACTCTCTTCAACTGCTTGTCGTTTCGTAGGCTATCGAAGAACTTCTTCGAGGCTTTGGAGTTTCCGATTTGGCTAACCTGGAACAGAACGGCTTATAAATACATGTTAGCGATAGTTACAGTTAGGATGGGTGAGAAATATATAGTACTTACCCTCAGGCTCATAGCCAGCCTTAATCAGCTTCCTCCCACACTCTATGATCGCATTTCTCAACGTATTTGAGGACTCTGGCTCGGGGAATCCATCCGTAATCATCGACACTAATAAGGGACGCACTAGTTCTTTATTCTCTAACTTGTCGTACACTAGAGGCTTGAGAATCTTCGCGATTAGGTTCGACCCAATGTCTGCATCCCCAGTTGGTTGCATGTTGGTCATAATGGTCTCAACTTCTGCCTCCCGGAGTCTGCTTCCAGACACGGAGCTATTGATGAAGCGTAACTCGACGCCATCTTCATCGGGTATAATGTAAGTGGCAAATTTTGTAACTCGCTTGGCTAGATGTTGCTGGGCTTTAATGCGGTTGCCTACAGACATGGATGTACTGTCGTCTAGAATTACACATTAGCTTCGAGTTTTCCCGCATCAACTTATAGATAGTGCGTTTGCCTACCGCAAAGGATCACCTGCTGGTATAGTGATACCTTTATAAGATCACGGATATCTTTGTCAGACTTAAGCGTCGATTCAGGGGGGTTCGCTTTCATCTTAGCGGCCTTCTCAACAAGTGTATTAAGAAAGGGATCGTCGTTCTTGAAGAAGCTATCCATGTGATTTTTTGAAATAAACCTGATGATGTCGCTCTTATATTCCTCTGCCATCTTGCTTTCTTGGACTTCCTGTAGATGGGTATTAGCTAGAAGACGAGGTGTGGTAATATCCAGAGTAGTATTACTAACATTAGAATGACTTAGGATCTTGATCTCGCTAGGCTCATGGCTCGATTCGATGATGCCCTTCAATACACTTGATATAACAATGTAGACCCAAATTATTAAATGAAGGACGAAGGCAAGAATCTTCCAAATGATGTCCATGAGAGTCAGACGCCCCTGAGAGCTACTATTAAGAGCATCAATCATGGCGTCTTTTTTCTTCTCAAAAGCGATCCTAGCTGCCGTTTCTCGATTAGAATTCTTCAAGGTCTTATCCGCACCGAGATTAATGAGTTGGCGAACGGTATTGACATCCTTCCACTCGGCGACAACTTTCATCAGAGGTGTATAGTTGGCGTCCCCCGAAGAGGGCTTGTTGATGTCAGCGCCGTGAGCATGGAGTAGACGGATGATCTCGGCGCGGTCCCTCTTCTTCATAGAACCCATCGCGGCGAACCACACGGGGGTGCGGTCGCCTTGGGAGAGCTTAGTTGCCGATGCATTATTCTGTAAAAGTAGCTTAACAACATCGGTACGGCCCTTCAAGGAAGCCGTAGCAAGTAGAGTCAGTCCCGTCTCCGGATCTATAGAGTTAATATCGAATGAGGAAGTTTTATACTGGTCCAGTTTGTACTGATCCAGGTTTCCATCACGCGCATCTTCGAAGATGCCCATTGTGAGTGAAGGCGGACGTGAAAGTGATGAAGATATGGGAGGTGTCTAGATGGGATCCGAACTGAATCACGTAGAATAGAATGCTTCTACCTCTAGACTATACATATCGATCAGATACATTACTAAAGCTCGGGCTTTATTGCCAAAACCATTGCTATCTTTCTCAACTGATTTGTCGCGCGATAATAATAATAACGGAATTTCTTCCGCAATATCTGACAGTAGAGGCAGTCGTAACCGAGTTGCACGTAGTCAAAATTTTGCATTTGGTATCTGGCACCTATTGTGTTATTATGACGTGGAAACGTGAGTACCATAGAGCCCGTCGCTGAACGTAAAACTTGAAGCCTATAAGCTGGACTAATAACCAATGAACATATTGTAGCCCTGAATTCGAGTATTAGGTTGACAACGAAACCGAGAACAGGACTATTGATGCGAGTTCATTAAGATAAACCAGTATATGCATGTTAATCATCGCCATTGTTATTATCCTTAATATCATGTGTGTATGGATGAGTGTGATGGTTGGCTAGTCTAGTATTCCCAATGTCATCTGTTAGGCATAGAATTGGAGGTAAGTGTGATTCGGCAGCCATCCTTACGACTCTAATAGAATGTAACCAAGTAGAATTCCTGCATAATGGTCACCGAGAATTTTATATCTTGTAGATATCATGAACCGTCTTTGCCTTGGGGGGCCGTCAGAAATGGCGACGGGAAATATACGAAAAAGTAGGACATTAGTAAGGGTGAGCATGTATATGTAGGTAATTATATGATGCTCTACTTGATAGGTATACATTAGCAGCTAGGTTATTATGTGAGACTTGCCTATGAACGTCACTGGAGGGTGAAGGTATAGACATAAGGTAATTTTTGATGCGTAGCTATATATAATAACTATAGAGAATCTATCATATATCTGGCGATCGTAATTCTCGAATGCGACAATAATAATAGAATCTCCAATAAGACATCATGATCCTAATTCATACCCGGCCTGAAGGGAAGCCAACCGAACGCCCGCGACCAAGTCATCTATAACAGTCGTAGTGATACCATAATAAACGATATATGCTTAAATGATGCAGAAATCGCATGGTAGCGGGCAGGGGATACAGAAGCAGAAACGGCCTGGACAGCACGAACTACGTTCTCCGCCGCGCAAGTTTCCGTACTCGGGTTGTTCGGGCTGAGGACGCTGAGGATCTGTTTTTAAGTGTTAGTAATATGCTTGTCTTATAAGTTCTCTTCTTCTCCAATGTTATAACTGAATAACTATGGTAAATATTCGTCTAACATACCCATTGCTTGAAGTGCGATAGGTTGTGTCGTCTGGACGGGCTGATGAGCCGTCGGCCCACTGGATTGCGCGGCCTGGTCGTTCAGCATTTGGGGACTGGGTTGCGATGGCGACATGTTTGAGGTGTAATTGCGTTATCGTACACGGAAGAAATATTACTACTTGTTGGTTTATAGAGGTAAGTAGTATTGAGAAGTAGGTTATTTAAATATCAGATAAGTGTAAAGCTTAAGTCTTATATTATGTAGTGAGTTGAGCGGTGAGTTCGTATTAATGTATGCATGAATGCGCAAGGTAAATATTAAATGTTCATGTTTGCGCGTAAGATCAACTAGGAAGAAGTACCTATATGACGTCACTTCTTCACTCGCTATCAACTAAGCCACCTTGAACTAAGCCATCCTCTAGCTTCTCTAGCTTACCTAACGGAATATTCCTGCAGTTTTGGCGTTGCACAGCCAACTTTTAATCAATCAAGCTTCATTTCCGCGTATTCTTCTTAATTTATACACGTGGCTCTGTTTCGGAAAATACGAAGCCATCCGGTATAGTTATTGGTACTCGTAGTGCTATTGTACAACCTGTCATCTCTATCGCAAATATCGTGAACACGTACGATATATGACTATCTTCCACGTGAAGCGCATACACGGGAAACCAGCTGCGCAAACCCTTCACCTCAGCGCCGGGTCGAGATCTTCCAGGACACGAAGTCTATTAGATTGGAGCCTCAACCCGGCGTCTAGCCGACTTGTGCTGACCTTCGGCGTGGCTTGCTTCGTAGCCTGGTCGATAGCCGGGTTAATATTGACGTAGAATTTGACCTTAAGGGGTTGACTGGCGGGGATAAATTTGCGGAGCGCGATGGCAGTGCTACATGTGGATGCTTAGACCAGCCCCAACGATGATGATTTTCATATGACCAATAGAAGTTATTAAAAGTTAAGTAAGGCATGTAACGATATTTCATCAAGTGCAGCGAGATCGTTCAAGTAAAATTGGAAGATTAATTCAACGAGGTATCCTGTGACTCCTATATCCAGACCTGATTCAACCCACACCCGGATGAGTTCGACAATCCAACTTTTGATTAGACACCGTTCTCAGCTACTACGGAATAATAAAAATGAAGCTACCTACCATATTTCTAGCCTCAGTAATGAGACGAGCTCTTCGGATGCCATGGCAAGTGCTGAGATATCTTAGGGGTCCCTTCGTCTCCTTCAACCAACAGCGCCACTCTCTTTATATCTGGCACATCTTGATTGTACCAATGACTCCGCTCATACCACTCTGTACGGAACGCAGTACAGAAACCCTCCCAGTACTTAGTATCGCATAACCTGCTTCCACAGGATGTCATCCTGTTATATGATTTCTTTGTTCGTGTTATATGGCATTGCTTGTGGAAGCTAGAGAGCGTATCTACCCGCTGGTGGTGCTGGCTATGCCAAGGTCCATCTACGATTTGGTTCATCGTCCGAATCATCTCCTGATCATCATCTAGGTCAACCACAACTGGCATACGTGCAGATAACCGCTTGCAGATCAAGGCGCTCGCCTGGGCCGAAATGCTCCAAGTTTCAAGCACGAAGCTGACCTGCCGCATATTCCAACATGGACCGTAGCTCGAAGCTATTTCTTCTATAATCTGAAAGCTGCCATGGTCGGGTGTTAGGATGAGGCGCTGCACATGCCCTAGGATATCCTCGAAGCTCATTCCGATCATGAAGTTGCCGTTAATCATGACGCTATCGCGATCTGGGTCCATGTACGTCTGCACAGGGGTATGAGGCCACTCAGTGCATCGTGACGAGGGGTACAAGAGGTTCCTAGATTCTTGACAGGCATGTGACACCCTCATACGCCTCTTATCCATCGTAACTATCGAGCGTGGCTCCGAGTCAGGCACAGGAGACCGCCAGCGAATCTCGAATATCTCCATCGACTTCGGTCCTGCAGCTAGGTGCCAGATCTTTTTACGGACATCAGGTGGGAGCTTCATCAGCGGGAGGTTTTCTATCTTCGGCGGAATACTTCTAGTGTTTTTCTCAAGACGTAAGGCGCTCAGTTCGCCTCGTAGCTGTTCGTTCTCGAGCTTGAGTGAGGAAAGCTCGGTCTTGATCGATGCAAGGGCATCCTGTGTCTCTTGAAGTGTAGTAGTAAGATTGGCAACATTTTGGGTAAGACCACTAGTTACATCGATGTAGCGGCGAGTCTGCACGGAGAGCTGATCTAGCTCGACTTTGAGGTTGTCATTGTCGGATGCTTCATATGTGCTATGACCACGCCCGTCGTTCCGGAGCTCGCCAGCCTTGCTTGGTGGGATCCTCATTGCGAACTAGTCGTTGTCGATACGAATATGATCATTTAATATTCCGTCCTTGGGATTGTAACTCTGTTCCAAACATGGGCGCCTGCATTTATCATACGAGTATATTACCTACTATATATGCGACAGACTCGGGAAAGAATCTAGATTAATGTCTTCTCCATAAGATGGGATGAATCGGAACAGTTTCAGGTAGGTACCTGATATCTACCTAATATGTGATCCTGCAAATCGTATGCAATATACGGCTGTGTAGCATAAATATACACCACGCAGCCGAACCACGTATACAACTCCTATTTCAATGATGAAATAGTTTGGAAGGTTTGGGTTAAGAGTATTGGGTCTTCTTACGGTTTGCCAGGATAGTATGAGCGAGAAGGATGGAAGCCTATATAAAATATGACGCTGAGGTGGCTGCACGTTGACCGCGGCCGTGGTTTCGTGGTTTCGTGGTTATCTCCCATCCATACAGTAGGTGAGTACAAAGGACCTCAACCATATACTAAAGACATGTAAATATCAATACTTAATACCTCAAGTACTTAAAGATTCATTCGTATGGATGTTAGATTTAATGGATAATGCTTAACCTATGTCGGTATCCAATAGAGATAATGTTAGATGTTGCATTATTCGCGAAGGGTTCATCAAGAGGTACCTTATATGTGATATATAGATATATCTCATATGAGAATATTATTAATCGCAATAGACAGTGTAATGCTCTCTTCGGAACTCACCCCGCCAATTCTAAGTCTCAAAATTCGACTGACCATTTCCAATTTCACTTCGAGCTTTCACTTCTTAATTTATCATCACAAAATTTATAAAAATGATAATCTTGCCAATGCACTTTTTCATCGCATGTTATTTAATCGAATATTCTATAAGTTATAATACACAGAAATATACTCCGATATGCGCTATGATATTCATATTCCTACCTATGACATCAATGTTGTGAAACTTCAGCTGCCAAGATGCAAAACGAACCTACAGATGATCCTCGCACCCTCGCACCAAGCTCCGTCCAAGAAACCAAGAAACCAAAAATACTTATTAGAAACCTTACCAGATACTAACATCGATAGTTGTGCCCAGAACATTGGCTTTCTTAAGTGAAATCAGCTACCTAAGCCAATACTTACCATCAACATCATCACTATAATCATTTTCTTGATATCGTTCACAAAACCTCTCCTATTCCAACTCGTTGAGACCACTTTAAAGTAAATTAGAACTCTCATTATCGCACCATGCAGCTCGCCGTCTTCTCCGCTAAATCTTACGACAAGAAGTACCTCACGAGCACCCGAGCGACGGAGCTCGATAACGCCACTAACATCGAAGTCGTCTACCACGAATTCGCCTTATCCCTCGAAACAGTTCCTCTAGCAAAGGGTGCAAGCGCCGTCTGCGTCTTCGTGAACGATGATCTCGGTGCCGACGTGCTAGAGTCGCTACACGCAAGCGGTGTTCGTGCCATCTTATTGCGTTGCGCCGGATACAACAATGTCGACTTAGAAGCTGCCCAGCGACTAGGCCTTTTCGTCGCCAACGTACCCTCCTACTCCCCCGAGGCCGTCGCCGAATTCGCCGTTGCCCAAATCCAGACGCTGAATCGAAATACTCACCGGGCCTACAACCGTGTCCGCGAAGGAAACTTCAGCCTCCAGGGACTACTAGGGCGCACTTTGAACGGAAAGACAGTGGGCGTTATTGGCACGGGTCGCATCGGTGTGGCATTCTCCCGAATCATGAACGGTTTCGGATGCCGACTAATAGCCTACGACGTCTTCGAAAACGACGACTTTAAAAAGTATGGCACGTACACGGATCTCGATACCCTGCTCTCCGAAAGCGACTTCGTTAGTCTACACTGCCCATTGACGGAGAAGACGCGATATATTATTAACGACGAGTCGCTGTCGAAGATGAAGAAGGGAGCTATGCTAGTAAACACTTCAAGAGGCGGGCTTATCAACACCAAAGCCGTCATTGCGGCCTTAAAGAGAAAGCACTTGGGTGGTCTGGCGCTAGACGTGTATGAGGGCGAAGGGGCGTTGTTCTACAATGATCACTCGGGTCATATTATCGATGATGACGAGCTTATGCGTCTAACTACCTTTCATAACGTACTCGTGTGCGGTCACCAAGCTTTCTTTACGGAGGAAGCGCTGCGAGAAATTGCCGAGGGTACCATCCGTAACTTGAGCGATTTCTTGCATGACAGACGATGCAAGAATGCTCTCGTTCAAGACCAAGCTGGGTCTGAGTTGGTTAAGAGAGGTTCTGTCCCAATTCGGATCTAGAAATATAAGGGTTCATGGGGTAGGTAGGTCATAGTAAGTAAGTAAGGGTGCGTGAAAGACTCACATAAGCATGGTGGCACTAAATAAATTTTCATAAAACTCAGTATCATATCTGAACCGCTGATAGTATTAGATAAATCGCTATGAATGAATCTATAATAGACGCTGCCATAAGTCGTCAGTATAAGAGACCTTAGACTCGATGCTGATTATCCTATACTCCAACTGCGTTGGTCAATCATGATACCGAACTCACTTGCTGGGGTCCATATACATATACTAAATGTATCTAGGGCCGGCATCCTATCTCCTGTAAACCCCATTGATCGTATAATCCTTCTTGGGACCCTTCACCGTGTACCCCAGCTTCCACTCTTTCAAGTTTACGGCTTTGAAGTTGAATTCGTAGTGCACGTCGTACAAGTCGTCGATGCATAGATGACTTGCCTTCGCCAACCAACCCTTCTTACCTTTCTCCTTTTCTTCCGCCGCGGCACCTGTAGTCATAGGCGTGGTCTCGCCCTGGAACTTCATGTCTGCCTCATCAACCGGAAGCAGGAACTCCACCTCATGGAACAAGTAATCCGCACGATCCTGATCGTCTGTCCGCGCAAACCACACGCTCAATACATCACGTGCCTCATCGTACCGCCATATGTACCGTCTCGTCGCGCGGAACGATAGCTGCGGGTTATCCCGCGCCGTAAATATGCCATCCTCGATGTACAGGTACTCAAGTCCGAGACCCGTGCCGGAATCTGAGTTTGCCTTGGATACGAGAGACGGGGATAATCCATCCTCGGTTCCATCTCGTAGTAGGAAACGCGCTGTGCCAGAAAAATGCCCGCTTGGATGCGATGGTAGCCGTGAAGAAAGCGTCCGCTCGAGCCTCCATTCACCTAGCAGCGAGCGGAATATGGCGCCGGCGACGAAACGGCCGCGTAAAAGCCCGGCCAGAGCCGTCTCGTGCGTCGCTAGTAAATTCGCTTTTGTCTGCTCAACAGTCCGGGGGTTCTGAGCGGTGGCTGCGGAAAAAGAGGGGTATCGTGCCGGCGTCAAGATATCCATGGGCTTACCCGTAGCAAGGGGTGGCGTGTCACCTACAGGAGGGGTAATAGGGATGTCAAGAGCGCGTGAGAATTCCTGCATCAGGAAGGAGTAGTCACCCATCGGGAACTGCGAAACGCGTGGATCGGTGCGTAAGGTCAGTGTTCGGGCGATAGTGTCGTCGTCTACGAGAGCCTGGCGAAGGGCTGGGGTTTGGGACTGGAGGTCATTTGATACCCATAGCCGTGCGACAAATCGGGCCTGCATCTCCATGACGCCCCAGTAAGGCGAACGATACAGGCCTACGAAGCCCAGAGTGGACAGCGATGGATGATGCGTTCCATGGAAGGCAAGCGCGACGGGTAGGTTAGGATTTTCAGGGGAATGTGAAATGGTCTTAAGGACGGATGATGGGAGAAAGGAGAGCGATGAAGAGGGGTCGAAACCTGTCGCTAGAACCACGGCGGCAACGTCGGAGATTTGCTCGTTTGCCGGAGAGATGATAGCAACGTTTCCTTTCATAGATGACAGTTTTCCTTTGCTGACTTTTATCACATCTGAATGTACGAAGTTCATATAGTACGAGCTCATAGCCACGAATGGCACTTCATCAAGAAAATCACCACTGATCTTAGTCTCCGGTGAGAATTCAGATTGATTTGTACCCAGAACAGATTGGTAGATTGAATTCGAGGTTTTTGCCGCTTCAATGCTTATATGCCCTTGGCTATTTGTTAGGGGATGTGGCCGGTTAGCCAGATTATATGAGGGTAAGTCGCATGGGAGAAACGGTGGTGCCGAAGCAGCGGGCTATTATTTGGTTACTATTTAATATCCATTCGGGATAATTCAAGGTATAAGAAGGTGGGCCTACCTTTGGAGATGTGAATAGCGGGAAGACCCACGAGGGTCGGTTCGTGATGTGATGTATAGAGTAGCTCTCAGGTTCTTGGATGATCTTCTTTCCGGGTGAGTGGATAGCGGATGAGAGATGTGTCGCGATAGTCGCGGCAGTCTCAATTCCGGACATCTGACCACCAACGACAAGTATCTTACCTCCATGATGATTTGATTTTGCTAAGAGGCCCTTAAGATCTCGGTACTCGCTGCTATGGATAATGGGTACGTCCGCCTCTTTCGGCACATGATCCGGCCATATCGGCTTCCCAAAGAATCCTGTAGTGACGAGCAAGTAGTCGAATATAGCTATCTCTACTCCTTGACTTGACTCTGTCTGTACATTCCACGAGCCATCATCTTGTAAGTCGACTTTCACAACTTTATGTCCGAGCCGTATATCAGCACCGCTATACTCATTGATATATCGTTCTAGATATTGGCCGACTTGCCATGCCCTAGGGAATTGCGGATCAGAGTCCTGCCACGCGAAATCGCTAAACTGGACGGTATGTTTGCTCTGGTTGGTTACCATAAGCGGATGCACAAGACCGCCAGCATCATCCTTTCTTGTGGGCCATAATCCACCGATTCGGGACTGGGCTTCGAAAATAGTAACCTTGAAAGAACATTCTGGCGTATCGTGTAGTAATGTCTTCGCTGCTACGAGACCAGAAGGGCCAGCGCCTATATCGTATATGAGCAAGCCGAGGACTAAAGTCCAAGAGGAAGAATAGATGAATAAGCATTCGCTGTCTTACCAACGATACAAACAGTCTTGGCCATATTCCGGACCCGAACCAGGGTCCGGGATTTGCAGTGGAATCGAGCGAGGATCGTTGGTAGTCTGCTTCGGGGAAATAATCGGGATGGATAGCTAAATATAATAGATCGGACTTTGACAAATGTTAAGCTGAATATATAAACCTATTCCTATTTCTTAGAATATTTTAATAGGCTACTTTTTTGCAACTCGCTTCAGTCAGCAAGCACTAAACTAATCTCGATGAGATATGGTTTAAGTCCTAACGAAAATTGATACGTTAATACCAGATTATCCACTCGTATATGAATATTGCGTCACTTTCACCATAGGTACAGTAAACCTTGAAAGATAAAAATAACCTACGAAGTACGTACCTAAATTTCTAGGTGTAATTTTTTGGCGCATCAATAAAACGCCGATTGCCGGCGCAAATCTTATTGACGCAATCAATGGATAAATTTACAAGGTAGAACTTTCACCTATACCATATCTAACATCACATATCATGAACCGCCTTCAAATTCCTCTCCATTGCATACACTTTTCATCTACTTATAATTATATATAATAATTTCGATTTATTATGGAAGTAAGGATCTCGGTTTTTATGTCTATTGCAGCTGTCCGCAACAGGTCCCGTCGCGTCTTCGACTTCTATGTGTCAAAAGCCGAACATCTAGCTCAATCCGAGACATCTCGCTAAGCGTAGCAATTATTTCCACTATCAAATGGTTTGATCCTAGTCTTAAACAAGTTCATATTAATCGAGTCTAAACGGTCAACTACGTATCAACCCTGTCTTCTGAACAATAACGGGAGGCAACATGGGAAGAAGCAGACACCCGCCCGGCTAGAATAAGATCCTTAGATTTGAACGTTCCCGCGGGAGCTCCCGCATCTCGCAGGATCGACACGTGCTCATCGGAACACGACCGTTTCTCTCTCTATGCGTGAAAGTAAAGCGTGTGAGCCCAAGCAAGTTGCCGTGTGCTTCGATGAAGCTCGACGTAATCTACTTCGCTATGTTAAGTATAGCAGTATGTTGTGATCAACCCGAAGGCTTCTAGAGACTTACTATAGGCACCATATTCGGGCTCACCGCATATCTTGACTTGAAATATTCAGAGATATTTACCCCTATACTTCCATACGATAGATTACAACATCATCCCTTACGATGAAAGGTTTTTAGATCAATCTAATTTTAGTACTTTGCTGAAAATAGGTGAAAGACCCTCGGTATCCCAGAACTGTGGTTCATCCCTTGAACTTCATAGATTAGGTCTCTCGGAGTTTAGCGATCAAAAGTCGCGAGTCTCGTATAACTATTAAAATTGTTAGTGTTCTTTAATTTTACGTGGGCACGTAGAAAGTAAACTGCATGAACTAGCTCAACGGAGAATACCGGCGCTTCTCTTGCGGCTTTACAATCTCTCGTTCCTATATCTTATTAAAAATTAGCTTTTACGATCCTTTCGCAAGTATGTAGGCGTAGACGAATAGGCAGCCGAACGGGAAGCTGCATAAGTTTTGGTCTGTCCAACAGTATATATGCCTGAGAGTTAAGAAGCATGGTATATCCAGGGACGTCTCAGTACTCAATAGTCAGATTAAAGAAGGACTCGTACGAGGATGCGTCAGCTGAAATTATATAAATCAGTTTACTTGTGCGATAGGAGCCTTGTGATAGGAACCATAAGTCTGGGACGGGTGTCGCGACTTTCGGTGGATCAACTGTCGTATAATATTCAGGCTTATTAGTGCCATGCATACAAGGCTGGGACTGAGTGCCAAGTATCTAATGAATAAGATCAATAGCAGAGAAAGAAAATAGCGCACCAAAAAGAAACACCATGCCCAAAGATCAGAGTTTTTTATATGTTGTTGTATTCGGAGGTTCCTTTGAAGCCGTTATTCTCTAATCGTGAATGATGATTTGAAAAGTTGGATATATGCAATAATCGAGACTTTTACCCCAACTGCTCAACAAGCAGCTCGGCATAAGCTTTCGTCCGTTAGTCCCGTTGTGGATCCCGCCGGATGGGATCAGGTGGAGACGACCTAACCCCCGCCATTCCACTGGATCCTTCAACGCGGGGAAGTTTGCCCGCCTGCTCAAGCTGGTAAAGGACAACAAGGATACAAGGTGAAAAATATGTCTGGGCAGCTGGGCAGCTGGGCAAGAAAATAAAAATGCGGGTTGCTAGACCCATAGAAGATGCAAAAGCCGATGGATCCGAATGACGATGTAAATGGCCGAAAATGCAACTTCAAGTCTTTAGTTCGGTAAGGTCATTATTTCTCTTGCCTTCGGTATTGGCTTCCATCTTGTTTGACGGCGAATTGTTTTAGTACCAATTGCTACCACGTTGTAACCACCGCACACCGAATTCAATTAAGGTAATTGTCTTCTGAGAGTTGGTAGTATAACGAAGTAAGTAAGGTCGAATTGACTGACAGTTGGCGTTGAAAAACTTCTTCAGGTCATCTTTCTAGGTACATCGTTGGCGGTGAACACAAGAGACCCGTGACCCCGTATTATCTCCCCTTTGATTGATAGGTAGCGCAAAATGTCTACTGCGACATGACTCTGTGAGACCATGCTCTATGTTATCTAACACGAGGCGGCGGAAATCGTAGCTCCCATTCGATAAAAGATCCCACACGCTGGTCTAGAGTCATACAAACCAACTCGATCGGAAAGTCTATCCATGCGGCTGAAACATCCGAGACAAGATTTTCCAACAACATTATGTTAGACAATGTTGTGATATATCGCTGTCGGTAACCCGCCAGCTGGGTATTTAAGGCAGAAGGACTTCCAATGCAATGGAAGATTGTAGGACGCCATGTCTTTAGCAGTCTTACAACTACGGAACATTTCCACTATTCTAGCTACCGTGTAGCCTTTCCGTAATCACGTTCAGCATAGCAGTTTGACATCACTTGGCTTTGACCAACCAAAACTTGTCTGAGGTCATGTATACGATGATCTGCTAGACTTAACCCCTTGGCAAGCTTGGGATTTGGTTACGGTACACCCGATATAGTCGACCTAACCAAAACCCCATCCCTTGGTGTTCTTATCGGTGCAAGCCTTATTAGTTAACGTGCATCACAGGGGTCCTACGCCGCATCTTGGCTGTAGCCCATGGTAGCCCTTAGTAGCCCTTAGTCCGCAGAATGTAACATAACTGCCTTTCTAGAACTAGTCGTCGTCGCACTGCAAGTAATTTTTAACCTTCTCGTCTTAGTTGTCGCTCAGCAATGAGGTCCTATCGTACGAGATAAACCTTTAGTATCTTTGTATTCCAAATCCGCTTGACCGGATGGCAAAACTTATATTCCTGAGGTGTTGAGAATATCGCCGCCGCGATAACTTGTTATGTCATTCCATTGGACGAATTGTTGTGCCCAAGTTACATGGCACATCCTCGTAGTTCACGTTAGTGTTGTTATTCCAGGTGCAAACTGTCTGATAGACTAATAAATACCAAATCGAAAATCGCCATGTGTAAGTAATCAGCTGTATTAGACAATTTTCAACGCCGACGTTTCTATATGAATCAAGAATTAAGTATGTCAGCCACTTATCGCTTAGTTACCCCCCAAAAAAGAATCCCCTTGTCATTTCCATTTAACAAAAGTGCCGATCCTTCCTCCCTCTTTCCCCCTGGTCACCCCCATTGCTACTTCCCATTTGTCAACTTACAACGCAACTTCCAAGACTAGCCCTTTAAACTTTATAACTAGGGTTAATAACGCCTCCCGCGCTGTGCTAAATACTTTACTTTCTTAGCGGCCAGCTTCTTTCTACCCACCTCCGTCTTCACCTACACAATCCATTCTATATTACATATAATGTAAGGTGTTCGGTAGCCCTTCATACACCTTCATATATATATCTCCCGCTCCCTTCCTTGGCCTCATTTCATTGATATCCACTCAATTGTTTTGGGCTTCTTCAGTTTGATTATCCTCAGTCAGTATTGGTATTTGAGCTTGACTAATCGCACATACTGGCCGCGCTCGATCTTACTGCCCCAAGTTGGTTAAAGAGCAAGGAGGGTATTTTGCGCCAGATCAATATCTCCTAGAGGTATTGCCTTATCTCACATCCTTTGTTTGACTTAACTCATTAAGCCAAACTAGCAGATCTGGACGGGGTATTTCTTATTTCAATACGGTGGGCAACGTTAGGATACCATCATGAGCGACATTGAAAAGCATTCTTCACCCCACGATTCTCAAGATGAAGGACAAGGCGGGGCTCTCGACGGACTCCCACCCGACCCCGACGCTCATCTCAGCCAAGAAGAGAAAGATAAGATTGTAAGTATCACCGCCGCAATACCATACTATTAGATATATGCCCAGATCCATTAGTTCCTTTAATGCTAACAATTACATTAGGACCGCAAGCTGGTTTGGAGGCTCGATTGGATACTAATACCTTGGGTATGTTAGCAATACTGTGGTGATCCGTTGGTCGCAAGTAGCTGACATTAACTCCCAGCTCTGTATCCTTTATCTGCTTGCCTTCTTGGACCGGACCAACATTGGCAATGCCAAGGTTGCGCATCTTACCGACGATTTGCAATTGACAGTGCCAGAGCAGTACAATATGACTCTCACCATCTTCTTTATCTCGTACTCTGTTTTCGAGCCAGTGACAAATATCTTGCTTAAGAAGCTGCGGCCATCCGTGTTCATCCCAATCATCATGTAAGTTGCAGCCGTGATTTCCGGATCCTAGCCGACGACAAGCTAACGCCGTGAAACCTAAGGGTACTATGGGGCGCTTCTATGACTGGCATGGGCTTCGTCTACAATTATTCTGGTCTTATGGCCGCTCGGTGGTTCCTAGGTCTAGCCGAGGCCGGCCTCTTTCCCGGTATTAACTATTATCTGTCGTGCTGGTACAAACGTTCCGAGTTCGGTGTCCGTGCTGTAAGTCGAAAATTTCGGGTCCTTCTAATCTTTCGTCTTTGTTGCTAAATTATCATAGGCTATATTCTTTTCAGCAGCTGCTCTCTCCGGTTCATTTGGTGGACTACTTGCAGCCGCGATAGAACTGATGAATGGTATTGGTGGCCGACCTGGATGGGCATGGATATTTATTTTGGAAGGCCTGCTTACTATAGTATTTGGCGTTGCATCTTTCTGGATGGTCCATGACTTCCCCGATCAAGCCCGGTTCCTCTCGGAAGACGACCGCACCCGTGTAGTTCGTCGGCTCAAATTGGATCAACAGTCTTCAGCTGAGCACGAGGAATGGAAAATGAGTTATCTCATCGCCGGTCTTAAGGACTGGAAGATGTGGTTGGGCATGGTTATTTACATGGGTTGCGATATGCCCCTCTATGCCTTTTCGCTCTTCTTACCCAGCATCATCCAGGAATTAGGCTGGAGCACCAGTACTGTCCGGTCGCAGCTTCTAAGCGTTCCCCCTTACGCCGCCGCCGCCGCCCTTACCGTTGTTATTGGCTTTGTCGCCGACCGAACTCGTCAGCGTGGCTTATGCAATATTCTAGTTAGCCTCATTGGCATTACCGGTTTCGTAATGCTTCTAGCCTCTACAGACCCTAGAGTTAAATATGCTGGCACGTTCCTCGGAGCTCTCGGTATCTACCCTTGCATCTCGAACACTATCAGCTGGATGGCAAATAATATCGAGGGTGTATATAAGCGAGGTGTCGTATTAGGCTTTGTAATCGGTTGGGGTAACCTGAACGGTATCGTTAGCTCCAACATTTACTTCAGTCCGCCTAGGTATCTCGAGGGCCACGGAGTCATGATCGCCTACATGACGCTGTTCCTGTTCGGTGGTAGCGTTCTGATGACGACATTACTTCGTATCGAGAACGGGAAACGACGACAAGGAAAGCGCGACTACCTAATTGAGGGAAAAAGTGCAAAGGAGATCGAGGCCTTAGGTGACAACAAGCCTAATTTCTTGTACACAGTTTGATTTGCGGATTGCGGTGGCCGGCGTATTGATATGGACAGACGCAGGATATATGGGGTGGCTCTCGGTCATTATCTCTCTAGTCCTCAGTATGTTTTGCATGGTAGCAAAACGGAAGATCACGTTTTCCTTTGATACTAGAGATTAAGGCAAGGTGGGTATATATAAGCAACGCTTCCCTTTGAGATACAGTTTTCACTGTCACATATTACTTCCATAGTCCAGAGAAGTGTCAACAATACTAGAGGGCGGAAATAGGAAATGTCCACTGCAGTACCATATTCGTTCAGTCAATATGATTCCCAAATATCATCATAGTTGCTTTGGTGTGACACCTATCCTTTACGAATTTCGATAATCTATCATAGGCACTCGTCCATATCATCAGCTTCTATTATCCTACATGCGCCCTCAATTTAAAACGATATGGACTATGATTATACTAACCTATCTACAGAGGTCAAGTTTAGATAATCGTGTTTAAACCCCCTCGAGTTGGATTCATCCAATATTCGTATAGTCGACATTGTTTAAGTTCAAATCTTAGGATTGGAAAAGTCCAATGCTGGTTTTCACAACCTTCAATTTGCTTTAGAAATATTCGGCTTCGGAGATTTCGGGTGCAACGTATTCCTTTGCCTGGATACGGACACACGAAATAGTCTGTCCATTCCACTGGGAACACAAAGAGTGATAGTAACACAGACTATTGACTGAAACTACGTCAAATTGTACTGGATCAGGGGACCCGAGTCTTGATTCGGATAGCATTTCTTTTGGGTTCTTTAAGATCCCGAAGCAACATTGTAGAAAAACAACGTGGTAGAATCAGGGGTCTTAAAGCCCTCGTGGAGTACAGAAATAGCTATGGGAAACAAACGGGCTAACATACAAATGCTTGGATATTCAATCTAAGGGCAACAGGTTATGACTTGCATCAAAGGCACCTGCATGTACATAGATTAAGACAACAGGTGATGATGCAAGGAATGCCGTTTAATCTAAGATGGCATTTTCTTACCCCCGAAAATCAAAGAGTCGGTTAGCCAATCATATCGCATAGATTAGGTACTATCCGCCACAAACGGTAATGTCTTAGTGCTCCCCCGCGCTAATATTGGACACCCACGTTTTTATTGAGTCCACCGAATCCACCCAGTCCACCCTAGATTTTAGCGTCTGTCTGCAGCTTTTCTTTTAGAGTCGTCAAAGCATCTTTAGGGGGCTTTATTGTCATGAAAAAACACTAGACAATCAGAGAACTTCCACGTGTCTACAAGGTTTATATTAATGGATATTAGGTACCTACCTAGGGTATAGATACCTGTTGTACTTATAGATGCCTGAAGTATCTATACAATCGGAAACTCGGGTCCAAGACAGTCACGGGAAGTATTCGTTTCTATCTGCAATATTCCATACATATTGAAGTAGGTAACCTTGGGAACGTAGCTGGACAACTCATTCCGTGACCGAGACTCATCCCAGTACGCTCAGTAAGAGCCTGCTCTGGTTGGTTCGACCCACCTTCGAGTCGGCAGTACTTAGCCTCGGTGCATTTCATTGAGATGTGAGAGTCTTCTGCTATTGGACTAAGACTGCAGGATGCATCATGTAGTGTAGCAAACAGTTGTCCACTGACCCTTCTTGATTAATACATTTTTAAGCTCCCCAGGGTTAAGATTAAGATGCTGAAAGACATTTCTCCGAGCGCATCCCTTCAAATCATTTACGAATCTTCGGAGGTCGGCCAGAAAAGCTTTCGAGCGATCTCAGAGTAGTTGTCGCAGAGACTAACTCCGGCTGGTCGACGCGAGGGTCCCGCATGTACAATCAATCGCAAGGCACGAAATAAATGTTCGGGTCTCCAAATTCTTCCATCCATTCATCACCTGCCAAGGTAGACTGTTTGTCTTGTGTGGCGTTTACCTCCAGCTGTAAGGAAGCTAGCCGCTTGTCTAATATATGAAAAGCTTGAAATCCTTTCGAGATCCTGAGTTGCACTTCTACGTATACATTATTCTATCGGGTCACATCGTCGGTCGTCGATTTGGTCTTATTAAGTGAGACTTAATCATATGTAAATGCAGGCTGTGGAGGCGTGTTGCGAATGATGAATTATATACGTGTAGAGTGGCAATCTCCTTGCCCATCTTACCATTCCTTGTCCCCTGGGTGGTATTTTATTCATTTGCGCTTAGTCCAGCTGCTTATAAGCATCTGCACTTCAGTTTGTAAGCTGACTGACTCCCTGCATTTTTCAGAAGGAATAGAAGATCCTTTAGCAGGTAGACCGACACCTTGGGAAAGGCTTGAGATACTACTATGTATTATTGCTCACCTATGTAGGAGATAGGTAGGTAGGTAATCAACCCGTTTGCTAGATGTAAGTAGTTCTTGTATTCCCTGAGACACCAAGATACCTAACCGTCCAGCATGTAATGTTCAAACTTTAATGTACCTTTTTTTAAACTTGCCGTTTTCATGCAAATCATAATATTCATCTTCCTTGCTATCTCAAGCGGATCTCAAGCGGGATACTATGGAGCATTTCCTTGTTGTGTAACAATGGGAAGGAAAGTACCTATACTTATCTATAAGAGGTTTGAACTTTCTTAGAACAATGATCTAAATATTGTATATAGGTACGTTCATTAAGGTAGGTATGGAAGGGACAGGCAGATTACATCCTCGTACCTTACTCCTCCTCCTCCTCCTCCTTTTACATGTACATACATAACATAAGGTCTGTCTTTCACGAACTTACATGTGTACATACATATTTCCCGTCCGTTACCTAGTGTATAATCGGGTATAACTAGTTATACAAGTAGCCAAGGCTGAGGGCGCATCTCAATATGCATCCACCCAATTGATGATATCTCCTCGGATACCTAAGCGCATTACATCCTCTCCTCCCCGTCTTTACTCTTGTTATGGTGCGGCAACTAGCCATAGAGCTGATTTACATCTGACCGACAAGCGAAAGCTGCGGCTACGTGCGTTCACAAGCTTGTTCGACTTCATTTCCATTCAAACTTCTATATCCATCACGTTATACGTCCCCTAAGGCCTTAAGGGTACTCGCTTTGGGTTGACTCGCTCGGCAACTCAAATCTAATTCTTAATTCGACCTACATCCTAGATCTCATCTTCAGAACTGGTTCCGGTTTTCGAACGACTAATCTTTACGAGTTTTCATCCACTTTCCCTACTTACCTCATATTATACAATACGGTTCAGCAGGTCACCAACCACAGTGGTTTATCTGCTAGGTATATCAGCAAGAGATGGTGAATAGCCTTTCGTTATTCATCAAAGCCGATATCAATACCTAACAACGCTTTTGGTGGTCTTGCTCCACATACATACTGACTTACACTTCTATTTATACTCTTCTCCCTTTACCTAGAGTCTTTCACCCCCCAACTAACGTCTTCACGCCTCTGTCGAATAAAATCTATCCTCTATTGCGTAGCAGAAACAACATAAGTCACCTAACCCATCGAGGTACAGGACGGTCTTCTGTGCACGGCCGCAGTATTGACCCTACATCATCGAGCTCCAAGATCCAATTTGCTTCATATATGGCGGGGGCACTGTGATCCCTAATAGGCTTTGATCGAAAGTTGGATACATATCTAGCCTCGAACTTATACGAAGAGCAGCGCTATATAGGCAAATCTCTACTTTATCCCGGTGTGCAACATATGTAACTGGTACCTCCCTTATGCTGATACATTTGTTCCGAGCGCGTTACGACAGCTGTGATGGAAGAAACGATACACAGTGACCCCGATGGAACTGGCCAAAGTATTTCCCCCGGGGAGCTTACGAGAGATCATATCGAAACTATCGTAATATTTGAGAGACTGGGTGCCGCGTTATCTGTTACTGGAGTCCTTCTTATTTTCGTTGCTTATGCAATCTTCAAACGACTTCGCACCGTACCTAATACCTTTATTCTCTTTGCGTCTTTTGCAAACTTGGGGGCGAGCATTGCCTGCTTGATAGGGTACTCAGGAGTGTTGGCAGGATCAACCAGTCACCTATGCCAGGCTCAGGCTTTCATGTTTGAACTGTGAGTCTATCAATGTCATTTCTCTCTTCTACGGCCCCTTAGAGTAGAGGGCAGGATACTAGTGAATTACGATTAACGTATCCTAGATTTATGCAATCAGATCCATGGTGGTCATTTGCCATGGCTGTCAATGTATACATGGTCTTTTTCTTTTCTGCAAATCCCAAAAGCTTTCTCCGATACTGGTGGGCGTATTTCCTCGTTTGCTACGGGATACCCTTCATCCCGTCGTTATGGCTACTCATTGTCCGCGGAAGTGATGGGCAGATTGTATACGGCAATGCGACAGTATGTCACTGTCCAGCATATAAACCCCTATGATCGTTTATAATTATCTATACTAACGTTAGATTTAGATATGGTGTTGGATAGATAAGGACTGGTCCAACCTGCGCATCTACACGTACTACCTCCCGATTTGGGTCTGCATTATCCTTTCCACTTTCATATACATAGCTGTTGGCTACTACGTATTTAAACAGCGCAATCAACTGCGTAACCTGTCTCTTAGCAATCCTGCTCACGACCCCCCGGCGCCGCGTGACTCGGGGGAGAAGGTAAGTGGCTTAATTGGTATATGAAGTTTTGAATAGTCTAGATGAGGTTAACTAAAGGGTTAGCAGACACTCTTCACGAACGCCGCTGTTATGGGCAGTATCAATCGAGAGGTAGTGCAGGTGACGACAGTAAACTCAACTATCGCATACTCTGTCAGTGGGCCATCGTTGACCGGTGCCACGCCTACCAACTGGTTTGACGGACCACTCGACGACAAGAATAATATGGATAGCCCTCTGACACCTATATCGTCGCAAAATCCATACCATACCACGATCACACGTATCACCGCGGATCCGGCGCCGCGAGAAGGCCTCTGGGCGCGTGCCCGGGGGAACTTCGAGCGCTGGCGCAATCGTTTTAATCATATGGATCCGGTGAAATTGGCGTACTTACGTACATCGTTCGTCTTCGCGATCAGCGTGTTCGTGACATGGACACCGAGCAGTATCAACCGCGTGCATGACCTCGTATACGCTGAGAGCGCTAGCTTCGCACTGAACCTGGCCAGCGCCGTCGTATTGCCTCTCCAAGGTGTTTGGAACGCCGTTATTTTCTTCTCAACTACTTGGTCCTCTTTACGCCAAGAAGTCCGTGCTCGCCTCGATTCGCGAAAGGGATTACCCCGCGGACACCATGACGCGGCGGCCGTGCGCAATGAGCGCGAACGCGAACGCGCCTTGGAGCTGTCGAGACGAAAGACTCGGGGACACACTGATGATGCTGGAAGCGATCTCAGCGCCTCGGGTTCGCTCGGTGGTAACGCTGCGAGCGGCGGCACTGTTAGAGTCATGCGCGGCGGATCTCTTACTAGTATATAACTAACCCTAAATATAAGACGAGGAGTACCTAAGTCATACCTGCAGGGATTCGACGGGCTGGCGCGAAAAGGCGAATATATCTACGTTTATTTAGGTATGGAAGGTAAATGGACGGTCTTGAGGATTAGTTGGTTCGTTGGTTAAGGTTAAGAAGTGCGTACATAAGTCGATTAGCTCGTCCTCGACAGTCATTTTCGCTTCTCGGTTTGGTCTGGAACTTAAAGGTTTGGATAAAGGTACTTGGCTAAGGCAGGTCTACATGGAAGCTCACTTGAGTATAGGGTATACCATTTTATACATGACTCTTACGAGAGTAGTTGAATACTATTGGCCAATCCAGACTTGTGATCATATGTACGAGGTATGCATTGTCAAGTTATAGCAAAGACTATTTGGCTTATGACCTAGTGTTATTAAACATCTGGATGAAGAGTTTTTGGTATTTTATCATTTTTAAATAGTATGAGTCTCATAGCCTGCCCAAACATGATGAGTTGTTAACTCACTGAGTTGATCACGCCTAATATAAATCACGTGTACTAATCGACGAAAGTATGGTTATACAATAACGGATAAATACTTCAACCACGACTAGCTGCTTGGTACTACTCTCGTAATGGGCGGCATGTGTAACTAATCTCTATCATATTTAAATGTGGTAGGTGAAGAATATGTTATGAGTTGTAGCTTATTCACTGTATTCGAAGAAGTGGTTGTGGATGGTAACTGCCAAGCCGTAGTGGTATTTTAACCCCTAACGTCTTCCCCTGGAAATCGGAGGCCCGTGTCTTGGGCTCTATCTATTCCTCGGCCCTTCTTACGCACCATCATAAACTAAAAGGCTTTGTACATCGACTGTCCCAAATCCACGCCGGCGTAACAGGTCCCGACCACGATGAACAGGGAACTCGGCCACGACCATAACGCTGATATTTTCAGCTCTAATGCCAGCCTCATGTAACAGCTGCAACATCGCGCAAAGCGTTTCCCCTGTGGCAAGCACGTCATCTACCACCACTACTGACACGCCCCTGGGAATCACGTCCCGCTCTATCTCGATTCTTTTCTCACCCGAACTATTAGATGCTGAAGACGAAATATGCGACGAGGACTTGGCGATGGAGATGGTGGGTGGCGGAAGCTTCCCGGCTTCACGGATCAGCGCTAATGGGATATTGATCTGCGCAGCCAACGCCGACGCGAATATAAAGCCGCCAGCCTCGCAACTTACCACCGCGGAAATATTAGCCCAGTCGCCAGCGAAGTGCGTTTGCAATAGAGATGTGCATAAAGCCAGACCCCCGGGCTGCTGCGAGATGTCTAGTACATGACGGAACTTGATATCTCGGCGTGGAAAGTCGGGTACCGGGCGCACCATATCGGCTAGACGCTGTAGGTCTTCGTGAAAGAACGGAAGTAAGGAGCATTCTACAAATTCTTTTATTACCTCATCTCCGGTTCCGTTATTGTTGAATATGAAACTAGGACGATAGTTACTATTCTTTTCATCGCTATTAACGCCTTGACTCCCTCCGCGAGCCCGCCGCATCTCTTCGCTGGCTTGGACACGGACCTCGAGCAACCTGCTGTGCGGCACCAAATATGACAAGGTTGCAACAGGCGCCTCATCCCTCATCCCAGTTATTAGCAGCACATCAAGTTCTTCCGCGCCGTGTACTACGTTTAAGAAATGCTCCTCTGGCAACCGAGGCCGCTGCCGTGCCTGGTCTTTCCAAAACGCTGTCAGTGCTGGCCGGTGCTGCTCCTTGTAAACACGATCTAGAAGTAGGCGGTTTAGATTGGCACCACTCGCCGCAGCATATTCTCGCTTGGTCACATCGCTAATGCTAACTACACATGCTGCTAGACCTTTATTGCTGAGTTCGGAAACCCAGATATCGGCGCAATAGTCCTTGCCAGCACAACTTTCGCCTGTCACAAGGATGATAAGTCGGGGTTCCCTCGGTGCTTTTGGCAGTGGACAGGCGTAAGCTAACACATTACATGGATCTAATTTGCGCTTGAGGTGGGCCAGGCGCGACCGGTTCGGCCCAAATGCCTTGGTAGCGAGGGCGGCGTCCCGGGGGTCCGGCCCGAGGTCTGCGCCGTAAGCTCCGCTACTCAAAGGCAGCAAGTTGTCGGCGACGCTGTAAACCCAATGCACGGCAGCTAGGGCAGTTTCTGTTCCATCTTGATCTCGGGGCCACACTCCAGTTATCACGCATGCAAAGCTCCAGTCTCGACAACCGAAAGCGGTTGCATCGCTCGTAATGTCGCTAACAGCTCCACCACCATGTAGTAGATGGAGATAGCAAAGTGGCAAGGGACGAGTTTCAACAGCCATTATCAAGATTTCAGCAATTTTCGCTGCCCCGATATCACTTAAGAATAAGCATCGCTTAAACGATGACGTTTTGCCACCGCCGTGACCACCATGCATCCCGGACATGTACATATCCGTCTCGAATAGACCAACGCCGTCCACTATCTTCGAATTCTCCTCCGGTCCTAATATTTCTCTAATAGACTTGAGCGTGGGTGTAGGTGTTTCTAAAGCGGCCCTAGTCGTCGAAGATTCGAACATAGTTACACCAAGATGTAGTTTACCGGCATCCCAGTACAGATACGCGTCCGCTGAAATGTTTCGAGGAAGTTCTCTAGCGACAAATTTATTAAAATTGCTGAGCTTTCGTCGTGCTTCGAGATTATCTTTCAGCGGGAAAACCCAGTCTCGAGTTAAGTAAGTTGGAGCTGCGTGGGCCCTAAAGGTCACGCTGATAACGATGCCAAAGTTGGTGCCGGCGCCTTTTATCGTCCATAGCAAATCGGCCTCGTTTTCCGGGCGTACAGCATCGGCCGGACGGTATTGGTTTGGCACATGGCCAACGTAGAGCACTTGGCCAGAATCAACACTGACCACTACGGCACCAATGATGGAGTCACACGCGAGGCCATGTAGCCTAGCTAGGTGCCCGATGCCGCCTTGTAACCACAGCCCTGCGCCTACGCTAGGACGGGCCCCCAAGGGCACTGTGAGGCCATTCTCCATGGTCTTGGTGATAATATCCCCCGTCTTGCATCCCGCTTCGGCGACGACGAAGGCACCAGAATCGAACTCGTCGCCCCCTTTATCCTCCCCAGTTGCGTGAATATGAACTTTATCAAAGGCGCCCATGTCCACCGAGACTACACTAAACTGGAGACAGTGACCACTATGACCCCCACCAAGAACGGTCAGACCAACTCCATGCTTCAACGCCCATCGAACGCAGTGCTGAACTTGTTGGATCTCTGTCGGTCGGATAATCGAAGCCTGGTGGTGGAAGTTAGCCTCTCGGTTCTTAACTATTCTACCCCCCTTAAATAATGGCACATGTGCTGTCAATTCCGCCAGACTGTTTCCATGTTGGTTGAAGGCCACCATAACGCCGGGTGAGCTGAATAAGAGATGTCCTTCGTGGGCTTCGTCGCGACGGCCTAACATACGACACACCTTACGCCACTCGGTTCTGACGGCCATGTCTGCATCTTGAATGATAAATCCTGCGATAAAAGCAGCGAAAAGGTCCACTACTTCGTCTTCGTCAGCCACGCTGATGACCCCAGCAGGGTAAGCAGCTGTCCGATGGCATACCAAGCCAGCGAGATCGAGGGTCTCGTCGTGATGGAAAACTACCACCATTCCTCCTTGTTGCTTATGTAGCATTCTTAGCCCCTTTTCAATGAACTTATGATGAGGCTTCATGCCGTACATGCTGTGGCAAAAAAGGATGATGTCGTATTTACCATCATCATCCCTATTCGTTCCGGTACAATACTCGGTGCGATTATTTAGAGCAAACGGGACATTATGGATGCTTGGCGGGCTTTCTAAGTAGGGTAATGGGGAATCCGTCTTCGCGGGAGAATTAAACCATTCTTCCAAGCTAGTCGCAAACAAGTTATTAGGCTCAAAGGCATCATATTTTTTTATTTTACTTCTCATATTGCTAGGTAAATATCCTAGTATGCTCTTCGGCCCAGGTCCGATTTCTAGCACAGAAATACGGGCGCGCGAGTTGAAGAGTGGAATTAGTAGCTGGGACAGTTGGGGGATAATAAAGTCTTGGTATGTTGTCCACCCCAAGCCTTGTATCATAATATCAAAGGCAGCACCGTACTGCGTGTCAGATAACGGCTGCGTCGGACATGAGGCCATTTCCGTCGCTCTCTGTCTAAGGGCCCTCTTAAGCTTGTTGATAGTAGCCATATCGGTTTAACGTGTGTGCATTATGTGGTTGAATGACGGTAGTTGGTGATAAGTGCTAGAAATAAGGGCTTGCGCAGTTATATACATAAAATATGTTATGGCACAGACTGTGAGCACCCCGCACTATGGTCTCCGTTTGATTACAGTTGTATTCTATCACGTTTAGTAAATATTAAAATTTCTTCTGATGTTTGACTAGTTTATTATCCCCTTCGTAGATCTGTAGTGGAGGGGAAGCAGTAGAAGCAGGCTCCCGGTGTGTGGTGCCTTTAAACGATATTATCGATGCGAAGTTGACGTAAAAAATAGGGGTCTTGCATATGAAAGTACGGGGGTAATAAGATGTACATAAATGTATAATATGAAGCTCTTATAGAGTTATAGAATAAACTTACTACTATACTATTATTGAGAAGTAAGCGCCTTGGATTGTATACAAGATCTCTCATCGTGATGTTTGCTTATCTTATTGCTGCCCACGCCCAAGCCTGTACGTTCTTACAAGCCGACGGGTAGGTGCAGAAGCTGATTAACAAGGTGATTGGCCTGATGATTAGTTGCGTCATCCACCAAACACACTCTTTAATCTACCTACATAGGTGGTTAATTATCTACCTCGGACTGACATAAACTGGTGCGTATATTACTAGTTAAGTCCTATACTAATTTTTCTAGGCTTTAGTTTAGATATATATAAAGTTGCTAGGTTCATAATCTTGAGTTGGCTTCATAATTCCGTGTATGTTCCGGGCATTAACTCCTATTCTCAACTGAAGGTTATATCCATTAATTCATTCATCGTTAAATAGCAACGCTGTAATAAGTGACGGGAAGGCCAAGTTCTTTTTCTGAACCTCAAATATCAGGGCTGGGTTCCTGGATCATCGATCCGAACCACTACCTGTTCATTGTCAGCAGTATAAGCAAGCCAACTGAAGCGCGTCCCGGTGCGATTGACATATTCCTGCCAAGCACGATGTTCGTCGTGTTCCCAGCCGGGGAAGTTAAAATACTCGTCAAATATTACAATCGATCCGGCCACTAGACGTGGTCCACAGTGCTCTAATACAGTCACTGCCGAAGAGTATAAGTCACTGTCGATGTGGAGTAAGGCGATGGGTCCGGGATGCTCAGCAAGGAAGGGCGCTAAGGTCTTGTCGAACCATCCGACCACTAATTCGGCGCCGGGTACCTCAGGTGGGGCTTCGACGGCGAAGGCCCCGGGACGGATCACCCAACGCCAAGCCTCTGGAAGACCTTCAAAGGAGTCGAACCCGTAAACTCCACCAGACCGTCTGGCCGCAATCTTCCGAAGAGTAGAGCCCTGATAGACCCCGAATTCAAGGGCCATGCCCTCTTTTGGGGCTTCATCGAGAGCATGCCTCAGAGTCTCGTATTTGTCGTAGTAAGGCATCGCATCGGGAAAATTCTCGTTGACGAACCGCGCACTCGAGCTTGCTGCATCGCGCCATGCAGCCTCGTATATATCTCGCCTATTACGATGATCGGCCTTGTTCCGGTTCTCAAGTATATTGTCAAGGCGTGCGGCAAGCCATTCTTCATGTTTCTCGAACCGTGCATCAACGCGGCTCTGGACAGTTTCATCGACCACCGTAGCTATATATGTGCGTAGACGCGACCATAGCCGAGTTCCGAGTGATACTCGGACACGAGGAGGGGTGGCCAGAATGTCATGCTGCTTCGTGGGCGTGGTATGATTTGCTGTATTTTCTTAGTAACAGGACAACTGCGCGGAAACTAAGTTACGAGTGGAGGAAACAATATGGTTACTGGCTAATAGTGCAGCTTAGGAGACAGCTTTGTAAAATCAGGTGTGAACTGATACCCTATTGTGTAGTATTTTGAATATCCATCCAAGCAAGAACTTACTTACCAGCCATTAAACTACTGGATGGAGATGCATCGGCTGCGACCGTCTGCTGTGTTACCGGAGGACGCATTGTGTCAAATAGTACATGCAAGTGTAGTTCTCAGAGACTGCGGTTTAAAGTCTTCAAGTTGAGAGGAAGGCTGCAGAATAAGGCAGTGTGATTGATCACCTTGGAATCCAGTTTGCTACGTCTTTCAGCCCTAATATAGGTCCTCATACGGCCGCGTAATACCCCAGCCTATCTTATACTACATTTTCGTGGTTAATTAGTCCGAGTTACGACCGTGCTATCCGATGAAGGCGCAGAATATAGTCGTCGATGGCGAAAGGTGCGGCAGCTGGATTACGAGTCACACAACGGCAATCTACCATGACAATAACTATACAAAACCAAATACAGTAGAAAAAGCATGTAAGGAAGTAGGCTGTCGTTTGTCTTGCCGATCCATACACGACGTGATAACCGGCGTGGGGGCAAGAGAATACTGATAGTGTAACAGAAGGTAGACATAGTCCGTAACATGAACTCACTCCCCGAATGCGACTCACACGAAGGAGTAATAGGAGCGTTTAGGTAGATTAATATCTATGTTATTGGATGTGAGTTACGAGTTACCAATCGGAATTCGCCCCGTAGTTCAGCATGATGCCCGCCGCACGTCGCATACTGCATTCTTCAACGGAACGTTTGCAACGTAGTTTGCTTTCCGCTGCCTGGAAAATACTATACACACATTTCCTCATATCATCAACCTTATTCGATGTATGCAAGTTGATTTGGGTGCTTAAGTTATAATGCATCATGAGTGGTACGATTGAAGTGTTTATGGCATTGTTATTTAGCATAAACTCATCTTCATGTTCGGTAGGCAGGCTTGGCGAATGCGATGCAACTCTTGTTCCATACGATGCGTAACCTATTGATAATGAGAGAATTTAGGAACTTGTAACTAAACTACTACCATCTTAATATTTTCTTGAAAAACATGTTCCAAATATATTCAATTTTAATTTCGAAATAAAAGAGCGACTGGAACAAGAAACAAGAAGACAGTTCGTAATATAATACTTCTGAGACATATTTGTGTTGGGGGAGATCCTCTTGGAAATCTACGGTATACAGGTGATAGGACCCAAATATCCAACCATATTCATAAGACCTTCAAAATATTGATAATCCTTATCTTGATATCTCCCTAAAACATAAAGTTTTACAAGTTATTAGTTACAGTTTATAGTCTAAGCATGACACTTTTATACTGACATGATCTTGAATAGAAAGCCTGGACTTGAACTATTAACTTAAACGTATACCAGTGCAGTTTTATTCTCCCCTTTTCTTCTAAGTGCACTTAATCTTATTTGCAAGACTTGTGTCGCAATCGTACTTAAGAGCTAGTTTTAGTATTCATTATACACGATAGGTTCCATCGTAAATAAGAACACGCAGATTTAACGTTAAGACAGTACCAAACTATAGACAACTATGGATAGGGACGGGGAAACCTTTTTGACAAAAGTGTTGGTGGGAAGATTACCATACATAAAGGCCTGCATGGAATACTACTTGAGGATTATTGGTACCGTAGCTTCTAACCGGGGTATAATTGAACCAAATAGCGGAGATAACACCACATGTAGCATCATCGGCATCTCGCGTATGAGTTGGTGTGTACATCGTACGTCGCTTACTAGGAGACTTCCGCAATGAGGCTCTCGGCAGCTGAACGCGCGTATAGAAGTTCATCAAATCTATTGCATGCCCTTTATTTTTGATTACCTAGGCATGTATCTATTCCTTCAAAGCAATGTGTCGATAGATATTTACCAAGTATGGATAAAACTTGCGATCTTAACATTAAGTACGCACATAGTTCTAACTGTGACTCATAATTTCCCATATGAGCTCACAGCGAGAAGGCCGACTTTGACACGACAGGGTGAAGGAAATCGCGGCAAGCCATATATGCAATTCACCCTCCGATTTCGCCATAGACCAACCGTAGCACAACCAGATAGAGTACCTAAGGAACTCCTACTGTCACTCAACTGGTGCTAGATTTATTTGAATGGGCTTTCTTCAACTTTGACCGGCCCCTAGGTCGAAAGCATTTCGAGGAACGTGATGCCCCTATTATCGGTAACAACCCGCTCAACTACCGCCCTATGAACACCAAGAAAGATGTTATAGAAGCCACCATCGAAGACTTAGCCAAGGTACGTAAACTATCACTTTCTACCAAGGCTATCTCATGATTGCGAAGATGTGAACGAATAAAGATTAATCTCTCTACACATTGTGACTATATCGATCCAATGTTCCGCCTCATCCTTAGTCGCGCGGGCGACGGATGCATCGACCACCAGATCTCATCCAATTTTCTAACCTCTTCCACCGACTGTGGTTGATGTTTCTCGGTGGATTGATCAAGTTCGGTTGCCCCAAGAACACTCCGCGTAATGCGTCGCAGTGGTGTTCCTATATCAAGTACGGTGAATAGTGACTCTACCAATACCTCAGCTGCAATCTTAAAAACGGGTTTGAACCATGCAGTCTCTTCGTGGTCTTCCTCTAGCCCAGAATCACTGTGAGCCGAGACTGCTAAGAGGAACGGCGCCCGGGCCCTCCAAAACATACTCGTCTCATCGGTAGTTGATGCCTCATTCTCGAAAGACTCGACTGCTTCAGGTGACGCGCAGAAGAAAACGTCCCAACATAGCCCAGGGGCTAGATTAGGTCTCAGAGCGGCGTACTTGGCTCGGAGTGAATCGGCATCGGTAATCGTCGTAAGAGTCCCACCGTTCGGGGGAACTTCTTCTACCCATTGAATCTCAAACTTGGCTCTGGCCTCGTTGAAATCATCTGGGAGTGAAACACCTTCTTCTTGTGCTTGGGTAATAGCACGCGCAAAAGGTAACTCGACGATGCGTTTAAACTGCTCCTGAAATTTAGTCCAGCGATCGTCGTCATTATCGCCGCCAAGGTAGGCGGCGCGGAAAGCAACAAAGCCCCACTGTTGACCGTGGAAATGCTTTCTCCAAATCCTAAGCCAATCCGGTGGAGAGAGGACAGCTTTTTGGACATTGGCTTTTGCTACTTCTGCCATTGTGCAGAAAGAAAGAAAAGCAAAGCACTGATTATTAGAGAATGTATTATTAGGGGGCATCTTAAATGTACCTATCAGCCGAGTCATAATCTTATGTAGATACCCGATAAAATGATATATCGCATATATTGAGTAATGACAGTTACGATACCTTTTAGTCGTAGTGGAGTCATCCACTCGTGCTTGGTCTGTGCACAATCTCTCACGATAGCTTCAACCTTTAGTATCAATCAACATGATATATTCCAACCTAACCATAGGGTAAGGAAATAGGATAAGTAAACATAAACTGATACTCTTTCTTAGAGGCGCCTACGCGACTCTCAAGCACCCAAGGCTCAACACTTGACTTATGAGTAAGAAATAATTGATGATATCCTCGTTGGAATGCCTTGGAATAATTTTCTAATTCCCGATTTAGGCCTGGGTGGAATCTTTGAAGGCGATTCTACTGCCTGCGTGGTAGTATCCTTACCATGGGGGTTCTTGGTAGCCCTACGAGCACGCTTGGATATCTTGGATGTCCATCCCTGATTTACCCAAATTGGACGTTCTCGGTTCGCGGATTGATGCGCCGTTAAGATGGAATTTTGGACCGTCTTGAGGTTCGCGCCGAAATGCTTTAACTCATACAGCTGAGACACAAGGTTCTCCACCCCAGCTTCGTTGAGGACTTGGTACTGCAATTGGTATTTGTTGTCCATATTGCGCGTTAGAGTGTCTACGAGCTCCTCATGTGCTCGTCGATCTTCCAATAGGTCATCAAGACGCTTCCTGTTTCCGCCAACTTGGACCTTCATTTCTTCATCCCTAATGAGCATGTCCAGATACTCAAGCGTCGCATCGTTGTAGGGGGTGATGGAGTGTTTCTTCAGGAAAATACCGAACCTAGCAGACGCCTTCTGAATTATCTCATGCTCCTCCTTATATTCGGCGATGAGCTTGTTCAGGTCTTGAATTGCCGTTTCTCTTAGTATTATGTCGTTGGAGTTTGCTTGGATCTGTCGTTCCACTTCGGTATCTGTCACTGTAGCCTTGTATTCCTCCAGTTCACATATGACGTGGAGGTGCGATTGCCAGTGATGGGTACATTTCGTACAGAAATCATGACCCATAAACGCGGCACATCTAATGAGACTAGGATGAGATATTTGACCAATCGTAACATCAGTGAGATAGCAGGTAGGATGGCAGTGTGTCTTGTATATAGTGACAATCACGCCTCCCCCATCATCCCTAAGCTCAATGCAGTCTTTTTCCCCACAGACGGTGCGTGGCATCTCGAGTTCTTTAGAACGTAGATGCATCTTCTCTATATGAAGCCTTTCTCTGAGATTTATACCTGTTATACGGGTGTCCGTCACTATAGAAGCTTGGGTCAGCAAGCACTTCAATTAAAATGTCTTGTAGTTTATATTTAGAGCATGACAGGTTATTTTAAGATAGTGATGACAGTTCAATATTAAAACTAACGGATATTACTAACATTCTTTGATCTTATCTAGCATCATGGCAATGTTGGTCTTGATTATCGCTGAAATATGGGCCATTGGCTTGGTCAAGCTCGCTATCAGCTGCCTTGCTCCGTTAAGACTTATGGTACTGTGAACTTTATGGGGGGCCCTGGACTTGAAATATTCAATAAGACGGAGTGACTCCATCCTCGAATGCTCCCAACTACGGCGGAAGTCCTCTTCATTCTCCATCGTGACTCCATTCTTGAATGCAGCAAGATAACGGAAGCTCTCTGAGTCGAAGCAATAGGTCGTATGAGTTGTTAAAGATAGACCAACATCAGAATGTTTTTCTATAAGAGTACTTAACGGCCCAAATGTATCACCGGGGGTGTAGTTCGAGATTCGCGTGTTGGTGAAGCCGAAAGCCATGTTGCTTGTCGCCGATCGGTGGAGATGCGTTAACAATTCTTTCATGCAGAAATTGAATGTAAGAGTCAATCGCGCATTATTCGACTTCACCAGGATTAGCACACCATGCAAGTCATCATAACTGCTTAAGGTTGATAAAATATCAGCCATGTTCCTCTTGTCGTATTGAATCCCCCGTGTATCTCCAATACCGGGGGTGTCGATCAGTCTAATCGTACGGCTGCCAATGGTGATGGGATAAACAGCAGTTCGCTGTGTAGCTGACTGCCCATTGCTGCCGTCGTGTTCATCATCCCTCGTACCGACCTGTACTTTGATCTGCTTGATAGCTCCGTCTGGCCGCTTTCTGTCCATGACCTGTGTGGAGAATGAGCATGGTATAACCCAATTGAGCTCCTCTTCTGCTTTGGCTTCGTCTAGTGTCTTGAACGTCAAGTAATTGACGAAGGCGTTGATGAATGTCGATTTTCCCACACCGGTCTCGCCTAGAATCAAAATGTTCACGGTTTCCGAGTCTCCGAGGTTCTTTAGCTGGGATAAAACCTGCTGGGAGCGGCACTTTTCGAATGTCCCACCATGACTTGGCTGATCACACTTAAAGCTGAAGTTTTCGTACAAACTACGTCCGCAATCGCAGTATATGTACTTGTCGACGAAGCCGAACTCCACAGGAGTACGACAGTTAGAACATTTCCATTCACAAATGTGACTTCGACTGCAGTTTTGGCTCGGGCAAGGCATAGTAACACGGCGCCTCTTCAGTGGTCTCGGGATATCTTGGTCCTCAATGGTGTCTGTTGTGCACTTAACAAAGCACTGCTTTATGAGCCAATTCTGCTCCCCAAAAACATCCTCAGACACCAAGTCCCCTTTCTCGTAGCAGGAGATATAAGCATAAGGTGAGGCACATCCTCCTGCATCATCGTCGGATATTATATAGAGGATATCAGGGTTTTGATCGCCCAATAAACGTTTGAATAGGGTTGCATTGTCATTCCAAGAATTGCTATCATTCAAAGCCGCATTGCTGATTGAGAATATATAGGCGTTCTTATTGCCTATGGAATCGATGATTGGTTCTTCAGCGTTGGCGTAGGTCGCACCCATACCAGTAGCTTCAAGTATAAACTTGATTTTGGCGACGTGTTGGTCAGTCGTGTTGGCTAGAATAGTGGGTGATATTTCATCGCTAGTGTAGGTAGCATGGAGATTCTGGAGAAGAATTTCTTTATCTTTCCCACTCCGTACACTTACAAGAGCCTTCGCGTACTCTTGCTCAAAGCTCTCCGACGCACGTTTTAGCTTGGATATCTTCGATTCTACTTCCTTACGAAGACGTTCGGGACAGTACTGTTGATGCTGTGAAATGTATTCATAGTTCTTGTGGAGTTTCTGATAAGACTGAGAAAACTCATCGAATAAGTGAACTAAGCGATTCTCGGTCTCCAAGCTGATAGGGGTCATGGCTGCACCAAGACCATCATCATATTCCATAATCGTTCCGAGAACGTTAATTGGAAATAGCGTATATGTAATCGGTCGACCCCTATTGGAATATTCCTTTTCAATATGTATAGGAATAAGGCTCAGTTCAGAACGTGCCTTCTCCAAAGTTTCCACCATGACACCACATTCAGCGGATATGTCGCTATATGTTGTGATCTCCAGTGGCATATCTGTATCTGTTGGATCATGGGGGGATCTCTCTGAAGCAATCGGGGCATTTGTTTCGATTGCTGATTTGAATTTGGAAATCTTGGTCTGAAACTGAGCTTCAACTACCGTGTGGGCTACAGAGCTGCTGACTGTATGTTGTATTGAGACAATGCTTTGGATACCCCATTCGATTCCGACGACAAAATGTGTAGCCTCCAAGTTGATCAAGGCTTCCCAGTCTATGGCTGCTTGATTCCGAGGGTGCATTACATTGAACTTCTCCCGTGCTGAGATAATTTTGTGATGAACAGCGGCATGTAGTATACCGTCTCTTTGCTGTGGGACATCGAGATACATACTAGCTCCATTGAGCTTTATGAGCTTAGCAAGAATACTCGCACCTAGGTCAGCGCCTATGTTCATGAGATCGAACTTGGCCTGATAGGAATCATGGAAAATAACGTTGACTTCGGGTAATTGACTTGAGGGAATTGCAGATGACGCCTGGAATATTTGGCTGTCTTCTCTCAGTATGGACTGAGAAAGAAATTGGTCGGTTCTGGCATCGTAGAGCCTGCCAAAAGGTACTTGCTCCCCCAAGGCAGGTCGTAATAGGTTCATATTTTTGCTCATATTTACGCCATACATGTTGCTCGTCTTGACCCAAGGGGAATCACTTAGTTGCGACCAAAATAGGGTGATGGCAGATGAGATAATGGGAGGGATTGCTCATATTTTGAATTTGAGGTACCAAGGCATAATATGAAGTAACTTTGCAATTAGAACTACGAAGCCTTAGGTTAGGTACTTTAGTTAGAATTTTCTAAATACAATCATTTCCATTCTGGAATCTACAGGCTTTCGTTATGTTGGATGCCTAAAATTCAATTTACTTGCGGAACAGCTGTGTTGTTTCTGCACCTTCTTGGATTACCTCGTGATAGCTACCTACCTATAATACGACGACAGCATGGCAGTCCACTTACTTGGGAGCCTATTATAGTCTATACAACTATTTACTCGCTAGGGGGAAATACCAATAATATGAGCTATATAAGTTGAGATCCATGGTAACTACCTAAGTATGCGTACCAAATAGAAATCCATACTTCGCTGTCTTCACCTATTTCTACCAGAGGTAACGTCATACGTGCTGGTAATGATGGGGATTGGGATAGGAGAATCGATATTAGGCTTCCGTAAACGCGGGGAAATTGGGGTTGATGTCTAAGGACGTCCAAGTGGTTCAAGACTTTGCAGTCCACGTCGACAATAATATTATATTATCAAATCGATTAATCAAATTAAGCTTCGGTGGCAATGCATAACATGCCATTTCACAATATAAATATGACTACTCACTTATGTAGTTCTTGGTCTTATTGAGCCACGGAACAGCGCAAGCGATACTTAAAGCAATAGGTTAGCATATTTAACTGCAAGGAAAACGGAACTCAGAGTTAACGGTAACATGGTATTTTATATTGTAATTTTATAATAAGGTATACTAGATCAAAACGGGATATTCAACTCGTGGGAGTCGTAATGGCATAAAGTACAATTAGCGCGTTACTTCGTAGCGATATCATCTTCTCCATATCTACATCACCCCAAGCCGGATAACGCCATGAAGCCAACCGTTTCTCGTGAAACATCTAATCAGAAATACACCATCCCCACTATTGTTCGTGTAATTCCGTCATCGCTGCGAGGCTTTCGGGTATGGGGGCTGTCTCTAAGATGGTAGGGTCCTCACGAAATTGCGGACTCTGAACGACTTCTTTTATGATAGAGAGTACGTTCCGTTCGATAACACTCACCAGACCATCAGGCTTATCAGGAGCAGACATAACTCTGCATAGATAGTGGAGCGCACTTCGTAACGCACGTCCCTTATCCTCAGGGGTCGATGGGCCACTAATATCAACCGCTTGGGTGATAAGTGCCGGTATATACGTGACTTGAACTGCTGGCTGAGATATAGAGCCGTCGATGTTGAGATTCTTTCGCAAAGAGATCCTGACCTGACTCTCAAGGGACGACCACACTTGGCTGTACAGTTCAGCGGTTGCCAGGTCAGCGACACTACTCATACATAAGAGCCTAGCGAAAGCACGATCATCTTCAACATTGAGATCAAGTAACCGAAAGCCCTTCTCATGAAGTAGGTTTAGCCGACGCGCTAAAACCATATCGTATCCTGCGCGTAGGCTTAAACCACCCTCAATTATACCCATTCCAGCGTCGTATACAGTATGATAAGCATCGAAATTAGATTGGGTTAGTTTCTTTGCGCAAGTCCAATCGAGGTGGCCCGCTGCGCCCGCAATATCGAGCAGCTGCTCCTGAAATCGAAGTCGAAATCCACGGGCGTGACCTTTCATCTTCTCCAGACTAATCAGGCAAGCTGGTGCGTTCTCCGCCTGTGCAAGTTGTCCAAAGTTAAATTCTGCACCTAATTCCATGCCGCGCATGATATCAGCCTTGTCTTCTGCAGATAGACGATCTAAGCAACCCAAGATGCCAGCTTCAACCGCCTTAAGGAGAATCATATCATGATTCATCGAAGCGATATTCTCTCCGGTTTTCTTTTGGTATTCGGAGGCGAGCTGTTCATCCTTTCCTATATCATTCACCACTATGGAAGTAATGAGAGCGTATAACTCATTCGGATTCGCAATTGAATCCGCATAGAAGTTAGAAATCCATTCGAACGATTGGCGAGAAAGTTTAAGAGCTTCAGCTTGATTTGACACAAGGATATCGTATTCTCCATTGTAAATCCATTTCAAGGTCAACACCCCAACAAGCGTACGGTTGACTTCATCATAGTCTTCTCCGTATAAGATCGCAGAAGGTGATTTTGAGAATAGATTGACTTCCCTTCTACCGCCGACCGAGTACGCGCTTTTCAACCGGCAAAGCTCATCTTCAAATTCATCGCGAACAAGACTAAGAAGCTTTTCGTTAGAAAGCTTAAAAAGAACAGCTGGTTCCGTCGTGTATTCGCGGAGAGTGCGAGGAGGAGACATGATAATAATCAGTATATCGAAGGCAAGGGAGATGAGAAGTTTGAAGGTATACAGAGCCTGATAATATATATACCTCTAGGTATGTATTGTGATACATGAATGGGGGCTGTGCAAAATACAGATTACCTACAGGTTATGTTAGGTACAAGTTTGCTTGAGGTCCCTCAGATAGTGGCAGGGGGTACGGTGGACTATTAGTCCAACTGTGCCAAAATCAAAAAAGCCAGTCGCACTATATCAAATAAGGTAATAGTAACATTAAGATTACAGTATAAGTTCGGCTATTTCTACTATATACACAATTTATAAGGTAATATATACCTTTTATATAGGGATAACTTTACTAATATAGGTTCGAATTACTTAAAATTGGTATTAGTATTTTTATTAAAAAAAGACAAAAATTTCAACCCAGATTTTATATAACTCGGCCTTATATTTGTAAAGATATTGACACGTATAAATATTATTAAATACATTGCGAGCTACCTTCCTTTTCCCCACAAACTAGCCAATCAGATCTAACCTTCACTTTAACCTTTAATATATACAAATACGTAAATATACAGGATACAACTTATACACTGTAATAACTTCGCGAATATCCTATTTTAAAAATTATAATTGGTGTCATTTTATAGCTTTAATTGATGCGAAAATAATGATTCAAGTGCATCTTTTTTTTTAACCTGGAGTATTACATCAATATCAAATACGTGCTATGTAAAGATGTAAAGAAACTAACACGTGATACCCTTCAAGACCACCACCCTAATAGATAGGTAGGTATTTCAACAACGGATAAACTATTCAGTACGTATCTTATAAGCATGCAAGTAGAATCATTATTTTCGCATTGATTAAAGCTATAAGATGATACCAGTTGTCATACTTAAAATGTGATATTTATAAAGTTATTTGAGTATATGGTAATTAAATTAATAAAATAATAATAAATCTTATATTTCAGGTATTTCGGGATACTGTGCACCTAGCGTTGCTTATTAAATTACCCTTTTTGGACAGCTCCCACCCATTTTCTTGATTTTGGCACAGTTGGACTAATAGTCCACCGTAGGGGGGGTATGTGTGGCTTAACCGTACTAAGACAAGGGATGCTAGGGGAGGTTTCATGGATGCCGAGAGGAAGATGTAAAATCGGCCTTGTCAACTTCTAATTAAATACACTTTAACCATTCGTGCACTAACCACTTTTACCCGTCATCATCATACAAACAAGTGTAAGAAAGTAGTAACTTATAAGTCACGATAAATTAATTCAAGTTATTGATCTGATAGTTATATGTTATTGTTGGTTAATAGTGAATCATGTTTGGAATGGAAACATTGAAAAGTATACGATTTTGACAATCAATGACTTTTCGTGACATGTGACATGTGAATTCCGTGCCTCTTTTCGGATAATCGACCTGCCAAGGCATATTGTCATCTTCGTGCCTATGAATAGTCAAGTGACTAGGACTCGTGATATAGTTATCAGGAGATAGCGAAGCATATAAGTATCTGATTTCCATTGCGCTTATCATCCTATGTTACTAACAATAATAGGAGGTATATATTGAGTGGGTAGACAGACGTCCAAGAATGCAACAAGTTCACCCACTTGGAAAGACCAGTTACATATTCTATCTTAAAGAAGTTATTCTAAAGTTTTAATAACAGCTACCTTTGGATTCATATCCGATTGATCTTTGAATGGATTATTGACAGGTACCTATTGACTTGGATATCTGAATGTCTTCTTAGCTTCTTAATCACTAAGATGTAGGTATAAATAGTAAATAAATCGAGTATTGGAACTTAGACTATTGAAAAAGGACGCTCACATACAGAGAAATTTTAAAGAGGTATCCAATCAGTATTTCATGATACTTCTACTCACTCACTTAACTTACAATTACTTGGTCGATATCTAATATCACAAATCGCGACATGTTGCAAAGAGATCTCATTTTTCTACTTATAAAATAAAGTTTTTCTCTACGATCTCATTATTTTCTTTCTCTAGATCCTATCATCTCATCCATCTCCCTACGTAACCCTGATCATCTGTTGGAGAGCAATACCACAGCAGGTACCCCTTGGTAAGTAGCATTTAATATTCTGCAACCGCTATCAAATATGCCACCATAAATAGGTCCACTACACAAGTGCCTAGATTTCCCACCCTGTTTTTTCTACTCCTAATCTATCCCATATTTATGTTTGCCAGTCTACGGTATCACATAGTTTACTAATCAAACGCCGAATACAGCAATATTTGGTCAAGATGGCGTCTTCTGATAATGACCAACCTCTACCACAACAACCGTCTCACTGGTCGGCTAATTACCAAGGCTCTCGAGATTCAAGGAGAAATTACTCGGAAGAAATTGCCGAAGAGCGAAATTGTTCTGTATGGATAACTTGTCTTCCAGCAGGGTGCGATTCCGCGATGCTTTGCCACTCCCTTAGAGGAACAGGAAAAATCTATTCGATGTTCATAAACCCCCCGAACAACCAACATAATACTTCAGCTGCAAAAGTAGTCTTCTGGGACCATCGGGGAGTGTACAGGCTGATGCAGATGGCCGAATCGGGGCAGTTCAGAGTAGGTCCTTACCGACCCCAAGTGACACCGCACCGAATAAAAGTTAGCGCGCAAGTTCCATCAAGAAAATCCCGCGTCATAGAGATCAGTGGACCGATGGAAATTGTAAACCGCGATTTCTTGAACGCTTTTTTTCTTGAAAAGTTCTATTTTAATGTCGAGAGTGTCCAGACAGTAGGGGTTTACGAGGGACTATCAGTCATGAAGTGGAACTTTTGCTGTTACCGCTGCCAAAGCCAATACGCGGTTCGTCATATATTCGACCAAAAGCACCGTGAAGATCTAACTGAGATCGAGCGGCGTTCTTGGTCTCGGGTTTATGTACGTTGGTTGGAGGACCCATGTGCCTAAGCTTGACTTGAGAAAGGGTTGAATAAAAGCCTTCAGAGGAAAATAGCACGAATAAGATATTTAGCGATGATTTCCGCAAAAATTATTATGTTATTTCACTTTTAAATCTTGGAGTCACGTAGGGATGATCTTCGATAGTGTAATGCAGGTTTTTCTTGTTGATAATGTCGGGTAGTTGTGAATGGGTGTTAAACTCTTAGCTTTACCCCTTAATGTACCTAATACAATAAGATGTATGTTATGTAATACTCTATATATGTTAAGGGTATGGATAATAAGAAGGCATATCCAGCCTAATGGAACATCTTTCACTATAAATTATCAGGGGCATTAAATATGCATTGCTGTACGATACTGTAGATCGTCTCGTTGCTCTCCCATGTTGCACCACCGCGATTGATACCATAATATGCGGGGTGCGTGTTACTAACCTCGCTATAAACCCAGCGCTCAAGGTCAATAAGGTTAGGACGGTCTTGAGGGTTGCTCGCCATACATGCCGCGATAATAAGGCGCATATCCCGATCAATGTATGGAAGCGGGTCTCGTTCACCATATTCGGGATCGCCCAGTATACCAGAGGCCGGCGATAGTACGGCAGAAGAATAACCAAGCCTGCTTAAATCAACTTCTACTTCTTCTCCCGTATATTTATAATCAGTGGTAAGGGTTAGGACGGTGGCCATGAGCTATTAAATCATGAATTAGTAAATTAATTGTGAAGAGGTATTGTAAGTAGTATAAGTTGAGAGTAGTCACCACGTACTATTCCTATATCTTGTATATTCCGTTGCTCTCCAGTCCCATCTAAAGCAAACCAACGCGGTTGGCTTAAAAAGTGGAATGTAAGTAATATTAACTTAAATTTCGTCTTTACCATGTGGGCATAAACTCACATTATATTGGCAAGGCCAAAATCTAATAGTTTTAATTTAGGGGAGACATTATGTTCAGGGCCGTCCGCGAGTAATCCAAACATGAAGTTGCCTCCGTGTATATCATTACTAGAAACTCAGGTGAGCTTACACATCAGCAATTGGAATATTAAAAACGAAATCAAGCAATAGTTTATTTTAAAGCTGAGGCAACAACACGAATAGAGATTATATAAAACTTTACATACTGTGCTAATCCTGTTGGCCTATTAATAAATTGTATAGTTGTCTCGTTACTATACGCTTCATTTGAAGGCCATGCCATGTCAATACAAGCCCGAATCACTGCCAAGTATATATTAACTTAATCTCATATTTTACCGAGCCAATGTAATAAACATGGTGTGAAAACTTACTGCAGAGAAATATTCGCCAAAGCATACGATTCGGTAGACTTGCAAACCTCTCGAATTTAGCCCTTTGCAAAAAGGAATTTAGAGTACCATTCTCCATTTGCTCCAGAAAAATCCATGCCCAGCCGATTCGTTGAGCAGAAGCTAATGGATCACCTGGGCTATCTATCGTGCTCACAATATGTTGACAATAACGTAACGTCTACGGATACCGGACAAAGTCAGCATTTTCAATTTTCGAACAATTATTTGTAGTACCTCTAAAATCGCTTTCTCTTTTTTCACTCCTTCAACATCTGCTCCATTTCTTGGATCCGCCACTTTAACCACCAATCTCCGAGACAGACATCTGGTTTTACTTTGTTGAACATATTGGATTTTATAAATGGCTCCTTGGCCTCCTTTTCCAAGCAGCCCTTCAAATTTAAACTTATTACTCAAGTCGAAAAAGGCTTTTAATCGAGCTGAATGATCTATGGGCCTCCGTATGCGTCGACGTCGACGACGGGGAGGTTGGGAAGATTCCATGCTACCAATTAAAAATTAAGTTAGTATTAATAACTTGAAGAGACACTATGTAAGTAATATTGCACTGCCTCACGTGTAGCATGCGCACTTGCCAAGACGGTGAGCCTAAGCAAAACAGACCCATACTAGCTTAGCATTTTCAAGATAGCTTCAATCTGCAAGTATTTCCTAATACATCAACTTGCCGCTTATAGTAACAAATAATAATTTAATGGATAATGT